GCCGCAACAGGTGCCAACTCGGGCGACCCAGCGGCGCGAGGAAACGGCGGTGCACCTCCTGAGAGTCCATATAACAAGAAAGAGGAAGTTTGGCGGCGAAGGTGGGCGAGGGCGGAGGAGCTGATGAGGAGGGAGGGCGTGGTTCTGAGGACTTGGAGGGTGGGTGGGGATGTTATGGGTGAGTGTATGGGGCTCTGTGAGAGGATTTTGAGGGAGATGCGGGTTGGGAAAGGTGAGGGAGAGGGAGAGGGAGAGGGAGTAGGGCAAGGGCAAGGGAGTAGAAATGGAACGGGCAGGGTGAGGAGAGGAGGCGTGGATGAGTGGTGAGATGCGAAAAGAGCATCTTTCTCGTATCTTTCTCGTATCATGGGAAGAGCTGGACCCTTACGTCGTACTTTGTAGGATCAAAAGCTAGGACTGTCCAAGTCTCATGCATTGTTTAGGATATCAGGCCAGTTCACTTTACTTCAATGTCGATGGGAAGTAGAACAAACAACAAACATGGCTTTTAATCAAAAGAGCTCCTGGACGACAAGGGCTCTCTAGATTGAACTTAAGGTAATGTTGATGCACGATGAGGTAGTAGTAAAGAGTCTATAGAGTGTTGACAGGGCTTAAGGTCAAGCCCTCTTAGAGGGGGGAATAATTGTCAGATTCCATCAAGACTGCCAGGACTGCCAAGACTATGTCCTACTATATATCATGGATCTTTGCAGCTGAGGATCTTTGCAGTGAGGATCTTGGATCCTGCAGCTTGCAGCTACATATTTTCCTCTCTGTACCATAGATCCCTGTCGACCTGCTGTGCAGAAATGCGTAGAATAACAGGTTGTTCTCTATACAAGAGGATAGAGAGCGTAGAAGTATATATACGAATTAGCCGTGTCGTACGGCGAGGTTGGATCCGAAGTTGCACAAGAAATCGACCAATAAAATGCAGTCAGATTAAAAGGATAAACGCAGCAAACATACATAGGGAAAACTGGCTCAACGCACACAAAACGCCAGCCTTCCCCCCGATCCTGAGCGAGAACGGCAATAATAATAAGCCTTAAGGCATAAAAAGTTTAGAAAAATCGTGTCATAGCCATGGCACTATATATCAGGAAGACTGGAGCGACTGTAGCGACTGTAACCTCTCTACTTCCATTGCGTTCTCAGCATCCTCGACCTCCACGTCAGCTAGATGCATGGTATCATGCTCCGGATCGACAAAATAATATACCCAAAACGAGCAAAACACAAATACCGTGCCGGAAACAGCCGCCACGACTAGATATACCACTGCGACCTATTCAAGAAAAACACGTCAATTGATAATGCATTCTGAGCTAGAGCACCTCAAGCCATCTATCAAGCGGAGGTAAAATGGATAAAAACTCACATTAGCATCATTGCTCCACTCACCACCGCGGATCAACGGCGTGCACACTAAGATAGTTAGACCGGCCAGAAACAGACACACGGAGTACGACATAAACATGATCGGGCACTGCCAGATGAAGACCATTTTCCATCTAGGCCTCCATACGCCCAGGGGGTTTCTGCCCTGCGGCCCCCCCCTTTCAGTGCACCCGCCCTGCCGCTCGGTCTCTGACAGCATCAAGGCAAGATACCGGCGGACGTAGACAGTAGCGAGAGACATAGTGCTGTTGCCCGGTAGCTCACCCATCAAGTTGAGGACCGCCGCCTGTTGCGCCGAGAGCAGGATCCCCAGGATCGAAAGTACCAGACTGCAGTGCCAGAGGGCGGAGGCGAGCCAGTAGGCGCCCGAGACCGTGTTCCAGGAGAAGGAGCCGATGACCGCGGCGGCTAGAATGGCGCACTAAGAGCGGGGTTTTGTCAGCATCGGGGGATTTATGTAGTGAAATGGCAACAGCTTTGCAAGACGCAATGCCTCAAGAAGAGCGGATTGAAAATCACCCACAGCGATAGAGATGAAATGCAACTCAGCGAGCTTCCGCGTCCGCCAGCGGACCATGAGACGCAGCACATTCTCGAATTTGTCGGGTTGAGAGGTGTAGGCCGCTATGCGCAGGATGGGGTTGACGGTGTTGAATTGATATAATCGGTAATAGGGTAGAGTGCCAATGTGTACCATGATCTTAACGATATGGGTGGGCAGATTCTGTAATAGTACTCATACTGATAAGCCGCTTGAACGCATTGTAAGGACGAGACTGGGTCAGGATAGGCCTAGTGCTGGAAAAGACGAGAGCCCAACTTGGCTCGGCTGATTGAACTTGGAGAAGAAGGGGGACAAAATAGGAAAATATCTGGTAAAACAACCTGGTGGCACGAGGATATGTCTGCAACTGCTATGGGGGCTGTACGCAAAGAGCGATGTAGGATTTAGGAGATGGATGATACCTTGAATGTAGCCAACAGCCTGAAAGTCAACGTTCTTGCTAAGGAACTAGTTGACATAGGGTTCTGAGATAGGCAACTAAGCAGAACATTTGCGTTGAAACCTGCATGTCAGCCAGGACAAAGTATGTCGTAGACCTTAACTTCAAGTTGCAACAGACAATGGCTGCGTGGTAGTCAGCGACTAGCCCATTCGAGCTTGGCGTGTGTGGCTTGCGCACCAAGCGTGGCCTATCAACTGAGCCAATTGCAGCCTGGGAACCTGACATGATGACTAAGCAAGGTTGACTCGCACAGGTGGTTTCAGATTTCCCAAGCAGGCATGGTCGGCGGACAAGATTTTGCTGGCCCAAGCTTTACTTTCGCTGTTTTGATGATTATATAAGATTGTATCACGTGCGATCCGTTAGCTTCGCTTGGCATTACCTTCTAGATTAGCTCTTCAAGTTACTGCTTAGCAGGAAGAAGGCCCCTTTTAAAATGGTAAGAGAGCCGCCAAAGTGCGCTTAGAGTTAGCCTAACCGTAAGATTGCTTACTACGGTAGAGTGTACTAAGATATGTAGCTAAGGCATCTGTCATCTAATGAGATTTCATCATTTACAACGTTATTTGTCAAAAATATGGTCCTACTGTGGTCAAAATATGCCTCTCTGATCATACTAATATGGTCCTCATTTGACAGAATACTAGTAGTTGCCATTCCCACTAACAGCACTTAACCCACATTTTTTATTACCCCTTCTCCTGGTAAGTGCTGCTCGGCAGTTTCTTCTTCTCCTAAATATGCTAGTTTCAATCAAATCAATCAGAACTATTACGGGTTGGCTCTTTAAGATGTATTCCGACAGCAATACTAAGCATATCTCGTCTTGGAAAATTTATATTGCTTATATTGTAAGGATCGTACACATTCAGATTGTCTGCTTCGTCGCGTAATGTCATTCTGCTCCTGGGTTTATGAGAATGTTGTAGTGTTATCAAGACTATTCCGGTGCCATCATCGAAGGTTCAAGGCGCGGCTAACGAAAATTACGGGCACTATTTATTTCTTTGTCCTATCAAAATCCCAGGTGAGGCTTTGTAACCTGGGCAGCAGGGCAATGAAAACGTCAAATCTGACAACGCCCAAGACGCAAGCAGCCCGCAGTGATATGGAGTCGTCAGAATTGCACTGCGATGCACCGCATGTTCCAGCTACTCCAAGGTCCATTTATCTTGGACGCCCTGCGAATATTCTAGGACAGATCTTAGGACACACAAGAATACTGAGCTGCTAAGAGGCGTCCATCCATGAGTTCGGCCAACAACTAAGAATGATGCAGACTAGAGAATGATTTATGGCATTGCCACCAACGAACATCGTACACGGGAGGTTGAATCATGGGGCGAAAGGCCTTCGTGATGTGAAATCTTGAGTTCGTCAGCTGATCTCGTTGGATTTTACGCAGTGCTGAATGCCTGAGACGATATCCAATGAGCGCACAGTGGCAGCACTCACCGCCTTACGAAGGACGTTAGTGATTCCAGGCTTTGGTAGAGGCTTCGGGGGCCGACTGGTTATTGGAGACCCGACTGAGTTACCACCTGATATGAACAAGTACCTTCGTTTCTTCGCCACGTATATTATGTATATGCGCCTGGCCTGGTCAACAGGTCAAGGATTTGGAGGCTGCAGAGCACGTTCTGCTAAGTACATCTATTTATTACTGCTGATTTTTTTTTTTAGATTAGTGTATTTACCTGCTCTCGGCTTTTTGATACCTCCAATACTTTCGGCAGAAATCCGCTTCCTGGTCCAATTCAGTCTGCTGCATAGCGTGGTCGTTGACCAGATGGTTGTGGAAATCGCGGCGATTTGCAAAGTCCCCCCTCTCGCATTCTTTGAAGCGACAGCGAAACTGAGCGCCAATAGCGTATCGTTCCCATTTTGCAAAGTCAGTTGCTCGAGCTTTCCTGCGGTTGACGAGTTCTGCAGCGCATTTTTGTAGCTGATCGATGATATCATTTCGTGACGCCCAACGACCAAAAGCATTCTCGATTTTATTTATGGTCTTGGAGCCAGGATCTTTGACAAATGGTCTGGGTTTCGGTTTCCATTCGTCAAGATCAATATCCAAGGCGTCACGGTCATTCAGCCGGTAGTATTGAAAATCGTCATTCGCAGCCTTGTCCCTCATTTTGTTGTGGACGACCTCTGAATTGGATGCTTTGTTGAAGACGGTTTTCACGTTCCGTCTTATTCCTCCCCCCCAAGGCTCGTCCCTCCTCGCAGTTCCCACACTGACGACAACGCCAATGGAAAACTTGCCATACAGGTCTTCAATTTCAAGCGCCCCCTCCTCTGTGGGGTTGGTGGTGTATTGGTACCCAGCGTCCATGAAAACGGACTGCGCTTCTGACCTGTGGTTTCTGATTTTCAGAGGCTCAAAATAAAGGGGGGCTGCGGTCGCAGCTCGCGCAACTTCCCAGATTTGGTATGGATCAGCATTGCCATAGTTGATTTCCCTTTTGAACGCTACTGTTTCTCGGCCTCTGGTGTCAATCGTGCCATTGGCAGATACTTGGGTATTGGACCGTGTCGTTCGCCATGTGGATTTACGGCTTGGCAATGATCCGGGAGTTGTCCGTTGATCATGATCGTACGACCGAATCAGATACACTGTCTCCACTTTCCGTTTCGGAGGTTCCGATTTCATTGTAATGACAAATCTATCCAACCATTAGTTAGATGATGAAGCATTATTGTCGCAGCAAATTTCAACAAGAGTGGTGATACTATATCGTTCATAGATTTTTACCTTCGCACATACTACCACTTTGATAGTCCAGTGATCCTGATATGAAAACGCTCAAAGGGGAAAGAGAAGGACAATGGAACAGTATACTGACGTTTTGCATAGCCCTGGCTTGAAGGGAAAGGTAACTCTGCTTAGACTGCTCTCACCCTGCTCGCTTCGTCTTGCAGTTACGTCTTCGAATACTTTCTTCAACTTCTCTCCCTCATATTTCGTCCTCCTCCCCAGGCCAAAGCGCATTTGTGTGAAGAAACGTGGATTTCCAAATATTTCCCCACCAAGACTCCGATACTCTTTCAGACAATCTGGAACAGTCATACGAAACCTACCAAGCATGATAGCTATGAGTCTGCTAATTGCGTCAACGATGTCTTTGCTGTTAATAAGCTAAACAGGCTTACGCTCCCGTACTAGTTCCACAAATGTAATCAAAATAATGGCATGGAAGATATCTTCGCGTGTTATTCAAAGCACAGCATCTGGCTTCAGCCGCGTCGGCCTCGTCTAACTTCCGAAGTTCTTCGTCGGTGAAAGGGCCTTGTGAAACGTTTTCGGGATAGTCTTGGGGTGTGAAGCTGTGATGAACCTGATCTTTTCCCTCCGCTTCTGCTATGTATTCCATAAGCTTATCAAGCGCCAAAAGGCTCCAATAGCCACGGATACCGCCACCGTCTGTTGAGTGATTTTATCAGTATGGCTGAATTGCATGGGGCGATTCTTGTACAATACCTAAGCTGAGCAAGTTACATTTTCTCCAAGATGATTCAGGACTGTGTGGATTATTTGCAGGCTCTTCTATGTTGTGCAGATATTCCTCAGGCTCCTCGAGAATGGCATTGCTGGCGCCATCCATGCTGGTGGTCCAATGACCAAGATTGCAAGACAGAATACTGATGGCTCAGCAAGAACTCGAATGCCAGATGATTGATTGACCCGCACAACACATTGTCTCTTTTCAATCTACGCGTCTGCTCGCCAACGGTCCATCGCGCTGCCAGGTTCGCATGAACCGCAGAGCCTCATGGCAGGCATTAATATGCTTCAGAGGTTGGAACATTTATTCTAAACCAGTGGCTTATAAGCTGGAGCCAATACGCTGTGGTGCGCAAAGCCACAGGCGATTAAAGAATCCCAAAAAAGAAAGGGATCGCTCTTGAGGTCTTAGCTCGCCCCAACACTAAGACGCACGACAACCTAAGGCGCCTCGAGGATACCAACTCAGTATTCGTGTGGGTGCTTTGTGCCAACAACAGTAGTTGCAATCTGACTAGGCTGTCTCAGGGCTTGTGGGCATCGCGATCGTCCAATCAGCCTTGCGGAAAATGATGTTAACAGCGAAACTCCATTGCAGCCAGGATGAGTTCTGCAGCCGGGACGAGTTCTGCAGCGAGGAGTAACCTCCATGCAAAGGCGACATGGGACAACTCCGCAACTCAAACATCCTTTGGGGCGTTGTGGATGCAAGAATTTGGTCTACGGATCTCATTCAATGCGATACCATACCATACCGTCTTGGAAATTCTCTATTTTTTGCCTGCTGATAAGATTTCGAGGTTTACATACGACCGATACTCCTTGCCTTCAAGGATTCTGTCAGGCATAAGCTACTAATCCACGGTCCGAAGGTCCTCTGAGCGGCGCGGCCTGACAGCTACGGTGGGCTAGATTCCAGGATCCCAATAACGTGGCCACCTCACATGATGTGCAACACACCTCATCCGAATTGGAATTATGTGTCGTTTTTGGTCTCTCAATATATTGCGATTTTTCAGGGATGTCAAGTGGTAGGGATACATGAGGTGGTCCTGGACCTTATGGTGGGAATTCCACAGGAATTCCCTCGGTAATCCAAACTCTTACCGCATGCCTTGCGCGTGCGGGGAGTGTACGGTCCCAAGGTTGCCAGCTTCTTTGTAAAGATTAAATTGTTGAAATAGCTTGAATAAATATTACGCAGACATTGCTTCAATCCAGCCATTTGATTCATCTCTGTATTGGTTTCGATAGATGTTTGTAGAATGGTGGCGAGCTGAAATTGGTGGCTTGAGACTTTAGTAGAAAACGAAAATATCGCCCCTAAAACGGTTGCTAATGGAGGTGTCTTTCACTGATGAATGGTTGGGGGGTGTCTCAGGGGTTGCTTAAGAGTTGAGAGGAGAACAGCTGTTAACAGAGAATTGTTTTCATAACACATCCCAGTATTAATCAACGGTTTCTATGAAGTGATTTTCCAATAATGACGTCCAGTTGCAGGAGGGAGAGGGAAGTGAATACGGTCAAGAAGATCAACCATGTATGGCTCGGAACTCATTAGCGCTGTCGTTCTGCTGGGTGCATAATCCTAGTTTCTTTTAGCAGCGCTAGCGTCTTCAGAGATTCTGCCTCGCCTGTGTGTGCCTCGTTTCCCAAACCCCTACTTTACCATTGATACATCCTTTCTGAAACTGTTTTCAGCTACTTTTTAAATCGAACATTACTGGGTGGTGTGACAGATGTAAGCTAGTTTACGCTCCTTTGAGGCCTGCGATCATTTCGTTCCAATACAGCTTCATCCTTGCTGCCCAGACCAAGCCAACTTCAGTGGCAAAGTCTGATTTGTCAATGGAACTGTGGGGACCAATGCATTGCAGGAGACGTGAAAAAGGGTTGGGCGGCGTCCGCCTTGTTATGCCGATGTCAATCAAGAGCCTCTAACAGCAGACCACATTCTTAATGGAGGGCGTCTTCCGTGCTCAGCTTACAAAGGACCTGCATGACCATTTCCCTCTCTTCGTTTCGTATTCATGGCTGATACTCCCTCAACGATCTAAACACCTCTTTTTTTACACCCAAAAAATTCATGAACGCTAATAGGGAGGAAAGAACTTCTGCTGTGCATTCCTGCCAGAACCATGAGCCAACAGGGACGCAATTTCTTCGCATCCGTGGGAGGACAAAAAGTCCCCCTTTAAAAGATAGGGTCATCATCTATGACTGCGAGAAGAAGAGTTTGGAAGTAAAGAGCAAAAAACAAGTCGATCACGGTAGGTTGGCACCCATTTTCGAGAAAATGTGCTGACAGTGGCCCCCAATCAACAGCCATGGACCAACCAGGCTACACAGAGTTTCGAGTCCCATCACGAATAAACGAAATAACGCTCTTCGTGGATCCGGACGCCGAGTCAGAACCCACGACCGAGCATGGGGGTGACGGACATAGTACGGTTATGCTCGCCAAGCTCTATCTCAACCGTCTTGGTACGATGAACCAGATATTGCGATGCTTGGGACAACTGTCTACCCTGTACGTCACGAAACTCCGGCCCTGCGACGATCGTTCATCCCTTGTACCTCCCTCCCGTTGAAATTTATTGCAACTGCGAACTCGGACCAAGAGTCTTAAGGGTGGAAATGGATGTTAAGAATCTGTTGTCCTCCTCTTGGTGTTTTGAGATCGCTTGATCATAATGATTTAGAAATTTGGTGAGGGAAAATTCCGTCCTTGTTGACGTGCAAGGATTGGCAATTTTTACGCACCGAAATGCCTAACAGGATGTAATTGATAGAGGGACGTCGAATGTACGACTAATAGATTTCTTCGATATACAAGGCGTTCGAAATGCCAATTTGTGGCAATTGATTCCCAAAGATTGTGTTAGCTAGAGATCACGAAAATTTCAACATTTTCGTAAATTACAGAATTTCAAGATATTTACTTTGCCAGTCTATTTGCATTTCATCCCATCAAGACCAAGTTAGTCCTTATACAGATACAACTAGTCTTGTTCAAGCAACAGAGATCATGTAATACAGGTTATCTTATGACTTAATTCGTATAAATGATGGAGTTCTTGAAAATATGCGCTAAAATAGCTCCTGGTAGTACTAGCTGAGGTGTATCTTAAATTTATTTCATCTTTCCGTAAATCTCACCCAAATAGGTTTCATCTCAAGGATCCGAAAGATTTCGGCGACCCTGGGCGTGGTGCTCCACGCTGACTGGCAGCGGCTCACTATGAATTCTTAGCTCAAGGAAGCAGAGAGAAGTCAGATGACAACCATGAGACTGCAGTTGCACTAGGATTCGCTTGCGCAGCCTATCGCATGAAATACAAGCAGCCATTGACATGTGAGCTAATCAAGAAAAATGAAACGTCCTCACGTATAAGGATTAGTGCATTGTGGCTTGTAATTAGCGATAAGCTTAAGCGATCAGGCCTGATTGTTGGAATTGGCCGTACGCGTACAGCCAAATCCTTGGCATCAAATGACCGCACTCTGCGCAGTACTAGTAGTATTAGCCTCTCCTCCTTCTAGAGATAGATTCTTTATTTTTAGAGTCTATATTAGATACTCTTAAATAAAATTTAAATTTAATACTATATAACTCTTTAAAGCCAATTTTCAATTAATATTAATATATATATATATATAAGTAGTTTTAGCCCAAACTGATATAGCTTACTTATTATGTAGGGCGGAATGATAAATTAGGCTGTAATCTTGGTTCTTGTCCTCAGACGTGCTAGCGTACATTGACTTAGTCATCGTCGAGCCACAGAGCACGGCTGAGAAACTGAGGCAAACGCCCTCCTCCGGTCCCTCCGTGCAACCCCCTCATCCTCCTCTCGCCCGTGAATCACGTGAATCACGCCCTCCCTCCCCGCTTCCGCAGACTCAACTCCGCCACACCGATGCCTCGCCGCTCCTATCATTAATCCTCCTACCGTCACCACACCAGCCGCCACCTCCTCCTCCTCCTCCTCTACTCGTCTCTTAGACCCACCCCACCGCTGCATTCCATTCACGTATTGTAAATCTGCACAGGGATGGCAGATCAAGCCGAACGCTTCGCCCAGCTTTTTTCCAGAGCGGGCATGTGTGAGGATGTTTATTGCAATTTGTGCCAGCTGAGGGAGAGGAGATAGTAAGAATCCCAAAACGCGGACACAGAAAGAAAGCGTGCTGCGACCCGGTCGACCGGCTTAGAGATGGATTGAGTACGGAGATCACTATAAGTACTACGTATAACCGGTGGAGCTGCGGTGATGTAGGGATCGTGAGTAAGGGGAAGGGGTTGAGAGCACGAAGGAGATGGGAGAGATGAGACATCATGATATTATGGGTTTGACCCTGTACGAGTTAGCGGACGAGTGATTCATCAATCAGTTATGTCTTGTTAAACTGAGACACGAGGCGGTAGTTAAAAACTGGATGACAATTAAAATGAGTTGAGATTAGATGGAGAAGCCGAGTCTTTCCTAGTTTTAAATGTGTCAATGAAGGCTTAGTACAAGTTTGTTCCAGCCTTGACCTCCGGTTTACATAAGATTAAAGCAGATCGCATCCTACGCTTACCCCGGATCTTATGCCACCAAAGTAAGCCCGAATGCTAGTGCAGTAGACGTTACCTTGCGCTTAATGCGGCCTCAGTAATCCAAAGCGCCCAATCCAGCCCCTGATTTTCTATGGTAAAAGGCACAGCCAAAGACCAATCAACCATTCACAAATCATATTCCTACATCAACTCCCTATCCATCCTGGATCCTTACCTTGTCCAACTGGAACCCACTCAGAAAAATCTCCCCTTCCCACTCATCTCACCTACATATTATCACCCAACCTCCGGGCTGCCGCATCCCAGCCACTGACGCACAGATAGCACTTGCAGTCCAGGACATGATCGGTCTGCAAAAACCCCGGGGAACTCGCGGAGCTGATGCGCCATTGGGTGCCGGACTCGGAGTACATGCTCGGGCGGCAGTTGTGGCAGAAGCATCCCATAGGGTGCGGGTGGAAGGGATGGGCGCTGGCGGCGGCGATGACGGCGGCGGGGATGGGGCTTCCGAATAGCGGGTCTGGTTGTGGTTGGGCTTGTTGTGATGGATGGGAGGGGCGGGATTGGGATTGAGATGGAGATGGTCGTTGTGACTGTGGAGATGGTCGTTGTGATTGGGGAGATGGTCGTTGTGACTTGGGAGATGGTCGTTGTGACTGGGGAGATGGTCGCTGTGACTGGGGAGATGGTCGTTGAGGGGGATTGGGATGGAGATGTTCGTTGTGACTGTGACTGTGACTGTGGTTCTGCTTGTTGTGATGGATGGGAGGGATGGGACTGGGATTGGGATGGTCGTTGTGATGATGATGGTCGTTGTGGTTGTGGTTGTGAGTCTCGTAACGGACGAGAGGAGGGTGGGGAGGTGGGCTGGCGCTGCGATTTGATTTTGGTCAGGCACGGCCCCATGATTGATTGATTGAGTGATTGATTGAATGGACTGGTTGTTAGAAGAGTGGAAAGAGAGGATGAGTGATTGATGTAGTCAATGTCCGAAAGAGGTAGCCCTGATCAAATCTCCTTATACTTATACTTATATAAATTATATACATTGTACGATGGCCCAATTCACATACAGAGTCAGCGGTAATACCATGATAATATAATACGTCTTGGGTAGCAGGACGGTTTGACCAAGTCACACACATTACGGAACACTGTCTGGCGTAACCATGGTGAGGGTGGGCCGCATCGGAGGTCCTCCGGACCCTGTCAGGCCTTGGCGTCTGCACGTGACATGTCAAGTCTCAGTCACATGACACCAGAGAAAGTTACTCGTAACTAGAAAATCAATCAACTTTTGACTTTCCTTATTTCACACCCCGACCGGTCTAGACTTTGGAGGTAGATCTTCCATAGTCATAATTACCTTGTGGCCAACCAGATCTCCATGTCTCAATTCAAGATGCACTCGGTCAGCATTGGTATTGGCTCAAGCTAACTAACTTAGTACACGTTTCCTCACGCAAGGTGACAGGTATTGACACTCTATCGCTCCAACTTGGTGAAGGGTGCTTGTCTGGGTAGCTGACTCGGAACTTCCGAGCTGCTTGGATTGTCTCCATCGATCGTCCATGCTAATCTTGCCAATATAGGCATTGATGCTCACAGGCCTGGAAGACTAAGGACCGGCCAAATTAATCTACGCGGAAGATATACAGATGTTGTTTTTGGCAGATAAAATATATGTTAGCGGCCAATTATGGCCGCGTTCGATTTACGTCAGACAGGTCAAGGATGAGATGATTAAGCGCTCGCCAAGGTGGTAAGTATGATTGATTTCTGTTCAGAGAAAACTTGGTAGTCGAACAGCTCAATCTATCGTGAATTCAAAGGAATTGACAAAACCGGATCACTATCATAGGGCATTAAAGAACGCTTTGATAATGACGACAATTTCTCCAATTCTTACAGCTCTCCTGTAGAGCAAATTCAGACAGACAGAACAATACTGCTCTCCTCGGCTTCATCAAAACACATCTTCAGGCTAATCCCACGATTTCTGCATAACCCGAGCACCCTCAACCATGTTCGTACCAAGAACCTCGCTTTGGCGTGCAGCTATTGGCCCGTGAAGACTGTTCTTCCTCTTCTCTAATCCCTGCAACGCTTCCCGTACTAGAAGTTTTGGTACAGGCGAGATATGCTCCCCCGGTCTAATCCATGGCGCGCTGGATGATGATCTTTTTGGGCAAGTTGAGCTCGAAGTTCCTGTCTTCTCTTTCTTCTAGCTCGCGGCGAGACTTCTGCCGCGCTATAACTCAACCCAAACTGACCGACCTCAACTACCTCTTCTGGTTGGCCCTGATGCCCGCTTTATGTACGCCAAAATCAGGGCCCGGCTCAACTTCGACTCAGCCTTGATCAGGCTGCGCCTCCACCGCTCAGGCAGCTTCCTGATGAGCGCTACCCATCTATCCATCTGGAACAGACCACTGACTTGAATCACCGTCTTCACCCTCGACTTCCAACTCGTTCGATATAATCCTCGCGCGCGCACGTCGGAGATTCATTGTTCGCTCTGCCCTTTTTTCTCCATTTCCCATTTTCTTTTTCGATCAGAGTACGGAGTATTGAGGTACATACATGATCAAACGAGCATCATTGGCGTTCTTTTCTTTTATGGGGGGAGTTTTGCATGGATGGATGATAGACTTCTCACTGGCGAAAGCGACACGAAAGTATGTACGTGGTAAGAGATAAGTCCATGTTGCATTCGTGATGATAGTATGTGTTAAAATGACCTAGAGAATACACGGTACGATGGGTGCGGCCTGCTAAGTCAGCATCTGCAGAAAAACGCGATTCTGCATTTCTTGTTGTTTAATGTGAGAATTATTAGATCAGTCAATCAACAGGCATAGCCTCACCACCACCATCACCACCACTACCGAGATGCGCTTCCCAAATACTTGAAGCACCCTCGCATCTGGCGTCTAGACCTGATACCTGACAACCGCCACCCCAAGACTGATCAAGCACATCACTAACCCTCTCAACTGCCTTTCTGCCAATGAGTCCCGCAAAAATCCTCATCCGTTCCTCCTTTCCCATCTGCACGAATGCGCGGAGACCCCACAACAGAGCGCCACTACTGCATTCTCCTTGCTTCTGCTGATGTTCCTTTTGCTGGTGATCGTGATGATCTGCGCGCTTTTTGAGCATGCTTAATACCACCTGTGCTGCGTAGGGGTTCAGTCCCGCTTTCATGAGGAAGAGCTCCCACACGGTTTCGGAGGGGAGGAGGGTTGGACTAGGACCGCTGGCATTAGGTAGCGAATCTTTCGCGATGAGGGCGTATGTCCATTGGTAGAGTGGGAATGAAGTCGCTGAGGCTCGTTTGGAGGGGATACTTGGAACGGGAGGTTGGGAAGGTGCGTTTGGGATGAGTATTGGTTGTACGATACAGTCTGATTGAGGACGTGAGAGGGAAGCGCAGAATGAATTTAAGGTGGATATTTGAGAACAGGTCGTGGACGAGTCGAGGGAGGTGTCTAATGGTGGCATGGTAGTGAGAACGAAAAGCCGGTCGTACGAGTCAGAAAGACGATGAATGCGATGGAAGATTGGCGGGTGTGAAGATCCTTGTCCAGGCAGAGATCGCTGCATGGTTGCTTGAAGGGTTGTGAATATAGCGACGCTGGTGGGTGTGATTATCATGTCGGGCGATCCGGCCGTGCTATTTTCGTATTCTAGATCTCGATATATTATAACCAAAGGTGGATCAGGTCGATTCTCAAGGGCCTGTGTGAGGAGACGGTTGGAGTTCAGAAGGCCAGATCGGATAATGATACTCCGTGGTGAAGTGATCTTGAACACCAGAGGTACACTGAATGTAGCTACATTTGTAGGAGGCCCTTCTGTTGGTGTTGCAGGGACCTGAATATTTTCCACCATTTTCTTCTCCAAACCTGTAGTGGGTGTTGCCAGCGTCCCATCTGCCTTTGATGCTATATCCAAACGAGGTTTTTTGTATGCGTTGCGGGTATCCATGAACCCCGCGAGAGATCCGAAAGTTGAAGGAAACAGCTTAGCTTGAGGCACCGATAGCTGACAGGGTTGGGGTGTGTTGGTGGACTCTGCCGCATCTAGAGCCCCCGGTCTCTTGAGCATTGGATGAGACATCTGCACAGCTTCATCCCTCAAAGATGAGTCTATCTCCAACTGTTCTTCATCATCTTCTTCGTTGATGCTCAAAATCCGTAGCATATCAGGTCTCCATAGTAAATCCTCCGCTTTAGTAGTAAACGTAGGCTGGCATATCCACTTGTTGAGGTGTGGCGAAGGCTCAATGGGCTCATCGGTGGGAGGGTCTAGGTGACCGCTCGGGATCGGTGCCCACCTCATCTTCCGCTCTAATGCTTTGTCGAAGCTTCTACGTGTATCTTTTAGATGGCACTCTACCATCCCCTGCACCAACGCCCTTGGATGGATTTTGGTCATGGGCGCTTGGAACGTGACGTTATCCAGCTTTGGCACCTCAACCCGCGTGATGATATCTGCTGGTTCGAGTTTCTCCCCGGCCAGGTTTTTTTCGATTGCGTTTGCTGCTTCATGAGCCAATTTTGCAAAGAGCTCGTCCTGGAAAGGCTGATCAGTACCATTGCAGCTGAGGTCCTCCCATTCCATTAGTTCTGGCAATACGTCTTTATGTGCGGAAGCAAGCCTCGTTGACTGAGCACCTCGTTCTCCAAGAGCTTTGGGCGCTGTCAAGGGCTCGAGTTCAGGTGGTTCAAGCTTAAGAAGTTTTGAAGGCTGCGCTTTCCTGACCGGAGTTTGTCCAGGTATCTCAAGAGGAGGTAATTCATCGAATGCTGGACCATGTTCGGCAAAATGCAGGAGCTGTTCCACTTGACCAACGGCCGCTGGCATTGCGTTCTCAGACGTTATGCTCATCTGGTTCGAAATATCTTCATTCACCTTTTCCATCTGTTCGTCGTGACCATCTGGGACATCGGATATTAATTGCATGCGTAACGGGGATGATGAAGGAATGTAGGGCTCGTGATCAGCTTCGCAAGGTAGTAGTGGCGGAGATATTGGCTCGAGACGAGAACGCTGATAAACGTTAGGGCGAAGTATTTCTGCGCTGTCGACTTGCTTACCTTTGTACAAGTCATTCCTTCCTCCATGATAGCATCATGCATCTCAGGTGTATAGACAGGCCGGAGAGTATCTTGCAATGCTTTGAGAATCTCTCGAGTTGTCTGTAATTTTTCTTCTGCAAGCTTCTTATCCCACTCGGCCGCGAGGCCTGTTAGTGTAAGAGTATTATCGAGCTCTTCATCCTCGTGCTCAGCTGAGTCGATGCATTGCAGATTCAAAGATGCCTTGGGTAGTTTCCAAAAGCGCATCTTGTTCATATCATTATCATGGTCTGTTCTTAGGACTGGTTGTTCAATTTTCAAATTCTTCACCCGATGATGATCGGACAGAGTATCATGAGAGGGTAGCGCCTGCTGGGTCGTCATACATGATGCCAAAAGTGAGGCTGCTTTGCTGTCAAGCCCGAACTTGGTCTCGGTGGGGAGTTCGAAGCATGGCAACTTGAATTCTGGGAGGCTGGCATTTGCAATGGGCAGAAGTAGATTTGAAGGAAGATATCTGCCAATGTCCTGATGGAGGTGATTGTCAGCAAGCCCGTGAAAACGTGCATACTCAATTAGAGAAGGCTCTGCATCATCGACACCGGACATATTGCCGAATTCTAAAGATAGATAAGACAATAAAGATATGTAGAGCTCCACAATCGTGGGCAATGAGGAAAGATGTAGAGTAAATGATAGAAATTTATTAATGTGCTGGTGCCTTCCAGCCTGAGCTCGAACAATGCTTGCCAAGAACTTTTCTTCTGGTGTACTACAGTAGTTTGTTTGTAGTGGTGCATTGGTAGTCGATGCGAGCGAATGAGCGCGCGCGAGAAGAGAGGAAGGAGGACGTAGAGGTATAGGTTTAAATGATGTATATCAAGGTTAGCCTGGTTAATAGGGAGCATGGCTCGTTGGTGTGCACTTCAGCTAGATGAAAGAAAGACAGCCGAAGAGCGAAGAGCGTATGACTTGCATTGTTACATTCTATAGCTATTTGGCATTTAGCACCTCAGTGACTATGATTGGATATCCATATATCATACCTATTAACTGGGGAGGAATATCAGGGGGCATTGATATCATCGTCCTAAGACCTCCATCCACAGCATCAGGATTGATGGACATGGTTGCAAGGAAGTTGATGTACGTGGACGAGTGTGTAGGATGGTCTGTCATTTCTGGGCCTGGGATTAGCCTTACAGCTCCAAAGAAAGTGACGGGAATGCTTCATACTTACCGCAACATGACGACCTTGGCAGCCGCCTCGGTATGGAATGGGTTTCCGACTCAGGTTGGCCGCCATTCTTCCCTCTGGGCATTGGCTTCAAACTTTGCACAAAATCTGTTGGTGTACATAATGATCACCAAAGTACGAAAGGAATAGGGGTGGCAGCCTTGGTCTCGCGGTTGGTAGGGGAGTAGGATCGTAGAAAGTAGATTCGAGGCACATTTTTGGCTTGAGAAATGCTTCGTGTGGTCGCCGAGATATTCCACGCATTCCATGGGAAGTAGATCATTGCGGATGGGGTATCATAACGAGCAAGTCTCAGTTTTCGTCTCGTGAGCTGCTCACCAGGCCGTCTTGTGACTTGTTCGACCGCTGGCATCTGTTCTGCCTAGAAATAGCTCCTGTACACCATCCCTCGCGCTACCCACTTTGTCGGCCACTTCGTACAAGCTTCTCTCAAACTCACCAAAGACGTATCGAAGAAGGTTGACCGGATCATCTTCGCCTTGAAGGCCAGACGCCCTGCCATCTCTTCCCGTCACCTCACGTTGTTTCACTACAATCTTGTTCTCCACACTCATCACGAATTCCTCGATCTCGGTGAGCAGTGACTTATTTTCAGCGAGGGCTTTTCTCATCTCGTCAGTCTTCCGATCGAAGAAGTCAACTATATTGGTTGGTACCCCAGCTGGTGCGTCTTCATCCTCGTCACCTGGCAATTGCAAGCTTCTTGAACCGCCTGTGCCACTTCCTCCACGAATGCTGCGTTGCAGGGTTTGGGGATGATTCCACCAGCCTGACAAGCCATGGCCACCATAAACCCCGGAGACGGATGCCGCTGGGCCGGTCACTGAAGCTTGATATTGCGCAGGCATCTTGAGCCGGTCAACTTCTCTGAAGCAGACCTTGGCTTCATTCGCGTCTTTCTTCACGACGTTCTCTTTGAGATCTTGAATCTCCTCTGCGTCATTTTCTAGACCGGTTTCCACCTCCTCTAATTTCTGTGCAACGTAAGCGACGTCATTGGGAATATTAGAACCTGTAGCCGCAATCGCAGGAAGAAGATTGGATACTTCATTGCACCTGTTGATTTCATTCAGTATAGCGGTGTCGAGGTTGAGGATTTCTCTTTGGAGGTCTTCAGTAAGGTGATCAAATTTAGTAGTAGGGCGAAGATGCTCGAGATCGATTCTGGTGCCAGAGCTTGAAGCACCCAAAGTCGTCTGTTGGCCAAGGTTGAGCGTTGCTGCTGGCTGAGAGGCACCGCCCTGGTTGGATCCACCAAGAAGGCTACCCGCTTGTGGTGCTTGAGGTTTGCTGAAGAGACCTTGGCTTGGCTGGGAGGGCATGGCGCCGAACAGGCCACCTGCCTGTGAGGATTGGGAAGAATCCCCCCCAGAAAGACCGCCACTTGGTGCAGTCTGTGAGGAAGCAGTACCAAAGAGCCCTCCACCTTGTGTTGATTGTGAAGTTGATCCGAACAGACCACTACTTGGAGCAGTCTGCCCTGCAGCCGTTCCGAAGAGGCCGCCGCTGGAGGCTGGTTTTGATGCGGCGGCACCGAAAAGTCCACCATTCCAAACAGTCCTCCACTGGCTGGCTGTGATGATGTTGCTCCAAATAATGCAGTGCTGGCTGGCTGAGATGTTGTCGAGCCCAAGAGACCGCCACCAGCTGGTTGTGATGCTGTAGAACCAAACAAGCCTCCACTCTGGGCAGGCTGTGAGGTGGACCCTCCAAACAATCCTCCGCTCTGACCTGGCTGAGACGATGCGCTGCCAAACAATCCACCTTGCTGTTGTGATTGCGATGTAGTCGTAGAACCAAAACCTCCGAACAATGAGCCTGCAGCAGGTTGACTTGAAGCTGTGCCGGCTGGATTTGAAGCGCTATGTGTAATTTTGTCAGCTAATGCTCCCAGGTTCAGTGATATAAGTTTGCGTGTAGAATGCCCCAGAGATTGGACAAGTGCTCGGAGGGAGATTCAAGAATCTGCTTACTTCGCGGCCGACGTGCTGATACTCAAGCCTAAGCTTGGCTTGGACCCGCTGCCAAACATGTTTGCTGGTCTAAATAAGGATGTAAGGGGTTTTTGATTAAGGGCAATGTTCGACAACCCGCAGTGGAACGCGTGCAACTTTCGACGGAGCGCGCCAAGGAGAAAGGAGGTGATGTAAATCTTGGCATTCAGTACTGTACAACTTGAACTTGAAGTTACCGGGAGAAGCGCTCTAAAAATGACGAGGTATTGGTACTTAGTAATTTAAACAGACGTATATTATTTTAATGATAGTCAGGAGGCTCAAATGACCTATATTCAGTCATAGTTTGATCGTTATTTTCCTAAAATGACGTCTGAAATAACATAATTGTTTTGGATTTCAGATGTTCAACTGCATAACTCTATGTAACCTAGATCATATCACGATTAGGCCGAAACTAAGCACACATTGATGGTAATTTAGGCATAGTTTCAAGGGCCTTCTCCTGCTGAGCACTGGTAGAGTAACGAACATTCTGTCCCCGGCCCAGCCTGACGCTGTTTTCCATTCTTGTTGGTGTATTGGCAGCCTTTCTATAATCTACGGAGCTCAAGCTAATCGAGTTATAAGATGGACATCAAGTGCAGTTGCCCTTATCTATGTGCATCTGCAATTGACCCCTGTTCCATAGTATAACTGTTCACGTTGTCTGATGAGGAGGAACAGGGCAGATTGAAATACCACGTTCCCAGAAGCTGAAGCCAATATTCAACGGAAAGGAACATACCAGCGGAACGAAAATCTCAACATTGTTCAAAATGGTGGAAAGCCGGCTCCAGATGAAGTCAACATAGTCGCCACATCTAGCTGCAATCCCAACAGCCTCGACCGCACGGCTAACAGCAGAAAATTCAAGCAGGGGACTGCGTCTGGCTCGTATGAAAGCACTCAAAGATTCTAATGAATGTAGAGTAGACCTCAAAATCCAAACATACTACCAACAGCGACAACACTACTCTGTCATCATTCAGCAATCGCGCGAATCACCCACTGTCCCCGACTCAATATACTGCTGCCGCCTGTTTATGCGCCTCTTTTGCCTTCTCCTACGGCTCCTGGACCTGTTCGTCCCCAGGGCTCCCAGAACGAAGTCAAGCACATCCCTTACACCGTCCACGATAAAATCGCGCAGCTTCTCACTGAATGCGACGACCAGAGCAAAGAGTGCAATGGCTATCGAGATTGGGAATATGATGGCCGCAATTTGGTAGAGAGGCAGGCTACTCGCACCCGGGTCCCTGACGTTCATGCCGAACCAAGTGGCTAGGAATGACATTGGGAGGAAGATGATTGTCACGACGGTGAGTAGGAGGACTGTGCGCCCATACCGAGCAGACTCCTGGGCCTGAGGATGTTATTCGTTAGCGGGATCGCATGTTTTGGGTGGGGTGTCCGCCAGTGATATGTGTCTTCATTGGAAATTAGGAGACTTGCCTGGTGTCGAGAAGACCGTGTTTCTGAAAGGTTGGCTTGCTTTTGCTTGACATCCATTTGAGTTTGAATTTCGTCGTAGGCCACGTGGGCAGTTTTTGCAATGCTCGCCCACGTGTCTCTACGCTCCTTCACCATCTCGCCAATAGTTTTGAGACTTCGGCTGTTTTGCGACCGGAGCAGTGATGCGACAACATCTTGTTGCCGGTGCAGGATGTAATCGACGCAGCTGAGTTCGTCAATGATGTCCTTGATGTCTTGTACTAGGGACGTCTCGACACTGATGGAGAAGGCTGCGTCTTCGAGTTTGCCAGCCGTTTCCGCCAGGGAAGCTTCCTGGTCTTCTAGATCTTTCAATTCTCTGGACTTCAAGCAAAAGTTGTTAAATGCCAACTTTTGACTATTCCTCTGGCGGTTCGATCTTAGCTAGGTGCTGAGGAAGATGTGTTAGATAGACTTACGACAGTCCCAATAGCTGCCGCGAAGAACTCGACAAACCATTTGTCCTGCTCCAGCTGTCGCTGAAAGAAAATACCTGTGCAATGCTCCAAGATCGCCGCCACAAGATTGTTTGCCGTTCTCAAAGGTGGCTGCAGCCCCCTTTCTAAATGCTCAATGATGCTATTATAAACATTTGCGGAATCATAAGCACCGTTGAACCTATCGGGGAAGGCTGTGACGACGAGATCCGGCTGCGATCCTTCTTCGCTGACCCCCGTGCCTTTGATCACCCACAGCCACAATTGATCGACGACCATCATTTTGACCGAGTCCGGATGCGTCTGCGAAGTGAAACTCTGCATGACTTGCTTGTATTGTGGCAGTGATCTAGTCATACCAAAATCATGATAGTAAGCCTGATGAAGAGACCGTCGGTCATGGAATGGAGCTGTTCCATGGTGTAGATATTCCGCGACAAAGTCTCTGTCTGGCTGTGGTTTCCCAGGCTTGTTTGCTGAAATGGATCGTGTCAAATCCTCCCTTTCTGTCCACGCGTCATAGGATTCCCAATGTAGGAACGGTAGGTATAGGACGATATTATCTCTACTCCCTCCAGTCGAGCCATTTGTATCCGACATTTCGTCTTCCAAATTGGAGGAGAACTGAATACAGGTGGGCCCCATGAATCGAGTTTGGATCTGATCAGATGCTTTTCCGTGAAACAAGTCGGCCCAGAGATCCTTTCGAAGGAGCGGATTCTTCTTTGGCGAGTTCTCTGAACTCTCGGGTATAGCTATACCTCGTTCTTCACATACTCTTGCCATTAGTTCTTCAATCCAGCTCATGCAATTTGCCCTCAAGTGAACCCATCGAAGGCTCACTTTATGCTGCTTCGCCCCGTTCATGATTTGCGCAGGCCCTCGACGCGTCAGGTCCTTGACTGAAGGTCTCTGGAAGGTAAGACCCTCTCTGGGTTTGGCAGTCTGAACGTCAATGTCGACAATCGTGGCATGCTTGATTGTAGTATCATCAGGTTTGCAGGCATCATTGCTTCCCACAGTTGTACTCTCTGTACCTGTTAAGACGGATAGAGAGAGCCCACTTGACCGTCGACCTTGACGATCGACCAATGCCATAACTCGGCCGGAGCCTCGTAAGGTCGTTATTAATATTGCAAAGAAGAACAGAAATCAAGAACAACACATACGGAATTTAGCAATGATTTAGTGTACAGAAGCAGGCGCGAATAGCTCTAAATATGATGTGAATCCATAGAGCCAAGAAACGAAAGTACTTTCTGAACCTGTCCTATATGTCGTATCCTCGACCGTAAGAGCGGGACTAATGGCTGCCTGAACGTGTCTCCACAGGGCTGACTCGGAATCGGCCCCCGTCTCCCTACCTCGGAACAGGATTCTGATCTATAAAGGCAGCCAGACAAGATCGACACTGATGAGTCAGTGAAAGCTGAGCTGGACAGTGGCGCAGCAGATGGCAGGCTTCAGGAGCCATCGAGTATTCGGGCGACCACCCAATGTCATATTTATCAGGTGTAAGGACAATCAAAATGGTAAGGGTAGTTTGGAGCCTCGCCATGCTGTACCTGTGACGTTTGGTTCTGGCCGTTCCAAAAGCGTTGCAAGTTGTCAAACGCGAATTCTGCACTCGCTGCCCCGTGGGCCCAAAAGCGTTTCTGCCTGCATTTGGACTAGCCTGTTGTGCATCAGCCAATGGCGAAGTAGAAGGGTCTGAGTTGGAGATATTCCCCGCGTGTGCGGTACATACTGGTTCTCTGAGGAAGCTCCTCTGCCATTTCAAGCCCAATGGAGAGTGAGCTCAAGGTAGATTTTCCTGATCCTAACATGAAATTGGACCGCAGAGTACGTACTCCGTAACCTCAGTCTTCAAAACCCTCTAGAAAGTTGCTGTGCAGGTAACATCGACTCATTGTCCTTAAATATATCAAGCTAGAAACTCCAGCAGCATAATTCAGATGTCAAGGCGAATGGAGGCAGATCTACGATTGAAACGTCCCAAGCTGCTAGCATTCAATTCAGCTCTCAACAACACCAAACAGGAGGCATCAGCACAGATACTGCGAAGCAATGGTCGCAACTATTGTGCGAACAACTACTTCAAAAGTGCCCAGTGGTAGTAATCTCTGCACAGTACATAGCGTGTCAATCACTCATGCTCTGCAGGACCCCTGATGGTACATCTATCATCACTAACTCGGCCGATAATTGTGTTCGAACCTTTATAGTGTGGGGCTTTCTTGATCGAATTCTGTTGCGTGCTGATCGAATGAAAAGGCAGGCCACCAGATCTACTCGAGGATAGGAAGCAGGAACTTCCGTTGGACTCCTACTCCGATATACGCTTCGTAGAGGCTGTAAAGGCCTTTACGACATACCCTCTCTTCGATCTGCAGGACACAACAACAAGTCTACTTCTATGCTCCATTCCAGACCACCCCATTCGGCTGCATTCAGCACTCTCTAGCGAGCTGATTGCATCTTATCCGTTTGTGAACACCACCACGGAGGCCTATATTGCTCCTCACTCCTTGCTCTTTACTGGCCATGGACGAAATTTCATCGCTGGCTCGAGCAATCTTGTTGCCACATTTGATGTTACCCGACCCGGTCACGGGCCTTCTAGCCTGTTTGTGACAGCAGCCAGCCGTAGATCGAGAAAGCTAAATGGTTCGATTGGCTTGAGAGGTATAGTTTCTGCGCTTTCTATAGATCCGGCTTCGAAGGTTCTGGCAGCAGGTACCTTTTCACGCCATGTCGGCTTATATGATGCTGCCGGAGAGGGAGAATCTCTTGGTGTGTTCAAACTTGAAGGAAACGAGGCCGATGGCAGAATTAGCGGGAGAGGTATCACACAACTGATATGGAGTCCCTGTGGTCGATACCTGTACATCGTTGAGAGACAGAGTCACGGCATTATGGTTTACGACATCCGCAAATCCGGGCAGCTACTAAGTTGGACTGAGGGCAGGATGGCTGAGACCAATCAGAGACTACAAGTCGATCTTTTCAATTCTCCAAACGCTAGTGGTGATCTTGAGTTGTGGGCGGGCGGAGTTGACGGCAATATTCGTGTGTGGAGGAACACTCATTGTCAAGAGGGAGGACAGCAACCAGATCTAGACTGGCATCTTCACGATGGTAAGAAGTCACAACATGATGCAACAAATTAAGAACCATGGCTGACAAGGCAATTAGACGCAGTCTCTAGCACAACCGTCCACCCTTCCGGCACTGTGGTTGCAAGCTGTTCCGGACAGCGGCACTTCAAGATGGATCAGCAGGATTCTAGCGACTCTGACGAGAGAAGCGACGATGGTACTGATGTGGTTATTAAAAAGACTTTTGACAACAGTCTGAAGCTTTGGACAATATGAGCATCCTTTCTCCTCGCAAGCCCGGCTCTGACACCTGGCTGTCTATTAAAAATGCAATAATCATAATGGGTCGGGCTGGGACGGTTCTTCTATTTCCCAAGCTGCATTTTGGATTACCAGTGGATACATTTTGATACCCAGAATTATCTAGAAGATCTCAACCCGACGTGAGGAAGGTGTCAAGGTAGCGGCAAGGATAGCGGCAGTCGACTGGCAGTAAGATCTTTAGGAAATGTGAAAGCTGTAATTGATATAAGCAGGTTGGGTTCATGTCTTTTGGTTTCGCGAGTCCCAAGTCGTGGATGTGTGGAGGACAGGAGCTAAATTGTGATGCTGACAGACAATACCAACGACATCTGGCCGGATAGTATAGACCTGGCATGATTTTTTTTCGCGCATTAACCAGGAATCAATGATGCCTTTGCAAAGTCATGCAGGGAACAAGTGCTCGTCTGTGCTTCATGTTATACACTACCTTACAGCTCATGTCCTTGGCTGGTCCTCTCATATCTTTTAGAAATTGCATGCGGCGAGTGGTCAAGTGTCTGCAGCAATGATGATCGGAACAATTCAATATCAAATGACGATATGCTTTTGTGTGACCTTCTGCGGAGAGGGCGTAGAAAGCAAGTTGTTCTATCTAGTTGGGGGGGGGGGCAGCATGCGTAGATATTCGCACAAATTCGCCGTACGGTACTCCGTACAGCGAAATTAGAAGCGAAATTGCGATAGAAATTGACCAACCAAAAGCGGGCGTAACTCAGGGATTACGCGTAGAAAAATTGGCCAATGAGCGCTCATACGGTCTGACATCTGCTTCTGACAAGATTGCCCTTTTGGGCCTAGTGTGGCACCCCTTGTAATCTTGTGGTCTGTGCGTGTAATCTTTGCTAACGTCGCTTCGTCTTTGGTGGCAGGCATCAGCCATAAACCATACTCCGTAAACCTTTGCAAAATGGGATCCCAAAATGCATGTATCCTCTGATTTACGATCTGAGCCCCAGCTTCAAGCTTGTTTCTGCCATACTAGACCCTCCATACCTCCAGGTGGTGGCATCAACGCGCTTGGCTGCTTGTCCTGATGGCTGCAACAGCTGCGGTTGGCCATTTTGCGGCCCTTTATCGAAGAGTAAAACGTGCCCGAGGCTGAAGAAAGCTCAGAAGAGGCCTATGAATGAACTGGTTGTCGATGCTTCATGTGATCTGCCACCTATTGAATAGCGATGAAAGGTCTAGTAGGCCTGAGGTTATTATGCAACCAAGACCACTTCCAATTCTGATAACCTAGCTTCCATGGACGCGCAAACGCTGGAGTTAGGGCGGAGAGCCAGAAGTGCCTGCTGGGAAACTTCTTTAGGTCGCCATACTGCCCATTCCTGGCTTGCCTGGTGGTTTAGCTGTTCTTAGGTGAAGGAGCTGATTGGGTTATCATGCATGTCCTGAGAGCGCGTCTATGCAGCGACTGGTGAGATATAGCAGTACCGAAAGCTTCGCTGGCGCCCAACCGCCCTCGCCATTTGAACCAGTCTCTCTGCCGAGCTTGAGTGACGGTTTGAACACTCCAGCAGCATCACCATATGTTTTCAAAGCCCAGTTCGAAGGTGAGGCGGATCGCTATGCTGTTTGAGACCAGAAGCCGCTCTTTCAGCGTATCAAAAGGCATAAAACCTAACCTTCCTTTCAGTCGAGGAACCGTGGTGGCTTGTGACGATCAGAGCATGTGAACCATACCAGTCTTGCTACTGAATTTGTTCTCGGGGACCTCATGCCCTCCGTTAACCAATCAGCCAGTTGTTGAATCTTCAGCAGACCTGTTCCCGGCTTTCGTCATACACCTGGGAATTGAGTTCGTTGTGGGACTGAAGTCTTCCTCGATGCAATGATTTTTGTTCGGTGTTGAGAAGTTTCTATGCTTTACACAAAAAGGATGGGTTGCAGTGCTGGAAGAGTCGTGATGGTCATTCAATTCCGTATTCAAAATCCATGCACTGAGCACGATTTCCTGTTCCAGATGGTTGATCAATTGGTTCTGGCACCCAGTGCAGACAAAGTCGCATGATCGTCCTCCCTCGAAGCCGCCTCTCAACTTTCTGTTGTAACAAAACGCTTCGGTAAGTTCTCTACCGTGAAGCACATAGTTACTGTATTCTTCCTCGAAATACCGTTAGCTCTCCACCTTCTAACATAGTATTCCGTTGGAAAGCAGACAGTAGGCTTCTACCCTCGAACGACAGAGCGTGTGGTTACAAACCATGTCGCCGACCGAACACTACCTGACGTTCGTGAGGGCGAGGCCTTGGCATAAGCTGGTTCTTCTATATCCGAGATGGAAGCAAACACGGCGTGGTGCATTCACTGGTTGGTGATATAAGGAGGTTGTCTTTAGAGCGTCATTTGTTCAACGCTATCGAAGTCGATGTTGATTCACTGCAACCTCCATAGACCTCTGCGTTGAAATAGGCTTTTGAAGGAGAACGATTTCGTCGCTTTACCGAATGTTCTTTTCTGCTATGGCAAATATCAAGCCTCTGTCGTCGGCACATCGTCTGACCAACCTCTGAGTCTTGGATCTTCCAGATCCATGTTGCTTTTTCGAGCACTAATTTCGGCTTGAGGGGGACTTGTACTCATGTGGTGTCAATGTTGCAAATCGCTTCCTTGTCGACCATCGAGTGTGTCTTCGAAAACGATAGCTTCGTCTTTGAAAAGACCAGAAGAGCTTTCTCATCTGATCAAGGCACCACGACAAGTCATCATAACGGTTGGTGAATATTGTTATTGTGCTCACCACGTCGCCTCGTCCTCCTCAAAGCAGGCTCAGGCCTCGAACCAAGCCTCAGATATGATTGCTCTCGATTGGCACGTCCCTTAGGTAGCCATATATCATATCATGTTTGGATGCGCATATCCCTCAGATCAATCCAAGGAGATGGGCCGAGCATCATGTCCTCACTGGCTGATTTCTCAACTTGATCGATGATCGCGCTATACTTTGCGCTGACTTGACTGCCAGATCTCCATCACAATATAAGATCAAGCGCGCTCTCATCGATCACCCGAGCTTGACGATATGGACAGTATGTATTCGTAATCGAGCATGCCACCGAAGGGAGCATATATCCAACCTCTTCCCTTTCCTCACCTTGCAGCAAGGCAGTGAAGATGCCAGCAAGGTAGGGAACAATACCATAACCGCTCTCCGTTTGTCATAAGAGCAGATATTAAGCTTCTCCTTCAAAGGATGATGCAGCATTGCCAAGCTTGCATCTGGCAAAGACCAACCTTCTGCCAGGAAGACACCATCAACTGTGGTGCAGCAGAGAAAGAGACTACACTCTCTCAGCCGCTGTGAGGAACGAGAGGGAGTAGCACACTCCCATGCCAGCAGCTCAAGCACGGGAAATGACCTTGATGACGCAGTTTACAGAAGCGGTATCGGCGCCGTGCCCGGTCCGTGCAAGGCCATTCCAGGCACAGTCGTCGACAAGGTGCTCGCCACCAACAACATGATATATATGAATCACGTTTTTTCCACCGCCCAAGGCCACTTATTCATGCTGGCCAAACCCCACAATTGTCTAACTCGTCTCGGCGCTCTACCCAATCACAAACTCTAACCCCGTCTATTCTACTAATGTTCACACCTTTAGCACGACAATAGACTATTCTGACGCCTTTGTTCCCCCTGTCACCTCCTCCCCTTCCACAGGCTCGTCTTTTAACATTCAAAAGGGCTGTGGTCTTTATTGTCCAAGCACGATACATATCATTCACAAATCCACGGACATCGACGGCATACAACCATTGAATCACCAGGCAGCGTCTTCCTTCAATACCCTCCTACCCCACCATCTTCTGCACCCCGAAATTCGTGCTCCCGAATCATCTTACATATGTCTTGCTCGTCCTCGACTTCCTTACCAAACATTCATACCCTGTGAAGACATGTCTTGGCCTCTAACCATGAGCGACAGTGGGTTAGATGACGTTGCTGACCTACCTACCGAAGGCTTTGCTGGCATTCCTTCGACCATGTCACAGAGCGGATTACCACACCTTGCATATGACAATTCTGGTCACTACCCTCCAACCATGTCTGGGAATGAGCTACTCGACTTCGAGGACGGAGGATATGTTGACGGTGAAGCATCAGCTCCGAATTCTTTGGCTTACTGGAAGGCATCTCTGCACCCCGCGGAAGGCGAGGAAGGCTTTACACCATACCTTAATCAGCAGGAGTTCGACAAGGCGGAAGATATCCTTGACGAGGACAACGATGATGTCGATGATGAGCTGATCTTCAGCAGCTTTCAGGAAGCTACAAGCTGGCGTAGCCGTACCAGAAGTGTGAACCCCCAATCTTCTGCTGATCCAACAATTCCCCGTACCTTGAAGCACAAGAAGGCGGCTGTCAAGCTCGTGTTCAAGGCCTACAAATCTACCGCTCTTGCTACCGATAATCCTGGCATGCTTAAGGCGTTCCAAGAGCAGAAGCACGATAATCGTCAGGTCGAGACTATCTGCTGGTCCATTGTGGAAGGTTGTATCGACCGCTGCGATCGAGGTCCGCTGCTAAACGCATATGAGCCAGACAAGGCCAAGAACAACCCGTCCATCAGAACTTTTGCCGACCGTCTGGATGCAATCGTGGGATCTTTGAGTCACCAGAAGACGATTTGCAAGCACCTCCTTGACGCGCCATATCTCAACCGCTTCATCGACGATCCTATTGGCTCGAAACAGCGAGTTGAATCTAACAGAAAGCTCAATAGGAAGAAAGGCGGTGTCATGGATGTTGGCAAAAAGGCGTTGGGCTTGACGGGAAGAAAGGGCAGACCTCGTGCCTCTGATGCAGGGAGTGATGACGAAGCAGAGGAGTACAAGTCTGAAAGCCAGGAATTCCGTGGTGAATCATCTGGCATATCATCACCCTTTAAGACGCCAGATCAGTCAATCCTTGCAGCGAACAGCACCGGCGGTCCTCCTTCTGTTGGTCTCAACCCGCTGTACTCTGCCGAGCGATTTAATAGCGAGACCCCTACTCCATCTAATCGACGACGAGCCGGCACTACCACCTCGCAAACCTCACTACGAACCCGAGCCCACCGATCTCTGTCTACTCAGAAATTTGGTGTTCCAGGAGACATGAGTCCGAACATGGGTCAAGGAATGGAGTTGGGTTCGATGAGCACGCTGCCAGGTCCGATGATGGATCCGAATATGCCTGTCTATTCCGCTCAGCTTCCCTACGGTATTGAGGCTTCCAACGGATATCAATCTTCATACAATATGGCCAATACCTTTACTGCGATGAATTCGTTCGGGAACGCTAGCGTAAGGTTACCGATCTTCTGTGGCATATATCAACTAACTTTGACGAACAGAACTTCCACGCTACGCGCATGAACAATGGTTACGATACAGATCTTCTCAGCGGACCGACCTCTGCTCCACGCCAAGTTCCCGGACACTTCCAGCAGACCGAGATCGACTACGTTCCTGAAGCCAGCGGAGGCAGCAACGACAGTAATGATTCCGATGATGAGTATCGTCCCGGTCCTAGCCGCAAACGCCGTCGCCAGCATTAGCCGCTCTCGCGCGTGTGTAATTGACCTTGACGAGTCAGAGGACATGTCTCTTGACATTGACGATCACGATGTAACGACATGACGAAGTCTGGTTACATCAGCAACTCGAATGATACCCCCAAAGAAGCGACTATGACTACCGAGCAAAGATTTCCCTTTCTGCACCAAGCCGTGCCCCCTTTCGCTCCCGGCCCGGCAGATCCCCAGTTCAACCCCCCTTTCCCCAGCGCCAACACGACACGATACCCCTGTATAATTATTCAGCATCGACACTACCACACCACGAGTTCCAATTGTCCACCACGAACTCTGCAGAACTTTCATTTGTACAGCATCACCATCACCTGGCGACCTAGACCTCGTCCCCGACGGACAAAATTCTCGATTCTACAACCATGATACCAGAGCTTCTTGGATACGGAAGCCCGGATCTGCTAAATTCAGGGATCTTTGCCGGTCATTTGGATACGACAGTCGTGAGGGCAAGGTGGATGACTGACTGATCGACGACGATGAAAGTCATGTGTTTCCTTTATTTTCCTTTTCTCAACTCAACGAGCCTCAAGTCCAGAATCGACGGACCGGCTGCTACTGCCACAGCTAGTTTTAACTCGCCGGGCTATTCTTTGGAACCCGAGCTGCGTTGGGCTGGGCTGGAGTGCTGGCTTCGCGATGAGCGACGACAATGATTTGGCTGCGGATTCAGTTTATTCTAAGATAGACAATCCATTTCCCCCATCCCAAAGTGACTCCCTTTAAATCGTGTTCTTCGGTGCTGGTGCTGTGCGCATTCCATTTGAAAAGTTGATATCAAGATTCGTTGGATCGACAACATAGGGGTTTCGGTTCCTCAATTCAGTTCGGACTCGACTCGACAGGGCTCTTAAATATCAAGCCAGGAAAACCAAGCAGAGCATCAATCAGTCAATCAGTCATTCACGCGGACTGGGTTTGGCTGTAAGCTTTGTTTTACTTCCCAGGCGCCCTATCTATCTGCCTTCCGCCACGCATTCATCCGTAATCGTAATCGTAATCATAATCTCCTCCCCCCTCCCACTCTCCCACCACCACCTCTACCATCACAACATCCAGGTGCAAAACTACTTGGCACCCTGCTCGAAATTCATGCTGTAGCCGCCCGTCTTCTCATCCTTGACCATCTTAAAATTATCCGTGCTCAAGCCAAAGGGGCTCAAGATCTTATTGCCCAGATCCTTGAGGTTGCCTAGCATCTCGCCCATCTCCTTGTCCTTGGCTTTGTCGATCTCAGCGGGTAGCCGGGCCAGGGCATCGCGGACGGTTCGGAGATCTTGGGAGGCAATGTTCTGGGTATGGAGTGATGATTTAGTGGTGGTGGTGGCGGCGGTGTGCAAGGATTGAAGCAAAGTGTAGTCTTCCTGTGCGCCGGTGAGGGAGGACCAGGTGGCTAGACGATGGCGGGCTCGGGCGCGGCGGAGGAGCGATTTTATCCTGATGCGGCGGATGTCGGCGAGGCGGGCGTCGGAGTTGGTGAGGCGGTGGAGAGCGGCGGCTTCGTCTTCGTCCGGTGGGATCTCCACCACGGTGTCGTCGCTGCTGCTGGTTTCTTTGCCGAGGCTGCGCGTGGGTTTGGCTGTGCCGTTCTGCTTTTCCTCCTGCTGCTGCTGCTGCTGCTTGTCACCCCTGCTCTGCTCGGGTAGCGGGTCAAGTCGCTCGAGATTCTCCAACGCTTCGGTGGCGCTGTCTATTGTGTTTTTCCAGTGTTCCAGGTAGAGGTGGCAGGCGGCGATGTTGCACTTCAGCACGGCGAGCTCGTAGTCCAGGTAGTTGGGGCAGGAGGATAGGGCGCGGTCGTAGGTGGAGATGGCTTGCGCGTAGTCTCTCTGCGCGAAGAGGGTGTTGGCTTCGGCTTTGGTGGCGTTGGATTCGGCCAGGAGGGTCGCTTCGTCTTCGGGCGAGAAATGCGTAGCTGCGTCGTGGAAGGTCTCTTGGTCATCGTCCGAGTCTGAGGGAGGTGAGGTGGGAGCTTTCTCGAGACTTGGTGCGGGTTTGGGCGAGGACATGACGAAGGGTGCAAAGCAGTCCCCTCGACCTGAGTACCGATCTGAGGGCTTGCTGGGCTGATGGCAAGGAAGACAAGATCGGGTCTGAGAGTTAGAACAGACAGATTGCTACTTCGTGGCTAGGTAGCTGAAAGTATAAAAAGTTGTCGCTTCACCTTCCTCTTGCAGATTAGAGTTCGGAGATGTTGGAGCACTTCTTCCAACACAAGGATGCCATATCTCTATAAACAGAAATTGCAATCTGTGTTGACATCTACAGAAATGGGCAGCTCTAAGACCGAGTACGTGGCTAGATATATGACTACCCTACATACCTGCGTTCCTACTGATGGCTGACCTCATCTCCCAGCTTCCCACCGATCCGTGCATGCATCTTCGACGTTGACGGCCTCCTGATCGACTCTGAGGACGCTTATACCGCCGTCACAAACACCATCCTTCGGGAGAACAATCGTCCGGACCTGCCTTGGAAAATCAAAGCCCAGCTTCAAGGAAGACCCGGTCCTGAAGCCGGACGTATCTTTCACGAGTGGGCAAAGCTGCCCATCTCATATGAAAAATTTGTGGCTCGGAACACAGAACTCCAGGCTGAAGCCTTCAGACATTGCAAACCGTTGCCGGGAGTCGAAGATTTGCTGAGGAAATTGCAAAATGCCAGGCCAAAGGTTCACATGGCTCTTGCAACAAGCAGCATCGGGAAGAATTTTGAGATCAAGACCGGGTCGATGAAGGAAATGTTTTCTGTGTTCGCCGAGGATCAGATCGTGACAGGTGATGATGACAGAGTACCGAAGGGTAGAGGCAAGCCGTTGCCAGATATATATCTGGTGGCCCTGCAGACAATTAATGAGCACATCAGGAGGACGAGCCCGGAAGAATCGGAAGTACAACCTGAAGAGTGTATCGTCTTCGAGGATAGTGTGCCTGGGGTAGAAGCCGGAAGGAGGGCAGGAATGAGAGTGGTATGGTGTCCAAATCCGGGTCTTCTGAACGAATACCAAGGGCGAGAAAAGGAAGTGTTAGCAGGCAAGACGGGGGAACATAAAGAAGAGGAAATAGAAAGACACGGGACAAGCACCATAAAGGGCAGTCCCGGCCATGTGGGTGAGATTGATGACGGGTGGGCGGAAATGTTACAGACATTAGAAGAATTCAGATATGAGAGGTACAAAATAGAAGTATAGAGCTAGAGAGTTAACCGAAATGATGGTGGATAGATATATACGGTGGATCCATCACGTAGCCTCCTATTCTGCAGACCGGAGCAATGGTGTCTGCTCAGAAGAATCATTGCTCTGCGCATTCCCATTGGCGTGATCTGCAGACTTTTGACTCGCATCATCCTCTTCAGCTTTTCGCCGTGTTCTGTCTTTCAGCTTGAAGTAGAGGCCCATGATGAGAAGAGTGCCTTGGAAGCAGCCAGTAACGACATAGACGCCCCAGGTGCTCCAGCCCTCCGGGCCCAGTCGTGCTGCTAAGCTCCCAGCCCAGAGGAAACCTCCAGGTGTCTGAATGCACATCATGGGTATACTCAAACTAGCCACCTTTTTCAGCTTGAACGTCGTGTAGATCTGGGGCAGATACTGTATCAAGGCGAGTACGGCAGAGACGATGCCCAGGATATTTGCCCATACTTGAAGGACTTCAGGGTGAACGAAGATGAGGTAGAGCGAGAGGCCGGCAGTGATGATGGCATGGACAACGCATGCGATTGTCACAGCCAGTGCCGTGCGTGGCGAAGGTGCGTCGGCGTCTTTTGAAGGAGCTAGGATGGAGGATTTGCTTCGGGGGAAATAGACGAAGAAGAGTACGAGGCTGATAGAGAGGTTAGCCGTGGTGGCAAACTAGAGTAGGCTTCCAAACATGACGGTAAAGCATGCCCATTGCACCCCAATCTGTGCGATGCCGAGCAAATCGGCAACACACGCAAACCGGCTGATCTCCTTGCAGCATGCAGCATCCGCTCGACTCCTGGGAAGGACTAGTATATTTGCGAGCTGGCAGGTTGCTGATATGGTGCCTAGCAGGACGAAGTAGGGCGAGAGGCCCAGTGAGGAACGGCGGCGAATGATGCGATAGTGCTGTGGCAGATATGACACAAGAATGCCTAGAAAGATGAAGCTAGAAAAAAGTGTGTTAACGAGGCACTGTGTAGGCGCTGAAGCGTTCCTACAGGGACACAGCGAAGTTTGTGATGCTCGGAGAGGCGAGTCTCTCGCAAAAGGCTGAAGGACGATCCATCAGAGGACTTCGGGCGTGCTGTTTCCTATCTACAACCGATGTCGGCGACTGTTGTAGCGAAACGAAGAAGTCGATGGATTAAAGGATTTTCTGTTCGAGAAAGGAGATGTGATGTCGGTTTCGTAGTGTGAGTTACACCAACGCTTGGAACCAGGGCGCCTACGTAGTACTGTAGTACATGCACTACGTAGATGTGCATAACCCTGATTTTTCGCCGTGTCCAACCGGGTACAATACGTACTACGCTACCAAGCAGAAGTACTCATAGCCCGGCGCTAGTTTTGGTAGCCTGATACAGATTGCTTTCACAACCACTAAGCTAAAGAGTCAATAGCGGTTTTGACACGGCGTATCTGTATGGTCAAAAAGGAGATAAGCTTCCCCCAAAGTGGGGGCTGTAATTGTGGGGCTCGAAATGAAAACTAGCTCCTACTAACACCAAGCTATGAGTACTTCTGCCGCCTACTCCGTACCGTAGTAACATGTAAATCTACCACATCAACAATGGAGCAAATCTCTCAGTATCTATACGTTAGGCGACTTGGACATGTACTATAGGATCATTTATAAACTCCTCGCTAAGATATGACTCTCAACATGCGCGGCCTTTCCGATTTGGCCAACTCAGCCATAGTGGTAGCATTACTAGGGGCCACAACGCCAACCTTTAATGCTTTCTCTACTTTAGCGAACGAGTTGATCACCTTTGGATCGTGCTGCTTAGACCTTGCTGCCAAGTAGGCCTCTTGCTAGAGCTTCAGATCTGCTTCTGATGCTATCTGCTCCTTCTCAACCACTGGAGTCAATCTGGAAGATATAAGCAAGCATTTTAATGAACGGAAGTACGGCACTTACGTGATTGAATCCAACCACCATTTGAATGGACTGCCTCTCTTGAAGATTCCTTTGTCGTGCCAATGTCGAATGGATACTTCAACTGCCTGGCCCTCCAAGATCTTCACGGTGCCCGACGCAAGAATTGTCTCTTCATTCTCGGTGCCTTTCTTTACCTCCTGTTCGACAATCTTGTCCGGCAACCTCTGAAGGCAGGGGTTGACTCCCTTGCCAGCCGACACAGCCCCCCGATCAATAGTCTGCGTTCCAACTGCTAAGGAGCCGATCCAAGTCACGCCGGCCTTGATCATTGAATAATTGCTCTTGCCAAGTTTATCCTTATTAATAGTTGCAGGGTTCACATATGTGCGGACGCCAACCGACACGTAATAAGTGCCTGGCTGCGCATTTAACACAAAGCGCACAGTCAGGTTTCCAGTGCTTGAGGGCGCAAAGCTGTGATCTGAATACAACCATTCCCTTCCAAGCATCTCTTTCGGTCCGAAATGCAGTCTAGCTCCATGTCTTCGTTCCCAGAGAAACTTATCGAACTGAAGTGATGATGTCGCCTTCCAGTGGTAAAGATAATGGTCAGCTTGATGAGGATCCTGGGGGTTTGCCAAAACATCCCTGATACAAGCTTCGCAGATTGGTCTGTTTCTGCAGTCCAGGCAGATAAACATGGGACTCTCATCCAACTCATCTTTGGGCTTGTGAGCACATTTTCGGCGCTTGCGCATGTCACAGATAGGCTTCATTTCGTCTCGTAAGGGCAGCGAGCCAAAGGCAATGTCCAGATCGTCCCCAGACATATTCGAAGAAAGGCTGGGCAATCGAGGTCGGAGACTTGCTTGTCTCTTCCATTCGGGCACTTTCGAAGATCCAGCAGTATCTTTGGATAATTGGTTATCGTTTGGAGGTATGGTAATTGCATTATTCAGTGCGGTCCCTTTCCCAGTCTGCGCCAGCGCCTCGTCACTCTTGGTCGGCAATGAAAGTGCCATATCGCGAATCTTCTTCTTCGCATATTCTAGGTCATTCTTAGAAGGATCTGTTTCTGTGTATGCTGGAGGACCATATGGTGTTGGTGGCTTCTTGGGAGGAGACCCCATTACCTCGGAAAATCGTGGAGCTCTGGGAGCGGGTCTTTGGGCGGAGTATGTGACCATGATGGTGTCTCTAGCAACCTGTAATGACGGTTGAATCCCAGGCAGTAAATGACAGCGAAAAGAAATGAAAGGGTGTATTTTAATATCGCCAGGACAGAACAGTACGATAAATCACGCAAGGAGATAGGAGACGTCTGTTATGGTCACGAGCACGGAATATTTCCATTCTCGCCCTTTAATGGAGGAAGTCTTCTAAACATCAGGAGAGCTCCGTTGCGTACTCTGTTTCATGGAGCTTGTTGATGCACCCCACAGTCACTATTTTGGGTCGATGGCACGCATTTGCATTGACGGCGGCTGATTGTTCTAGCCGCGAAGACGCCACTTCACCACATTCAGCGTTTCATATGGGAGTCCTCGAGTATGGCACGTGGGTTGAACGTGGGAACAGAATGGAACAGCATCGCTAGACCATCTGCAGTGATAATGAGTCGAAGGCTCTGATGCAAAACCGCACATCACGCTCCTGAGCGAAGACCAATTCGAACTTCTAACTAGTAGCTAGAGAAGTTCACGGTAGGGAGTACAGTAGAGCAACAAACCGGAACAGGTAGCCAACACTGCCGATCATTCCTGCCGATTGGTGATAACGTCAACCTGATTCCTCTCGAAGCGCTCTCTTGAAGGAACCGAATCTGTGTCATTGTTGTCTTGAGATAGGACGGCATGGGTGACAGTTCAAACACCATCGCGACGAGACGAGTCTCCAATTCAAGGTTCGCCAAGGCCGGCCATCTCCAATATGTACCGAGGTTTACCCGCTGTAGCCCTGACTGCCCCTTGCAGGTAGTCTTACTAACTTGAAGTACTTACGTTTCGAAGCATTGTAATACGTCGTCCAGACCGACCAAATGGATATGGAGGAGAGGCACCTGTGGCCAGTTCTTGTGGCTGATTGGATAGACCGAATACTGTCCTTGTGGCACACGCACAGAACGCCTGTCATTGCGGGGGTCTTGACAGCTTTACTTCTGCTCCGGGCTTATTTGAGAAGAACGACGAAGTTCAAAGATCCCAACTCCTCCTCGAACCCATCTTCGCCTCTACCCTTGAAGGACGACGAAAAACCCCCATGGTCATCCCAAGTTCCAGAGAAGCTCGAGACTGTGTCCTCCAGAGAACGAAGAGTTAGCCTGCAGCATTCTGCGGGCCCGAAACTTGTGACGGGTCGAAGGCCGCTGAAGGAGAGAAAGAATGAGAACACAAAGCAAGGCGGGGGACAACTGCGTGTCCAACCCCTTGTTTTCTACTGCTCCTTGAGCGGTAAGACAGCACAGCTTGCACAGAATGTGGTCTCGAAGCTCAATGCCAGTCTGCCACCAGACGGGTCCGTTCTGCCTTCCGAACTCCACGACATTTCATACATCGATCTTGATGACTTCTTCATTTCCGGACCAAAGGTTCGTCCATCAGCTGGAGGCGTCAGATACTTCTACTGTCTGCTCATTCCCTCGTACAACATCGACACTATCATGACGAATTTCCTTTCCCACCTTGACGAGACGCACAACGATTTTCGAATCGATACTGCTCCACTCTCTTCGCTGCTGGGATATTCGGTCTTTGGCACTGGAGATAAGGAAGGATGGCCTTCGGAAGTAGAGGGATTCTGCTCACAGGCCATTGAAGTGGACAGATGGATGGCAAAGCTTACTGGTCGAAAGAGAGCATACCCATTGGGACTCGGGGACGTGAAGGGAAATCTGCAGAAAAGCCTTGATGAGTGGACGGTAGGCATTCAGTACACATTATATGATCTGAGCATTACTGGCACTCTCGGTGAAGGCGTACCTGGCAGTGGTGCAGACCTTGAGAGTGCAGACGAAGAAGAAGCTGACTTCCCAGACTCGGGCCGCCAAAAGCGTCAAAAGACAGAACAAGTCGCCGACCTTGAAGATGTCCGCGGTCCAATTAATGGCCCGCTACCCATTGACTTCACCACAACCACCTCCTACTTATCATCCGCACCAACGCTTAGGGAGATGGTCCCTAAAACCTCCCCAACGTACGCCGCCCTAACAAAACAAGGCTACACAATCATCGGCTCCCATTCTGGCGTCAAGATCTGCCGTTGGACCAAATCCGCCCTCCGCGGCCGCGGTTCATGCTACAAAAACTCCTTTTACGGCATCAAATCCCACCTGTGCATGGAGACCACTCCCTCCCTCTCCTGCAGCAACAAGTGCGTTTTCTGCTGGCGACATGGCACGAACCCCGTCTCAACAACGTGGCGGTGGCAGGTCGATGATCCGCAGATGATCTTCGATGGCGCCAAGAAGGGCCACTATCAGAAGATCAAGATGCTCAAGGGTGTCCCGGGCGTAAGGGCGGAGAGGTTCGAGGAAGCGATGCGGATCAAACACTGTGCATTGAGTCTGGTGGGGGAGCCGATTTTCTATCCACGCATCAATGAGTTTGTGGGGTTATTGCACGATGAAGGGATCTCGAGCTTCTTGGTCTGTAATGCGCAGCACCCGGATCAGCTGGCCAGCCTACAAAGGGTCACGCAGCTATACGTCAGCATCGATGCGTCGAACCGAGACAGCCTGCGCCGGATCGACCGGCCTCTCCACCGCGATTTCTGGGAGCGCTTCCAAAAATGCTTGGACATAATCAGAGAGAAGAGGTTTGTGCAGCGAACAGTGTTCCGCCTAACCTTGGTCAAGGGATTCAACATCGAAGAAGAAGTGGAGGGGTACGCAGACCTCGTGCAGAAGGGTCTTCCCTGCTTCGTCGAAGTCAAGGGCGTGACGTACTGTGGTACATCTTCCTCCGCCGGCGCAGGTCTGACAATGCAAAATGTACCCTTCTACGAAGAGGTTGTGGCATTTGTCGAAGCGTTGAATGCGGCGCTGGCACGACGTGGTTTGGAGTATGGCATTGCGGCAGAACATGCACACAGTTGTTGCGCCTTGTTGGCTTCAGATCGGTTTTTCATTGATGGGAGGTGGAATACTATTATTGATTACAGCAGGTTCTTCGAGTTGCTGGAGCGCGGAGAGGACTTCTCGCCGGAGGATTACTGCTTGCCTACGCCGGAATGGGCGCTTTGGGGGAAAGGTGGCTTTGACCCTGCGGATCAACGTGTTGACAGGAAGGGCAGACCTAAGGTCGCTGAAGTGGTGGGATACCCGGGCCATGCAGCCCAAACGATAGCACAACCAGCTTAAAATGAAAGCTTTGGCCATCTTCTGAGGAGTTCAGGTCCCGTCGAAGGATGGAAAGATGCTAAGAAAGTTCTAGGAATAACGCACATAAAGTAGACGGTCACACAGATTTTGCGATTAGGAACATAATAGGATACGAAACAAAAAGAGTCCCTTGCATTGAATGATTCATAGATATAGTGGTGCCACTAATATAACCAAGAACTGCCTGGTGCTCAATGGCCCTAGAGGCACCAACCCTCACGCCTCCAACATCATATCAAAGCAATTTTGGCCTGTCAGAACCAGTCCTTCCGTGCCTCCCATCCCAGCCGGCACGAAGCCAGACGCCGAAGACAGGTCAAGATCATCACCACGTCCTAAGCAAGCCTCGCCAGATCCGAATGATCAGAAAACTGGACAAAAACTGCTGAGGCGGACGTATATCGGCTTCACTTTTTGAGCGCGGAGGAATTAGATCATCGTTCAGGTTGAGGTTTGTGGCTAAGTTAGAAAACTCAGTCGAAGGACGTCTGGCGGTGATGTTAGCAATGACAAGCTTGATGGAGGGGCAATGTGAAAGGGGAAGTAGCTTACCAACTATAGAAATGATTCTATGAACTGTGGGTGAAGAAATGGTCAGCAGATATTCGTGTAGGCTGAGAATCAGTCGAGTAGGTGATGGAGATCATGGTTCTGATGAAGCCCATGGAAGCCGGGCTGCGCAGGATATGTGCTGTGGGTAGAATGTGGGGGGAGGGTACACATACGTAAGATCGTCTGAAGAAAAAAAAAAGAAAAAGAGAAAGCAAAAATTTGAGGAGCAATATATATTCTTTGCTCTGCTAGTGGCGCTAGCAAATTAGCGCTGGCGTGTCTTGGCAGATATATGGGTCTGAAGGCCTTGGCATCATTGAGCTTCGATGTTTTGCTGCGCAAAGTTACTCTCTGAAGTCTCTGTCATTCTCTGCAAACTAACTTAATAGAAATAGACATGGCTCACTGAGTGTCCTTGCGACAGGTGGAAATACTGCATTGCACATCGCACTTCCACATCCACTCCTACTAAACATCCACTCGCCTGCGGGCTGACACCTGTCTAGTATGGCCACTGCTATTGCTGGCCCGGTTAACCCTCCCAGTGCAACGTATGTCCTCCTCATCCTTCCTTGCAATTGATCAAAATCCATTGCTCAACCTTTCTTGGCAGAGTCTACGTCCGCAACCTCGAAGAAAGAATTAAGCCCGATGCCTTAAAGTCGGCCCTCACAGATATCTTCTCCGAGTACGGCTCCATCATCGATCTCGTCGCGAAGACCAACCTCAAGGCTAAAGGGCAAGCCTTCATCGTCTTCGACTCCACCGAAGCGGCCGCCCGCGCCATCGAAGAAGTCAATGGCTTCGAGCTCTTCGACAAGCCCATGCAGCTCGACTTTGCCAAAACAAGGAGCGATGCCACCGTGCTGAGAGAGGAAGGCGAGCCAGGCCTGGAGAGGTGGAAGAGGGGCCGACTGGCGGAGAAGGAGAGGAAGCAGGCGATCGAGGCGCAGAAAAATCACCAGTTGAAGAGGCCGGCTGCTGCGCCTGAGATGGCGAGCCGACCGGCAAAGACGACCAAGGGAGCTGGGTTGAAGGCTACAGGGACGAATGCTGCGGCGGTGATTCCGGATGAATACTTGCCGCCGAACAAGATCTTGTTCTTGCGGGACCTACCGGAGGACTACGATGCGGATGGGCTGTCTACGATCTTCTCGAGGTTTGAGGGATTCAGGGAGGTCAGAATGGTTCCTGGACGAAAAGGCATTGCGTTCGTGGAATACGAAGCAGAGGCTGGAGCCATCAGTGCGAAGGAAGCGACGGCTGGAATGCAATTAGGTGATGAAGGGAAAGGAATCCGCGTGACATACCAAAGGCAGTAATACAGCTTGTCTATAACCTGTCCATCTATTTATCTATCCTAAGATACCCAACCCCAAGTCTGTCACCTCAATGGTGCATCTACCTCCTCCCCCTTCTTCACCGCCTCACCCGTACTCTCACTATATGCATCATCCTCATCCAATTGAATGATATCCGGCCCGGCCAACAGATCCTCATCCCTCATCAGCGGCACAGCTTCACCTTCCCGTCCACCACCGCCGCCGCCACCATCTCTTTCCACCCCGATCAGCCCATCCGCTCCCACCTTCTTCTCCCCCTCCTCCTCCCTCCTCCCAATAACCAACCACCCACCCCAGCAACGCCGTCACCGTGAAATTCGAGCTCACATTCACAATACTGACGCGGGTGGTAGACGAGCCACGGGTCAGCGCGGCGGTGAAGAGGGCCCACATGGCCACGTTGAAGAGCAGGTTCAGGCCGAAGAAGAAGGCGCGGAGGGCGTAGTTGACCATCTGGTTGCTGGGCGCGAGCGAGAGGAAGCTGGAGACGGCGTGCGACCAGGTGGTCGTGAGCGAGGTGGTTGTGCTAAGTAAGGAATCAGGATTGTCAGTGAAGGGTTTGGGGGGAGTTTTCGGATCTGGGAAGGGTCGAGGTACATACAGCTTTGCGAAGACACCGTTGAAGGCCGCACAGGCGCCGCTGGCGATGGCGAGGAGGAGCCAGACCGGCTGCCGGCGCAGGAGGGCGCTCATGCTCATGTCCTCTCGTAGTGAGGGCGGGAGGTTGGGGGGGATAGAGTTGGTGATAGACGGCGCTGGTTCATTACTATTACTATCAAGTTGTTGTTTCTTTCGGCGCTGCATGCTGCTTACATAGCTAACTAAGCTCCAAGGATGTACAGTGATGTGCAAAATCGAAGTCCTGTCCAAGTAGTGCATAGTTTCTGGAATAAGTGGGGTGGATCCACTACAATGTACACTTTCCGATCTGTGGTTAGACTGAGCCCCACAGCAACATCCAATCATCGCCGAGAGTTACGTAGTATGCATCATAAATACATCATGTTTTGATACAACTGGCACAGTGTCATTTGAACTGGAGGAAAGAAAGGATCCTTTGTGTCCGGAGCCGCCTCATTCCCGAGCTCAGCCTGGGAGACCCCTAAATTTTGCAGCTTGCCGTCAGACCTACTCCACCTAAATCTTGGTATATCACTCAAGCTCCCTCTATCCCAAAGTTAGGCGGCACACTTTTTTATGATTGGACCTCAACGTTCTTAATATTGAATTTGCTCTGTGTCACTTAAGGCGAACTTTGTCTAGCTCTTTGCGCAACTTCTTAGAACATCCGATTCTCACTTATATAGACAATCTGCACGCTATGCAAATTGGCGCCGTGGAGACTGTGCCATCGAAAACAGTGTATATTCTAGATGTGCTAACCTAGAGATAGTTGACATGCCAACTTATTTACAGACGGAGCTCGTGCACTCGAATCTTTCAGGAATTTTATTGCGACCTCACCGCCTTGCCGCCTTATCGCTGATATTGCAATAGAGAAGAAAATGGCAGGCACTATCTGTCATCAACAAGACGAGATAATTGTTACAAGAATTCGATACTTATCTCTCTTGCGATTTCGAGCTCTAGTGGAAAAACTATCTGTTAGTACGATTGTCATGTCGGCAAAATGGAAACGTAGTCACGTGACTAGCGTGGAATCGCGGAGAATCTCTGACCTCGTTGCTGTAACTAGGGTACGGATGCGGATACCCCTGCTACTGCAGGAACAGCAAGCCTGTTCTTCTTACAAGAATATCACGACCAACGATTGTGTGGCACGGCGTCAATGGCTACTCCGTCACATGACCTAAACTGGTCGCTGGCATCGTCTGTGGAAGACTGCACTTTGGCACAGGAGCAGCAGGAGGCACCCTAATTTGCACAGGAAGATGTTTCCCAAATCTGAGAAGCTCCGACTCCTGCATTATACGTGGACAGTCAAGGACGGCCCAGATAGACTCGGTCCGATTCGACGAACGTTTCGAGCCCCAGCCGCTGAGTCTTGGTTTTGTGCAAATGAAAGATTGGAATCGTGATGCGGCATACGATGAGATACCACCCACATGTATCCACTACCGGATCGATTGGAGGCTGATAATCAATAAGACAGTAGTATCCAGGAATACCGAAGAGGACATAGTCCTTGAACCAACCTTATACAGGCCTCGTGTCCTCCAGCCCCGCCTCAAAGAATTATTGAAGAGGAAGGTTCTTCCCCTATGATCCGTTCAGGCTGATGATACAGATATAGTGGTGAAGGTGACAGAAAGATCTAAGGATGATTTTGTGACGTAATATAAGAAAACAGATATTAATTAGTTGCAAATAAAGAGACGGCTTCTCAAATAGAGTGAATTGTTTCGCAAAGGCAAAAAGCTATGATTGACTATTTGTTTTCGTTATCTAGAAGTTAGTTCAGTGATAACAAATAACACTTTAAAGACAAGAGGCAAGCAAGTTAAAGATACTACCATCTAACAAATACAGGCTAAACTTACTACGAAGATCAACGCTGAACAAGCGACGACTGGCCGACCGGCCGCTTGGTAGCATGTATATGCTCTTTTCCGCTGCCTAAATCCGCCTTGTGATTTGAAACCCTGGTGTTGGTTTGACTCAAAAAAGAATAAGCGATTTGAATTAAAGACTCACCATCTTCAGACCCTTATTCGCCACAAGAAGAGCGAAAAGCCCTTAGATACGCATGACCACATGCTTAAAGACTTACGACAACAAATATACAAGGAAGAAGAACAGAGCGAACAACGTAAACAGACAAATAACACGGTCCCCCCCTCCGGAATGCCGCCGATCCAAATCACCAATGTCTTGCCAAGTCATGAGTCAATGCAGGCGGAAGCAGGACTAAAGTCAGAAGTAAGTCTAGTCGAGGTCTCCGGCCTTCGTGACGAAAGTGTACAGGATTACTGTGATTAGCAATAGTCTTAAGTCAGGAAATCATCACTGAAGGCCGCTTTTCAAAAGGCCATGACTTTGTGATTGACAGAGGTCTCGACCTAGAACTGCTTTATGAAGATCAGAACCCTTAATTTCTTGTTAAAGAAGCAGAAATCCCAGTAGGTATTGCTCAACGATACTATCGAGACATTAAATCTTTCACTAAACGTCGCAGGCTCAATCATCATACAGCTTCTACGCAGCAAGAGCATCCTCTCACGGGCCATGATTCGACATGCTGAGCATTTTGTCATCATAGTTAGAGAAATTGGATTAGATTCATACGGGAATATATAATACATATTTTGCGTTGACCAGCATACAAATTAAAGCCCATCATACTCCTAGATGATCACTTCGGCGTTATAAAAGTGACCTCGTGCGCTCGCTTTTCTTCTTCCTACTTCGTCTATCCACCAAAGTCCGGTAAAATGGGGCATTATACAGAGTTGCTGATTGGATGATATTATGGAGCGGCAAGACGAGCTTAATTCAATATTGACTAATCAGAGACGAGGATGACAACCTTATTTAATTTGGAGCTAACCATATTAGGAAGTACAACAAACAGCAGCAAAACTCCTCAGATTTACTATGAGAGTGGTAAATGCCTATCCCAACAGCGCGATTTGTAGCAAATAGGGATATTGCATTTACCACAGGACCATATAGAGTGACGAATGCCTTTCTTGCTTCTTGGCGCCTTGTGAGGGGCATTGACGGGCCTCTCACTGAGGGCAATTGGGGGCCTGCCTCGTTTGGTAGTTGGATCACAGACCTGGCAGCGGCCCTGATATCTCTTCTTGATGATGCTTTTGAGTCATTGAGTTCTTGATATCTACTCTATTCCTACTGCGCTGCCACAGCTATTGTGTTGTACCGCAAAATTTAAGGTTTAAGGTTACGGGCACTAAAAGAGGCTACTGCCAAATTTGGACCAATTAGAAAAATGCCCCATTTTACCGGACTTTGGTGGATACATCATTTAAGGAAGATCTTTAACTCAAGTTCGGGATTTGCCTCAAAAACCATCTAATGCTTCTTAATAAATGCTTTGAGCTCTGCAAAAAGTTCTTTAATGGGATTACGGTTAGGTAAGTACGGAGCCAGGAATATGACCTTGACCCCCGCTCATGTACATAAAGTCTCGATTTCCGGGCTACGGTGAAATGATGCATTGTCCATTATTATAACAGATCGCTTTCCGGGGAAGGGGTTGCAGTGCGAAAGTAATTGTTCCCTGAACTCCAGGAAGAAGGCAGCATCAGTAGATCCTTGGAACACCCGAAAGAAGACAATACCATCTTGGTCATACGCAGGTAAGATCTGATATCATTGTCCACGGTGAAACTGTGCAATCTTCTCCGGTGTCACACCACACGGCGACCACCCTCGACGGCGGAAGCCAATTCTCTTGTCACATCCTGACTCATCAACGTAAATTCGGCACCATGAAGGGATCTCAGAAACAAGATATTCATAGTAGTCGCGTAAATCAGGGTTCCGGCCTCTAGCGATACGCCGCATCGTTTTAGGGGACTAGTCCACAGACGAAAGAGCTCTTCTTATCGACCAGCGACAGAAAAGCTTCCCGAATTCATTCTATATAAACAAGACCATACCATCCAGATCTTCGTCAGGTTTTTCAAGCAGGTGCTCACGCAAAGCAGCAAGCATTAGCGAAGTCATCAAGGGCCGTTATCCGCTACAATTGCGAGGTGCAGTAGTGCTGCCAAAACACGTTAGATTAGCTTGATGTCGCCGGATGGTTCGGTCGGTGCACTGGGCTATCTAGGCTATCTCTAGATCTGTAAGTTCTCCACTGATGATCATGTCTTAGGTCTCCGCATGTTGTGCGGCAGCAAGGTTCGGAGCCATTGGTGCCCATAGATCTACTTATCGATTGGCTTCCACAAAGAGAGTGCATTGCAGCGCAAGCCACAGCTACATCAAGGTCGACAACACCTACGCAAGATAAAGACCATCGTTTATAAACGCCGTGGCAGCAAAGATTCACAGAATCTTCTAGACTCAGGGTAATAGCGGCCGCTTACTATCACGTGAAGGCTTGCACGTAGACACTAACCAAAAGACGTCATTGCATCTGGTATGACAGCCGAAAATTATCCGGACAGCCTTGGCGTTAGGGAAGTCCCTTTGTTGCTTGTGACTTGAGTATCAACAGCCTCTACTAACAGCGTTGTCAGTCAGATCTTTTATGGTTGACAATGAACGTACCGGTGCATGGCAGCGAATAGATCACTCCTCCTTTAAGCTTTCGCGATCCTCCTCTCACTCCTCCTACAGACGAGAAAGAAGCGCAACACAACCTATATTCTTCGACAAATCGCGAAACATAGTTCTGGAAAAACGGGCCAAACAACACATAGGGTCGATAAGAGAGTGGGCTGCCGTGAGTCCACACCTGCTGGGAAACGACAAGCTGCAGTACGTCAGATCCGTTACTTGCAAGATCGGAGGTGGTGTCATGTTAATGTTGAAACACAGTTTTGATTATTTTCCTCCAATCAAGCGCCTTACCTTACGTATGCCCACGAAAGTGCATGATTAGTTCTCACGCAGCCCTACCGAATGTATTATCGAACAGCTGCGTCTTCTCTCGCACAGGTCTGGGTTGGCTGCGGATTTTGCGAAGGATATCAGAGATGTCAGATTTGCAACAATAAGACCTTGGGACCCAGAATATAAGCCCCACAATTCAGACAGTTCCTTCCAGCATCTTTAATCATCCTCACCGACAATGATCTCGAGATCGGTATTGTTGTTGGAGTGGACATCAAGTACAGCAATAGTAAAGGGACTACTTTCTCTGTCTAGTGGGCAGGTTTGCAGGGCCTAGACGATGATAAAGTTTGGGTTGTCGAAGTTATGTTGCTGATCGTCACCAGAATCTTGCCCGGCCAGCACTTGTCACAGACGCTGATAGAGTTTGGGTTGTCGAATTTACGTTGCTGATCGTCACCAGAATCTTGCCTAGCCAGCACTTGTCACAAAAAGGACCTTTTTTTTCCTGAAATCCTTTGATCTTACGAAGCGATGAGACTCAATAAACATGAAGAGTTCTGAGGATTGCTTCAAGGTAAAGAAAGATAAAATCGAAAAGAAACAACCTGCGGGTTATGCAGATGATGAAAATAGCAGTGTTCGTTTAGGGATAAGGAATAGACGCATTTTTCGCGCTGTAGATAGAATTATTCATCGCAATTCTATATATACTCGAGTTTGTGCAACTCATCCTCGAAGTCCTCGAGCCAAGCTTCAGAGTTCTTCCGGTCCGGATGCTGCTCGTCAAGTACTTGATTTCTTATCCTAACGACGTGCTTCATCATCTGGACCGCATTGTTATAGCGGTTAAGATCCCAATAGATTGTAGCCAGTACATGCTGTGACGCCAGTCGTGATGGATGATCCTCTGCCAGTGTCTGCTCCTGAATGTTAACCACCTGCTCTAGCAGCAACACCGCCTCCTTGACCTGTCCGTTGGCTTGATATGCTCCTGCCAGCTCATGCTGTGATGCCAATTGATCTGGATGATCCTATGTCTGCTCCTGGATCTTAACCACCTGCTCTAACAGCAACACTGCCTCCTTGACCTGTCCGTTGGCTTGATATGCTCCTGCCAGTGCATGCTGTGACGCCAGTCGTGATAGATAATCCTCCGCCAGTGTCTGCTCCCGGATCTTGACTACCTGCTCCAGCAACGACACTGCCTCCTTGACCTGTCCGTTGGCTTGATATGCTCCTGCCAGCTCATGCTGTGACGCTAGTCGTGATGGATGATCCTCTGCTAGTGTCTGCTCCTGGATCTTGACCACCTGCTCCAGCAGCAACACAGCCTCCTTGACTTTCCCGTATTTATCGAGGTTCCATGCCGTAAGCTCGTAAGCTGCCAACCACCTCTTTTCCACCTTCCGTCGGTCTAAGCCCAGGTGAGTGAGCAAGTTGTTCATGAGCATGAAGAGTCTAGCGTCATCTCGCATATCATACAGCAGCCATCCACAATCCACCAAGATGCTCGTGATCTTCATTAACGGCTCAGAGGCAAACATCCTGCTGGTGTCCCACGACGTCAATGTCTGGAGGTGAGGCTGAAGTTGCCGTCCTTGTTGCCGCCACAGTTCACGATCACTGCGAGAGGCAGCTATTAAGCACCCCATCGCGAGCCAGGCCTTATGCTGCTCCGTCACATCTGCCCGATCTCTTGCCCAAGCATGTACCAGCGGGTGCATCGACACGCTCAAGTATCCGTCGTGAGTGTCAGTCAACACCAGTGCGAGCGTCTTACACAGATAGATGGCTTCGATCAGCCGAAAAGAGTCCCACGCATCGGCACCGGCTTGAATAAATACGTCATCATTGTGAACTTGATCTAGATCTATCCCTTGAGCGCCTTGCCATCCTGCTTCAAATATCGGCAGAGGTAGTCGACTGGGCCCGCAACTGGCCAGCACTGGCAACAACTCCAGAGCATCTTTAGCTGATTCCGTCGTCGATGATGGTGGCATCGTCTCAGCCAAAGCACTAAGAACCTCTGCCGACGCTTCAAATGTCGCGTACACGTCTCGATAGCGTGAACGTGCCTGAGCCGGTCGGAATGCGAGCAGCCGCTTCCGCTGCTGTGCAAACACCCGCGGATATTCGGATAATGTGCAGTGGCCCCGAGAGATGTACGACCCGGCTTGGATCAGGGCGAGCGGATGCGAATTGAGAAGAGAGACGACCACGTTGGCATCGCCCTCCACCGTTGAACGTTGAGCTTCCGGAACACCAGCAGTCCTAAGCAACAGTTCTCGAGCCTCATCGTCAGAGAGTCCGTCAAGAGCGAAAGACTTCTCCGTGGCGTGCCGATGACAGTTGTCGTTCCGTGACGTTAACAACACCACGCCATACGACCCGGCCGGGAAATAGCGCTGATAGTCAACCTCGGGATCGTCAGCGTTATCCAGCACCAGCAACCAAGGTTGCTGCACGTTCGCAAGTCCCTGTCGGGCTTCTTCTAACGTCTGTGCTGGAATCTGAAGTCTACCGGCAATCTCCAAGAAACCTGACTCGGCCAAAATCTCGCTGCTGACGTCGACCCAGAAGATGCCCCAGAATCTTGATGTTGTTAGCCACCGGCAACTGAAATGTTGAAATGTGTGCACTCACAGTCGACGGACGCGATAGGCAAGCTGCAAGCAAATCTCGCTCTTACCCTGTCCTCCCATGCCAGTGATCACGAATCTCTGTTGTCTGATCGTATTAACATCTTGATAGGTACGTCGGAGCAACTCTTCGATCGTGGTCAAGATGACATCACGGCCCACAAAAAGGTTGTTGATAGAACGCTTCACAGTCCAGTGAACGTTGCCGACGGGATCAATGGCACTAGCCGGCTTTTGAGGGATAAATTCACCGGCGTTAATGTGTAAGCTGATGTTGCAATTGCTCACGTTAATAGACACAGCTTCATTGACAGCTTCAGAGTATTACCTCAATTCCCGCTCCCAGCGAACGAGCTCGCCAGCCAATCGTTTGAAGCCGTTATCTTCAACCGTGGCGAACTTGACCATGTCGCTGTGGTTGCCGTAGATAGACATGACAGGATGATCCGCAAACGTGGCTGAGGCTTTCGACACCACCTTTCCCACCACCGGCAGTGGCAGCTCTTCAAAGAAGCACGTCACCTCAACACGACGCTGGTGGTTATCGCAGAGATCGCGTATCATCGACAGAAACGAGATCTGGAGGGATTCAAGAAGCTGATCTTCTGTCTGCAGTATCGAAAGCAGTGATCGATTCGTGGATTTCATAATCCCTAAGCATCCAACGGGGATCTTGGCCCAGTCGGCCATCCAGCTGCCGGTGTGCGGTGTCCCTATAAACACAATTCCCTTGACGTATATAAAGATTTCTTTCAAGTGTGGTGCTGGACTATCTCTTGACGTCGTGATGGCCTTCTTGCAGACCAGTCCGCCCAGGCTGTGGGCCACGAAGATGAGGCTGCGTGACGACGCATTATGCTCGGCTCGATCCGCAGTGAGGTCGTTGATGAGGTTCGTGGCATGGTCGATCAATCGATTCGATGATGAGACCCCTTTGTGCATCAGGTAAGCATCGTAGCCCCAGGTCAGAATTCGTGCATGTTTTAGACGATGAGGCAGCAGCAGCTGGGGCCATGGTACTTGTTGATTCTTGGCCGTCCAAGTCCTCTCCCTATCCCCCGTGAGTCCGTGCACGAAGCAGATATCGACGACGGCATCGTCGCAAGGATGAAGTTCCCTGATTCCTTCGGGGAAGGTCGCAGCAGGAATGTCCGGCGGTGAAGGCCCTTGCCCGACCTCGTCGTCGTGCACGTTTGTTGTAGTTGAGGACGCGTTTCCCTCCTGCAGATGCTTTCCATTCTTTCCACCCCGCAGAACAGCCTTGAGTTTCTTCATATAAAGGAGCGACCGTAGGCGGGTGGTGGAGAGGGTTGGGAGATAAGGTTACTAATAAGGCGGGCGCAGACAAATCACTTATTATCAGGAAACGCAGAGAATATGTTGGACAGCACGTGATGTCAAACCCCTCTAGAACTTCTTGCTATAATATATGTAATGAGACGGTACGTTACATATCACGTAGGTGATTATGATACGGAGCAGTGTACTCGGCTGTTTCAGACTTGTCACTGATGTACCATTTAGTACAGTGAGGGTGGTGCGATTTGCGCCAAAGTGATAGTATTAAGTCTGCAAAACTTTACGCAGGCCATTTCACCACCTAGGTTATTAGGTTAAGAGCACATTCAAATAACGGAAGCGGCTGTGTTTGTGAAATACAGTATTTACAGCTCTATAATAGCAGGGAGGTCATTGGTCAAGTATTAAGTTTTGAGTATTTCCATTTTGAGGTAAGCGTGACTCGTAGTGGAGCAACCCTGTCATCTTGACAAGGATTCTTCGCGCATGTTTAGAACACCAATTTCACACATCACTGTAACATCGCACAGGGATATCTGTATCTGGCGCCGCACTAGGGATCATTCGGCCAGGGATCGTAGTACAACGTACGGGACACCCACGGAGCTAAATCACTAGGGTGAGGCGTCACCCCTGCGCACCCACACGCCACCAACAGCTCACCCCGCCCTCACCCAGGTCGCGCGAGCTTAGGGCGGCGTCGCTCACCCACCAGAACGAGACAGGCCGAGGCGCCCGGGGCCGCGGGACTTTCTGCTCCCCCCCCCCCAAAAAAAACACAGAGAATAGAAAATAACACGAATAAAATGACGTGATGATCACCTTCCCCCTCCCCATCCACAATAGCGGATTAGTCCCTAGTTTTTGATTCCCCTTTCCTAGAGACCTACCTAGCCAGTCGGTGTCCTCGGCCTCCTCCTTCTCCTTCTTCTTTGGAACGAGATAGGACAAGATGCCTACCTCACACACACTCTCTCAACTTCTGTGCGAAGCTGAATTTATCTGATCTCACATGCATATATCATACATAATACATATCTTCCTCGTGGCAAGCAAGCAAGCGACATCAGGTCTCACTCCGGCGGGGCCCCCGGTCCCGGGGTTCCTAGGTAGTAGGTAAGCAGTACGGAGTAGAGTGGGGACGTTTAGTACTAGTTAAGGATTAGATGACGGATATCAAGCGCTAACTAGAGGTATTCATGATTACCTTTCCCTGGTATCTAGAATCCTGGTTATTGGTAGAAGTTGGGAAAGGATGATAAGTGAGGGAGGAAGGGAGGGAGTGCTTGGTCTGGAACTGCTGGACTAGAATGGCTCGGGGCCTGGGAATATCGCCTTCGTTATGTGTAATTTCCCCAGAAAGCTGGAGGATGGAGCTGAAGGAAGGGAGGGGAAGGGGAAAAGTTGCATACATGATTGTGTGCAGGGACGAAGGCATATATCAAAGGCAAAGGAAGGGGAAGGGGGAGGGAAGGCTGCACCTTGTCAGGGAAGTTACATCATCCCAACTATAACGAACATGGTGGAGATCATGAGCTAGCATCGAGATACGGTGGCCCAGAAAGGGAGCCCAGGGAAGGATTCTCTTGATGCGTAGGTATGCGTAATCTGTAGCTTTCACGGGCTGCGTGCACCTTGACTGTTGTTATGATAGCTGGTCTCTATCTATTTTCCCGTGCTTGAATTCCTGATGCTTCACCAGGGGAATCTTCTTGCTCTTCTTGCAGCTCGAACCAGAGGATGGTTGCATGTTGAAGGATTGAATTTGGTGACCAAGATGTATTATCATCCTGAGACGAGCAGCTAGTTTTGATGCAGGGGGTGCTCCAGTTACTCATCCATCGAATCGTCAGTCATGCCGTCATTGCTTCGTAAAGCCATTGTAGAGCCCGTTTCGTGGAGCATTGCCGTATTTGCAAGATCGCTCCATGACGCATGTCACAGTGCTACGCAGCAATGATGGTTGCCAAACTATGAATTTTAGGTCGTCTGTGAGTTCCCGTCGATACACGTGGGACGTGGGATGCATCCAGGCTGCTCTCATCAATCAAACCGAGCCGATGGCAGCTAAACCAATCTTCATGATGCATTTCAACCCTGCTGTAGAATCTCCTCCACCACCGCTCCATTAGTCTGTCCCTCGCCTATCCTCCTTGCTTCATCCACAACTCCAAAGAACAATCTCTCCTTGACCCTCCCCGCCATCAACCCCGCCATCTCCTCCTGTGCAATCTTGTTTCCGCCTTTCACCACCTGCTCAATACTCTGATTCTTATAAAGTTTTATCTGGCCTGGCGTGGTCCCCATAAGTTCTTGCCTTGGCAGAGCACTGGCGAATTTTTGCTTTCGAGCGGCATCTTTGATTTTCAAGGCATGGTCGGATATCTGTGAGTTGACGTAATCGCGGTTGGTGTAGAGAGGAGATTGAGACAGTGTGGCAACCCAGTATTTATTCCACAGAAGTGAGAGGAGATGGGTGTCGAGTGTAGATTTAAAATGAGATACCTCGAGGGCATAATAGCTTGAAGCATGGGCGCCGAAATCCTCAATCTTGCCAGTTGGGATGGTCTGATATTCATCTGCGTCATCTTGTAAGGATTTTGGCGGCTTGTAATCTTTTGGGTATGTTCTGAAGGCGCCAATCTCCACTTTTCCGGCAGAGACGGTGCGGTCGGGGTCGATGACAACAGCGACGAAAGGATCAGCGAAGGCTTGTTGTTGCATTTGTGTGGCGACGTCTATGCCGGATAACCAGCAGCCATAGCCCGGGTGAGAGTGGTACCAGCCCACAGCGTTCTCCAATCTCCCTCCTCCTTCTCGCGAAGCTGTCAGATAGTTGACCATGTACTCGTCCGCTTCGGACTGAGCACTGACTCTGGTTTCTGTTCCCTCAACTGGTAGGCGAAAGGCGTCGGTGACAATGATAGACGTTCCTGAGACATAGCCTGTCATCAAGCCCATGACTTCAATATTGCCACCGGAGCGGGCATGCATTGTCATCTTAAGGAGGGCGAGGGCAGAGATGCGGCAGGTAGTGAAATGATTAGGATTTTTGGACCAAGGTCGGTCCGCATCCACCTTCTTTTGTTCTTTCGGATCATAATTGTAGAGAGCATTCTGGACCGGATAGATGGTCAGGATAGAGTTTTCTGCCTCCCAGGCACCTTGTGCTGCAGATATCATGCTGCTTTGGTGCAGTTGAGAATGAGAAGGAGTCAGGAATGATGATGGCAGAAACGGGTGAGCGCTTTCTAGTCGCACGGATTGTGGCAGAGGGTTATGGCAAGGCTTTTGCCAATTGCGATCAGAGCTCCAGCACCCAAAGTTGTTTGAAGGCCGAGAGACAAAGCATAGGTAGCTGTATAGCGTAGGTTGCTGATATCAGGTGAGTGCTCTAGGGTGACACAAGCAAACAGACTCCGAATTTAACCTCATCATGCCTAACTACTACGGGAGGAGGCATAAGTATGTATTGTTAGCGTGAGTTAGTGATAGCTAGTTGTCGATACAAGGGTCCGGCGTCCTCCTGAGCCATTCAACCGTAAACCGATACTCGTAGAAGCCCAACACATGCACCTTAAGCCATTCCATTCCATCATTGACCGGTGTTCTTTGCCCAGTGATCCACCGGCTGCCTTTCCCGCTCAGGAACACTATGGCATCTGCGATCTCATCGGGCTCTCCCAGCCTGCCTTGTGGATTCAAACTTGCAATCGCCCTCAACATTTGCTCTGGCTTCCCCTTCAGGAACAGTTCTGTGGCGGTAGGTTCCGGCGCTACAGCATTAACCATGATGCCTTTGGGAGCTAACTCTTTAGACATCACGCGTGCCATCTGCTCAATGGCTCCTTTGGAGGCGTTGTAGAGGAGATAGTTCGCTGTGACAGTTGAAGCAACAGTTAGTGTCGTAGAGAGAAGAATAACGCGAGATCCAGCGGACATGTATGGGACAGCTTTCTAGACGAGGAAACATGGTCCTTTGACATTCAGGGCAAAGCATTAATCGAAAGCTGCCTCCGTAGCGGTCTCAAGGTTGTTCATAGGGAGCACAGCAGCGTTGGGAATGACGATGTCGATTTTTCCGAACCCGTCCACGGTTTGCATGACCAGATCCTCAATGAAGGTAAGGGAACCAGCATCACCCTTGATTGCTAACGATCGGTCCTTGCCAATCTGTTGGACAACTTCGTTGGCCTGGGTGGCATCAGAGGAGTAATTGAGCACAACCGATGCACCAGCATTTGCGAGGGCAAGGCAAGTAGCTGCGCCAATACCCTTAGATCCTCCGGTGACGATGGCTACTTTCCCGGTAAGATCGGATTCAGCCATGCTGGAGGGTGGAATAGCTTTCTCTGAAAGATGAAGTTGTCGCTGAAGGATAACCTTGTGGAAAGAGGAAGAGACGAGGCAAGAAGTATTTATATGCTCTGTACACTGTGTATGTGATTTGATCGATAATGACAGCTATACTACCTCATCATGCACCCTGTCAGCCGCCCCGATGTATCAATCTGACCTATGGCTGGACATCGGAACAGGACGGGCTTTGCGGAACAATTATGAAGCATGAGCTCCCCCAGTCTTCAACAATCAGTGAACAGAGGTTAGAGCAGACGGCAACAGGAAATAGCTTTGAGCTTGACTGCTGTAGAGAGGGATAATCACAACTTCGACTGTACCGACTCGCTATCAATCTCTGCTAGTCTGATGAACCGCCAGAAGAGATAAGGCCAGACTTGCACAAGGTAGCACTTGTGCAACCAACAGCGAACTCAAGTAAAGGCCCGGAAGCCTCCATGACGAGTCGCTCAACAGCCTCAGTCTCGTAAAATTGGGAATGGTGCCATGACTGGAGACGAAAAGGGGATGTATTGGACCACAAGCGGCTTCTGAATCGTGGTAAACAAGTCTCGGCAATTAAAGCCCTAACTATTGACCGTCCCGGATTTCATTTGTCAAACAACTACAAAGATTATTTCACCTGAATTCATAAGGAGCAAGGCATCGTCTCATTGGACGTGACCGAAAGACAAATAGCCTCTTGGTATTGTGAGCCTGTGGCTTTTGTAACTTTGCTCGCTTTCGTGGTAGAGTGTCCACTCATACAACAGCAATCAACCTGTTTTGCAACCATATCCAGCAGCATCCCGACCCAACCCTCAACAACGAGCCGGAAAGTATTGGCATGAATGAGACCAAAATAGAAACAGTGAGAGCAAATTCCGAAGGTTTTCGAAGTGCTATCCGCCACCCATATGTTCAAGAACCAGTTGCCTGTCCAATGCCGGGAAAAACTTCTCTCAGTAGCTGTTAGAGCTATCTGTCCAACCAGCATCGCTACCTTCAGTCAACTCCAACTGCCCGTTCTCCTCTATGCTCCACTGTGGATACTTGGTTGACCATCCTCATCTTTGGTGGTGGTGGTGCCATCATTCCGTATCCGTCGCCCGGTCTCTTAATCGGATTCATAGCTCTAACCTTTGCATAATACACATCTTGAGCATCCGTCTCGGGTTCGATCTGGGAAGCATCTGAGTACGTCTCCCAGTTTTCACTTCCACTCGCAGTCGTGCCTGTTGTCAGGTTCGATGAGGTTTCGGAGATCTGTCTACTAATAGGCGGAGAGACTTTGTGCACTAGATGACCGCCACCATGTCTGATCACTGAGGACTGGAAGTCTTCGGGATGTCCCATCATGCCTCGATCACGACTGGACATTGAAGCTGACATGTACGACATGCGTTCTCTGTCATCGTAGACATCCTCAGGGCTCATTGGTCGTACCAAACCACCATTATGATTGCTGGATCCTGATGTAGAATTGGACTGAACGCTCCCTGGTCTCGCTGGCGGTGCATGGCCATATCCGTGAGCAGGTGACTCTTCTGCCCTTAGTTCACGCATCCTTGGGGGTGGGACTCGTGGCGGACCCATTCTGCCCAAGGTCCCTGTTCCCTGTTGAGCACGATTTCCGCCTCCCGGATATTGAGGTATATTGGTCTGTCGTTCGGGGGAGTTTCCACCATGTTGAAGATTGCTTAGTGGTGCTCTGGCAGGTATCTTAGAGGGAGACCTGACAGTGGAGGAAGCCGATTGTGTACTCGAGGCAAAAGCGTTACGGCGTAATGTGTTTGCAGCACCAGAAACACTGGTCGGAGTCTTGGTGGATTGGGATGCGTGTAGGCTTCTGCTTTTTGCTGTGCTGTTGCTAGGGATGGTGCTGATCGCTCGGCTTGGGGGAGCAGACGGGATAGAAGGAGTCTTCGATCGCGGTGGGAGACCATTTGGAGTTTTGCATCGTGGAGGTGGTGCTTTAGCCTCCGCGGCAGCGAGTTCGTCGAGGTATCGCTCACCATGCACGAGAAATGGTCTTCCATATTCATCTTCGTAATTCTCAAGTGTCCTCTGCAGTTCCGCAGTCACTTTGGGAAGCTCCTTTGCAATTCGCTTGCGCATCTTCTCCTCCCGAAGCAGTCTTGTTGGGTCCCTCTTTTCACCCTTTGTCCCTCTACCCATCAGTCTTGAAGCGTCGTTCGCGGATGCAGCAAGGGTTTCTCGATCATTGATCAACGAGCGATGCTTCTCGATGACAGCAAGGATAGGAGCACGCTGTTGCTGCAGTGCTTGCAGCCTCTCAATCTCTGCTTCATGCGCAGATAAAAGAGCATCGCTGTACACATCGGAGAAGGCAGGCGTGAAATCCAGCATCTCTTCCTCGGAGAAGTAGAGTGCATCCCACAGCTCTTGTAACCTGACTCTGGCGTCCTCCACGAACAAATGTAGGTTTTGTCTCTTCAGCTCATTCAGCCGCGAAAGTTCATCCTCGAATTCATTGATCGTCCTCAAGCCGCAGCCACGGTTGGATGCCAAGAAAGCTCGACGATCAGATTCTTCGACCCCCAGTCGATTCCAGAGCTCCTCTACGGTGCTCTTCAACTCCTTTATGCGCTTCTCTCGACTCCTCTTCTCTTCAATCAGTTTTTCATACTTGCTTCGAAGTCGTTCCAAATCAGCCTGATGGAGACCAAGCTGCTCCGGTGAATCCCGATAATGCTTCACAATGGCTGAATCCGTCTGCGCTTGAGGGACGCCAAGATCTGAGTACAGGCGGATGATCTCCTCAGAAGTGCTCTGCACCATCTGTACACGCCTATTGTACTCGTCGTATACCCTGGTAAATTCTTCATCAAGAGTTGTGACATACCGGGGTGAGAGGTCAAAGTTCGGCGGACAGGTGTTGGAGGTTGTGGGAGGGAGTTTGATCCTGATGAAGGAGGATTCGAGATGTGAAGAGTATGATTCTAGCGCCTGTACAAGTTTCTTGACTTGCTCAAATCGCTCTGTGTGTAGTCTGCTGACAGTGTTGTACTTCTCTTTCAGATCTCGAAGGCATTGGTTGAGAGGGTATGTCACGCATAAGCCGGTGGTTCCGAGATCATATCCACCATTCTGCTTTTCGTCGTCAAGTGAGCCTTCCATCTGCTTTATCGTTGTGATAATTTGCTCCGCTTCCTCGGTCAAGCGAGTCTTCTCCGCATTGACCTGGCGAAGATGATTGTGCAAAGTATCTGATAGAGCTGAGAAGAGCTATGACATGTTAGTCAACATCGAGGCGCGGCGTAGCAGTCTTACTTCTGCCTCCTTTGAATCCCTCTCATTCTTTGGGATGCCAATCTCATCGAAGATACCATGGAGCTGACCGATAATGGTGGTCACCTGAGTGGTCAAATAGCTTGTATCCATCGCCATTGCGGCCACCTCGACCCGCCGATGCACGCGACTCTACCAATGCCAGATCAGACAGCGAACATGGAACTGATCGAGCAGGATACTTCTATCACAGCTTTGCAACGTCGGTCATTGATTGTTTCGTGAATGGTAAGATGCGTACGAATACGAATACTGTATTGGTCGCAAAAAATCCACCACGATGTATGGTTCGCCAAGGTGTTGATACGCTAGTGTTGCGGTAGCAACACAGATGCGCCAGGCTGAAAGGGGTAATGTCGCGATCTCAGTACACGAACGCATGAAAGACTAATACTGCAACTAAGCCCTAGCTATTTTTGGTTCGATCACAAAGGCATGTTAATGTTTCTTCTGTTGGATTTTTGGGGAAGCGATTTTCCGGGCTCTATGCTTGCTCCTTAATTCAGCCTCCGCTTGCACACACAAATTCACCTACAAAAGATGACTCTTCAACAATTGGCGCATCAAAGTGAGTGCTGTTATTCCCAAGTCATCCTAGAATCAGACAACAGCAACCGTTTCGGGACTATCATGTTCTGCTAAACGGTCTAGTTAAGTAGCGATAGACGACTTATAGAAATCAATTAGACTTATACACCACTTCTGTTTAGAGGGTCATTCTTTGTTTTCTTCTATAGCACGAGGCATAAGTATGTGTCAACCTGCTGTGCAGAGTGCGTCGAGACCAATTAGCCCTCTCAGAAGGTCAACAGTATGATTAACTTCAAGCTAGAAATTTTTGTATTTAACACAGCCTTAACGAATCTGCTCTTTACTAAGATGACGTTAGTCTCTATGGTTCTCAGCATCATCAGGATCAGTGAGGGGACGAGAGTTAATGGCTCCGGAGGACGCCCGACCCTTGTATCGAGAATTAGCTATAACTAGCTCACGCTAATAACACTTATGCCTCCTACCGTAGTAGATTATTTGGTCTACTATTTTGGTAGCTTTGTGTCAAGAGACAGGGCCATGAGCGACGTTACAATCTAGCATACGATTAGCATACGCCTCGCGGTCGTAAAGCACTACCAGTAATGGCGACAAAGGGTGTAGACTTTTCCCACATGAGTATTTCATCACTTCATTAGAATAATCTATTGAGTACTTAGAAAGAGGGATATAAGTAGTAAAACAGCTCTTTGACACAGAACAACATAGAAAATCCAGGATTCTCCTAACGCCCTCTTGGCATCCTTGGCACGCATAACATTCATACACTAATCCCAGCCTAGAAAAACCTATGCGGGGACTGTTTACAGTTAAGTATAGGCGCCACAAGCGCCTCCACAATTTGCTCGAGCTTCCCACCCGTGTTTATTTTTCGACCTTTACTCCTACTTCCCACTGCGATCCTCCACATCGATTAGCACTTTTCGAGTGCTCTCGTGATAGGGGCCAAGGCAGGTCTCAACGCTGTCATCTGTTCCTGCGGCTGGTTAGTGAGGAGACGGCCATTAGTTGCACCCAACGGATCGCCTGGGGCTCCGATGGAGCTCGTGCTCTGTGTCTCCGTGTCACTGTCCCTCTGTCCCACTGTTGGCTTATGTCCCTCTGTCCTGAAAAAAGCAGTGAGTACTGAACTCCTGACTGATCCAGCTTTATAACTGTCGATCCTAGATTACCCAATCCGATCCTCGTTGGTTCCACGACATTGTGCCCACAGGAGTAGATATGGGCAACGTGCGTTTCTAGACACATGTCGAATCGATCAGCGAACGGGCAAAAACTTTCACAATTCTTCACTGATTTCCAACGGCAGGCGAAATGAGAATATATACCTCGGCTTTGAGGCGCTATCAGAGGATGATCAACGCCAGAAAGTCACAAGGAGGATTGCATGCAGCTCCCAGTGGACCCGAATATACCGACATCAACAGCAACTCGCCTCACTCGCCCTGTCCTACCGTGCGCCCTTGTATAGGTGGACATGCTGCCTAACAATGTAGGCGGAGCGGTTTCATCGCTGCGCCAGGATGGTCAGCTGAGAAAGCGTGCAGGGACTAATACCACTGTTTTCCGTACCACCTTGATTTGATGAGTGTGGCTAATCAGAATTTCCTTCGTATTCGAGTAATCCTTTCGTACCATCCTGATTTGATCCGTGTGGCTATTCAGAAGTTCTACTTCGTACTCGAGTCCCTTTTGCACTGCAATAACGGACCAAATCGCCAACACCATGAGCTCACCGATTTTCAGCTCGACGTTCTACGCAGTCATCAAGTGTATTTTTGGTACGCTGAGCCGGCAATACGCGGTGAATAGCCTGTATAGTGCTTCTCATCAATAAGTCGCCTCTAAGTATATATATCATGCCTTTACCTCATTTTTCTGAGTCCGTTCTGTGTTCCTTGCTTTCATCATCAACATCTTCATTGCTACATTTTTTATCCATCTTCACTCAGCACCTTCACAATGCATTTTTCCACCTTCCTGATTGCCGCGATCGCTTTGTGTGCGACGTCTGCGTCCGGTAAATGTTTCCAAACCGGAAAGAATTGGGGCGACCATGCGGAGGCCAAGAAACAGCTGGCCAACGCTTGTAACGAGTTAAAAGGAACCTACCACCCACGTCAAATCGCTGCACGCTGCCGTTATAACTCTCCTGGGCAAGTGAGTTACATTTTCGAGATAGAAAATTACAACAGCGGGGACGCACAAATTCCGCAAGACGAGTGTGAGAGAAACCTAGGGGCTCAGATCGATAACTGCGGTCATGGCGGTGAAGCAACACACGCGGGTGTGCGATTCAGGTACATATCATACAACACGTCCTAGTCTGCGAGGCTGCTGTTGCTGACAAACATAGGGCCGACCCGAACAAGGGGAGCTGCTAGACATTCAATCTACTTGAAAGGATGACACCTAGATGGCGGATGGAGCATACGAATCACTTTTGAATAGAGGAGGAAGGGAAGGGGGGCCTGAAGGGGGCATGAATTCCGGCCCACGTGAGGAGGATCTGTCTTCGACCACATCTATGTTCCTGCTTCCTTACTTAGCTGCCATCACGACCTTTACCGTTGCTTTCCCTGCTTGATAGATCTTCTCTCCTTCTTCCTCATAGACAGACACAGACACAATACCAGACTTGAGCTATACTGTTGGATTTCCCTTCTTGAAGCAACCTGCCATAAGGCCATCTGTGACTCCGGCCAACCATCGGCGTCCTGGTCGACACCAATTCTGCCTAATGATTATGTATGTACGGAGGCGTGCGTCAAAAACATTTGCTAGCGCCAATATTTAGCTTTGCATTGGTGGATATCTAGCGTTCCTCTAGCTCCCATACTAATTTGTATGGCTAACGCAGGAATCGCACACAGAAGGATAATCTAATAAGATCACAGCCGCCATCACATCTACTGAGCCACGACAGAACAGCACGTTACCCTCTTCGGTATCTTCGCCAGCATCCGCCCGTGAATCATTGTCTAAGATGAGATCTACTGATCAGACTACTTCGTGGAAAGTAGATAAGTCGGCTGATGGCTGAGCCAAGAAAAGTCTCTGCTTTGACCTTGCAGTCCGTACGTCTTGCTGTGGAGGCCCCCTTGGTTGCATATTGAGAAATCAGTGGTAGTAATTCAAACCCGGTATTCGAGAACGATCACTCCGACTCCTAGGTCAATTCATAAGCACAAATCTGTACCAGAGGACGAGCTCTGGCAACACCAGATGCGCAAAATACGGACAGCCCTGACAACAATCCATTTCTTCACGAGGCCGGGGGAATGGTCCCAGGTATGGTTTAGTCCATGCGGGTGTCGTCAGTGGCAGGAATCAATCCAGACCTAGGTACAGTCGACTACTACTCTATAACGCCAAGCCGCAGCAAATATAACACACTGCATGTCACGATCCTTGGGAAAGACGTCTGGGATTGATTCCAGGCTGTGTGCTGGCACGCTTGTGCGGATGGGGACCAACTTCAACTGTAATGACGGTGTTTAAACAGAGGCACTGAGTATAGAGAAGGCGAACAAGCATTCAAACGGAGTTAGGCAGGGCAGAGGGTCAAGGGTAAGCTCTCAAAACTGCAGTTCAAGGACGGATATCAAGTGGATATTGAGTAGCATAGGCAATTCCTGAGTTAGCCATACAAATTAGTATGGGAGCTAGAGGAACGCTAGATATCCGCCAATGCAAAGCTAAAAATTGGCGCTAGCAAATGTTTTTGACGCACGCCTCCGTACATAGTACATTCCTATACCCCGCTTCCGTTGACCGGACGATTACCCATAATTCCACTGACGGGCTTGAACACCATGGACATATTCATCGAAGCTCCATCGAACCTCGTCGGTCATGGCCAGCATCGAAAATCACGAATCTCTAGAAGGGAGGAGACAACAGCCAGTATCGGCGTATGACTATGAAGACGATGTCCACGAAAGATGACATCCTCCAGGCCTCGAGAGACGTTCAATATTTATGATTATACACTACCTTCCGTTCTCTGCCGGAGAAGATACAACGGTGGATAGAGGCTCTCCCTGCAAATATCAAGAAGGTAATAGAGCTCAAGGGAGGTAATGAGTATAGAGAAGGCGAACAAGCATTCAAACGGAGTTGGGCAGGGCAGAGGGTCAAGGGTAAGCTCTCAAAACTGCAGTTCAAGGACGGATATCAAGTGGATATTGAGTAGCATAGGCAATTCCTGAGTTAGCCATACAAATTAGTATGGGAGCTAGAGGAACGCTAGATATCCGCCAATGCAAAGCTAAAAATTGGCGCTAGCAAATGTTTTTGACGCACGCCTCCGTAATGCCTGGGCTTTGCACCAGCGCCATGAGAGGATGTTGGATGTGATCACGGGACAGGCGCTGCTACGCTATGCCTAATCCAGACTCGAAACCACCACCAATTTGGCTCCGTCAAGGGCAATATTGGCCATACTGCAGAAGCTTCGGCTGCAGCCGCACTTGTCAAGACTTTACTTATGATGCAGCACAAAACGATACCCAAATAAGCCAGCTTTACGACCTTACACCCGAATATCGCACCATTGGAGGTGAGCAACATGGCCAAGGAATGCAAATTTCATGGCGGCGTATAACAATTACGGCGCAGCAGGTAGCAACGCTGCCATGATTGTATTGTATGTTCGCAGATGGCGCTGCTCCCGAGGTACCCGCTTTTCATCTTCGCTGTCTTTAGCCACGTGCCCAGGCGATTTGGCTCTTCTGTTCAGAGGCAAGGCTTGGGATCAGAGGAGCCGCTGTCGATTCTTAATTCATGCATGTCCGGGACTTGTGCTGCAATTGCGCTTATCCTGGCACTGCTTCCGAAGGTACGTACGCGTTTTGTTGCTTTGTGGAGCATGTTATGCATTTCGGAACGAGCTGGGTCAAACATATCCTATACGAGTAAAGAAGCAGGTCCATTGGGCAGCCGTGGCCATACTAGAGCATAGACATCTTCACCATCGTAGCTTCAGGTATGGCTGCCGAGTGGGCATCAAGTATATGAAGGAAAGTAGGATTAACCCCCGAATAACGATTTCAACAGCCCGGGTGGGAAGCACGAAGGGAGACGATGTACATTTCTTAAACGCATAGGGCATTTCCTCTTTTTCGATCGGTAGAACGAGAGATGTGCCAATCTGGAAAGCACCGTTTTGAATTCAACCTCGGTGCACAACATAGGCTGGCCCGAAAATGTACTACGGGAGGAGGCATAAATATTGTTGGCTCCAAGCTAGAAATTTGGTAAGTGACACAGGATTTACGAAGATACATCTTACTACTAAAGGACTATTAGTCTGTTTGGCTCCTAGGCCAGTGCCAATCATTATCATCACTGAGGGGTCAAGATTTACTGGCGCCTTGGGGGACGCCGGGCCCTCGTATCTAAATCTAGCTAGTACTAATTTACGTTAATAATACTTATGCCTCCTACCGTAGTAGAGCATGTTGCCAATGCACGGATGCTTTCGTAGTAGTTAATTGCTAAAGACACATACTACGGTTACAGGCCGAATTTTTGTAACCCCCCCTGGTCAGAATATCTTACAAACGTGTTTTTTACACACACACACACACCCTGTTAGCATCCCTGTCACTATTCTGCACGAATTTTGCTTATCCTGCAAATTCAGCTTATTCTGCTCTGTACGCATTCTACTAATTCTGCATAGTTACTAATGAGCTTAATGATAGGACGGCAGGAATTAATACTCATAGGATGCTGCATCTTCTGATTATCTTAAGAAGCTGTTTCGGTTGATGCAGGCGAGATGGCAAGTAATTATGGATGTTAATAGGAAGTAAAAACTTGATTTTAGAGTGCTAGTCCTATTTAGGCCGTTTTGTGGACGTCTATACTCAATTCTATATCGTACGTTTTGTATAGATACTAATGTTTTCAGCAGGGGGTAACAAAACTTCGGCCTGACACCCTACTACAGTAGGAGGCATAAGTATTGTTAGCTTGAAGCTAGAAATTTTGTATTTAACACAGCCTTGACCAATTTACACTACAATGAAACAAGTCTACTCTAGATAGTCCACACAATCCAGCCAATCATTATGGCTATTCATAGGTCAAGACCTGCGATGGCTCCGGAAGACGCCGGACCCTTGTATCAAAAACTAGCCATCACTAGCTCACGCTAACAATACTTATGCCTCCTACCGTAGTAGTAGAGGCCAGGTAAATAATTGGTGTCGCTCTTGGCATGATATGTCCCGACAGATCGGCTGGTACGCAGTACCTAGTCATCTTGCTGCTTGTCTTTCTCATTAAGTTGTTGATGCGTAACATGCCAAGAGCGACACCAATTGTTTTACACGGACCTCAGGCTTATGCCCACCCACTGCAGTGCACACACTACGTCCAGAAAGTCACCTTTCAACGAGGGAGCTGTCCGAAGTACTAAATTACAAAGTCATCGGGACGCAACCGCAAAGGCCAGCCTCACATATCAGATCGGTAGATCGTTTCATCGAAGTAAACACTGGTGCATCTACTAGATGTGCATGTGTCTGGTGGGGCCACGAAGGATCGATAGCTCGTCACAGGATAACTACTACGTAGTACAGGGCACCACCCATCGCCAACCAAGATTTTTTAATTGATCGTCGACCTTAGTAATCGGGGGCTAAAGACGGGTTGCATAGCCCGTAATTGGTGATGATAATCATTGGCGGTGAAGTTCGATTTGCAGGACAGAATGCGAGCTCCTAGCAAGACCGGCAGCGTTGTCCACTGGACCCGCCGTAGTACGAAGATCTCACAGCCATCCTTTGCTAGCGGAAGATACTAATCAGCAGTGCCGCTTCAGATCCCTTTCGAACCCTCCATATCCAGCATCTATAGTTGCGCCTGCTTCCAATCCCCGTCCCTAGCCTTTGGGGTAATACGTAGTAAACTCCCTGCTACCGTATGGCTAGCGTTTCAGACGAATTGGGGCTTGAGAAATGTGGCTTGAAGCTTGGTATGCCATCATCAGTTATGTCATTTTGGTAAGCCTCAAAAATCAGACCCCCGCCGCTCGGTAAGGGCTATGGTTCGTATTTGAGGATCACCATCTTGATCTGAGATTCTTGTGCTGGTCATCTGCATATCAGTTCTACTACGTATACATATCAGCTCTTGACAACGTTTGGGCTCAATCTTACGAACGTGAGCTGAAGTGCAGAATCTTTCGCGCACAATGTCTTTGTATTCTGAGTCCATCGACGAACCTCGCCGTCCGTCAGCGCAGTACTATCAGTACCCAGCTCGCCGTGGTGTGGATCTAGCTACCAGTCCCAGATTAGAAGTATACGACCAACCGATATCACTTCCTCGTCGCTATCCCGATAGTGATAGGGAACACAAAGGCGCCCTGGTCGTCCGAAGCAAGCCGCTCCGCGTAAGAGCTGCGAGTCCAGACGACGATGATGAACGCCGATCACGAAGGAAATCGGTTGTTCTTCGGCCCCGGTCAACATCACGAGTTCGGATTCGAGAGCCAGTATTGCTTGTAGATACTTCATCCTCGGATGAAGAACCGAGAAGAAGCCGGAAGAACCGGGGTGATGACACCCGCATCCGTGCCACTTCTCGCCCTGGAAAAAAGAAAGAATATGCATTCGTGCGGAAGGCGTCGAAAAAAAGACGAAAGAGCGATGCTAAAGTCGCCGTTGTGACTGATCTGGAATTGAAGACAGACCGTCGACATAGAGATTTCCAAAGCAGGCGTAACGACTTGGAGAATACAGAAGCTCTTGTGCTCGTCAGGGCGAGGAGCCAAGAGCGTGATCGACTTGTCGATGATTTATCTGATCTGGACAGTTATGACGGCAGAAGACAAAGATCTCACTACAACACTGGAAGCAGAGGGAAGCGCGCCAGCCTTGATGATGGTCGACGAGCGATTGTCATTGCTCGGGATGACCGTGACCGTGATGATAGAAGAAGAAGCACTCGAGGCTCGAAACTGTACAAGTACGGAGACGGGCTAGTTATGGCAGGCGACGGAGACGATATTCGTTCGAAGGGGCGGGGATCAGGCAGACGCCGGATCAGTCTCAGTCCCGATCGTGAGACCATCGACTCCAGCACAGTAGACGGCAGTCTCAGGCGTGCCAGCACTGTCTCGTCGCGAGATCCAAGGGCCAGACCATCACGTGCATATGACGACAGAGTAGCCGACCCTGACACGCGCTTGGACCCGCGAACTGATTCTGCATATTTTACCGACAGTGAGAGACGAGCCAGAGAAAGAGAGCGGGAGGCCATCGAGCGAGAGAAGCGAGCCATCGAGAGGGAGAAAGCAGCCCTGGACAAAGAGAAGCTTCTCGTCGACTGGGAAAAGAGAATCCCAGCACGAGATTTCCTCGATGACCGAGGTGGAGATGCGGGAGACTATCTGAAGCAGGGACAAACATTCCTCAAAGACGGCCAGAAGTACTACAAGGGTGGCCAGGGAGTGGTGGGTGGTATCAAGAACCTGTTGAAATAGACTGTAAATGAAGAGACGGGCAAGGACCCTTGAGAGTTGATTTGAATGCTATTGGTATGGATTTGTGCCCACATTTTTTTTTTCTAGAGGTTGGAGGTTGGATCTTTCGATTGGCGTGTTCGACGTGGTTCTTTGATCCGGAAGGGATGTCAGAGTAACCCCTTATTCATAACTTCCAGAACGCTGTTTGGTGAGAAGGCATGCTGTCGAGCGTTGAGCTATCTGTAATCAGGTGGCAACCTCATAGTCAAATGCCGAATAATCTCTTTCGCTGCAGTATGGGAAGATCGTGGATTGGTATGTAGGCAGCATGGGTGCCGAGAAAAGATGGTTTATCTTCTACAGTAGTACTTATAAGGAACACGGAATTCTTCACTTGGGAAAGGTGGCCTACATAGGTGGTCTATGTGGGTAAGACGAGAGCTATTACAGCTATCCGTACCACTAGATCTCACGATCTACCCAATTCGCAGTTGTTAAAGAGAACTAAAATCGTTACCGCACGGTTTATCTCTCGCGCGTATACCTCCTATAGACCTCTTTGAGGTTGGTAGTGGGGCCAGGTATAAGATTTTTGATGTTTTCTTTGTTTTTAGTAGGTAGTGTCTCCGGATCCAGCCGTTGAAGGAGGTCTCTTTGCTCGATGCTTTTCCTACTCGATGGGGAGGGAGCTTCGTCCGGAGGCACCACACAGCAACCCCCACACCCAGACAAGGAACAGACAAGCCCCTTACACGGAGCGACGAAGACGGGACTCCGTGCACGCAGTTCTCTACCAGCCCTTCAAACCCTCACTCCTCCCCCTCCCCCTCGGCATGCTTATCGTATTCGCTCTTACTCATCAACCCATCCATCTCCTTCACATCCTCGACCTGGATCTTGGCCAACCAGCCCTCCGCCTCCGGTCCCTTATTGATCGTCGCCGGCTTCTCCTCCAACAGGCCGTTCGTCTCGGTGATGGTGCCCGAGACCGGTGTCATGATGTCGGAAGCGGATTTGACCGACTCGACCGCACCGATGGTGTCGCCCTTGGTGACTTTGAGGTCTGTGCTGGGCAGCTCGACGTAGACCACGTCGCCCAGCGCCTTGGAGGCGTAGTTCGTGATCCCTATTGTGCCTGTGAAGGAAGGAAGAGGGGTGAGCTGATGGGATGAGTGGGTGGGGGGTTGAAAGCTGATATGGGTGGGGTTTGGGACTGAGGTGGGGCGTTACCAATCTTGCCGTCGGGTGATAGTTCTATCCATTCGTGCTCTTCGGTGTATTTCTTCTCGAATACTAGGAAGTAAGTAGGTCAGCATCTTGTCAGCGTTGCGGGAGATACAATGCCCCCCCTCAGAGGCACTTCGGACGTACAAACACTTTGGCCCGTAAACGCTCTTCTCGGCAGACTCCAGCATGGTGGTGACTTCGAATTCGGATAGGTGGACCTAAGTAAGGATGGGGCTCTAGCCACGACCCCTAGAGGCGCTATACGTATCCTTGCGACTGCCATTGCGAGCCTTGCTGTAACGTATCCAGGTGGCTCCGTAGCAATTGACGGGCAGTGGAGCAAACAAAGGTGGGAAGAGGAGAGCTTGAGCCGCCCACCAATCGGAGCTGACCTTTGGACCGCCCGCCAAATCGCGGCATCTTTTTTGGTGGCATTTACCTCACGTTTGACTTTCATCTTCTCCGGACGACATCAACAACTTGGGGACATGCTCTACGAACTGATAGCGGTCGTATGTACACATCTGTCCCTGCCATACGCATGCGAATCCTAACGAAACCTCTGCAGGTCCGACCGGGCAACGTCAATGAAGCCAAAGAGTAATCTTCACCACCACCAACCCTCCCTCCTCCCCCCCAATCCTAAAAACACCCCTCTAACCATCCCCTTCTCTCCCCCCAGAATCGCCCGCAACGCCGGCTCGATAATCCTGCGGTCCTCGGGCGTGATCCGGGGTCTCAATAACTGGGGGCCCTTCCTCCTGCCCCGCCCCACCAAAGCGCATCAAACCAACCACCACCGCGGGCACTACTTCCTGATGCGCTTCGACGCGTCGCCGCCGACGCCGCTCCCTCAAGCTCGACCCGCGCATGATCCGCTTCTCGGTGGTCAAGCTGGCGCAGCGCTTGGGCACCCGCGGCCAGATCGCCGGCGTCGAGGCCATCGAGGGCAAGGTGGATTGGATGGCCATGGAGAGCTGGGGCAGTACCGAGGTGGATGCTTTCATGACCAAAACTAGGTATAGGCTGAATGCGGACGCTCAGCAGGCGTTGTTGAGCGAGGAGGAGGTGGAGTAGTGGTTGGAGATTGGGATGTCTGCTGCGGTTTTCATTTTTTTTTCTTCTTCGAGCGAAGCTTCAAGATGTATAGTATTGAAAATGCATGGCTTGGGAGTCAATATTGTTGGGATGGGTCTATTTCATAGATTTACAATTCTCCGAAGACAGTGATCCACCAAACGCCCGCTTGCTGCCCATGGTATCAGAGTGTGGATTGTCCCCCTTCCAATCAGAAGATGCTCCATCCTTTACTCCTCTGTTTCGCCGCCGATGCAGTCCTCTCAGCAGCAACACTGGCCTTGGCCCGGCCCTCGAGCTGCCGCAAACTCTCAATCTTCTGCAACACCATCTCTAACATCTCCTTGCGGCGAATAACGTCCAAATGCTTCCTCACTTTCGGATCTTCCCTGGCAAATCTTTCCACCTCCGCTTCACTCAGATGCCGTCCTAATCGTACGTCCAGCTCCCGGGGGAAATTGTAATAGAATTCAGACAGAAGCTCGACGTTCAGGAACAGCACAGCCGTAGAGGTCAATTTGTCGGCTACCACGTCAAGGAACACTTCGGGGCAGTAGTATTTATTGGTCGGGCTTGCGCACTGCCTCGAACGCACTGCCAGAAGACGCATCTTGAGGGTCTCCGCTCGATCGCGCAAGAAGACTGCTTCACGGCCTTTACCAAAGTCAGCGAGGCTAGAGGAGGTAGATCTTTAGGCACTCACCTTGTTGCAGTAAAGCAGAGCTGAATCCTCCTGCGCCGCTGGCTCCGTCACCTTCGAGAACAATTTCTCCTCTTCTCACTCGGTCCACAAACGTTGTCACGTCGTTCAACTTTCGCTTACCAACTCCCCCCTCGAGCTGCTTTTGAGCCCCTTCACATGCACGCAGCTCTTTCTTCATGACTTTGGCCACGCTCTCTCGACCTTTGATCCACTCATTGTCTTCCACCTCGATTTCGAACTTATATGGCTTGATACAGTTTTCAACTTGGTCACTAGTGCTGTAGAACCGCTCGTTGAGGATGTTTGCAGCAGCTTCCCTGATGGCACTATGCGCATATGGGTGAGACGAGAAGGTTGAGCTCGCGATCAATCTGTCGATCTGGCTTTGTAGCTCGTTGGCGACCACGGTGGTTGCCAGTCGACCGATCCCCAGCTTGGTTAGCTCTGAAGTCGAGGCGTCCAGCTTTCTCTGCCAGTACAACGAGTTCGGATCAGCCTTGGGCAAATCCGCCAGCGCATAGGCCTCATATGGTACCGATGTCAGATCCGCGATCGGCTGGTTCCAGTACCTCTTTGCGAGAAGGTCCATAACCCTTTGTTCCAGCGTCTCTTTGAGCATTTCCCGGACTTGTGGACGACCGAAAGCTTCACTAAACTCCTTGAACGAGTGTTTGAAGCTGTCAAGGTTCTCTGCCAGGTATGATTCTGCGCTCAACGGTCGCTCGTTGTATTGGACCTTAAATTCGTAGGTTGCTTCTTCCAGCTCTTGTATAATTGCATCGCGTGTTCCGGCCAGGCTTGATGCCATCCTTTGCTCTAGAACGTGCATCAGCTTCTTGCGCAAAGTTGAGGTACCGACCGCCAAATCAGACTCTGGGCCGTACTCGAGCGGGTGCGATGAAAAGTAGGCGTTCTCATTTTTGGTAATGATGTTTGTCAAGTTACCACGACTTCTCGCGAACAGTCCTGAGGCCGACTGGGGTATTTTGCACACCACGCCAACGTAACCGAGCCGCAGCGGGTACCTTTTGTCGGCCAAGATCTCCGCGCCACGGCGAGGGTCGACGAGATCCATCTTTGTGATAACTCCTATGGTCCTCTCACCTCGGGGATCTACCCTTCTGCTGGCCCGCAGCGCTGTCGAATTGGCAAGATCAACGTCGGCGGCTGAGATGGCAAGAATGACGTTGGGGGGTTGGATGTACCGGTCGCATAAATCCAAGATCTTCTGCTTCAGTTCTGCCGGCTGGTCTTCTCCAACAACCTGGATGTAGCCAGGAAGGTCAATCAATGACAGGTCCGGAACGTTGGGAGAATATATCCATAGTTGAATAGGATCGTCTGTGACACATTTCTCGACTGGCACAGCCAGGTTCAAGTCTGTTAGAGTTTTCTGAATCTGGCTAAAATCTGTAATCTTGCCCAAGCCCAGGGCAGGAAATTCTCCATATTCTGCCTTTGCATCTGGACTGTTCACTAGTGTCAGCTCGATCGGCCGCCGCGTCACCATGTTTGAACCCTTGGGGAGAAATTCGTGGCCCACTATGGCCTCCAAGACAGAGCTCTTTCCCGAGGATTGCGAGCCGATCACGACAATGGACGGTAATGTCAACGCTTCGGATTGTCCGACGCCTTGTAATATGCTTCTTATCTCGATCATTTTCTTGGTGAGCATCATCATCTGATCGTCTCTTGCTATTTGCTCATGGGATCTATCATCTTCCTCTGGCGACTGCTCGTACCCAAAAGCTGCTCCGGTTGTTGCTGCTGCTCCAGCGACGGCTGCCCCCGCCCTTGACTGGTTTGGAGGTTCGCCTCCTGGTCCCCCTTGTCCGTGGGAATGTGACTCTTCATCCAGCCGCAGTATCTTCTGCAGCCATTCGGGGAGTTGGGTCTCATCCTTTGTCTTGTCCCAGCCTAGAGAAATCTGTTCTGCAATTCCTCTGCCTCCTTGAAAGATGCTCGAAGCTGAAGCGCTTGCGGTGTCGCTAGCTCGCCGAAAGATGTCCATCGCATAGTTCCCGGCCTCTGCAAAACATGCTTAGCAGTACTTCTATCACTGGTAGGCGTTTCAGCTTACGCGCAGCCTGATATTGTAGGTAGGCCAGTCCAGCGATCATGCTGGCTCCGAACAAGGCAGGCAACCTCGCCATCTTAAGAGCCAGTTGTGGTAACACCCGCGCAAATGATATCGATCTCACCGCGGGCACATTGTGTATTGAGCTCGCTCCGAACGGCCAATGCCTGCATCGTCCGACAGAAGGGCATCCATCAGTCCGGAGTAGACCGCTGGCTCTCCCCGTTGCGGGCCGGTGTAGATTGCGCTGCATAACGAGACCCCTCCTCATCAGAGGTGCCCATCTCGCGGAGAGCACACGTGCGCTCATCACAGTATGCAGTCATTCATTAGAGTGCTGGCAAAAATGGACTGCGAGAAACTGGTTGAATATGGCAAAATCCGTCTGGGGTGGAGGTTTGGCGCCTTTCGCCGCATCGACAACCGTAGGGGAAGAGGACAGTATTGAAGAGGACAGTAGATCGCCAAGCAGACGATTTCACCACCTTGAAGCTGGAGTGCCATTCAAGTTGTAGAACTTCTTGACAAGACCAACTCCTGCATCCGGCCAAAGAATATGACTGATCGTGATGACAACTCAACGCTGCACAGATGTCTTATCTACCCGTTGCAAATGTACCTCTCATGCGAAGCTCGAAGAATGTCCTCATAACTCCACGATATGGCAAGCTGACACCCCTGCGTTTCCACGTCAAACGCAGCCTCATAATACTACTTGAGTTTAAAGGCTATTAGCAATCCTCCATTTGACTCTTCCTCCATCTTTGTTCCGAGTCACTTCCTGTCACTGTACATTCTCCCTGTCTTATGGGCCTTCAAGCTCCTGGGAACTAACTCCTTGCCCCTGAGCTGTCTTGGCACCCCTTTACCATGTGCCGCTTTCTGGTGAGTGCGCCCGGTTCTCTCCCCAGAAAGTCATCATCAAACTGACCTTGCTAGGTGTTCAAGGGCACACACCCGTTGATACTATCCAAGCTTGTCACTGAACCTTCCCACTCTATCCTCACCCAATCATACGATTCCCGCCTTCGCTTGGACAAGCGCCGACCAGTCAACGGTGACGGCTTCGGCGTCGGCTGGTACACAGAAGCCCACCTGGGCACTTACCCATGCATCTTCACCTCCACCCTGCCAGCCTGGAACTGCGTGAACCTCGAACGCATCGCACCCAAGACATGCTCTCGCCTAATCTTCGCCCACGTCCGCGCCACAACCGAAGGCTCCCTTGCGGAGAACAACTGCCACCCCTTCCAGCACAACAGCCTGATGTGGATGCACAACGGCAACATCGGCGGTTGGAAGTATGTCAAACGTCCGCTCGCCGACTCTCTGGACGACAACTGGTACCTCGGCGTCCACGGCGGCACCGATTCAGAATGGGCCTTCGCCCTCTTCCTCGACACCCTCGAAAAAGAAGGAGTCGACCCCAGCTCCGAACCCACCAACGGCTTCGGTCAAAATATTCTTCGTCGCGCCATGAGAAAGACCATCGCCAAGATCAACGCCTTCGTAAAAGCCATCCCCGCCCACCACAACCTCGATGACGTGGAGACACGGAGTCTCCTCAATTTCGCCGTGACAGACGGCCACACCGTCATTGTGACACGATATGTAAGCAGCAAGACAGACGCAGCGGCAAGTCTGTACTACTCCTCCGGCACAGACTGGGTTGAAGGCAAAACGAAAGGACAATTCAAGATGGAACGCCGGGATAAAGCCTCCGACGTCGTCCTTGTCGCGAGCGAACCACTGACATTCGAACGACACAATTGGCTCTCTGTGCCGACGAACACGATCCTGACGATCTGCAACCAGACCGTCTTTGTGCGGCCCATCAAGGATGAGTTCTATGATCCCGATCCTTCGGCGGAGAGATCTTCGAATTTCGCAAAGGCGCAGGGGTTGGTGACGAAGGCGCCGGGGGGCGGGCAGCCTAAGCAGCCTGCTTCTTCGGTGGTGGCAGCGGCGGATGCTGAGTTGACGCCAAAGCTTAGGAAGAGCGTGGCGGTGCGGGTAGAGGAGCAGTCGGATGATACGGAGAATGAGGCAGCGGTTTAGACTTAGATGGCTGGTTAGAAGGATTTGAAAAGGGCATTTTGGCCCATCTCTGGGAGCAGAGCATTGACCTCAGGATATTTCACGTAGAGAACATCCCCTGTTTTGTTTTGTTTTTTTGGTGGTGGAAGAGGAACGATGACTCTCTAGAGCTTCTCTGCTCCCAAGACACCGTTGAACAGAAGAGTGAATAAAGCTACATCCATGGTGCCGGGATGAAAAGAATACTTATCCTCCCACCGCGGCGCAACAGCACATCTCAAGTGTCTAATAGAGCAGGAGGTCATTTGCATGGCATCTCTAATCTACTATTCTGTGATTGCTACCTTCTAGACTGCATCACAGTACGGCTTCTGGAAGGGTTTCGTCCCCGACTGGCTGAGAGGGCTTCGGAAACAGCTTATCAAAAGCAACACCGCTGGCCTATCATTCACTTGCCTGGATTTCTCCTTTTACCTCGTTCCACCTCAAAGTCACTCTCCCAATATCTCCTTTCCCAGCTCCTCCCTCCCTTTCAACGCATACTTCTCAATGTGCTTCTTCACCTCCTCTCTGAATGCAACCTCGTCCCAGTAATAATTGAGCGTGACCACCGTATTGATAGGGTCTGTAAATTCTGGTACCAGGAGTAGGCCGAAGACCGTGTCAAGCACCTGCTTATTGGTGATATCGACGAGCCAGTTCCTGTCAAATATAGAATGGCACGCCCTTCCCCCGCGGTTAATGTTTGGATGGAAGATCCTGGTAATAAAACGAGCGTGTGGTGGGGAGAGAGGGTAATCATCGCCCATGTGAAGGTACAGGACAAATGTGCCAGACGCGTATGCTGACTCGGCAGGACCACACATGACAATCCTCCAGAATCCCATATTGGATTCTGAGACATAAACGTCGTAGGATGGATGTGGGTTGGCGGTAATGTTTCGGATTTCAGCGAGGAGACGGCGCTGACGTACGACTGTGCTCGCTACTGGATTGCCGTCCACCGACTGTGCGACGATACTCCGAGCACCTTTCTCGACAGAATCAATGCGAAAAAATTGGTCATCAAGATTGGGATGCCGTTTTTGAACCGGAAACTTGTCTTGCGTCACCTCGTCCTCGAAGAATTGCAGGCCTGCGACAGCAAAATCGCGCGGTGTGAGGAGCGGGCCCATCACAGGTCGGAGTACTGGCGGCCTCTCATGAAGTGAAAGAACCGGCTCCAGCTCACAGATAGCCACAGCTTGTTCGAGCGTTTGTGGCACGAATTTGTATCCACCAGTCATGAATGATACAGTGCGTAGCGCTGAGTTGTCCTCAACCCCGATGGAACACGAATCCACCACAATCTTGTCTCGAAGCAACCGACGACAGACATCTGTTGCTGTCCTCGCTGATTTGGTGTCTACTCCATCAGACAGACAAATGATTCTCTTTGATATGCCAGGATATTTCTGACCGAAATGCGCCAACTGATCAGCAGCCAGGGCTAGTGCATCCCATAAGGAAGTGTCGCCAGATGGCTTCAGTGTATCAACGGCATGACGGAAGTTCTCGATGAGCCCAGTAAGTGGCTGGGATAACGAGGGAGAAGTGCCGAAAGAAACCAGACCCATCACTGTAGGATAGTTGTAGGCAATCATCCGATTGATGAATGCACCAAACACCTGTTTTGACACTGCCAACCTCGTGAGGCATCTCAGTCTCTCCTGTCGCTGAAGTTCACTGACTTCAGGACTTATGTAGTGTGAGAGGTCAACCTTGAGGACTCGATACTGAGTAGCAGGACCAGTGCCAACAGAGTCGGCCTGCCTGGTATCATGCTCGCCGCTGGTCGGGCTCTGCCATGCCATGTCGACGTCGATGTCGATGTCGATGTCTTGCTCCAGGGGAGGACTTACGTAAACGCTTTCACTAGCAACAAGCCTCCCAAGTTCCGTCTTGTTCAAGGCTTTGGCAAGCAGGTCCCAGTGGTCATGTCTCTGCCCGTATATGACACCATCGCCTCCATATTCCAGACCTGACCAGACTTCTTGATCCAGCGCCTGAATAACGCCAAGTGAGGACAGCTTGAAGCGCCAAAAGCGAAAAATGATCGACGCCATTGTGTGGGAAGTATCACGAGGGATCCAGTATGAGAACAGCTCAGAGGAAGATTCATAAACTTTAATGAGACACATTTCCTCGGATTTCGTCTCCATAGGGACAGCTGGGTCTCCATGCACTGGCTGGATGCTTGCCATGATGTCTGATCCGGTCGTAATTCCACATCGTCCCAGTTGTTGGTCGGAAGACACCAATAAAGATCCGCGCAAATGCAACAAGAAAGATTTGTGGACGCCCCGCATTCCGCGATAAGCCATCTTGTACAAATCGGACAGCGGAAGCGTGGAGGGCAAATTTCGAGTAAAGGTGCCCGCTGGTGTCACAAAGTTCAATCGAAGTATGACTACAGATCTTGTACTGAGAAGACGAGATCTGTCTGCAGCTTGAGATGCAGCTTGTAGGATATCTTCGCCAGCCACCCATCGTACCGTTCGATTGTGCAGCAAATGGTTGCGTCGAAGTGTAAGATCGCTCAGTGGGAGGCCAGTAGAGGGGGAAGATTGACGAATTTGGAACCAGCGCTCAATTGAACGCCGCTCGTAGGTGAAGTTGTCTGATGTCGTGACCGGATCCTCAAACACAACCTGGGAAATGGGGCAAATGATTTCATGTGGTGCAGAAAGAGAATCTGTTACATCGAGGTGATGAAGGCCGGGAGATAGTGGTTCCCTGCGTGGAATTGGCTCGCCATAAGTCCAAGGGAATGCTTCCCTCGCGGTCCAGCTCTCAGCCTTGACGATGAGGAAGTCACACAATGCAGCCTTGTAGGTAGTGAGACCCCCAACAAGCCTTCGCAGCGAGCCTAGCTCGTTCTCATATGCCGTCGCTATCTCCAGCAGCATAAACCGAGTCGCCGAGGACTTCAGCGCTGAGACCTGCTTACCTTTCTCGAAAAGCTCTCGAGAAATGAGCAGGCTCACAAAATCAACGACATTTTCTGCAACGGCTCTCCTCGTGCGTGTTTCTGCAGAAGCAACAAGTCCAAGCATATCGTCGAAAGATTCATGGTCAGCAATCCAGTCCCTCATATCATCTAGGCTTATCGCTTCATCTATCTCCCCTGCGACTGGCACATCACCGATGGTGGCCTCTGTGCCCACAGGGGCCGCAGAATTTTCCTGGGTCTCATAGAAATCAGACGCACTGTCCATACTTTGACTGCAATCAACACAGAACATCAATAGTTCTGTCGGCTTCGCGTTGTCGGATCGTAAGCTCTCGCTTAAAAGCTCAAATACAATAGTACCGTCGTGCTCGCGAAGTCGAAGGACTGGTTCAACGAGTTGCGCCACTATATTCACATCGACAGCTTCTTCTGAGCCGTGAACAGGTCGAAAAATGGAAATATCACGGTCGGGAGGAGCACAAGCAGCGCGCCCAACATAGACACAGAGGTAGCCATCGCGGTCCAGAGTCAAGACTGGGGCTTTGGCGGACTTTAGTGAAGTAGAATGGATGACATTCATCCCGCTTCTGTCAGAGAGCATCCCCAAGTACCGAAGGTCCCGCGAGAAACCTCGTAATTCTTGAAGTACGTTATTGTTAAGGTCTTTGATCGATAAAGAAGCTCGAATGGTGTTTGTCTCATAGTAGCTTGCTTCTGGAGCAACACCGCTATTTAATGTGGCGGCTCTTAGTGCTGGCAAATCCGGACTGGCCGATAGGATGTCGACATCTTCAGCTCCAGGGTGGCTCAGAATCCCACCTCGCTTAAACGCATTGTAACAACCCCTCTCCATGAGACCAAGATCGGTCTGTATCGGGTCGACAATGAATTCATTAGTTCGAACATCTCGAAGATCCACGGTCTTGAAAAGATCTAGATACGGTTGCCCTTTATCGTTGCCTTCGTCTGCACGGGCCATTGGCTCTGTTGCCAAGGTTCCAACCTTTTGCAGGACGAAACCCAACAGCAGTCTGGTCCCTTCGAGATATCTACGCTGGTCATTCTCGATGAGGTTCAAAGGTACCAAGTCTCGAAGAGCTTCTGCGAGGCTTTGCACGATAGCCGCACACTCATTGGGTCGGAGGGTTTTGCCATCCATAAGCATTCGAACTGCCCGCACAGCTGGGAAGTACCGTGTCATGTCGTGAACCAGTTTCAAAACGATGTTCTGACGGCGGGTGTCCATCTCTTTCGTATTGATTTTATTTGCAAAGACTCGCAGACTAGCGAGGAAGGCGTTTGAACCGCGGGTTGACGCTGTCATTCTCGGAAGGGCCTATAATTCGGCATACCAATTAGCAGAATTTAAATATCCGACCATGAAAACCTGAGAGCTCACCCAGTGGCTGGCCGCACTAAACATAGCATCTTTGCCTAGTGTCTGCTTTTCCGTCCCGGTGAAATTGACTCTCCTCTCCACTGCGTAGATCGACAGTACGCCATTCACGATTAGATCTGTGAGTCCAAGGTTCTTCATTGTGAGGTCCAGGCGCGTTGTCTCGATTGGTCCTTCGGCGGTATGGAGATCTAGCATTGAAGTAGCCGCAGACGACGATGTAGAAGTGGGATGCATGCTAGAATGCCGGCTCTCTGCACAGATAGACACGACTGGCAGACGTGTGAACCAATCATCATCGGTCTGAACGCCGCCTTTAAGATGGACACTTTTCGCATCTTCGAATGTGTCACCAAAGAGTTGTCTCAGGCCAGTCACGATAGCAGCGTAGGTGTTTCCAAAGACATCTAACCAAGCTACATTTGAAAAGCCCGAAACAATAAGCACTTTCGTGCCGCGGTCAGGGAACAGATGAGGCATTTCACAGCTCATTTCAGCCAACTTGCAGTTACATTCTTGTAGTTCTGGGCTTTCAGACCGCAAGGGTATCTCAAGATTGTCAGCGATTGCTGCTCTGAGATCACGTAACGTTGAATGTGCAGAGAACACTTTGCCATTCTCGAGGAGGGGGATAGTGCGAAAGTCGTGATGGCAATGTGCCGATTGAGGCGTGATGACACGAAGCCGAAAGTCATCTGAAAATTGAGGATTGGATTTTGAAGACTCATCGTGCATATTCTGAGGACCCGCTGGAAGTGAGGAATCGCTCAGCACTACAAATACGGTTTCTCCAGCACTGATAACGTCTTCCACCTTATCATCAGGATAAAGAAAAGGCCCTGCCTGGCTCTCCAGTCGTAGCAGAACGTGATCGACGCGTGAGATATCTGTTGAGTGGTGGAGTGCGGCTCTTTCGATAGCCAACTCTTGAAGAGTTTTGAGAGTAGTTCCGCCGTCGGTGGGAATGATAAGGTCTACTCGGGATCCATTTGGCAGCACCACGGCTGTCTTGACTGGGGCCATGCTGACTGAAGCAAAGGACTAGCAGAGATGTAGTGGAGAAAGATCGAGCATAAGTGTGTTATTCAGCGGCTATGCGAGCTGAAATCTGAGGCAATGCCAAAAACCGTATTGACTAGAAGCCTCTTCAACGATTTGTAGGCGGACGTGTCGTCTCGCGGCGAAGTGGGTTCTGTATCTTATTCACAAGGATCGAGGAGGCGCAAGAAAACCTGCATCCTTGTGCTAGAATTATTCAGATTACTCAGGTAGCAAGGAGTGAAGGTGTAGGTGTTTGCTGCCTGATGCCAAGGCCATTGGATGTCTGGGCTGCAAAACTGAATGAGACTCGGAGGCCAAACACACCGTGTTGTTTGGCCAAGTTAGGGTATATTAAACCGCAAACACAGCACATGTGCAAATAGGCTACCAATTCCGTGCCATCGCCAGAGTCTCAGCCATCATCTCCGCGACCTTCGGCATGCCTGAAATATTTCATTCCGACCCATGCAACAACCACCCAAACCCATGCCATCACGCTTGTGAGGACCATTAACGCAGGATAATAACCTACAATCGGCAGTGTTGGGTCATCGTTAAGCTCTGGCGGTGCATACGGAGTCTCGCCCACATCCCAAGCCCACGACCAGACATCAAAGCAGGACCCCATACCCACCACAAAGACCAGCCAGGTGATAATCAATATCACATATCCCCAATATGCCGTTTCAGAGTAGTCCCATTCTTCCTCGCTTGCGACAGGGGACGAAGTCAGTGACTGGGGCTGGGTAGCGAGAGGCGACTTCATCCGATCCGTAGGTCTCCTCGAGCGAAGAGGTTGCTGGGGTGGAAAGTAGGAGTCTCCACTACTCGATGGAGGCCTTCTGCTTGCAATAAATGGTAGTTTGGGAAAAGAGAGTCCCTGTTCCTCATCGTCTGTCGGTGAGTGATCGGTTGGCAGGGTCGGACTTGTGATGGAAGCTCCTGAAGACGCTGGCTCGACAGAAGGCACACTCGAACGGATAGAAGACAGGGACACTTTAGAGGTTGGAAATTTCCATTTAGGCGGCGAAGCGGAGAGCACAGGACTATCTTTCTCCTGACTTGGCCGCGGCGTTGCATCTGTGTCTGTTCCATGAGTCGCTACTGCTATACTCTTCTCGTTCTCCTTTAGGAATTGTGGACTGGAGAGAGGTGACTTTAGTTTGGCGTCGGATCCCTTCCGATCACGGCCCAGCATACTCTTTCCAAGTAGAGCCGTCTTTCGCAACGACCCTTTTCTTTTCCGTGTTTTAGCATTTTGTTGAATTAGGGCCAGAGATCCACTAGGAGGACTATCTTCTCCATCATTGCTCCTCTCACCAGACGTGGATCTTTCCGAGCCGCTGTTGGTGCGCAGCAACGACAGCTTCGATAGTATGTTGCCCGGGATTGTTCGTCGATGAGGAGTATTTGACCGGTCAGCGCGAGGCCTTTCTGCTGCTGGCAGCGATTCTTCTACTGCTTGCGAAATATGGTCATTGAGAATGGGAGGGAACGGCACTGGCTTGTCCCCAGTTCGCACTGGGCGGCTCTCCGCCATGCCCGTGCGTAAGCGGCAGCGCAGGGGGCTGTGACCAGCTTCATTGAAGATGCGATCTCTCCTCGGCGCTCCGTTGCATGTTTAGGGTTTCTTTCGCGAGTCTTAAGTTACAGGCGTGAACTTAGAGTGCGCATCTGACCGTCTTGTCCACCGTACTCGAAACCTTTGAGAAGCGTCTACGGAGTACCTTGCTAGTGTAGCCTCAACATAACAATCACCGCAGTCCCCTCGCGAACGATTTGACTCAATGAACGTACTCGTAATAAGAGAGTAAGTCTTTCGTGCATGTCTAGGACTATTTACATTCACTGCTACTAGTAGTAGTGGAAAGCCACTGGTTTCTAAGCCCAGCCTATTCTCCCAATGCCCAGATCAGACTTGTCTAGTTCTTGAATTGTGAAGTGACTGAAGCCAGGAGCACTGTATCGACCCGAGTGATCCCTCATGGTAGTCAATGCTCCGTACATAGATATTACTAATGCGATAATCTTGAGACAACTCGACCACCTCATAGAGGCGGTAGCGACTCTCGGCAGATTGGACACACCAGTCTGAGTCGCATCCATCCTTCCAGACACTCACTGTGAAAGATGTGACGGCAAGGTGTGACCATGTATGTTCTCCTACCAAGCCAGCTAGCCCCTAGGTTGCTTCTCTTGGCTGTCTCTTTGCTGGGAATTACAGGGACTTCAATCTCGTTCATGCAAATAGCACAATCGAAGATCTTCATATTCTTATTTGTCAGTTTGTCCTTGGTACTGTCCTCCTCCTTTTCCTTTGCCTCTGACGCTGACGCGAGAAACCCGATCGGTAGCAACGAACCTGACTCGACGTCATCAAGGTCGCTTTGAAGAAGTGGATGATAGTCGTAGGCAGGAGGACACCAGCTTTCCTTCACGAAGAGTCGAGGACCCAGAAATTGCTGAATTGCAAGGGTTAAAACCTGCAAAAGGACCCAGCCTGCAAGAACGACTCCGGCGTGTGGATCAGTTTCGATACTCAGCGTATTGGAACTATTAAGGTAACAATACATGACCGGAATCAGCCTGAAAGTGCTGATGCCAATAACGTACTCCCAGGTAAATGCGTGCCGACAATTACGGATGACATTCCGATATATCTGTGGAACCCAAAAAGAGAGATACGTGAAGCAAAGAACATTGGCATAGGCTGATCGCAAGGTTGTTGGCCACGAAGAAGCCCACAGAGAGAAGAACACGAGCACTAACATCGAGAAATAGAATCGTGAATACAAGGTCTGAAAGTCAACACGTGTACGTGCACCCGGATTTGTACCTGCTGTGGCTGCGTTTTGCGTAGTGTCTCCTTCAGTCACAGCCTCCATATCTTGGTCCGGCGGCAGAATGATGGGTGTTGCCCCTAAGTCAGTGGGACGTGAGGTTGTCACGGGTAACGGTAGGCGTGACGGATTGGAGGCTACTTGAGTAGATGGTTGGAGAGGAGAATGGCCACTCGACGGCTGCGTTGTGGTACTATTCTGCACATCTGCGTTAGCCTGTTGGGCTGATCTTCCCTCTGCGTCCCGTCTTTGATGTCCAACTTGCACTAGCCAAATATCATATATGAACTTCATCTCGAAAAAGGCAAAATTGAAGAAGCACAAAAAGCCTGCCGATGTCAAGATCAGAAAGCCAATGTCATTGACCATAGATACAGCGATCAGGGTGGCCAACATCAGGCCATCTGCCATTGCCATTATGGCAATGCTATGATAGCTCGTGCGGCTTCGCATAGATGGAGTTGAGGCTTCGTCCATTTGGCGTTTCAGCAGCGTGATTTGCAATCCAAGCACAATCAGGAGCGCAAGGAGTAGCTGTCTGATTAAGGTCCAAAATGCTTCTATCTTTGGACCTGAAAGTAAGTACGATTTGGTCGGATCCAAACCTTCTCTACTCTCCAGCATAAAGCCACAGTCCGGAGAGAAAATGACTGCACTGAAAGCCATTGGTGGAGCCTCTGGAATAGGGGCACCTTCGGGGAAACGAAGTTCTTTCTCAATTTGCATGAGAATTTGGATTTGTTGCAAGGGATTCAGACTCAATTTCTGGAGAGGCACTGGCTGTTGCTGCAAGTAGACAATATACTCGCAACTGGGAGCTGAGAAGATAGATGTGCTTTCATCGCCGGCCTTTGACATCCATGGGAATGCAAGGTCATCTGCATTGCTCCTCTGTCGATCCGACAGAGTCTTGCTGAGCGAGCGATTAAGCAGCTCTTGCGCATTCTCGAAATCGTCTCTGATCAGAGCAAAATGTGGCAAAGTAAAGATCCCAGGGAACTTCTCGCTCGTGGTTGTCAAGATGATTGAACCACTCTTTTGATAATGTACACCATACAATTTCATTTCCCACCCACTACCAGGTGCTGATTCCGTCTGAACAACAGCATCCGCGCTTATCTCCTTTGCTGCAAGATCTGTCGTACCGTCTTTGTCTTCCTCGAAGATTCGCAGAGTGAGACCACCTTCATATTCGGTGACATTTCTCCAGAACTCCTTGATGACGGATCTATTTTCCAGTACCAATGAAGTAAGATTGGACGGTGCATGCATCGGGCCTGTAACTGGTTGCCTGACAAAGTCGCCCTTTATGGTTCCACTAACATTCTGATAGAGTGGTAAGGAGCTCCTTGCAGCTACCTCGTAGGCTTGTTCACTTCCGACAGCAACATCGTTCTCGGTCACACGTTCAGTACCGAGAAAAAGTCTGAGGTATTGAGCACGAGCTCGTTTCTGTACTTCAGGCAGCAGATCCCAGGAAAACCCGTTCGGGTCTCCAAAGCTAGTTGCGTTGTTCTTCCCATTATTTGCTCGAACGAGTTGGCCGTACGATGCGTTCCTAAGGTTCTCCAAAGCTTCATGCTGTCTCAAAATTTGTGTCTGAACTCCCGCTCTCTGATTTCGGGAAGGTTGGCTAGTGTCTGGAGAGAAGAGGAAGAACAATATGAGGAAGATCAGTAGAACAGCACGCTGCGGTTCCATTCAAACAGATAGATTCTCAAAACATTTTTAGCAGCAGGAAAAGCAGGCGGACGGAATCTTCCCACCTGTTGACCTGTTAAAGTTCGATTGAACTCGCTAACGGTGAATCAGAGCAGTCGGCGCACGAGTGCGAGAAATGGTCTCTACATACATAAGCTTTCGGCAAACTGACCAATCGGAGTGGTGACTTGGAAGACGCTCGCAACAGTGAGATTGACTTATTGTGCAGGACAGCGTGCTGTATTCAATGTCAATTCTCTACGCAGCGCTCGACCACAATGATCAACCCATGAGAAATTGGTCTTGCGCTGCTCGATATCGCTGGCATGGCCTCTTTGATGCCGGTTCCTGCTCCGCCTCGAACACCCACACCTCCCCCTGATGAGAGCACCCTTCAGGGTGGTCTGGGCTTAGATGGCATTCCACATGCTACAGCGACTGAGATCCTTTATGATCCCAACTCACTCTCTCCAGCTGATCCCAATGCTCATTTTGGCTCAATGTCCGCCAACATGGTCTCTCCCGCCGGTGCCAATTCAGTGTACAGTCCAATGTCTTTGGAAAGTGGAAATAGTGATATCTCAAGCCCTTTCAATTTCCAGACAACCACACTTGCAAAGTCTCCTGTTGTGAAGTCGGTTCGTTACATCCACGGCGGTCTACTAAGTCCCCGCGCGTCGCTTGAAACAGACTAACCTATACCAGAATATTGGTCAGAGACGTGGTCACAAATACAAGCATAGCAGTGTCTCTCATCAGATCTTCCTGGAGCCTCCTCCCAGAGCACCACTATCGTTACCAAATTCCCTGCCTATCCCTACATTTGCCGAATGCTGCGCAAGCATGTCGAAAGATCAGAAGACAAGGTTCTGGTGGAGTTTGTGTCACATCTCGATTGCAGGGTATGCAATGTGGAGTGCGTCTGGGTCATCAGCCATGGAGGCGCTATCACACCTCCTGATATACGATTCGCTTGGAGCGCTGATATGTGTGGTTGTGGATGTACTCAGCAATTTCGAGGTGTGGAAGCGGTCAAGCATTCGTCATCCTTTTGGCCTCGAGAGAATGGAGGTTCTCTGTGGCTTCGGGCTCTCCATCTTTTTAGTCTTTACTGGCTTTGACCTGATCTCTCATAATGCAAAACATGCATTGGAAGGGATCGGACACACTCCACACCATTTGCATAAGCACGAAAGAGCCTCTGCAGGCTCGGTCGATGTAACAGCAGTGCTTGCCCTAATGTCGACTTTGATCTCTGCTGTTGGACTTGGGAACCATGCAAGGATTGGAAAAGCAATGCGGTTTGCTGCCATCGAGTCCCTACCACCGCTCCTCAGCAACCCTTCACACTTCCTGACGCTTTCCTGCTTGGCTATATTGCTCCTATTGCCGCTTCTCTCTTTAAATGCCTACACATGGATCGACAAAGCGCTGTCGGCGACGATGGCGGTGTGTATGTGTGCACTTGGTGTTCGGCTGGCGAAAACACTTGGATCGATGCTACTCATGTCATATTCTGGACCTGGAGTTCAAGATGTGATTCGAGCGATCGAGACCGATTTTGCTGTGACGAAGGTCGAAGACGCCAAATTTTGGCAGGTCCACTATGGACTTGGAATGGCTAACCTGAAATTAAGGGTCAGAGGCACGGAAGACAGCCTCTTAAAGTTACGAGAACGACTTACCAGTTTGATACGCAACCAACTAGGTGGTGGATATGGTGGAGGCGGGCAAAAATGGGAGGTTTCTGTCCAACTTATCACAGACGACCTCCGCGCCAGATGAACCGTACCAGAGTTCAACTGTACAAGAGAACAGCAACCCTGAAATCGGATCAATGCTGAAGAGACCAGGTCCAGATGAGATCTTGTTGCTTGCCAGCCGTCGCCTTGGTATCGGTCGGGGTCCAACCGTTAGCAATACCATAATGAGTACGATGTCGTGCAGAAAACCCTCGGAAACCGCAGGATGCGAGGAAGCCGGAGATCAGCCCGGTCGTGTATGATATCATGTAATGTTGCCACCTGCACAGTTCGCCGCCTGAACAAGTCAATTGAGGTATACACGAGAAGGAAAGCCTGTGCGTAGGTCGCTGCCAGCAAGCCGGGAATCCAGCATCGCAAGCGGATATTCTCATTAGGATCCTTCTAGAACACCTTGTAAAAAGTCAAACCGTCCGATCACCTGCAACGCAAGGAAGGTCTGTCCACATACACAGATCTCTCGTGTAGAAAGAGATGTCAGGTAGTCGAGGGTACAGTTGATCCGTCTATTCAAAGCCTTTCTTCCTTATTGTCAGCACGGTGTGCTTTCCGACCTCTCCGCCTTGCATTTCTTTGATCTCAATCGCGTCTGCTTCTGCAAGCTTCTCTTTGACCTTCCTGAGCACCTCCTGACCTTCCTCCGGCGTAGCCTGTCTTTGCCGCTTTTTGCTTGCCAGAACAACCTCGACTTTCTTTCCATCCTTGATGAACCCCTTCATTTGGGTCATTTTATGTTCCAGATCATTTGGGCCGATAGCCCAGTTCAACTCAATCTGTTTCGGTACCGATTGCTTCAAGCTCTTCTTGTGCTCCTGCTGCATTCTCTCTTTGTCTTTCTTTTGCTTCAGCAAATCAGCTTTTGTCATGATCCGGCAGATGGCCATGCCGTCCTCATCTACTTTCGATATTTGCACTAGGTATTCATCACCCCGCCTTAAACGTGAGATAGTCGAATGTAACGATTCAGGGGGTGATAAACCGCCGTCTGGCTGGCGCATTCTGACATATCGAGCCATGATCGCGTAGTCCCGGGTCACGTCTGGGAATTGATCCAGGGTGCTTTTCTTTGCGCTATGATTGCCGTCCTTAGACATTGTGAAGGCATGTCGGATTTGAACAGTGCTCCTCGGCTTCACAACACAAGCTGCGTAATACGAAAGCTGTCCATTGACAGTTACCCGTGTGGTTTGCGAGAGCACTTGTAGTAGTGCTTGCGCAGGTGAGAGAACGGATTGCGAGTGCCTCATGCTAGGAACACGAATGCTAACAACAGACTGGTAGTTGCAAAGGCGTGTCTTCTACACAGAACCTCCCCTGGCTGGAGAATTAAGAGCTTCTTCACAATTATCAGCGTCTCTAAATACAGAACTTCCCTAACTAAACCTTAAATTTTTGTATGCAGGGGTCGTTTAAGGGACCAGAGGACCAGAGGACCATCAGCAGCCAGAAGCGCCATAAATTTCATTCTTTCCCCAGCCATTAATACGCGCATGGGTGTTTTGCCAATATCCCAAACTCTCCCATTCTCCGCCCACCCTCTTTACCCTCTTCATGTCCACCAGCATCGACCCCGGGCGCCGCACAGGAATCTGGTCTTATATTCCCTTCGGCTCGTCCAGTCCCAGGCGGAGATCCGTGTCCTTGCCCTATCGTGCCAACGGCGATCTATCTGATCCCTTTGACCCTTTCGAGAAGCCTAACAGGCACACACCTACCAGCAGTGGTCGTCATTCAGCTTCTCCAACTCTGATTGAAAATTTACAAAACGCCTGGATGACGCAGAGCCAGCGGAGTAGATATTTCAAAACTGGTGGAGTGCTTGTGTTCATACTGTTCGTTCTGTCCTATGTCTCCAAAAGTTGGAGCGGGATACCAGATGTCGGTAGTACGTGGGACAGTCCTTGAGCGCATGCCGTTGATTGACATGATCAGGCAATATATACAACATCTCCAATTCGCCCACCTCAAAATGCACGAAACCGCACGATGGCTCGAAGCCCCTCGTTCAATATGCCCTGATGATTGATGCTGGTAGCACGGGCTCAAGGATACATGTCTATAGATTCAACAACTGTGGCCCAACCCCAGAACTCGAGGATGAGGTGTTCAAGATGACTGAGAAGCGTCAAGGTGGCTCGGGCTTAAGCTCCTACGCAGCAGATGCTGAAGGCGCGGCAAGAAGTCTGGACCCTTTGATGGACACAGCAATGCAGTCCGTGCCGGATGAATACAAATCGTGCTCACCGGTGGCAGTAAAAGCTACTGCCGGCCTTCGGCTGCTAGGCGAGGAGATGAGCACGAAGATTCTGGAGGCTGTGCGACAACGTCTGGAGACAAAGTTCCCCTTTCCGGTGGTCTCTCGGGAGAAGGACGGCGTCGTGATAATGAAGGGTGAAGACGAGGGCGTATATGCCTGGATTACGACCAATTACCTCCTGGGCAAAATTGGTGGACCAGACAAAACACCTACCGCTGCTGTATTCGACTTGGGAGGAGGATCGACTCAGGTAGTTTTCCAACCCACCTTCAAGGATGCCGCTTCTGGTGGAATGCCTGAGCATTTGGCAGACGGGGACCACAAGTACGAGCTCAAATTCGGTGGTCGAGACTTCACGCTGTATCAGCACTCGCACCTTGGCTATGGCCTGATGTCAGCCCGGAACGCCGTGCACAAGCGCGTAATAGACAACATGCACGAGTCAAACAAGAACTCGAGAGGGTGGCTCTCCTCCCCAATTCCAAACCCCTGCATCGCTCCGGGTATGTCCAAAACCGTCAACGTGACCCTCTCTCCTGACCACGATCTCGGTGGATGGGTCCAAGTCACAATGGAAGGCCCCAGAGATAGCATACCAGCGCAATGCCGTGCCCTAGCAGAAGGCATTCTCTACAAAGATGCCGCCTGCAATCTTGCACCCTGCTCCTTTAACGGCGTCCACCAACCGAGCCTAGAGAAAACGTTCGCCAGAGAAGACGTTTACATATTCTCCTATTTCTACGACCGCACCCATCCCCTTGGCATGCCTGAATCATTTACCCTCCGCGAACTTCATGACCTCACCGCCAAGGTCTGTGGTGGGGAGGAGTCATGGGATGCATTCGCAGGTCTGCAGGGTGAGGATGCTCCGACAGTGCTGGAGGATTTGCGGGGTAGACCCGAGTGGTGTTTGGATCTGAGCTTTATGGGTGCGTTGCTGCATACTGGGTATGAAATGCCGATTGATCGAGAGGTAAAGATCGCAAAGAAGATCAAAGGGAATGAGTTGGGGTGGTGTTTGGGGGCAAGTCTGCCGTTGTTGGAGAAGCAGAGTGGATGGCAGTGTAAGATCAGGGAGGTTGAGTAGGAGAGAGCATATTCGCTCTTACATCTCGACTTACATATGTTCTAGCGCTCTGGAGAGATGGATGGCGTTCCGACTGGAAAGTAGCAGTCATGTCTCATTTTCATGGTGGTCATGGTGGTGGTGGGAGGAAAACGGCACCTTTACAGTTCTGCTTGTACTCGACGTTGTCCCACGGACAGAAGCTCGGTTCATGGAGACGTGAAAGTTGATTTTGTCGAATCCTCCATCTATCCAACATGGCAACGACCTAGACGTTACCTTTTGATTCGACCAAGTGCGTCATTCCCATAGGTAGTAGTCTTGTTCTGATAGTGTTGCGATGACACCAAGTCGACCAGCTGAATGGAAAAGGCAGAATGACCCATGCAGAACGCGTTTGAAATCTAGAACTAGAACGCACTAGCTGCTGAGGCGCCTGGATTTACTACGTAGGCCGGGGGTGTCCTTGGTACGACCGTTGAGAAACGGTCATGTCTGAGTCAAGTAACTAGAGTGTGTCAGAACAATTTAGTCATTTAAGGCTGGTTTGAATGACGGGTAAGTTAGGATGAACCCTTGGGGGATCGGCGGGGGGTTTGTGGCCGCACCAGAGCGGTGTTTGGGGTACGTAGTACATCGAGATCTACATGCGGCAAACCAGACGCAGCTATTAACTAGTAAAATCAAGGGATTGGTTGGATGTTCTGACCTCTGGATATCCGGTAGCCCGGTCGGAACAGACATCCTGCCAAGCCATAAGGGCCAAGATAAAGCTCCCGGATCGAAGTCCCACATGCTTTTATATATTGGTACTACTACGAACTGATCCGAAGGAGATTCATGGCCGTGCCAGTTAGGTTCAGTTCCGTTCAGCGCCACTCTAGTTCAGTCGTACTTTTGCCTCCTTCAACATTACCTTGATACATGTCGCTTAGGTCACATCCCCTTAAAGGCAGCCAGGGATGCAGAAGTGGGAACTATAGCGCCTTAAGCGGAAGAGTACCCCTTGGCTGATTTTCGCAAGCTAACACGTGTTGCTCTCGGAAGCACACGTGCACTTCAACTGGAGAACAATATTTTGGGGAGTTCGGCTAGCATTCGATATCTATCTGCCAAGGACGAACTACGTCGGGCGTTCAGTACCAGTATATCTACGTCTGGTACTTGGTCGACATGAAAATTCACGATCGAATTTCAAATCCAGAAAGGAGGACACGATCTTTAAACACTTCGGCAGTGTTATGATCTCCAGAATTCCACAGGTATCATATGTCAAACGACTAATGTGACTAACAGGCTGGCGCAACCAAACCCCCACGGACAAGAGCGCCCCAGGAAAAGGCCAAGGAGTCTTAACTAAATGAGAATTAGTTAGAATCTGTTGCCGTGACTACCGTTTTCCCCAAAGTCTCACTGATGCCGCACAGGGCATGGATAATATCATGGTGGGCGCTTCATAGATACCATATTGGCCATAAAGCTTGTTATGAATGCAGGAAGATCTCGCTAGAAGCAACTTGAATAATGAATAAAATGGTATCGTTGTTGACCTTTGACGATCAGTCATGAAATATTAACACGAGCAGCAAAGTAAACATTGGCTTTTCGCGATCCGGCTGTATCGATGGTTGGATATGACGTCGATCACACACATCTGTGTGCAGTACGTTGTTCGCAGATCACATAACCCAAACCCCCAGGACGATTGAATGAGCCTTTCCCATCGAGTCCTCTCCGAGCGAGTTAGCAAGCCAGGAGATAGCCAGTATCTTCGCAAGCAGCACGAGCACGAAGAACAGCACTTTTCGTTATCGTCAGCCCGTTATCATCCAGCCAACGCCAGGTACACAGTGACGTCTTGCAACGATGTGACCATGTCACACTCGAGGCCGAAAATCAGCATTTAAATAGCACAGCGACAGGCCTGTTCTAGAGCGAGCCCCCCCACCCCCATGTTGGGAATCAATCCTGATCGCAAAGAACATGTGCATAATATGGAAGCTGGCATACAGTGACAACAGCCCCATTCATTGAAAACGACGCGAAGGAAATAGAGGCAATATGGTGATAACTCAATCGGGAATTTGGCCTGCAATGCTCAGCTCTGGCAGCTCCTGATTGTCAACCATTGCGGACGAGTTTGGAGATCCACCCATAATCGATGAACTCAGGTCCATTGCATCAAATGACAAGCTGCAGCTTGAATGTGGCGAAGTAGCGTGGTCGAGATGACCTCGAGGCAGGGACGCTTCTGCATTTCGAGCTAGATATTCACGCACACTGTTGCAGTCACAAGTAGTATGCCTTAGTGCCTCACCCTTGAGGTATAGAAGCTCTTCTCTCAAAGAAGTGACCAGTAAAGCCATTGACGTCTTGCTCGCCTGCAGCTCGCGCGCCTTTTGTTCGAGGTTTGATGTCCATTCTTTCTTCTTCTGCCTGCACTTGCTGGCAGCGACACGATTCCGTTCAAGGAATTGACTGCGCTTGTCGTCACCCTCGACAGCTAGTCCAACCGAAGATTGTTTGCGAGCTGATTTCTTGCGGCGGCGGCTAGTGGGTGTAGTATGAGAAGAGGCATCTGTGATGCGGCTGGATTGTGTACTTCGTCTTTTCCGTGTGGTAGGTCCATTCTCCTGTTCCATGGTGTTTATCATCGAATCTTGCAGAGTTTCGACAAGTGGGCTCTCCTTGGTAGGGGTGGTCTCACTCGGAGGAGTCAATTGTCCGTGCTTTTGCTTGCTCATGGGTGATGGTATGTGCAGTCGGCTAGGCTGATGCGCCAACTGTTGAAAGGCTGGTTGGTATAGGGGATTCTTCAATGCCGATCGATACCGAGAATCATTCGGAGCCCAGTAGCTGGATTGGCTGATTGGTAGGTCTCGAGTCTGCGAGGAGAAGAAGCACTCCGCCTCGTTCTTCACGTCGTTCGGCGCAGGACTCGTGCCGGGAGAGAAACCGAAACCATTTGGTCGTTGTAAAAGGTCCAGCGATAGAAAATCGGAAGGTAGGTACGTCAAGCCCACAGGATTGTGCTGAGCATTGTTCATAAACAGCTGTGGACCCCCAAAGTCACCCATAACCATAGTTGATGAACCTCGAGGTTCGATTAAGGAGGAGTATCCGCGTCTGTTGTCACTAGTCGTGGTTGCTTGCGCAGCTGGTACGCAGCAGTAGGCAGATGTGAAGCTGAAAGGAAGGTAGAGTAGAGTTGCGTCGAAGCTTGGTATCTGGCCTAGATTGCACTATTCGATGACAATGATCCCCGTTCTGGGTAGATTATGGTATCTGATCGATCCAAGTCTGCTACTTCAGAGGACACCGTCTTGCGGTCCGGGGACACGATTGAAGCTCCTGGAGTGAGTGGACAAGTAACGTAGTATCCGACCGGTATGCTTGAGCAGGTAGGGAGCAACGTGGAGATGAGCGAGGCCGGGGATTGAAGTTGGAATTGAGGTAGAAATAAGGTGGAGGTACCTAAAAAGAAAGGGTACGTGGGGTTGGTAGGTGGAGCGCAGGATGTCCCAGAATATTCCAGCACGTCTACCAGAATCTGATAACTGCCAGAGGATCGGTTGAAACGTCTGCCAGTCGATGGTATACCGATGGTTACGGAACTGCGACAATGTGATCTTGCAGACTAGGTTGACGTCGTTTGACGGAGATGATTTGGGCTAGATCGCAGCTGATATGCTCTTACGGTGTTCTTCAGGCATGAAAACAGTAAAATTGCATGGTCAACTGGCATGTCAATTCCTTCTGTTCCAATCTAGTATCGAGTAGTCTGCACACGGCAGTGATTGATTGCCACACAGAGAAACGAGGTTGGTAGTAGGTTGTAGGTAGTAGTGCTTTGGCACGGGTTGAGGTGAATAGAGATACCAGATTGGATGGAAGCAATAGCCAGGAGAGGGGGGGGGCTAGCGTTGTTGAAGCTAGGGGAGCAGCTGTTAAGCAGTAGGGTACATGGATGTGTTGATACTAGTGCCGATTATTACGCTTTTAATGGCAAGATTTGAGAGGTTCGGCCATTCTCACCATTGCAGAAGATGGGCAAAATTTTAGAGCACGGCTGGATTTCCCACCTTAGCCACCCAAGATGTTGAATTCCCCATGGAGCCACCGTTTGTACCCCTGTCCTTAACGTCACGCCGCAGGAGCAGGGAAGGGAAGAAGGGCTCTCCGGGACTTGCTCTCCAACGAATGACAACTCTCCATTGCAAACAAGATGCCACCAATGTCTCCACAAGCTTCTTCGGAATCAGCATGGCAGGTCAGCCACGTCGCCAGTGCTATCTTCCCCGTCCTGACCACTCAAAGCCTCCCGTGACGTCCGCCCGCATATCTCTCGCACCTTCGATGTGTCTGATCTGTGATGAGGAAGCTCTGAAAAGTGAAGCCTTGGATCTTGCTGCGTAAGCGAGATCGGTCCAGGCCTGAAATACAGACGAGAAAGGGTTCACTAACATGGAAGAGCTTACCAACGGTGGCTCGTGCACATAACATGCTGTCTCTCGAGACCCCATTGTTACAGCTTTTCCACTGCTATTGCTAACTAGTCGCTTCCATGCATGCTTCACCGCATAGTCCCAAGACGGCTATAAGGAGCAACATGCCCGCAAGGATCTTTCAATATCGACCGGACATGCTAGTAAGTCTAACCCAATGCATCGTTTGCAATGGTTGAGCGGGCTGCACCTGAGATTATCGCCGACACTGGCTGTGTCGCTTGCTGACTGGAAACTGTCGGAGCTCCTCACTGGGATCTACCTAGTAGGTTTCGAAAGTGTAGAGGAAGAACATGTCGCCGGAACCGACTCTGAGACAGCCGGGCACCCGGTGCTATGACAATTGCAAGTCGGTAAGGCTTCATTGTGGCATTGTCCTTATTGCGGATCTATTCATGTACCTGTTGTTTGGGCATGTGAATGAGATACAACCTTCTAGGTCCTACAAGGCGGCTGTCATCCCGTTTGAGGAAAGTCACACAGCAGGAGATAGCAGATGGACCTGAATTACCGATACCGTAGAGATGGGACTTCCCGGTTCTCTGACTTACACATGAACAGTCGTAGCAATGGCAGTGACTGTTCACCGTTATAATCCAATTTGATGATTCAATTGGTTTGTCTCACAGAACTCTCATGATGTTGTCAAAGCACATAAGCAGAGGTGTAACGGATCATTTAGCTGAGCTGTAGCTGAGCCAGCGATGATGGTCACAGTGAGGATGTAATGCACATTAACCCTCAAGAAGACGGGTAATGCCAGAAGGACAGCGCTGGCGGATTTCGAGCCACACTTGATAGATGTATCCCCTGGCACGTGTTGACAAAATATCGACATGTAATACACCACGGAATGATCAACGACAGATAATGAACACTAGACCTGTTCAGAGTCAAGTAATCAACCAAAATAGACTAACTATGCTGGCACAAGCTTGAATTGGATTGATTTTCTATGTTGGAGCATTTTTCTGTTGATCTGTAGTTGATGCAAAGTGAGACCGGATTCTGCACTTTGCCTCAACAAAATTCTGTCTGCAAGATTTCAGATCCTGTCCGCTCGAACAAGGTTGGATTTCTCTTTCACGCCGTAGCCAATGCATATGTAGATGATCATCAATGGCACGAAAAAGCTGCTGTGCTATCTGACCCAACTCAAATGTATTTGTTTCGCATTTTGTAGAATGATTGAGCTTGTCTTTAGAAGTCGGCAACCAGGCGCGGCCCAAGTGCACAAAGGTACATTTAATCTGAGTGAAGCATGAGCCACGCGCAACTTGTATGAAGTGTATCCCACAACTGCTGCGAGCTTCTGCTTGCTACTTGCTGATGACTGGAAGCGTTGTGTCGTTGACATCGACGATCTTGTCTTTCGGCGGTCCAGTCAGTAAGTAAGGTGTGGTGATAACTCTAACAGTCGAGTTTTGAGCTAGAGATCACTGACGCCGCGTTGGCGACGGCAGATTGAAACAGCCACGAAATGTTAGAAGGCCTAGTTTGAGGTAATGAGAGAGTGGCTCGGCGCGCTCTACCGAACAGTGGAACCAAGGTTTTGCCCACTGATTACCGACTGATTGAGGTGAGGAACGTCGTAGAAACGTAATGGTAAGCGGCAGAGTGAGGACATTCAAAGCCGGTCCTGTTCCTGTAACCAATGGATCGAGTCCAAGGTGCCACTACTGCATGTCACCTTCTCGGCAGTACGAAACACGCAAAAGATGTGAATAACCGCGCGACCTGTCATATAAACTCTAAATCAACATTGTAAATGACTCTTGTGCCTTTTTTGGTTCTTTGTTTCAAATTCACTCTGTGTCTACGGAGTACCCCAGCATGCTTAGCAGGAAGAGGCCACATAAAACTTGTGTATAAATTATCAACAAGTCGCGCTTAGTTTAAGCCCAATCACAATATGATTTATTTTGCATAGAAATATGTAGCTAAGACATTAATGCCTTGTCAAATTGTGTTATTCCAGACGTCTTTTTTATAATTACTGCCGCGTGACGATCGGGCTACGGTCACCAGATCGCCCTTTGACGGTCCTTTGTAATGACAGAATGAGTGTGAATTTGCCAAGGACCAATGCTCCGCCATACTAAATCTAAAACCCTGCCCCAGTTAAGTAGTACTTAGCAGGAAGAGGCCGTCTGAAGGTTATGCCTAAATTACCATCAATGTGTGCTTAGTCTAAGCCTAACCGTGATATGATCTATTTTGCATGTTAGAAATGTGTAAATAGATATCTAATATCCAATGAAATTGGTTTATTTTGGACGTCTTTTCTTCCAAATTATGGTCATTCGAGCCCTCCGATGATCCTTCTAATGACAAATCGTCTGCTAAATTGCAACCTGCGCTGATCGCTCCTCGTACCCCCAAGCCTGTGCCGGACGTCCGCCAAGACAACACCTCCGTGCTCTCCCAGGGTGCAGAAGCGGTCAGCACAGATGACGCTTAGACATCGACTACCCAATGTCAACTCCCCCTTGGTAGAAGCTGATTCCGTGGAGACAGTCGATGCAGGCTTCAAAAGGGCAAAGGTCAATAGCTATGCGGATGCAAGCATGCGTCAATCTTTCCCAGCCGTACTTTAGCAGGGATCCACTTTCCATTCGGTCAAAGTCCTTACGGATAGCCATTGGCATAAGGTTCTGTAAGATCGAGACGGCAAAGGCTAGGAGAAGCCTGTCCGCAAACCTTTCTTCATGTCTGACCATATGAGGGAGAAGTTCTTCTTGCCCCTCAGTAACTCTAGGAGGCTTGAGAACAAATTTTTCGCTGCACTAAAAGCCAAGAGGGCTCGTTTTGCCAGTGCCGAAGAGTCTACTTACTGGTGCATCTCAGCGTGTGCCGCCCATCCTTACGTACTTCAAAAAGTATGAAGAAACGACCCTCTCATGGAAACCATCAAAGAAGGCGCTGGAAGGTTTTATGACGTCCAAAGGCCTCGTTTGTGGTCTTAGGGGATGCTCGACAGGCTTAGCTTTTGGCTGACGCTGAAGACGTCGATAAAACCTTCTACCGAAAGATAATTTCTCGATCGAGCGGCCTTCCCATTCGCTAGGCCGCGCCGGGAACGTCAGGTCAAGTAAGACTTGTCAATCAGCCAACCTTTCTCCTCAGCGAGCGGCATTCTTATATGGCGTGAGACTTCTTCTGATGGTTGCCGGCTACTTAACCTTCTCCCGACATTGCTATCATCAATCACACCGCGGTTGCTTTAGACAACAGAGGCTCTTTCGTAGCGGCACGCAACTTCGCATCTCAAAAGTATCCTTAAGATAGTTGAACCTGTCCCTCGACGAAGAAAAGGCGGTTTCAGCCCATTGTTGCTGTCGACCAGAATGAAGAAATGGCTCTGTTCTCTCTCAAAAGGGGCGCAGCGCGCGCAGATATAGGTACAGATTCGCCGTATGGCACAGCAAAATTAGAAGCGAAATTGCAGCAGAAATTGACCAATCAAAAGCAGGCGAAACGTAGGGGTTTCGCGTAGAAGATCCAACCAACGAGCGCTCCTGCAGTTCGACAGTTGCCAACTCCCTCTCTTCTGTCGGATTTTTGAGTAGATCGTGAGGAAGACCATCGACAACGTCACATGAGAACCAAATAAGGAATCCTACTGGATGGCAACGGAAGCACCGATTTGATATGCACTACATCCGATCGCTCACTCTCTTATTGAGTTCTGTTCTCAAGTCTCGAACTGCTTCACAAGCAGCTCGAAAATCTTGCTGGATGATCGCCCTGGTGCGTATTTCCAGTGAACGGGCTCTGATTGTGTGAAGAAGTTTTGATTGGTTTCGTTCACTCTCTATCATCTCATACATACAGTCTTTACCTTCACCATACGGTTTCGGAAATTTTTGGAGTTCGGGTGCTGTGGTGTAATGGAGGTATGGTGTCCGGCGTTTCTGCTTGAAGGAACTGGTCTTTGCAGCCTCAAGATGGCCTTTCTGGTGTAGACAATATCATCGCAGAGCAATCGGTGTTGTCTCGGCACGTCATGAAGGATATCGCAAAAGCCGCACACCCCAAGATAGTTCTCAAATACCCGGATTCAGCGGTCAAGATGTTCCGAGATTGCCGTACGACATTGCAGCACCAAGCTATTGCGACTATTTCTGCAGCTTCTGACATGCAAGTATCCATTCCAAAGAAAGTTCGCCACTGAGCTGTGGGGCCTGTTGTCAGCTAATACGGCATGAATTACCTCCAATTTCATATGCACCTACCTCTGATTGATTCAGATGTCTGTTTGATGCAGTATCATAGATTCATACTGCAGATTCTTTGTTTTGTTCTGTCCGCTCAGTCCAACAAAGCACTCACCTTCCTACCAACCACACTGACTCAGGGCGCATCGACCATTACCGCTTACTAACACACCTTTTTACTTACACTGTAGCACTGCACCTGCGTCCTACGCTGCGATGAGCAATTGCTGCTTGATCTCATTACAGCCATGGTAGTCACAGGAAGAGTCTGATGCTGACACGACCGATGGTACGCTATTGGATGAAACAGACGTGTACATATTCGTCTGCTATAAGACAAGAAATTGGTGATGTCCGTCCACATAGAAAGAGGTTCATCTTGCATAGATGTGATAGTCCACTCGCTACTCACAACCCTTAGGGATGAATTTATCATTTCTATTCCCCTCTAGCCTGTTTAGACCAGTCCCTTTAGATTTTCATATTCTTCCTCCAGAAGAGACAACTCCTTTCTCGCCTCTAACCGCCCCCGAATTCGGAGCAGCAAATCTATCAATCCCTTGGCATCGTCCCTCAGTTCTTGTGTGTTGCTCTGATCCTCTTCGGACAACAACAGCCATAACCCAACTACTGCTCTTAAACACTCCTGCCACCAGACTTCCCCAATTCTCGGCCAGCATTGAAGTATTAATTCTTGCATTGCCATGGCCGCACATCTCAAGAGAGGTTGATGTGCAATACCAAGTGGGTTGGTCAAGATGCTGCGGAGCAGAGGAAGAAGCGTTGAGAGATACTTTGCGCTAGACGCGCCCATCATAGCGACCACATCAGACATTTCAGACACAAGCAATGTTGCAATCTTCACGTTCTCAGAAGCATGCATATATCCCGCCAGGATGCCACTGCGAAGAACCCTGTCAAGCATCGCCTGCCGCTTGTTGTGCTGATCGAGAGCTTGGCGAGATGCAATGGTTCTTTCTGGAAGCAGGACAATGAGCTTGCCCGGATCTGAAGGCGGTGTAGAAGAGCTAGTTAAGAAGCTGGCCTTGACCAGGGCACGGTATGCGGGATAGAGGCTGCTCAGTATCTGCAAAGACTCTTTTTCCGGCGTCAAGGAGGGCAAAAGGAGCATGTTGGGCGCCAAACAGTCTTCGAAAACCTTCGTTAGACCTGTATGTTTGAAAACTCCGGACTTGCAGTCAGCGATATGGTTGCAGAGTATTTGAAGCAGGTCAGATCCAGCCTGTTTGAGCGTGAGGTCCTGATCATCCAGGAGATTCAGAATTGGAGGTACGAAAAGTGAGAATTGAGCGTCGATTGCCTGCTTCCGTAGTGGCGGGCTTAATGTGCCATATTGGTTGACAATCCATCTCAGAATGTCCACTGACCAAGTTGCACAATCTTTCCAAGGCTTTTTAGAATCATCCACGAAGCGTGCTCTGTAGGCGGATGAGGTTGCCCTGCTGCTGAATAAAGGTTTGATAATGGAGATCAGCAGCTCCTCCAACAACACTGGCAGCTGCTCCAAGGAACGATCGCCTTCGTAGTTGGCAAACACGGAGAGGCACTTTTGTATTGTTGGCAGTGTCTCCGGAGGCGGCTTCCTAGACTCCAGCAAGGACTTTAATGAGCAGAGGATGTCGTCCATCGTCAACCGAGTCCAGATGGTTCCGTTCTAGAGAGTGGCAGCTTAGCACAAGAAAGTGTTCAGCGCTTTTCCTCTCCACACCTCTTTTGGGCCATGTCAAACTTCCCACAAACAACGTGGCTCCAAGAATTCGCCCATGAAGATTAAAACACTGCCCATAAGTATACGTTATGTTGACTGCTATATTGACAGCTGGAATACAATACCCACGAAAAGCAAAGAATCAGAAAGAAAATTCCTCGTTGTTCGATTGACTGAAATGCTTGTCTTGTCCTCTCTGTTTCTCAGATCTTCAGCTATTTAACATAGCTAGTAGATCGCTGGCCTCTAGCTAAGATACAGTGGCTGGTGATCAGTTGACCTTAAAGTTAACACTGGTCGGGCAATTGAACTATAGGGTTACAAGTTTAAGATATTTTCAATGGTAGTTACACTGACCCTCTGGCTCCCGCGCCTATCTTCCGCGTCTATCTTAATCAAGCCATTCAAATTAAAACTCATAAAAATTGTGTTGCTCTTCTAGACGAAGACCTGCTCCGGTGTATTTTTCTTCCCTGATTTACTCGTTCTACTCGGCAAGCTTAATCAGACCCCGATGTTCCCTCATCACTTCGAGGAGGCATGCAGACTCATGGTTGATGGTCTTGGCTGACGCAGCGATGCAATCGCTTGAGGAGATTTCAACGGCTTTGGATGTTTCGACGAAAGATGCCCGTCAGGAGTGTCAGTCGTTATGTTATGAAAATGAAGGTCAAATTGATCACGAGTCATCCGATATGGGCGAGCTACATGCTACTAGCACTTCTGGATCATCCGCTGAGATAGACTCTGTCGATAAGAATCATTACAAGGAGAAAGACAACCTGGACGTCGAGGACATCCTTACACCATATCCTCAGCTGTCGAACAAAGCGCCAATATCCCCTGAGGCTACGACTCATTCGAAAATCGCAGACAATCGAGATGAAGAGCCAAGCGTCGCGAAATCGTATGAGCGATCGACCTCTCCACATTCAGCAATGCATCGCAATAAAGGAGCGATTGTGGAGAAGGTTGGCGAGAGCGGAGTGATGAGAATGCACAAATTCTCTCTTTGCGAGACAGCCACCAAGTATTACATTGTAGGAGCTGATCTGCTCGAGCGGCACTTCCGTATCTTGCAAATAGATCGAACTTCCGAGCCTGGAAAATTGGAGGTAACAGAAGATGAGATTGTCTACTCGAAGAAAGAGACCGACCAAATCCTCAACGCGGTAGATGAAGCCCACAAGGCCTCGGGTGGTCTTAAGCTGAAGAGTAGCACCTGGGGCTTACTGGGCTTCCTTCGCTTCACCGGTGCGTACTATATGCTCTTTGTCACCAAAAGAAGTCAAGTCGCCATGATTGGAGGTCACTACATATATCAAGTTGATGGAACGGAGCTCATTCCGATCACAACGACTTCATCCACCCGCTTCAAGTCGGACAAGAACCCGGAGGAGAGCCGATTTGTGGGTATATTGAACAATCTTGACCTGACTCGATCTTTCTACTTCAGCTACTCATACGACATCACCCGAACGCTGCAGCACAACATCCTGCGGGAACGCAAGGCACTAGATGAGGGTCTCACAGCGGCCTTGCATGCCGACCACAATGATATGTTTGTGTGGAATCACCACCTGCTGAAGCCCGCCAAAGCCATACTGAAGAATACATACGACTGGTGTATCCCGATCGTCCACGGTTATGTTGATCAAGCTGCGTTGTCCGTATACTGGGGCCGTGTCGTCTACATCACCATCATTGCTAGGCGATCACGCTTCTTCGCAGGGGCTAGATATCTCAAGCGTGGTGCCAACGATCTGGGGTACGTTGCAAATGATGTGGAAACGGAGCAAATCGTGGCCGAAATGCTAACAACCTCATTCCATGCGCCGGGCCCAGCGTTATACGCAAACCCAAATTACACTTCATACGTCCAACATCGGGGAAGCATACCGCTGTATTGGACACAGGACAGCACTGGCGTTTCTCCTAAGCCAGATATCGAGCTGAATCTGGTTGATCCATTCTACAGTGCTGCGGCACTCCATTTTGACAACCTATTTGGGCGATATGGAGCTCCGATCTATGTCTTGAACCTCGTTAAGGCACGAGAGCGTACACCCAGGGAGTCGAAATTGCTTGAAGAATTCACGAATGCCATCACATACCTCAACCAGTCTTTACCAGAGAATAGGAAAATCATCTACCATGCATGGGACATGAGCCGAGCATCAAAAAGTCGGGACCAAGATGTCATCGGCACGTTAGAGTCTATCGGCGAAGATATCATTCCGAGAACAGGTTTCTTCCAGAACGGGAACGATGCAGAATCGGGCCTCAAACTGCAAAATGGTGTTGCTAGGACAAATTGCATTGACTGCTTAGATCGAACTAATGCTGCTCAGTTTGTCATTGCGAAGCGGGCTCTCGGGTACCAGTTGCAAGCACTGGGAGTCATCGATGATCCAACTGTCGAGTATGACTCCGATGCCGTCAATCTGTTCACTCATATGTGGCATGACCATGGTGACACCATCGCCATACAGTACGGCGGCTCACATCTCGTCAACACGATGGCAACATACCGGAAGATCAACCAATGGACTAGTCATTCCAGAGACATGGTCGAAAGCTTCAAGCGGTATTATAACAATTCATTCATGGATGCTCAAAGGCAGGAAGCGTACAATCTATTCCTGGGCAACTATATTTTTGCACAAGGTGCCCCTATGCTATGGGATTTGGCCTCCGACTACTACCTTCATCACTCCGACCCACGAAGCTGGTCTGAAAGAAATCGACCTAATTACAGAGACTGGTTCACACCAGAACATCTGGGTGGCCCAAAAGTCCCACCGGCAATTTGGCAGCAGGCGCTGGTGAAGAAACCGTTATCATACTTCGACGACTATTGGCTGGAGTACTATCGACCACTCGCCGTGTCATCGTTCCAGAAGATCTTTGCCTACAAGATGCATTCCAACCTGCTGGCTATCCCGATCAAGTCCACACAGGAAGGCAAATACGACCTCAGCCCCTTTAAAGTCCGCAATGCCAATGAAAGAGATAGGAAAACTTCAAACAAAAGCCAACCGCGACGAAAAGGGGTTAGGATCGTCGAACCTCCCGACGACAAGAATGCAGATGATACAAGCTCGATCGACGCACGCCTCAACGGCGGCCCGCCGGTAGAAGTACCCAAACCCCAACCCAGCTCCCTTGGACCTTGGCTAGATTCACAACAACTTCTCTCCTCACGCAGATACACCGGAGTCATCGAAGAACCTTCATTCGAAGTCCCGTCTTCCCAACCACAGATCCCCCCAATACCATCAGCCACCTCAGCTCCACCTCCACCCACCAAGGCTGAACAAGCACTCGAAGCATTCACGCGTCTTGTGGCCCAATCCCTCGATCCTTCCGTCCCCGACGCAGAAGAATACCAGCGCTACGTCACGCATCCGCTCAACCTGCCACTCGTGGTCAGTACCGAGGTGGATGCCGAAAAGACCCCATCGGCATCGGATTTCATCGAATACCTTGACCAAGTGAAGGAGGTGGATGGCGTGGAGATGAGCGAGAGGACCGAGCAAATCAGGGAGGAGTTTGCCGAGTTCCTGCAGGTCGGGGATGAGGGCTTGACGGTGCTGGAAGAGGATGCACCGAAGAAGCGGTATAAGGCTTATCGACAGTGGTTGAGGGGCAAGAGTTTGTTCAAGCAGCGCCCGCTGAGTGGACTGGTCGAGGTCTGACGACAGGGATAGACTGAAAATCCATGTCGATATTTCAGGATGCCGAGCACGCAATTTCTTTTTCTCATAGTTACTGTGTGCTGGGCTCCTCGGTTCTGGTTGGCAGGCAAGTGGGTATCTGGCTGCCATCACAAATTGCCACGTCATTGGGATGGCATGGACACCAACAGGAGGACAGCAAGACACGCACCATCCTCTAACAGAAAACACGGGTTGGCGCATGCTGTTGCTGTTGCTGTTGCTGTTGCCGATCTTAGCATAGAGAATTGTCCTCACAACGCACGTCATCAGCTGGCGACCCACCAGCAGTGAATGCTCCCATCTACCCTCAACCTCTTGCACGTCTATATCTAACCAGAAGTCCGTACTTGGTTGGGACAGATGAGCCTCGTCAACCATGAATACCCTAATGGAGGAATTCTGCTCAGGTGAGTTGAGACCGATAGAGATCGCTTTGATCGGATGATCAGGAGAATTCGATTTGCTGAGTAGTATGTGCTATATGTTATTATTGTTATCTTTCTTTGTTGAATTTGGTGTTCCGTGGAGGTGGAGATCGTGTTAGAGAGTTCCAAAGCATGATCCCCGGGCTGCCCAGGGGGGAGGCTGGATTACAGCAGTAGTCAGTCAGTCTCATAACAAATCTCAGAGTTGTGGAGAGCTGTGAGAAGCAAAATCCAAATTGAAAAAGAAAAACCGGATGATAGCGCGGTTGGAAAATGGGTTCAAAAAAGGCAAAAATCTAAAGGGGCCAGGGAGTATGGTGGCAGGGAGGATCAAAGTGTATTTCCCATTGTATTCTACTCCTCCAAGCTCCTCTTCCGCGCCGCAACACCACCCTTCCCCTCCAGCATGCGCGCCTCGCAGCCCAGAATCTCGTCCCTCCTCCGCCTGACCATCTCCTCACACTCCTCCACCTGCGCACGGGGATGATCAAACTGCCATTCCATGACCAGATCCGCGGCGAACTTGTTGGCCGGTCCGCCCTTGTCACCGCGAGCGAGAATCTCCTTGATCTTCCTGCCATCTACGACGTGCTTCTCGTCTAGGGCTTTTGTGCCGTCCAGACCGAGTTCGCCGAGGCGGTGGAGGAATGCTTCGTAGCGGCGTAGAGGAGCGGCAGGATCGGTCTGCAGTTCGCAGAGCAGGGCGAAGAGGACCTGGTGGCCCCAGGAGGCGCCCCAGCGACGCAGAGACATGCCGATGGTGCCGCGGGTGGTCGTGTTGTCTGGGGTGGAGACTTGCGAGACGAGGGCGGATATTGCGCGTCGGTTCGTGATGGCGGAGGTGAGGAGCTTGGCTTCGCGGACGGTGGCTTTCATGCCCTCTTTTATTGCGAGGGCGGCGTCTTCCGGCTTGGAGGAGGCCCAGGGTGTGTAAGCGGCAAGGAGCCAGGGGACGGCGGCACTGTCTTGATGGAGTTGGAGGCCTTGGTTCAGGGGGTCATTTGCTAAGATCTCGCCGAGGTGGCTGTATGTTTCAGGTAAATTTTGAGGAGACGGTGGATTGGACTCAGCTGGATCTGCGAAGCAGGACGAGAAAAGACCGAGATCGTGGATGTAGAGTAGCGCTTTGGCGGGTCTGGGACCGTCCAGTGCCTTGGTGATTTCTGCCCGTACCCTCTCTCGGCTAATCTTCAGTTTCAGCGCTTGATGTATCTCGGGTGACTTCATGGCCATCTGGGCTGCAGGGTCGATATTGTAGTCGAGTCTAGCGGCGAAGCGTATGAGGCGTAACACTCGCAATGGATCGTCGCGGAATGTTTGATATGGGTCCAATGGTGTCCTCATGAGCTTGTTCTTCATATCATCCAATCCCTTGCCGGTGAAATCCTCTAGCTGCTCTGTGTGTATGTTGTAGAACAGCGCGTTGATGGTTGCGTCTCTTCGTAGTGCATCCTCCTCTGCAGTACCCATCTGCACCACCGGCGTTCTGCTGTCAGATGCGTAGACTTCCGTCCTCAGGTTGACAAGGTCAACTTCAAGACCGAACAGCTTCATCTTGGCGACAGCAAGGTGTTTTGATTTCTCTGCATCCTCCTCCACCAGCACAATCTTGTTGAGTTCTGTATTGCCAATGCCCAGGTCCCGAGCCGTCTCCTTGTACTTCGCCCCATGTTGCTCATAAAACTTCTGGAAGATCTTGCCGAAGTCTTTGCCAGAGAGGGTGCTGAGTGCCGCATCAATGTCGTTGCTTTGGATACCCAGAAGCTTGTCACGAACCCAACCACCAGCGAAGCGTATCTGGAGCGGGGGAATGGTTTGTGCGCAATCGGCGAGGCAGTCCTTGAGCAGCTTCTCTGGTGGATCTAGGCTCAAGGTGGGCGCCATGGTGCTGTGCAATCGTCTGAATGATCTGATGAGAGAGTGTACGTGCAGTAGCCGAGGGAACATGTGGAGGGTACCCAATGGAAGAGGGAAGAGGTATTGGCTACATTGTGATTGCTTTGTATTGCCAGCCAGAGACCAGCAGTGCCCTACCGCTTGCAGGTCTTGGCACTTGCATCGTCGGGAGCAGAGGCAGGCATTTGGTAGTGACTCATGCAGTGCTGGACTGATGCCCTCAAGGGACAGTGTCTGGGTATTGTGGCAGGAGTGGAGCGGCGGAGCGGAGAGTTCCACACATACCTTGGCAGCGTTCGGCTGAACTTCAGTAAGTTCTGAACAAGTCATTCATCCTTCAATTCAAGAAAATCATGGCGAAGACGACCGTGATTTTGTCATTTGCCTGTCGAGGCTGTCGTGGAAGCGTACTTCAGTCTTTCACGTCAACATTTCTTGAGAATCCACCGCTCAGACCTTTTCAGCCACCAAGACTGCTGCCGGCTGCGCGGTATAGCCATGCACGATTCATGCTGGCAGACCACTCGACCCAACCCACCCCGTCCTCAGATCAATCTGAAGATAGCAATGCCTCAGTGTCACTGTCGCCGCCAAACTCAGTAGCCTCCTCATCAGATCCCATCCCCTGGTACCTCCAGGTCGACACACCCCAACCTCCCACACCCTCACACCCTTTCGCGGACCGCCAAATAATCCCCGATCTACCCGAGGACTCTCCGGCTATCCTCTCCCCAATGCTCGAATATCTATCCGTAGATACCGGTCTGGACAACCTCACACTGCTCGACCTGCGCTCCCTCGACCCTCCACCGGCCTTAGGCGCAAATCTTCTCATGGTCCTCGGCACTGCGCGCTCGGTCAAGCATCTCAACATCAGTGCAGATCGCTTCTGTCGGTGGCTGCGCTCCAACTACAAGCTGAGACCGTATGCGGATGGGCTACTGGGGAGGAATGAGCTGAAGCTGAAACTGAGGCGGAAAGCGAGGAGGACGAGATTAGCGGCTAGCGTGGGTAATACAATGTACGAGAAGGGAGGCCGCGCTGATGATGGGATCACGACGGGATGGATATGTGTTAATGTTGGGCAGGTCGAGGAAGGCCATTCAAAGGATGTGCCGGAGCAGGCTCGAGCAGCAGCAGAAAGTGACATGAGGGAACACGAGGATGACGCTGTGCCTGAATTTGGCATTGAGGAAGACGACGGTGGGGCTACGATGGAAACTGGCCACAAAAGAGAACTGATGGGCGAAGTAACGGCCGAAACAGGCACGAAATTAGAAGAGGAAGAATACATCAACCCGGAGCAATCGATCGAGGACCAAGACAACAACTACATTGGCTTCGGTAGTCGATCTAGTGCTCCGCGGATCGTGGTGCAGATGTTTACCGAGGAGAAGCGCGCCGAGCTGGATCTCGAAGGACTATGGCAAGACAGAACCACGAGGCGGTCACGCAAAGCCGTTATAGCAAATGAGGATGCTGAAACTGCGCTAGAGGGGCAAAGTATGGTCGAAGAAGAGGAGGAGGAGGATGATGATCTTTCATCTATGGTATCTGACCCACGAAGAGCTCAATCGGAGCGTGCTATGTAGGAATGGCTCTTGGCCCCAATCTTGGAGCCCATTGCAACGTCAAACCTTCCATAGCCTGTCGTCGTCCTTTGCGACGGCATGCTCCCTGTGCTGGTACATATGATGTAGCCTTGTTCTTGAGCTACGTACTCTTCTTCTGACATGTGCTAGCCCAGATGTCCCGCGTCTCATCACATGCGACGTAGCCGAAGCATAGCGAGCTGTGTTGTAGCAGCTGCACATCATTTTCTTCCCTTCGTTTTTCACTCCAGGCTCGGTCCCAGCATGACAACGCTGAACCTCAGCTCTCCGCCTCCGGCTTCCTCCTCCCTCCTCAAGAAAGCCTGCACGCCAAGTTCCTGCCCCTTCTCACTCAGCACATCATCCTCCGGACCCAGCTTTCCCCTATTCAGCGGCCCCTTCCTCCTCCCATCCAACTCCCACAGATCTCCCTCCTCACTCTTCACAAATGCCACAAAATGCAGATCCACATTCGCCTCGGCATCCGGCGCGGCCGAATCGCCCTTCTTCGCCGCATCGGCATGTGCCGACTCCAGCGCCTGGCTCTGATAGAGCATCTCGGCCCTATCCCCCGGCTTCAGCGGTATGGCATCCTTTAGCAATTTCTGCAGATCACTGCCCTCCTGTATTTGCTGCCGAGAAGCACCATTGCACACGGCGTGAAGCAGACCTATCAGCCCACATGCATTTCTGATGGTCTGTTTGAACCAGACGACTCGCTCGCCCGCACCCGATCCGCTGTATTCTTCTCGTGATGAGTCTTCTTGCTGCCGGAACTTTTCGTAGGTGTTGGTGACGGGAAAGACGAGGAGGAGTGCGAGGGCGGGTCGAGGGAGGAAGGAGAGGAGAGACGGCTCGGTCAGGGAGTAGACATCGTGGAAGGCGAGGTTGGAGGAGAGGCCGAGCTGGTGGACGAGGTGGGTCATGACTTCGGGGTTGTTCTCTGTGCGCCAGTGTAAGGTTGGGGTTAGGACGGGGCTCAGAGAGCACGGGCCAACCTACCAAGAGGTACAAAGGCCTTTTTGGTCTTCGGAACATCGACATCTCGGTGACCAGCAGCTTCAGCCATGTTGTTCGGGCGGGTAATATTGTGGGGTTGCTGGAGGCAGTTTCTGAGAATTTTGAAACTATGCAAGGCACCAGATGACGTACGTCACATACTAGCTACGTAGTACATAGTAAGCAATAGTAGTGCTTTTTAGACGTGGTGCGACACTAGCGGCGGACAGCTAAAATCGGTCAATCACGCATTTGATTACATAGCTTGGCTCAGGGGGCGTCTTGCCGAATGCCTTGGTAGCATGACTCTTAGTACTACATAAATCGTATCGGCATCCTCCGCTCTTCTTTGCATTCCCTGTTTGACTACGAAGTAGTATTTATTTTGCATCTCCTCGGCCTGCAGTACCAAGCTTCGCATTCATGTGGTGTGTGCTATATTCAGGCTCCCCCAATCAAACAAGGAGTACACCTGCCACTTGCTGTACCGAGAAGGTAGGCTCAACATCTACCCTGCGCAGCACATGACATGACTGTCACCTGTTTAGCGCAGACTCTTGTTGAAATTTCTCAAACCATACAGCATATAAATAGACCAATTTGGTGATAATAGTGAACTCCCTTGCTACTACTCAGCGCTCATAGAGGCCAACAGGAATCAAGGCGGTCTAGATTCGTCATTTCCGTGGAGATGTCTACTACGGTAGGGGGCATACTACCACGTACGTACGTAGTACGTAGTAAATATTTGTAGCACGGCGCTAGTAGCAGCTAGTTCGGATACAGCGCCACATCGATGTCTGGAAGCTTCTTAAGATGATTGCTCAGAGTAATTGGCCACATTATTGCAGCTTAACTGACCAATACCTCTGCCTGGTACCATGGCAGACTTCCTTGCGCTAATGGAACGAAGAATTTCATGTCTATATTTGTCTCTTCATTTAACTGATTACTTTTGTCCTGAGCCAAACGGCCCGTCGATGTCCAGGCTACTCGCAACGGTCTATTTGGAAAAGTGCATTCCGAGCTGCATGGGTATCATTAGTACTTAGCCGCCATGTGAATGGATCGCCTGCCGTCGAGATGCCGCTGTAATGCAGAAACAAAAAAAAGAGTGCTCCAAGTCACGCCACTAGGCAGGATGCCTTCCTGCTCTCCATCGTCTGTGTCCGGACGATGTCGTTGAGCGTATCAGTCCCCAGCCAAACGCTATCTTTCCGTTTCTTTCCCTCCTCTTCCCACCAATTTGAATCTCGTTTCGGCTTATTAGGCTTTAGTGCTTCCGGATCGGCAGGGTCCATGTTGCTGTTTCCATGGCTCTGACTGCGCTGCCCGTCTTTGGTCAAGAACCTTGCTCTCAGCTTCCGGAAAGCCCAGATTGTTATGAATGGCGATCCGTTCATCCTCTTCCACGGTCTTTCACGCCATGAGAATATGGTGCAGTCGATACCAGCCTGCAAGGCCAATATGCAGGTGATGCAGACATTGAGCCAGAATGGAGGATGTTGGGTGTAATAGTTGGTATAGTTCAAGCAATGCTGTACAAAAGGCAGGATCCACAGCAGCAGATAGATAAGTGGATAGATGAAAAGGAAGCGAAGCTGACGGCGAATGGCGATGCGCGTTATGGCCAATTCATCGGTGGCTCCGGTGCGCTCCAAAGCCGGGCTTGAACGGGTAGCCGCGTGGCTCGAATCCACAATCCCTGCGGTAAGTGTTGTTCTATCTGTAGAATTCGTCTTGACAGTGGGCGCTGTCGAATGGTTTCTTGTGTCAAGTCCATACGGACTGAGCCTGCCTCCTGAAACATTCGGCTTTGTGGTTGATCCGTGAGCAAAGTCAGCTGCTTCTATGCCCACGGATAGCTGCGAATTCCGCTTGGGGTTGACAAGTGGTGACCTCGTAATGAAATCAATTTTCTCCCATTCAGGCACGTTATCAGTTGCCTGGAGGTGCTTCTGACCGTTGGCAAGGCTGTTGTAGGTCGGAAACGCAGGCGGTTCCCGACCGTAGTTGTCAGACTTTTCCAGATTTCCAATCGAAGTGATTTGAGGACTTGCTGAACTAGCAAAGTGGGATGTCTGACCACTTGTAGAAGCTCCCGTTGAGCTCGTTTTGTAAGAGAGGTCGTCACTTCCGAAGTTATCGAACCCTTGGAATTTAACCTTGACGTAAATGTAGATTGCAGTATACATTGCAATGATCGAGATGAATATGATGTAACGGGGGATCCACGCGAGCGCGAGCCGATACCAGTAAGGTCTCTTCGGAAGGTATGCGACTGTGCCCAACGTTACGTATGCAGGCCCGGAACGATTGGTGAAAGCGAGGGAGGCAGCAAGAAGCGGCAACAATAACCACGAGGCATAAACCCAATGACGGTATCTGTAGAGGCCTCCGTGACCCAATCTTTGGGGTGGACGAAGAATATATAAGGTCGAGTGCAGGGCAATGAATAGGATGGACAGATCTGCAGCCTCGACCCCCAAGGCGAGCAGAAAGCCACTTGCTTGGACGAAAGCCGACGAGCTCTCAAATCTACCTCGAGTGAAGATGACCACTGGAGATAGGAAGTACCACAAGGCCTTGAACGTATCGCTGCAGATAAGCATGAGGATCAGATGATGTCGAAAACTCCTTTTCATGCTAAGAAACCATCGAAGGGACACCACTGCAACAGCTAGACTGATAGACGCTGCAGTAACAGCAACAATAAGTACGGCTCGATTTTGCGCATCTGAAAAGGTCCCAACACTTCCGGGCTGTGCAGGTCCTAGCCCTCGTACTGGAGCATCTGATCTGATGTTGAGTAGACCATCTCCAGGGTGGCCATCCATTGGCAAAGCCATGGATGGGTCTTATGGTCCTGGCGCGAATGTCCTAAATGCACCGTGGTCGGTATTATACACCTTAGATTGACATGATTGGATAGGTTCCGTGGTGTCTCAGTTTATGCTGGCAGAAAAGGTTATCACCAAGCACGGGCTCGATCTTGAATGTCCTCCTTGTCGAATTGTCTGCTCTTCGTTGAGGATCTGATAGCTGTGGCGGGAGCGAGTAAGAGCTGACGTATTATATATGATGTATAGAAGATTGATCGCAAATCTCCTACTACTGAATCAAGTTGACGACGACAATAGCGTCTAGTGAATGGAAATACCGATGGGAGACAGGAGAGAGACAATGGAAGAGACCTTTACATATTGTCAGAAGAAGGAGATGTAACGACCCACTCACTGATTGACAGGGCCAAGCGCGAAGAAAAGTTGGCATGGGTGTGTGTATGCATCATGTCGATCGTCCCGCGGTCCGTGAATGGCCCCTCGATCTGTCCGAGAAAGGGTCTGAACCTGAATGGTGTGCCAGATATGGAAAGCTACGACCATACTCGACTTAGTGTGTCTTCCCAATGTGGTTGGACAGGATTTGGAATGCAAGCATAGACCAGGATCAAAAGGTGCGTAGATTTGCGGCTCATGGCGCGAAATTGTTAAACTCTCTCTACGCCCTCTCCGATTGCTGATGCGGTACGAGTTGAGGCTGGCCAAGCATTGGCAGAAGATCGTCGCTCCTGGTAGTACAAAATAGTTACTCTATGGTGACTGGTTAATCGAAGCTAATGGGGGAGCCGACCTTGTTCGTAAAAATTGGGTCATGAGGTAGAGCGGTCCCGAACAGCTTTTCGGTCAAAGCATGACAAACGCATTCTATAGGGTCATCCACGACATTGGCACCAACCAAAGCTTACCAATATTCGTTTGTTCTGGCCCAGTGGCTTTGATGGTTGAATTTCAGCACCTCGTTGCCACAGGCAAACCAACCAGCTGTCAGGTTTCGTGCGAAAATCTCCAGGGCGTCGTATTTATTAGGGTCAACCAGCAACGGCTCTATCAACTCCTTTAGGCACGGTTTTTGCGAGTGATGGCCAGGTACAGCTACTAGGAGGCGACGGTGCACTCCTGTGGCCCACGTGGAGGAACCAGCCCACTGGGAACCAGCTGCAACATCGAATTTGTGGTCTGGTCCCTTACGAAAGAGGAGCAGTACCTCATAAGGCCGTCTCCACAGACCATCTAGAGGTGTTACAGACTCGCCGTCAACCGTAGTCTTCATCCATACCCATTCTTCGTAGAGTTGAAGCCCCTTTTCACGAAGGGAGTGTAAGACTAGTCGCCGAATGCTCGCCTTGTTCGTTACCCAGATGCCAACCAGCCCATCAGGCCTCAGATGACTATGCAAGATAGGTAGCACAGAGAGGAAAGGGTCTTCCCGGCGAGCCTGGGATGTTCTGTACGCCTTCGCATGCCTCACCGACCTGTTCTGCCAGGGAGGGTCCATGACGATCAAATCGAAGTCTCTAGGGAAAATACGGTTGGTAGAGGCTCTAGTCCCAGGGCATAACTGTTCCACACCGGATAAGATGAATGTAGAGCGCGGCGGTACACGGTACAGATCGGAATCAGCCACAAGGCTTGTACACAGGCTGGAAGGATTGGAGACGATGCGGCCCGCTATCTCTTCCATAGAAGTAAAGATGTTCGAAATGGAAGACAAGATGATAGGGGGCCCTGAACTCGTCTCTTCACCTTTTGCTTCCTCTCTCACATGCGCATGACTTTCGACAGGACTCTTAACAGGTTGACGAGGAAACAGCCATTTTCTTGGTCCGATAGCTGACCTGATCTCCTCGAGGCTCTCATAAATCAATGCTCGAAGATTTTCATGGTATTCCCGCTCAGCTGGGGGAATGCCATGCAGCAGCTTTCTGCGCTTCAACCCCTTCGGTTCGACGTTGGGATATGGTTTCTTGGGGCAGTCGGCAGAACGAATACGAGTTACTCCTTGATTAGGCTCGTTACGCTGTAGACATTGCCCATTTTGAATCGATACTGGTAGATCCAGCAACGTAGTCGTGCCAGTAACGTTCTGGTAGATGACCGATGTAAGCATCCGTGACCCTGCCTCTGAGGTAAGTGTTACACGGACATCAACGCCGCGAGGCTGCACGTACGTTAATGCTGTCAAGCTTATGTAGCGCAAAGCACACCATTTGTACATATGTACACTGAAGGTTGAGGCGGGGAATTTCGGCAGTGGGAATTGCTGGGGCGCATAGGGCGCATAGGGCGCATAGGGCGCACGACTTAGGCACATGGCTGCCCCACACATCCCTGCCTGTCCCAGCTTACAGTTATGTATGTATTTTTGTCCACAGCTGCATCTTTGTCATCAATCATTGATACGAACATGATCATCTCATAGCTGTCTTCTGCCTCCATCTCCGGTGTGAGTGGCAGACTTCCCTGGAGGCAATGCCGCGACACCACATCAATCCCCACCACCACCCAAGATGGAGGCTTCCAAGGAACAATCTCATGGATGGCTCGACAAACCGCCACGACCCAAAAGCTTCCCTACTGACGAAAACGCGATAACAGTGAAAGATGTCACAGGCAGAAAGCACGAGCTAGACAAAAGGAGCTTGGACTATGTCCTGCGGAGTGGTCTTGCCGGAGGTCTTGCCGGGTGCGCTGTATGTCCATGTTGACAAAATGAGTTGTGTCGTCAGTTGCTAATCGTATTTCTAGGCTAAGACAGTTGTTGGACCTCTTGACCGAGTCAAGATCCTCTTCCAAGCTTCCAATCCCCAATTTGCGAAATATACTGGCAGCTGGTTCGGCGTGTTTACTGCTATTCGAGATATAAACCGTCAAGACGGTATCCGAGGGCTCTTCCGCGGTCACTCCGCCACATTGCTTCGAGTCTTTCCATATGCCGGCATCAAATTTCTGGCGTATGAACAGATTCGGGCGGCAGTTATACCGACTAAAGCCCAGGAAACGCCCATTCGTCGATTTGTATCTGGGTCACTGGCTGGGATTACATCTGTATTCTTTACATACCCATTGGAGGTCATTCGTGTTCGACTAGCCTTTGAGACAAAGAAAGACTCCCGATCTTCTCTATCTCGCATCTGCAAACAAATCTACCGAGAACAACCGCGGGATGTGGCAGGGGCTGCAAAGAGCGCGGAGTCCATCACGGGGATTATAGAACAGAGCAGGCCTCGGTCGGGACTCGCAAATTTCTATCGTGGCTTCGCGCCGACCTTAGTGGGCATGCTGCCTTACGCCGGAATGTCATTTCTCACACATGACACGATCGGAGATCTCCTCCGCCATCCATCCATGGCACAATATACTGTGCTACCGTCAACGGCTCTGAGCAGATCAAGAGGCCCCGGCAGACCCAGCCGCCCCCAATTGACGGCCCCAGCCGAGCTGACCTCTGGTGCTATTGCTGGGCTTGTCTCACAGACCGCCTCCTACCCGTTTGAAGTCATCCGACGACGAATGCAAGTGGGCGGCGCTGTGGGAGATGGCCATCGGCTCAGGATAGCCGAGACGGCTAGGATGATCTGGTTGGAAAGAGGCTGGCAGGGGTTCTTCATTGGTCTGACGATCGGCTACGTCAAAGTGGTGCCCATGGTGGCTGTCAGCTTCTATGTGTACGAACGTGGCAAATGGTGGCTGGGTATTGCGTCGTAGCGTACGCTCCCGCACTGTCTATACAATTCTACAAAGCTTCTATTAGGTGTTCGTCAGGCCAGCACCCGGCACCAGTGGAGTTTTACCTTCAGCTGTTAAAATTTATCATTACAGCGAAGCATAATCTTGTATATGGATGGATGGTAGTGCGCCACCAGCGGTTTGAGACAGTCTTGAATCTTTGTAACGAATTAACCACCAATTACTCCTATTTGGCACCTGCACATAGCCTAACTGCTGCTACTACTACTGCTACATACCTACATACATAATATGATTTCATCAATGCCAAGAGTATGTAACCCCCCGTTCCCTCCAGCTTCAACCTCGGCTCCTCCAGCAACGTGAAAGACGAGCAATCCACCCTTTCCAGCACCCATCTTGTCGCTTCCCAATATCGTTGCCATCGGCCCCCCCCCCTCTTATATCCAACATGCAGCTCGACACACCCTAGCCCCAATCCGCAAACCTCAAACCTCAATCCAGCCGCAGCAAATTCCCAATGGAATACCTCAGCGCGCTGCAATCGTCCGCGCTCACCTCGCCCAGCAAACCGTCCCTCTTCGAACTGCTCTCGGAATCGCAACTCAACTGCCTCCTGCCGCCGACGCTGCGCTATCTCCTCGCGCTCCTCACGCACCGGCACCCGCGCCACCTCCTCCGCATCCTCAACTCCTTCGACGAAGTCTACGCGCTCCTCTCGCTCGTGGTCGAGAAATACTACCTCGAGACCTTCGGCGGCGGGTTTACCGAGAACTTCTACGGGCTGAAGAGGGAGAAGGTGCTGCGGGTGCGCGGTGGGGAGGCGAGGAGGACGGGGTTGGCGGTGCCGGCGGAGCTGAGGGAGAGGCTGGCCGTCAGCACTTCGAGGCGCCATGTGTGGAGCAATCTGGCGGTCATGGTCGGGGTGCCGTATCTGAAGAGGAAGCTGGATGAGGCGTATGATGTGCATGTTGCGCCGTCGCGCGCTTTGATTGTGGGCGGCGGACCGCAGTATGTCGATCGTGATGCGCTGCCGTCCAATCCGACGTGGAGGCAGAGGTGGCGCTGGTGTTGTAGGTGGTTTCTCAGACGCGTGTATCCGAGCGTGAACGCGGCTTATTATTTCTCCATACTGGGGTTCTCGTTGGGGTATCTGTTTGATGGAACGAAGTTTTCGAGCCCGTTCTTATGGCTGGGGGGCACGAGGATGAGAAGGTTGGGCGAGGCGGATTACAGGGCGTTTGCGCTGGCGGCGGAGAGGAAGATACCGGGTCTTGATTCCGGGCTCGGTTGGAGGAGTATCTTCGATCGGAGGGTGTTGTACGCGAGGTTATTGTCCAGTTTGAGGATCCTGCTCCCGGCCAGTATCTTCGCGTTGAAGTTCTTGGAGTGGTGGCATGCTTCCGATTTCTCAAAGCAGTTGAGCAGAAAGGCAGCGGAAGGTCTGGAATTGCCGCCGCCCATCGTTTCGGGGATGGGATACGGCGACGAGAAACAGACAGACGCCAAAGCTAGCAAAGCCAACCGAGATCCCCCAATATCCAGCACGAGCTACCTCCCAATCCTCACTGTCCCTCCACCGCCCTCCAGCGATCTCTGTCCGATATGCCTCCACCCAATCTCCAACCCAGCAGCATGTCAGACCGGCTACGTCTTCGACTACAAGTGCATCTTCCGGTGGATCGAAGGTACTCATGAAAGGCAGGCGGCGTGGATGAGAGGCGAGAAGATGAGTGAATGGGAGGATGATGACGGTGAAGCGGGTGCTGGCGATGGTGCTGACGATGGAGAGAAGAGAGGTGAGGTGGAGGAGAAAACTCCATCAAGCAGAGAAGGAAAATGGGACAGCGGTAAAGGTAGATGCGCAATCACAGGCCGGAGAGTCTTGGGCGGCACCAGTGGCTTGCGCAGGGTCATGGTATGATATGGTTGTCTTCAATTTAATCCCGCCAGCATAGCGATTAGGCGTTGGCGGCGCACAGATCGAGCAAAGATACCCAAAACGGCAATTCTGTTTTAGCTCTAACACTTCAAACTCATTCAATCACTGACACACAGTTCGAACCCCCGAATATCCATGCCCCCTCCTTTTTTGTTCCAACATGCGAAGCCCAAAAAGAAAACAAGAGCAACAATAGTCACACACAGCACGAATCCCCAGTCTCCTATTTACTCTCTCCGGCTCTATGTGTTGACATTTCGAAGAAGAAGAGCAGGAAGAAAAAAAAATTTGCTACTGGGAAGCCCCCTAAGAAGAAGGCGGTGTTTTTGTCTTTCCAACCAGCAGCGTGTGCAGACTCTCCAATCGCTCGGATGCATCTGCACGACCACAGAAGTCAAACTCACGGGATTGAACCGCTGGGCCAAGTGTCCGAAGACTGTAGATTGTGTTTTCGAAAAAGAATATAAACACTTAATAAAGTGGGGCGTGTGTTTTGTGTGTGTGTTTTGGTGCGGTGTTGTGTTCTAGTGGCTGAAAAGGGTAAGTCTTCTGCTCTGGGCTGGATGGGGTAGGAGGCGTGTTCGAGGCGGCCTGCCTGCGCTTCGGTCTGTGTATTTGAAATTCCTCGATCACTTGCTGGATGCTCTTCGTCCTGGAGGAGCTCTTTCCAGCCATGTACCCTATCTGGTCTATCTCACGATTTCCCTTGTACTCGGCCACCTCAGCCAAAGGCGTAGCTCCTGAGAGACAGCTAGCTCTCTCTAGCAGCCCTCTCGATCCAAAATACAAGCTACAGACCATGAAAAATCAGGGGGGCGGGGAGGTTGTCGTTGGGTGTCGTCCCTCCTTGAGCGGCCCAAAAACGGTCTCCCATAGCTCACTAGCCTCACCTAGGAAATACGTCAAGCTCACATCCGCCATGCCGGCTTCCTCTTCGCCCTCCATCGTTTCAAGCTGGGAGATGATGTTCTCGAGTCCGAAGGCCTTGCCCGTGGCTTGCGTGGCACCGGCCTCTAACATGACGTTCACGACGTGGATGTGGAAGTGGAAATAGGTCGGTTGATCTGCTCAGTGGTTGCCAGTCAGCGCTCAATTGCCATGGGGAAATTTCCAACAGGACTCAAGATTAGAGAGGCTTGTTGGATTGACCTACAATGCACGTAAAGCTTCAGCATATCTTCCCCCACTCCCTTGCTCCCATAGATCTTCACCGCAGCCTTCAATATCTTCTCGCGCATATGCTTCAGCCAGACCACATGCCTCTTCTTGAGGTCCCTCAAACTCCAAATATCCCTCCTCTCCACCAATGCCAACAGATGCAGGCCCCCTATCGTCTCGCGATCCCAATTCAGATCCGGAAGCAGCAAGAAACCCTCCCCATCCGCGCCCGTGGTACGGCTGCTGTGCTCACGCAAGATGACATCTTCCTGCTCAGTCCTTCCCTCAATGATGTTGAACACCCAATTGAGACGTCCTTCCTCGCGTTTCTGGCGCATGTAGGGCTGCACATACCGAGCGTAGATTTCGGCCGTTTCTGTCACCATACGGAGGCACTGGGGGCTGTATTTCTTGATATGTGCATCTGTGCAAGGGTAAATCAGGTTGATTTTCAGGTCCGGGGGACTCCTGTCTGCGTTCCCGGAGACGCTTTTGGGTGGTTCGTGAGAGGCCATGTACCAGCGGTAGATATCGTTGGAGCCTAGATTGGTAGTGTTGCTTATGCCGGCGAGAAAGGTCCTTATCACACCGGGATCGGTGGGAAAGGCGGCCCGTTCGAGGGAGATGAGGGCGGGCTCCTCATTGATGCTACCAAGCAGAGAGATCCGGCGGCCATTCTGGTCTTGATTTAGAAGTCGCTGGAATTGGAAGAGCGGGATCAGCGATTCGGCGGCTGCTTTGGAATTGATTTCCATGTTCGAATGGTAAGAAAGAAAGATTTCTGGGACTCCAGACGACAAGGCACCTTCTTAGACGAGGCGTAGATAATTTCGTTCACTGTCGGCACATCAAAGCTCTTCACAGACAGAAGACCGAACATCTAGTTTTGCTGTGGCATTTAAGGTATCGATCGCTTTGGCAGGACTCTTTGGTCAAGAGTGGAAAGCCGGTAATGGATTAATTGCAACCAGTATTCTTCTTCAGAGTCTCTCAGTGTTTGAGATTTTAAAAAATGACGTTAAACAGCATTCTCCTAGTTCACAATTCGATAGGGTTATGCAGACAGTATATGCAATGATGTGTGAATGGTTTTTGGCTTCCAATTGGTCCTATCCAGGCCTTCAAGTGGCTACCTTGGCTCCTTCACCAGCTTCTGTCTTGGTTAGGGCTTCCGCTCCAGTGTACTGGCTAGCTATGAACCATTCTTAGCCATCAACCCGAGGATCAGGAGCGAGTGTCCACTTTCTCAATCGAAGGATGGTTATGGAATTACACAAGGTCTGGACTAATTGAGGAGGCGCCCATACTTTAAGGATAATCACAAAATGGGCGTTAACCATATTAGATAAGTAGAATATCTATCTCCGTCTTGTACCACATGAGTTCACATTTATTTATGGGCTGGTGATATTCTAGAATCGGATTGCTCTACAAAAAGACTATGTATCAAAGCAAGGAGTGGAGTACGTCATCAAACATTACAAACACGATTTTTGGGTCGACATCCTGAAGAAGAAATTCGAACATGTACTACGGCAGGAGGCATAATGTTTGTCACCTGCGCACTAGTAAGTAACGTCATTAACAGCGCTCATACAGATACTCCGTTGCTCTGTACGAATGCTCACTGTCGCCATTCTAAGCGCGTTTTGTTGATTCTACGCGTTATTCTACTGATTCTATCTCATTCTGCGCCATCTACGAATTTCTATCAAGTTCGTTCAAATTCTACGCCAGAGAGATGCCAGGCAGTAAAAGATGCAGAAGGGCGGCATACTCGATATTAAGAAAAAACTAGAGTAGTCCTAATTGGGCGATTTTGCGGCGTTACGTCTTGGCGTTACAACCAGTTACTAGTGCGCAGGTGACAAACATTATGCCTCCTGCCGTAGTATGCCTGCATAATGATTGGATCGAAGAAATATCGTACCTGCATATCTAGCTCACGCTTGTACCCAGCCAAGTTTCATCATCAGTTCAAGTTCATCGGCGCATCTTACCCGAAAGTCTTCCACCTCGCCGGAATACGAGACACAAGACATCAAGACGAGTCGACCGGATTTGAGCCCGCTGAAAAGCTGGCTGTACTGTCTACGTAAGAACGCATACCGAATAGGTCCACGCCGTCTCCTCATGACCAAACCGGCGCTGAAACAATCACCGAGAGAGCCTTTGCCAACTCCTGCACTCGACAATTCTTCAATTCGCAACTCCTACACCATCGGCCGCGGTGAAACTGGTGTTTTGACGTTTGAACCCTACAAGTCCCTCATCTTGCCGTTTTGGGCCTTCCGGACCGTCGACATTGCAAGGAATTCTGCCGAAGTTCTATGGGGTATCTTTGAATCTTATTGCGAACGCGGTGATTTTGTTGGCGCTGATATGACCCGCAAATTCATTCAAATGGGTATGACGAGGTCCCGTCGATATGCCAACCACAAGGGTGGCCGGAAGTATGCAAAGGACGGAAAGGTGCTCGACAAGTGGACCGAAGACGATGCCACTGGCCAGAGGGCGGAGAAGGAAGAAGCCAGCAGAATCTTCAAGGAGTACTGGCAGAGGTGTACACGAGATGAGTCGTATAAGAAACTCAAGGACACATGGTCGGCGGAGCAGAAAGCGGTGGAAAGGAGGCGACCTTCGAGACCTGCAGCGCCTGATACAGTCAAGCGCTGACGATACCAGTGATGGCCGGAGCTTTCCATAAGCAATCAGCGACTAGTATCCGAAGACTGCGAGAGGTCCGTTGGGGTTGTATGAATCTGCAAGGACTAGGTCAGCCTACGAATGGCTGCTGTTGGAAAATGCATACAGCTTCCGCAAAGGTTACCCATTCCTCAATTCCCTTCAGGAAGCTATCATCCGCTGCAGGCAGTCTATCATGACCCCACACAGTGATTGCATCAAAGTTCGCTTCTTCTTTCAGGATCTTGACAGGCTCTGCTTGTGATTCATGTTCAAGCATATCTTCCTCATCCTCATCCTCGTATGGTTGTTTATGGAGTGTGGTCTGCTCTTCATCGGAAGCCCCTGACAGGGTTTCGTCGGTCCTAATCACAGTAAGACCTAGCACCTCAGTCAGCTGGCTTCTACAGGCACAGTCTAGTAAAAAGATATACTACCTCGGTATTTCTTTGGGAGCTTGATTTGTCGACCTCGTAATTTGCGGCCGCGAAAATAGGCAGTCTTGCTTCCATCTAGATCATTCAGCTGCCAGTATCTCACCAGAAAGCAAGTCAAGGTAATCATCAGACCTTCTTCTGTAGTGGGACACCAGCACCGCTTCGTTACCTTGGAAGGCCCATTTCGGTGTATCCTGCAGGGTAATACGTTGACCTGGAGCTTCTCTGACCCCTTTTCAGAAGCGCGCACAGCAAGCATGATTGAATTGATGCGTGATAAGAGTCTGCGATACCTCTTGTCCACGAGGGGAAAGATAGATTTGTGCTGTCGCGTCACGTCGCGTCCTCGATTGTGGAGAAATGCCGGTCAAGGAGGCCTTGGCAAGGGTTCTCTCTGCTGCAGGGTTTCTCGATTGTAATTGGTGCATATTTGCATAGGAGGAGCGGTCCGCTGCATTATTCAATCATCTGCATGAAGTAGCCTCTATACTAGCATTGATGCATATTACACAAAGCAATGTGTCAACCTGCTGTGCAGAGTGCGTAGAGAAGCAAGTTGATTGATAGCTACGGGGGTAGAGAGCGTAGATCTATGTACAATTGGGTGCACCGTACAGCGAAATTAGAAGCGAAATTGCGTCGGAAATTGACCAATTAGAAGCAGCAGAAACGCAGGGATTACGCATATTAAACGCGGCCAATTAGCCCTCTCAGAAGGTCAACACAATGTCTTCTTGCCTTTAGTTGTCAAGACTTTGCAACATCTCTACGTTATATACCTTATGAACTCATATCGAAAGTGTGGTCCCGACTCCTCGTGGCAAGAACATCAGATCGGGCCAAGATGCAGCACAAAATCTTATGCGGGCAGTCCTCCTTGCACATCTGCCTGGGGACCCGAAGACTAGATTGCGTATTTGAAATGATGCTTTCTGGGTCAACATGGCGACTTTGCGTTGATATGGTCAGCTCCTTGACTTGTGCCTGCTGGAGACGTACGAAACAGAGTACATGACCAGGATTTCGCAAAAGCCACGTGATGGGTCTCCAGGTCTGGCCGCGTTCCTTAGAGTGAGCACCTGAACCTGTAATCTTTCGGTCCTGAGGAAGCACACTGCATTCAGCTGTGATGCAGAGATCATCATGGATCGAAACCAGCTAGAGACGCAACGACGTGGATATCTTCGCTCCACTCCGCTCTTCACTTTATCGAATGCACATTTGTACATCAGCAACGAGATGCTCTTCGCCTTTCTCTCAGAAGCTATCGTATTTGTGCCCGAGTATGGTTGCCGGCACGTCCTCTGAAGTCATCAGCATACAACGCAGGATGCACAACACAAAGAGTTGGACGGATTGATTGGAAATGCAAAGACAAAGCACAGATCATGTTCGCGGGATTGGCAATGAAGAAGACAGTTTGCCGTGCCACGTTGACGTTGAGGAGAGAGCAGAAAGCGATTGCCGTAAAGCTTATCTCAACAAGTGGTTCAACAGACAACATAGCTGTCCAGCTCTGCGGTTATCGAGCGTTGCCAATGCCACAGGAGGGCTGGTATGACGAAGTTGTCAGCATAGAGATGTTGGAAGTAATCGGGCGCGAATCTCTTTCCACATACTTCGAGTGTGCCGGAAATTGCTGAAATGAGAAGGGAAAATCCCCGTTTTCCAGTGCAGGGCAATACTACACCCAGATATGGAGGATATAGCAAAGGTGATGACTTCGTCCGAAATATACATTTTCCCCCACCGGGCGCCGTTCGACTGTTAGGAAACTTGTCAAATCGATCAGGAAGCGAGATGGAGGCAATATTATTTGAAGAATATTGAGTACATTGGAGGCCATTGTGCTCAAACATTGAAATTTCGATAGGATGAGTATGTGCAGAACGTCCACACCAGGATACGGACAGAGTGAGTTCCGAGCATAGAAGTGTGACGGAAAATGATGCTGAGCTGCCCAGGCGAAAACAAGAGGTGAGTAGTGATTATCATGATGATATTTCCCATACTTACAGTATTCCGGTCCTACTTTACATGTTACGAAGCTGGCTTCAACCCCAAAGTTCTTGGTGATGTAATAATCACCGTGGGTACAGGGAGAGCCACCCACTTAAAAATGATACCCCTATAATCATAATCCTCCATTCTATTGATAACTTACTTCTTGTTCCTTTGTGATTTTGGTGCTGCAGACTACCATGTGTTCGAGGAGGAAATAGGAATTGTGCAATTTTCTCCTGGAGACTCGATGACCTCCTTGTTTGTCTTCGCAGACTTTTCGGCATCAGGTTTGATCGAAAGGGCTATCCATGCTATTGAACATGAAAGGGTTGGGAATAGTTCTGAAGTCCGAACCATGCCCCTGGAGATTCTCTTTGGTATGTATTCCATCACACTCAGCTACCACGGACCTCTGGCGCCAAACCTCAGAAATAGACGTTCAGAAAAGCAGGAGGTCCATCCGGCCATATAACTCAACGCTTTTTCTTCTTCTTTTTGGGCTGCCGCGGCTTTTGTGATTTGCTGCCGTTCTGCGTAGGCCATTTCTTGGCATGCTCTCTCTCGAACGCCTCTTTCTCTCGACGAAAGAGTAACATGGTAGCTCTGGCGTCCTGTACGGAAGAATGAGCGCCACTCTGGATTTCGATCCCTAGAATTTCCGCCGCAAGAATCTTCAGCCTTGGAGAGCCACCACCCGCCAACTTGCGGAATGGTGGATGGCGCGCTGTGTCACGAATATCGCGTTTAGGATGACCAAGAAGAAGTGCATCGAGATCATTGCGAACCGCATGCCCGACCAGGATGTTACCATCCAGAATTTTGGAAACGTCGGCTTGAACTTGCTCAAAAGAGCGGGCTTCCAGCATATCTTTTGCTGAAACTCCGCTTACTGGCGTTCTCCAGTCGGTGACAAGCTCTTTCGGCTTAACGAAAGAGTCATAGACTTGTTCGCCATTGAAGTTGACAATGCTGACTCGAGCGAGTGCGGATTCTCTATCTGGCAGTGGCCCAACACCAACCATCTCACAGTCAAGCGCAACATATTTGCCAATTTCGACGCTGGAAACAGTTTAGCCTCGCACACAGTCTAGATAGCAGAGTGACGTGCCTCTCAGAAAGCCCCTCGTTAACACGTTCGGTAGCAATGTCGCCATCCATACTCGGTCTACCGGTCTTAGGCTTCTTTTCTGGCCTGGATACAGATGCTAACGGCCGTTTCCGCTTTAGAATCTTCCTCTCGTGGTAAGACTGTTGTGGTAACGTCTTCTTTGGTGCTTCGACGCTGAGGGTGGCTTTCAGCTTCTTCCAATTTGCCGAAAGCTCCATGGTATTTTGAATCTTACATGTTGTCACATTGAGAGTCCCAGTTTAGTATTTGAGTGAGCCGAAGATTGACTCCAAGTCTAGCCGACTCAGGCTAGATGAATGCCAAGAGACTACACTAAATTAAGTTATTCTGTCTTCAAATTCTCCAGAATGAAAGCATTGACATCAATAAATGATCTCCACCGAAAAAGGAGGTGCCAAGGACAGACTACTCAGTTTACACGATTGAGAATGTACGTAGACGAAGGCTTTGAATCCGATATGGCGTCCAATCTCGACATTGGTCTTTTTGGAAAGGATGAGAGTGATCCGGAAATGGGTGCTATACAGTGTCCTGAGTGCCCTCTTCCTCATAACGTTCTATCACCTATCCCCTAGCACCCCAGTTGACTCCGACGTTGGACAATCCTCATCGCAGGAAGTCCTGACCACTCCGTCGGCCAGCGCTCATGGTCACAAATGGGCCAACAAGCCCGTCAAATACCCTGTCACTTCTCTGGTCTCCTTGCCCACCAGCAAGCCTGTTGCAATCCCTAAGGTCCAGTTTCCGTTCGAAGCCGAAGATCCCACAACCAAAGAGATTCGAGAACGCAGGTTGCAGACAGTCAAGGAAGCCTTCACACATTCTTGGGATGGCTACAAGGAGCACGCCTGGTTGAAAGATGAGGTTGCTCCTGTCACTGGTGGCTCCCGAAACACCTTTGGAGGATGGGGTGCCAGTCTGGTAGACACCTTGGATACTCTTTGGATCATGGGCATGAAGGCAGAATTTGAGGAAGCTGTGGCTGCCGTCCGCAATATAGACTTCAGCATTGCTGAGCAGTTGCCGCTGAATATCTTTGAAACAACAATACGCTATCTCGGAGGGCTTCTAGGTGCCTACGATGTAAGCGGAGGCAAATATCCTGTGCTCTTGGGCAAGGCCATCGAGTTGGGGGAGATGCTCTACACAGCTTTTGACACCCCGAATAGGATGCCCATTACTCGTTGGAGCGGGGACAAGGAAACATCTCAGGCGGAAGCCCTAGAGAGGACTCTTGTCGCTGAAATTGGATCTCTTTCCCTCGAGTTTACACGCCTGTCTCAGCTGTCCGGAGACATGAAATATTTCGACGCCATTCAACGCATAACGGACGTCTTCGATAAGCAGCAGAATCGCACGAATCTTCCTGGGATGTGGCCCGTGTTGGTAAATGCGCGGACACAAGAATTCTCTCGAGATACTTTCTTCACGCTTGGAGGTATGGCCGACTCTTTGTACGAATATCTACCCAAGGTATACTTAGAGGTTGCAGCTTATACCCACAAAGCCGGCTAATATATCCAGGAATACTTGTTGCTTGGTGGTCGCTCCGATCAATATCAGCGAATGTATGCATATGCACTGCAAACCATAAAATCTAACCTCCTATTCAAGCCAATGACGACGACCGACAAGGACATTCTGCTTTCAGGCAATGTCCGAGCCTACGGGCTAAACACGGTTCACCTTGAGCCACAGAGCCAGCACCTTGCTTGTTTTGCAGGTGGGATGGTAGCACTTGCAGCAAAGATGTTCAACCACTCCGAGGACATCGACGTCGCCCAAAAAATTGTGGATGGATGCATATGGGCGTATGAGAGCATGGCTACTGGTATCATGGCAGAAGTGTTTTACACTGTTCCCTGTCGTGGAAACAGCACAAGGGCGTGTCCTTGGAATCATACAAAATGGGTTAGTGAGGTAGTGCTTCGAAATTCACACGACGAGCAGGAGCTTGATCTGGCAACGCCTTACGATGAGCGTATCCGTATGAAAGTGGAAAGGCTCCGCCTACCCGCTGGCTTTTCTGCTATTGGTGATCGCCGCTTTCTGCTGAGGCCCGAAGCTATTGAGTCCATCTTCGTGCTCTACCGCATCACAGGTGACGAGGTCCTCCGAGATGCCGCATGGGAGATGTTCGAAAACATTCAGAGAGTGGCGAGGACAGACATTGCGTACGCCGCCATCGAGGACGTTACCAATACGCAAACCATGCAAGCAAACAATATGGAGTCTTTTTGGATGGCTGAGACTTTGAAATACTTCTATCTGCTATATAGTGAGCCGGAGGTGGTAGATCTGGATGATTTTGTGTTGAATACGGAAGCTCATCCTTTTAGAAGGCCACAATAAGAATTATCAGGGACGCCTCTATATTTGAAGACCCCTAAGCGAGAGAGGCATGTGGAAGTATCTCTTGTGGATGCCCTGGGACTTTGCACTACTTCTGGGGGAGGTCTCCTAAGAATGCATTCGCCCCTTTGGATCCTAAGAGCGGATCTGATTCCCAGCGGGATAACATGCGAGAAGCGGCCCATTCCACTTGAGGCCTTTGTCCCCCAGTACAGTAAGGGACCTGATCACAAACGATCTCTTCTATCTCTGCGAAACCTCTAAAAAATCCCGGATTTGCCATTTTGTTTGAAACGAGGATTTCGCAAACACTTTGTGACTAATCAATTGATGTTCTCAACGAAGTTTGTACCGACTACATCTCGCTACTTCTCTACAGACTTGTCTGTTCAGACAAATCCATACTACAATATGACCATCTGCCCAATACTCTAAAGCTAGCGGCTGCACACACCAGCTCTCTCCGCCTCCGGCCATTTTCTCCCTTTGCCTCGCAGCGGACGGCCATCCGCCGGCGCGGCACCCTGCCATGATTAGACGTGATCGGCTACCCTTCATGCCTCCTTATCAAAGCCAGTAACTTGTCCCAGCCCAATATTTAAGTCCACACCAAGTCACCATTTTCATCGAATCCTGGGGTTGGAGAAAGATCTGGATCCCCTTCGTGAAGGACGCGAAAGAGGATTTTGGGGGGGTCTGACATACTCTTAAGAGCCTCTGCGTCCCTCATGTTGGGTGGTCGTGTTCGCTATCGTATCACCCGTCTTGTCAGATATGTGAGAGAAAATCTGCGATAATTAGATAGCCAGGCTCTGAGGGGTGTTGTTCCTGAGGTCTGAGCTTTCGCTGTAGCAGAATTCGTACATCATCTTAGTCTTGCATCCACCACCTTACGGCGGAAATTGTGCCAATGTATCATTGGATGACCACTTTATGGCTAGTTCAGGCCCACTATACCAATGAAACCGTTGATACATCATTGGGACGCGCGTTAACGGCGTCTACATCGGGTACCCAGCCAATTATAGTTATGTGCATCATACAACTTGAACAGCAAAGATGTTTACAACGTTCGTACTGTACTACCTGTGTAACGCCAAGCCACCTGTATCAAACGGACGGCTACGGTACTAAGTAGCTACTAGTATTAAGTTGTACTTGTGTCATCCTTCATCACCCATTTCTTGCTTTCCTGGATGCAGGCCAAGTGTAGCTTTGCAATCGCATGATTCGATGCTTTGGTGATTACAATGGGACACCGTAAGCTCCGCCCGCCAGCAGCCTGGTTGTACAAATGAGGGCGTATGTCACTAATTTGTCTATCAGTAACCACCCTGGCAACCTGCCAGCTCAACCAGTGGGCCTTGGATTTTGAGGGTAACCTGGAAAGAATTCTCTTGAGCATCAAGAAGGCAAAGGAAGCCAAGGCTACCTTGCGTGTGGGCCCGGAATTAGAAATCACCGGCTATGGCTGTCTTGATCACTTTCTGGAGGCAGACACCTTCTTACATTCATGGGAGATGATTGCGCGAATACTGAAGAATCCGGGCTGTCGAGATATCATCTTGGATATAGGTGAGCTTCTCGTTACTTGGCCGATATCACGAGGTCTAGTGACGGTGGTTGACCCCCTCCCTTTGTCACGTCGTAGGTGCACCAGTTGTACATCGCAATGTTAGAGTAAGTTGAAAAGTTTCGCGTAATGCGGGATTCTCAAGTGTTGGGGCTGATGAAATGCAGTATAACTCCAGGTGTGTTATACGGCCTCAGTTCTGCTCGATAACAAGCTGAATCACGCTGTCCATAAGAATTGTCTGCTTCAATGGACAAATACTGCTAATCAGACCCAAGCTCTGGTTAGCAAATGACGGGAACTATAGGTGACTGCCTTCTCCAATGTACCACCAACATTAATATGAAGCTTACTTTCAGGCAGAGAGATGCGCTACTTCACTCCATGGTCTCGTGAAGGACACGTTGAGGAATACTACCTTCCACGCATCATTCAAGACATTGTGGGCAAGGTCAAGGTTCCAATTGGCGATGCTGTCATCTCAACAAGAGACACTTGTCTCGGATGCGAGAGCTGCGAAGAACTCTTTACGCCCAGCGCTCCGCATTCCGCAATGAGCCTCAACGGTGTCGAGATTTTCACGAACTCTAGCGGCAGCCACCATGAACTGAGGAAGCTCAACACTCGCTATGATCTGATCCTAGAGGCAACGCGCAAAGCTGGGGGAATCTACCTGTATGCAAACCAACAGGGTTGCGATGGCGATCGACTGTACTACGATGGTTCTGCTATGATTGTCATCAATGGCATTATAGTCGCACAAGGTTCGCAATTCAGCTTGAACGATGTGGAAGTCATCACGGCAACACTCGACCTGGAGGACGTCAGAAGTTTCCGCTGCGCGCCATCAAGAGGGCTTCAGGCGTTGCAGGCACGCTCGTACCAACGTATCGAGGTCGACTTCGGCCTTTCGGCAGAGGGCAGTGTCCTAGACACAAAGATAAAGCCGTCAGAAGCACGAGCGCCATCCTTTCATGCACCGGAAGCAGAAATCGCATATGGACCCGCATGTTGGTTAGTGAGTTGTGCCTCCATTCGAAAGGTTTACTCCAGCATTATCTTACTAATACTGAGCAGTGGGATTATCTTCGACGCAGTCGCCAAGCTGGGTTCTTCGTCGTAAGTCTGCTGAAGCGGCTTCCGCAATACCAGAACAACTAACTGAGCCTATAGCCTCTCTCTGGTGGGATAGATAGTTGTGCCACTGCGGTCATCGTATACTCGATGTGCAGACTGGTCGTTGAGGCCTGCAAAGCTGGTGACGAGCAAGTCATCAAAGACGTCAGGGCTGTCTGCGCCGAGGAGACTTACTCTCCAGAAAACCCTCAGGACTTGTGCAACCGGATTTTCCATACCTGTTTCATGGGTAGCACGAACTCATCTGGAGAAACTCGAAGTAGAGCTCGGAACCTTTCAAAAGCCATCGGAGGTAGGATATCGAGATAGATACATAAGCACGATTGTTGACAAGCACAGCTTACCACACCGATCTCAATATCGATTCAGTCGTAAGCGCTATGACGAAGCTCTTCACAGCCGTGACGAAGTAGGGCAGTTCTACTTAAGTGCGTATATCCATGCTGACAGAATCTCCTTCCTATAGTTTCGTGCCTAGGTTTCGGGTTCAGTAAGTACCGAACACAGTTCCGCGAGAATGGTGGACAGACTAACAAATATATCAGCGGCGGTGACAATGCTTCGAACCTGGCTCTCCAGAAGTCAGTACCTCCCAACTGCCAATCATTACTTGACAAAACCCTCGCTCACCTAATCACCAGCATCCAAGCCCGACTTCGCATGGTAATCGCCTACCTATTCGCCCAACTCCTCCCAACCGTACGCAACCGACCATCCGGCGGCTCGCTCCTCGTGCTCGGCTCCGCCAACGTCGACGAACTCCTCCGAGGCTACCTCACCAAATACGACTGCTCGAGCGCCGACATCAACCCGATCGGCGGGATTTCCAAGACAGACCTAAAAGCCTTCATCAGGTGGGCAGCCACGAACTTCAACCTTCCCATCCTCGATGACTTCATCAGTGCGACACCGACTGCTGAGCTGGAACCCATCACGGGAGACTATGTGCAGTCCGACGAAGTGGATATGGGGATGACGTATGATGAGCTCTGTGTGTTCGGGCGGTTGAGGAAAGTTCAGAAATTGGGACCCTGGGGGATGTGGGAGCGGCTGGTGCATGAGTGGAGGGACAAAATGGGCCCAAGGGAGGTGTATGAGAAGGTTCGGCGGTTCTTTTGGTATTATGCTATCAACCGTCATAAGGCTACTGTGATGACGCCGTCTTATCGTGAGCTGCTTTCAGTCCGGTTAGAAGAGAGCGTGACGCTGATGGTGTCTTGCAGATGCAGAGCAGTACAGGTACGCACTTCTACTCCGCAGTGAGTTCTAAGAAAGGGGAGTGGGGCCCAGAAACCCATTACTGCCTTTTTCGACGAGCTCAAATGGGGAATGGCGGCAGAGGGATTCTCGAACCCTCCCGCTATGGAATTTAGTACTGACATTGATCTACCGTATAGTCCCGATGATAACAGGTATGACCTGCGACCATGTGAGTGCTCTGACAGTCACTACAGACATACCGCTTGCCTGACCAATACACAGTTCTGTATCCGATCTTCTCTGTAGCATACAACAAGATCGAGAACGCACTGAGCAGATATGAGAATCCCAAAGGCCCAGATAGTGTTGCTGGCAAGGAAGAGGGGATCCAGGATCTCGGTGGTGAAGCGAGGCAGGAGCAGTAACTGCGGACCTTGATGTCCAGGGGGGTGGGCGGGACATGGCGATCTTGACCCAGGCACAGTGTAATGCAAGCGAGATCAGTGTTCCAGCCGACGAATCGAGAAAATGAGTGGTGGCCTGGATCTGTGTGGAAAGCCTAGGTACATAATCGTTGTATCCATGGAGAGTGGCTCGTTTCGCTGGACCACGTGACGGAGGCCAGATGACTATTCAAGCCGATAAAAAAACCGGTTCTGGTAGGCTTTATTTAAGTACCAGTTCCGAGAAAATAGCAGCGGCATGCAGAGTCTTTCCTGGGCGAGAACGATTCTACTGACCCTTCTTTAGCGCATATTCACTTCGGAGCTTCCTTTCAATGCGGCGCAAGGATTAGCTTGCTAACCCCAACGAGAACAAGCCGCATATCAGTTGTTGCCCAGTACCAGGCGCATTGTATCTATCCGACTCACGTTTAGCAAAGGCCGGGAATGCTTAATTCTTCTTCTGGGCTTTAGTTGTTATTGCCCGGGGTCACAATATATGAGATGTACGTAGTATACTTGACGGCAACCCTGCAATGAGAGAAACCAATCAAATACGCCGAGCATGTCATCGGGTGGTCTGACAACCCAAGGCTGGGGGTTACGTGTACACTTCCAGCAGCCACGCACAGGAGGGAAGTTCTTAGTAAGTGTCAATATGCTGCAGAATGCTCATGCTTCAAAGGACCTGCTGTGCGATGCTTCACGCATTTCAGGTATGTGGCTATGCAGTGTTTATTTCCGATCGTTCTCTCTGTACCCGGATGCGGATTCTCGACATGTAGTCATCACATGGCCACTCGGCCCAGCATCCGGTCCGGAGTGGTTCGCGAACCCTGCTTTCTCTTGTCGATCTCCCTTCAATGCGGCTGAGTTAGCCTGGGGAAGGAGTATCCATCTCTCAATATGCACTAACGCCGCATTGGAAATGAAGAAGCAGCCTCCCGATGTCAACGCCACCATATCCGATGCCAGGAGACAGAATTGGTATTGCCCCCAACCGTGGCTGCTGCCAAAGTCTGCAGATGTCAGGTGGGCAGGGCATGCTGTGCAACAATGCCATCCAATCGGGAGATTCCAACAAGAAACTTATCTCCAAGCGACGTATCTTTCGATCTGTTGGATATGCACCGAAGCTCATATGGATTGCTTCACGTTGTCATCTGAGTGGTTGCTTCGGATCCGCCTGCCAGGGCTGCGGGTTCTCTTCGATGTCAAGTGAGTCGAGGCAACCATGGTACAATCAGTGGGAGAACAGAGCCAGTTCGATGCCCATACGGTCTGACCAACGCAAAACATGTAGTTGTTTCATACGCGATTCGAGTAAGTTCAATGGTTGCTAGTATGATCAGCTCCTGCGGCCTGTATAATAGAGTTCCGCTTGTGTTATGCATTGACTTCTCTGATTCCTCTAGGGTCCTGTCGGATTTGCTGCCACTGGCAATTTTCGAATGCTCCACGTGCCTTCTATGCCGAGAGATAAAGTATCCTATGGCGCTTGAATTGAATATTCATGATTCCGAGGGGACAGGATTATTCTTAGGTCTCACATGGTTTGTGGCTTACTATGTACAGCCTCGCCCATCGAACATGAACGAATTGAGGCCGATTGTGACGGCAGAATATGGAAATCTATTCGTTGACCTTCACTTGGCCTGGCTTCTCTTGCTACACTGGTGGGCCATCTCGGCCCAGAGTTCTGGTCCCAAAACAGGATTGTTTGGGACGCTGCAAATGCAGGGACACAACGGTTCTGCCTAGGATGGTCCGGGCGTAGAGCTCGTTGCAGAAGACTGGTCAACCTTGCGACCGGTTGTGGTGCAGCCTCAAAGTACCAGTTGTGATGCTGCTATCTGGACGCGAAGAAACAGAACAAAAACAGAAACAGCGACACCAATCGGGATTAGAGTAATACCCGTATCCCTTGTGATCCAGACGCAACACTTGTTACCACATATTTGCAGCGAGAGCGTTCTGACCAATATAGCAAAGTACTGTGATGATCTGGCCGTCGTGTTCGGATACCCTTTGAAAGCGACTGTGACGAGTCCTACGATCCAACAGAATCAGCCCACTTCTCGATCAGGGCAAACCAACAGATGACATCGGGATATATACTGTGTGCATGTGGTAGTCGCCTGCTAACTATGCTACAATGGGAAACCTCCGGTGTGGCTGGTTGCTAGAAGGTCGAACTGACGGGATATCATCCGACTTTTGCAAACAAGCAGCATGGAAGTTATTCACGTATAGCCCAGATTAGATCGTGCGGCTGCCGGATACCCCGGTTGGTGCCCTTTGTGGAGAAGGCTCTTCCTGAACCCTGCATTATTGAACCTTAATCCTGCATCCGCAGTGTTGCACGAGTCGATCAAACTCAATATGAAATGCCCAGAGACCACACTTTAACGATACACAATATCGGTTCGGGGAGACAACGGTGTCAAAGACATATCGTCGGCCCCAAAGCCATGGCATCTGTCTCTGTACTGGATAGCCCCGCGGAGGTGGGCAGGGGAGGAGCAATGAGCAAGGCGAGCGTCGATGCCGAGGGCCGTTCTCTTCCAACTCTGTTCCAATTCTGTTCACACCCACTGGCAAGCATTAGAAACATCCCAAAACGTTTCTTTTCACAAACGCTTCCACAGCGGCATCAAAACAATGAAACAGTGATAAGGAAGGATTATCGTGCTGGCACTGAGGATTTCCAGATTGCACGGTTGAGGCTTAGTTCAAACGGGGTGAGACAACAAGAGGCGCAACTTACCAAACCTAGAAATCCATTTTTCGAAACAATTACTAGTATACATTGGCTTAGCTAGCCTTGTTGCTTATGAATGACCACTCGATATAGTGGCTAACTTGCAAGGCACGTAGTGCTGGTATGGTACAGATCCACCCTTGCGGAACCTCACGAACGATCTTCGGTTCAAGGACATGATCGACCAATCCAATGGCGGTCTTGCAGATCTCAGGGCTGTCAATTTGCTCTTTTCGTACGGGTTGGCCACAGCCTAACCAGCATGTATCTGCTGCACTGTTCTCGATACAGCTTGCTAACACATTCGACCAGATGCCAACATCCTTCAAGACTAAAAGGCTAATAAACTCTACCCGAAAGCTGCAGACTGCACATAAAACGCCGAATAATTCTTGGTGGATAGGATGTTGGCGGCAGCAGCTTCCTTCCCCATTCTAAGACACACCACCATCCCTCCCAGTTATACCTTCACTGATTGGTTGAGAAACAAGAGTCCATCATATGAACCACCGGCCACCTTTGGAGCATTATCTAATGATTTCATGCTAGACAGTTCCGACATGTTAATCCTTGCTGCGATGGGCTTAACGTGTGGGCGAGAACCGGCGGTCTCGATGGAAATCATGGGAACCCCACTAGATGGAGGTCGCCGCATCTTGCCTTGCAGTTTCTGCTTCTCCATGGACGAATGGCAACGACGAGTGGAGTCATGATTCAACTCCTTGGCAGATCTTGAATCGTAGATTCAAGGTATATAAGAGAGCTCCGTCTCCTCCCCCAAAGTGAGTTTTCATCAACATCTTCATTCACACCAGAGCACTTCCAATACTCAAAGCTTCATTTCAACAGACCTCCTCGTCTTCAAAACTCCACCATCATGCAGATCTATAACCTCCTCACCCTTGGCTTCGCCATCGTTGCCAGCGTTTCCGCCATGCCCACCGAATCCGACCCAAAGACCCCAGCCTGCAAACTCAGCGGCGAGGTGTACAACGGTGCTGGAAAAGAATGCCAGTGCCCACCAGGCCAATTGAAGAAGCCCAACAAGGGGAAATGCGGATACCCTCCCTTCCAATACAAGAAGTGCCCCAAAGACGATGAGAAGCCATACTGCGCCAAGAGCAAGTATGAGTACTGCGGATATGGTATGTAGAATTTCCCTGCTTCTGAATATGGCCTGGTTGCTGATCAGACTTCCCCCACAGACCAGGAGCATGATTACTGCGAGGATGATGGCAAGAACTCTTACTTCTGCTGCAAGGAGTCAGACTACAAGAGCTGCATCGAATCTCACTACTAAGCATGAGTACGGCGGTGGTTGTACGGCGGTTCCTCGGCGGCTATGCGGGCATGAGTCGGGATACAATGCAGCTGACACTAAACGACGCTGCTCTGATTGTGTTCGATGGTCTGTCTCTGTGATCTTCAACGCTTTGTATGATAGGTCCTTGGGACAAACACATTCTGTATAGCACCTACGCTCATTAATCATTATCATATTACTGCGAACCTTCTCCAACAACTATTTTACCTCTCTTTAAGCCTCAGAATCATGCAACTGCAACTTTTTAGCTTGTGCGTAAATGGTCAATAGTCTTCTTGCTGGATACTGAAGGACTGAAGAGTCCGTGGCTTCATACAGTGTCCATTTGATTTTGCTCGAGTATTTAGAACCCTACCACAAGAGGATCAAAATGACAATGCGTGTAGTTAGAAGTTTGTGCAACCTGAATACTACCAATAGTAAAAGAGAGAGGAATGCCAAGATAGCGGAGAAGCTCCGCTAATCGATCCACAATTTTCTGAATGAGAAAGCTTCCACACGAATTCTTTCCCTTAAACTCCAACTCGAATCATGTATCATACGCACAGTGCACCACAGCAGCACAAACAATCTTCGAGGAAAGGCAAGAAAGCTTGGAGGAAGAATGTCGACATTTCCGACGTCCAAGAGGGGCTCGAGCAGCTTCGAGATGAGATCATTACGGGGTAGCTCACCTAGATTCGCCCACATCTGCGCATGCTAACGAAGCCAGTGGCCCTGTTGCTGAGAAACCGTCCGCAGACATTTTTACTGTCGACACATGTGGATCCCAAACTGTTCGAAAGAATTACCAGAAGAGCCACAAACCACTGAGGGCGGATCAGATATTGGCACAGCGTTCAGTGATACCAGTAGTCGACACTCGGAAAAGACCAAATTCCAAGATCACGGAAGGGATTACGGGACCGTCAAGTAAGAAGCAGAAGAAGGATTGGGTGAGTGGTAAGGAGTTGCAACGTCTGAAAGACTCCTTAAACGAGAGTAACCTCCTGGCGTCCAGGCGGCTTGACCATGGTGCGGATATGAAGGTAGATCTGTGGTCTTGTGATAGTATGACAAAGGACGGCGCTGCGTTCGACTACCTAGAACAGCCGAAAGCGAAAGTACCCCCCTCTACAATCCGTCAACCGCCAATAGCAATGACGGCAAGTGGCAAAGCCGTCAAGGCAATCAAGACACCGGCTGCTGGCACGAGCTATAATCCATCATTTGCAGATTGGGATGACCTGCTCAATCAAGAAGGGCAAAAGATGGTCGAAGCGGAGAAGCAACGACTCCGTGAGGAACAATTAGAAGCAGAACGTGCAGCAAGAATTGCTGCAATTGCCTCGGACGATGCATCAAGTGCTCGCACCAATGATGAAAGTGCTTGGGAAGGGTTTGAAAGCGAGTTCGAAAGCCCGGAGTTGCTCAAGAAAAGAAGACCTGAACGAAAGACCCAGGCACAGCGGAATAAGATCAAGCGGCGAAAGGAAGCCGAGCGGCAAGCTCTGCATCAAGCCAAAATGGCAGACAGGAGGAAACAGGCGCGGGAACTTGAGCAGCTAGCCAAGAATACGCATGGAGGACCGGCCAGCACAAGTGATGAGACGGCAGTAGCGGAAGACGGGAATGTCTCATCGGATGGGTGGGACGAATTGATGCTTAGGCGGAAAAGGTTACGAAATGTTTCTATACCAGAGAAGAATCTCGAAGTCGTCCTTCCTGATGAGCTTCAAGAATCGCTACGACGACTGAAGCCTGAAGGTAATCTACTCCACGATCGATTCCGTCATTTACTGGTAAGTGGCAAGACCGAAGCAAGGAAGCCCATCATTCAACCGAAAAAGAAGAGGGTAACCTACACGGAGAAGTGGACGCATAAGGACTTTCGCATTCTGGTGTAGATTAGACACTAGGTTAGAGAGAATCAAAGGGGTGGATCAACCAAGAACTATGCTTTGTGGGTACGTTAATAACAATGTCCTGAATGGGTCCAGTAAGTCTCGCGAAGCAGTACTACGTACGAATCTTGATAAGTACTACGTAGTACAGCGGCTAGTACTAGGTTGGCGATCTGGTCAGTGGTCACAACAAGTTACAGGACTACTAATTAGTAGTGCCAGTGGTGAGGACAGTGCATGGCACTAACGCCAAGCTTCCAGGATATGAACACTGCGTCCTTTGTTCTTTCTTTACGCTGGAGACAGAAAGAAGCAGCTAGAACCCTCGAAGTGCCTGCCAAGCGTCGCAAGCAGCAAGGCAACAGCCTGACATACTAGTAGCACCACATAAGTAGCAGCACCTGAGGCTTTTGCTACTCAAGAACGTTGAGGATCACTCACGGCAATATGAAGTTTGACAAGGTGCCGCAGCCTCGACTACCGACCTGACTACTTAGAAGCTCCTCTGTTTCGGAGAGCCGAGAAAAGGTGTCCTTTACCTTTCAGCCGGAGTACTCATGACGGTCAAGATATGCTCGAGCTGCTTGTTCGACTTTAGCATCGTCCAAGGCGTGTGATGTTTCTATTGTTTGGTAGTACTGTTCAGCGTTGATGTCTCTGTTCCGTCCTCCCAATGATGACTCAACTTCAGCCTCATCATCAGATTCTGAGAAGCAGTGTTCGCATGGTATATCCAGCAAGAGAACTACTAAAAGGCCCGCACCCAACCACACCATAACAGAGACATGGAAATCTCGTGGCAAGGCGAGGAGACGGCTTCTGAATCTGTTGCCGGAAATGATGAGTCTCCCGCTTCCAATGACTGGCTGCCGGATACAGCCGAACAACATGCAACCTTACTCACTTCCTCGCTGTTGGAATTTGCTTATAATGTCAAGGCTGCTGAGCATCTCAACCATGTACGGGGCACTAATAGATTCCACCGTGAATCACCAGAAGCAAGAGCGCTTGGAGCTGTCATGTATCAAGGGGCGAGCACAGTCCTGGCTTCCCACGGCATCATTGCAGACTGCGTACACGAAGAGGACTGGAGACAATTGAGGCAACAGTACCTTGCTGGTGTGGATAACCTGGGACTTCAGGCATTTAATGAGAGCCTATCACATCAAGATAACTCTAGACGAGGCAGGCCGACTAGCGAGGATAATAAGGTGTTGGTACGCCATCCTTCACGTCCTCGACAGGAGTTTCTTAGTGTTCTAAGCTCCAAGTATCTCCCGGGCCAGCTCGTCGACACTAATCAATATCGAGGGATGATGGATGCTATGACTCGAAGCCTGGTCGTCCCTTCGCCAGACGCCAGCATGCAATTGTCTCTCCCCCCAGCAGCCGCTGGGTGCAGTAGATACAAGGCCGAGTTTTGTGAGCTGAAAAGACTGGGCAAAGGAGGATTCGGGACTGTTTACCATGTCAAAAACTTCGTCGACAACCAGGACTACGCCGTGAAAAAGATCCCGCTAGATCCTAGACGCATGAAACAGTGGCAGACAAGTGGAGCGAAGGAGGTTGAAGCTCTTTTGAAGGAGATTCGAACATTGGCACGACTTGAGCACGCGAATATCGTTCGATATTACTCTGCATGGATCGAAGGCGCTGATGAATCCACAAACACCCCCACTGCAGTCCGGAGACCTCATCAGCTGTATCTTAAGGACAATGCTGCTTCAACATACGTATCAAATCTTGGAAATGATAAGCGGCAGGATGAGGATAATACTGATATTGTATTCACGAAAGATAGTCCTCGGGACTGTCCAGATATGCGAAACGGAGCGTTTGACGATTCAATGGGCATTGTCTTTAGTAGGGACAGTGGAACTTTGAGTCAGTATACTCCATCTGAACAACAGTTGCCTGCCCAACAGTCCCAACATCAGTCCAGGTCGCACGATCATGATTGCCGTCCACCGTCAACGAGCAATGAGACAGATATTTTCACTGATGGTAATTGCGAAGCGCGGTCTAGCAAATCCAAGAAAAACGATGAGTTGGGACAAATGAAAATGGTGCTGCATATACAGATGTCTTTACATCCACTCAGCCTCTCCACCTACCTCGCACATTCAGAAACGTCATCCTGTCCAAGTCCTCCTCGACACTGCTTTCACCTGAAACCTTCCTTGCGTGTAATCCGTGCCATACTCTCTGGAGTCGAAAATTTGCATTCGCAAGGTATTATCCATCGAGACATCAAGCCTGGCAACATCTTCCTGTCCGAGCATAACGAGTACGACCAACGTCCAGGTTGCGTGGAGGTCAGCTGCACCGATTGCGAACAATCACAGACCAAGCGATACCTCAATCCTCGGCTGGGGGATTTTGGGCTCGTCGCTGACATCAGTCGTCTAAGTGATGAAGAAAGTGTGCCGACTTCCAAACACACCTCGAAAGCGGTCGGGACAGAATTCTACCGTCCTCCCACCATAGCTGCCCGTCAAGACTACAGCCATGCTATTGATGAAAAAATCGACGTCTTCGCTCTCGGCATCCTGCTATTCGAGTTGCTTTGGAGAATGAACACTAAAATGGAGCGCCACATGCTGCTAACCGACCTCGCCAAGAAAGCAACCCTGCCACCACACTTTGCAAAGAAGATCGATCCTCGTGGTGAATCTTGTCGGATTAAGAATCAAGTACACGACAGAGCTGAATTCGATACAGTGGGCGACTGCGTGGAAGACTGCATCCGTAACATGGTTGCCACCTCGCCGGCTGAACGGTGGGGTTGTGCGCGGGTGCGCGAACGGCTTGACGAGTTAATCGAGGTGATGGAATGATATCTGTACTGGCATTGGACACTGAACGTGCTGCTTCGCGAGGTGGTAGGGATTGTTCTCCTTAACGAACTCGGAGGCAGGCCGCCTAGATGAATTCGTCACTCATTTATACAGAACAAGTAAAAAGCAAGATCGTCAGTGCTAAAACCTTTGGTTAGGATGCTGACGGCGGACGGAAGAGGCAATTTCTCCGTTGGCAGTTTCGGTGCCATTCAAGTTGTTCAAAGAATAGATTCTTTGGAGAGATGGTAAAGCTTCGAAATTCTATGGTACACGCTCTCTTCTCGCAGGGCACCCTCACCACTTCACCTAGAGACAGGCGTCTACCCCAAACTTCCGCAGCATAATGTTAGACCCATTCACAGCATTGAATCGATTTTTGTACAGTCTCTCCATTACTTCAATTCACCCACCTTACGATCCCATCCTCACCCGTCTCCGTCTTCCGATCCAAGACTTCCTCCACCTTCTCGCTAACCCCCAATTTCCGCTCCCACCTCCTCAACATCTCATCTACAATCATCCTCCTAGTCCTCGGCGCCTGAGTAACACACGTTCGGATAACCTCTTCCCTCGGCAGCGCCATCTGCGCATGTGGATAATCGTGATACTGCGCCTCCTTGAAACTGGGGTCCACACCGTATGGTGAGGGCTCGAAGAGCTGAATCCTACTCTCGTCCTCCCGCGAGACTCTGAAGAAGGAAGTCACGTCCTCGTCGGTGACGTCTTCGAGTCGCGCCGGGTTCCACTTTGGTTCGCGGCGCGGCTTCATGAGTCGGGCGGTCACGCCTTCCACAAAATCCGGGTGCGACATGAATCTGCTTGCCATCTTGTGTTCGCGGATGAACGTTTCGCGGATTTCCCAGGTCCGGCCACGGCGGAGCTGCTGTAGCGTTACTTTCAGGCTGGTGGGGCTGCGGGTTTTGATTGTTGAGAGGGTTGCGGCGGCCCATTCGGGCATGGCAGTGGGAGAGGTGGATTGCGATTCTGCCTCGAGAGCGGAGAGGATCTCTTCGATAGTGTTGTAGGCGTAGCAGCGGTCGATGGCGGCACGGAGGTTGCCGTTTAGGTTTCCGTGCTTGGCTTCTGGGGAGAAGTCGGTGGGGGAGGGGAGGCTGGAGGTGAACTCTGAGAGGGTGTCGTTTACCAGTTTCAGTCGGCTGGGAAGCGTGGCGTAATCTCGGAACTGGAGCTCCGAGAGGCGAGTGGTTAGGGAGGTGAGGACCGAGCTGTCGATGTAGTGGGTTGCGATTCCTGCGTAGAAGGCTTGCACGCCGTGGAGACGTTCAGAGGTCAGGGCAAGGTGGGTGCCGATCTCGCCGTCGAGCCGAGGGAGGAAGAATGACCCACCCACGTCAGGGAAAAAGCCGATTGTCGTCTCGGGCATCGCGAAGACGGTGCGTTCGGTCGCGATTCGGAATGGCGCATGCACGGAGAGCCCTACGCCGCCTCCCATGGTAATGCCGTCCATGATTGCTATGTAGGGTTTGCTGTAGATAGCAATGAGGTGATCAAGCTGATATTCCAACGCAAAGTAGTCGCTGGAAGCCCGCTGGCCTTCAGGTGTGTTGTTCTGTTGTGCCAGTTCCGCAACGTCCCCTCCAGCGCAGAACGCTTTTGTCCCAGCTCCACTCATGATTATCACGTTGGCCATTTGTGACTTCTCCCACTCTCGCAATCTCGGGACGATCTTCCTTGCCATTGACCCGTTGAGTGAGTTCAGCTTTTTCGGCCGGTTGAGCTCGATAGTTCGTACTCCATATAATGAATTGAAAAGGACATCATCTGGCTCGTCTGACGGTAATTCTTTGGGTAGCGGTGGATCACTGAAAGTAGCTATCTGGAGATCTGTCAGACATCTGCACCGTTTCGTCCGGGATGGATGCACTTACAGAAGCACGTTGACCCAACTGTCCGACCTCGGGATTTGTGATCTTTGCACGGAGAGGCATTCTCAAGACTGCTGGTCGAATCTGCGGCGAGAACCAGCTCAGCGAGATCGCAAACCGAGCGCAGCAAGGACGCAGAGACATTTGACACGCGGTATTTGGACAGTCCCAGATGCCAGTAAACTAACGAAACACCAGGCTATCGGGACATCTTGACCTTCAGAAGCTTCAATTGAGCCGAGGTGGAAGAAGAGAGTAGAGTATGTAATTTTGGGTGTATTGACCCTGTACTACTACTACCACCATAAGGGCGCCCTGGTCGTAATTTATCATCTCCAATGACGGATGAGGGGCAAATAAATGCCTGGAACAATTTATTGCTTACAAAATCGTTGCTTCGAGATTCTTACTCTGACTCACTCGGATTCCGCATAATTGTCCACCTTGCAGGGAAAACCATCTTCTTGACCTGCTCGACCGTCCATCCACTTCTGTCTCTTCACCCAGAGTATGTCGATGGACATTGACCAGCCAGTGGCACTTCCGTCTATCCATTCAAACCAGACCGCGGCCACTATTCTATGCTGTAACTGCGGCGCACCGATCGATGGCACTTCCTCTGCTGGTGCCCTCTGCTATGACTGTGTAAAGCTTACGATAGATGTTTCCGCGGGCATACAACGCGAAGCAACATTACACACATGCAAAGATTGCGAACGATGGTTACAACCACCAAGTCAGTGGATGACAGCGGCGCCGGAATCGAGAGAGCTGCTAGCTCTGTGTTTAAGGAAGCTTAGAGGTCTCAACAAAGTCCGTATCATTGATGCTAGCTTCTTATGGACCGAGCCACATTCCAAGCGAATCAAGGTCAAGATCACTGTACAACAGGAGGTCTTCGAGGCAACGATATTGCAGCAGACATTCGAGGTGGAGTATGTGGTCGCATCGCAGCAGTGTCCTGACTGCGCTAAGTCATATACCGCAAATACGTGGCGAGCTGTTGTTCAGGTGCGGCAGAAAGTGCCTCATAAGAGAACATTTCTATACTTAGAGCAGCTCGTGTTGAAGCATGGGGCCCACAAAGACGCCATCAACATCAAGGAGGTCAAAGATGGTCTTGATTTCTTCTTCGCCCAGCGGAATCATGCTGAGAAATTTGTTGACTTCCTCACCTCAGTCGCTCCCGTAAGAGCCAAAAAGTCCCAAGAGTTGATCTCCACAGACATTCACACCTCTTCGAAATCTTACAAATTCACCTTCTCCTGCGAACTTGTGCCGATATGCAAGGACGACCTGGTCGCTTTACCATTCAAGCTTGCCAAATCGATTGGCAACATCGCACCGCTTTCGATCTGCTACAGGGTTGGCACATCTGTCAATGTGATAGATCCCAATACTCTTAAAACAGCAGACATACCTGCGGCAATCTATTGGCGGGATCCTTTCAAGTCCCTTGCAGACGTTCAGGAGCTATCAGAATTCATTGTTCTCGACATAGAGGCTGTGGGCCACCAGAATGGGCGATTCTTTCTTGCCGAAGCCACTGTTGCTAAAGCATCGGACCTCGGTGTCAACGATAGGACGTACTTTGTACGAACACATCTCGGCGGCGTTCTGCACGCTGGCGACTCTGTGCTCGGCTATCATTTGACAGGGACGAACTTCAACAATCGACATTTTGAAGCACTCGAGCTAAGCAACTCCTACTCATCAACCATACCTGACGTAGTACTGGTCAAGAAGTACTATGCAAGGAAGAAGAAGTCGAAGAACCGCAACTGGCGACTCAAGCGTATGGGCAAGGATGAAGGAGAGCTTTTACCAAAGAAGGCAGACCAGGACAGGCTGGAGGCTGATTTCGAGATGTTCTTACGGGATGTGGAGGAAGATCCCGAGCTAAGACAGACGCTTGCGGTGTACAAAGCCAATCAGCGGAAGGCAAAGGGTGAGATGACTGGAGTGGAGCAAGATGTAATGAGCATGGCGGAAACGGAGGATACTGAAGACGAGCAGGTACCGAAGATTAACATGGATGAGCTGCTGGAGGACTTTGATGAGCTTAATGTACATGATATGGGTTGATTCGGCTCTTTCGAGGAAGCAGACACCATTGGGTTCATGCTAGATCAATCCGATTTCGTATAAGATCTTCGTCCATATTCGTCCGAACCCTGAGAGGTATGAAATCCCTAAGCTCAATATTCCTGGATGTGTATTCCGAGCTGAACACAGCCTGTCAATGCGGCTGTCCCTCGTACGGAAAGACATATAGCTACCGTCTCCTTCGTTGCTGACGCAAGCCGAGAACGAGAAAATGAACACCTTCTTATAGTCGGCTACTTTCTCGTTGTCAGGCCTGACCAGAGTGTGTACTTATTACGCTATGCCCAAATACCAAAACGACAGCTGCCATAAACCTAGTCAAACAAGCCTCGGGAACACGGCTGACTTCCCCTTTTATTATGCTTGGCGCTTGGTAGATTAGCTTCTGTGTTGCTGCTACGCAACTTCTCCCTCTTCATACTCATACTCGATAGAATCAATCAATTTTGCTCATCCAGGATAGTTCAGCAATATGAGCTATTACGATCGCCTTGTTGAAGTAAGTCCATAGTCTTCTCTATATAGCATAGTAAGGGTTTCTCAGCATCATCTCGCTCTACATGAGGAACAAGTATAGGTATTCTCACCCCGCTCCGGCTCCAGGTGCCTAGGCTGCCCCACTGTTGCCGTTTTAATTGCGATGTCAGCATGTAACTATGGCCGCAAAAGCTGTTCACTGCTCTTACGAACCTTTAAAGGAGAACCAAATCCGTCTCGTGGGCCTCTTCCCAGGTTTATTAGGGGAAGCATTGCAATGTAGAATCAAACATGTTGAATTTTCAGCCTTGAGATCTTGCGCTGAAAGCCTAGGATCTCAGAGTAGGGGGTCTATTACTCAGCAGGAAGGAGGCGAAAATGCGGATATTTTGTCAAAGAATGGACTGTTGGACGCCGAGTCCTTCATTGACTATCAAGACACTACATTTAGTGTTGAGAGCACGATCTCCGCCTGGCCAGACTACTGGTATGAGGCGTTATAACTTGTTGACCTCCTGAGAGACCGCGTTTCATACGCGTTATCCCTGCGTTTTTCTTGCTTTTGATTGGTCAATTTCAGCTGCAATTTTGCTGCTAATTTTGCTGCGCCTCACGGCAAATTTGTACTTATTTCTGCGCCCTGCGCAGTTTCTTAGAGAGAACAGAGCCGTTTCTTCCTACTGCTTGACATAACTCAACCAAAACTGACTGACCTCGACCGACCCTTCTGGTTGGCCCGCATGCCGCTTTATGTAAGTCAATTCGGGTCCGGCTCAACTTCCGCTGAGCCTCGATCGGACCTCCACGGCTCAAGCAGCTTCCTGATGAGCGAAGCTGATGAGGTCAGTCCCACATTTTGTTCTCTATCTTCTGTCCGCCCATACTCCCTTGCCCCCTGCCCAACCGATGTGGACCCAGAAAGCGTCCCCTTAAGGTTGAGGGCGACGCTGACAGCTTGTACGTAGAAGTTCAACCATCGGTATTGCCTCAGTTAGGGGGTGTAGTCTGAGTTACAGGATGCTTCCACTGCTGGTAAGCAACCCACGCCTGAAAACTCGTGACCCCCAATCCTAAGATGCCTAGTATAACTGCAATCATGACCCCCACTAGAGTAGCCATCATCACGTACCTGGCTCCGCTCTTTCTCTCCAGCCACTTTTGAAGCCAGCCTCGGGGTGTTGGGCTCTCAAGTTCATCATGCAGAGCAACAAGCCTAGAACCAAAAAAGTGAAAATTGATGTCCTTCTCGTCATCTGCGCGGTACGCTGTGGACTCGAATCGCAGACAGTCTTCGTCAAAGGAGCTTCTCAGCACCAGAGATGAAAGAAGAGATTGAGAGTCCGGGTCCGGTGGGAAGAGGATCTTATGAATCGAGTCCAACGCCTCCAACGCCAGCTGTCGTGGCATGTTTCCACTATGATACCTTAGCTGAACCGTGATGAGACTTTGAACGCGTTATGCCCTACCTCTTGACAAAGTCGCTACTTTTTGCAGCAGTCTGGACGTGCTGGCTTGCCCGAAGATTCTCCTTCAACACGGCAGAATGATGGAATATCTGCACAACCCCCTGCTTACGGTCCAATTTAAGATGGTTGTAAATGTTATTCGTAGCCTCGAACCGGAGCTCAGCTCGTTGTTTCAGTATTTTCGCCATCAGGGCATACTTGATGTCTACACTCTTCATAGATCCCTCCACGTCGTTCAGATAAGGGTGATCTGTCTTTGGAAAGGCTTCCGCTATGAATTGACTGATAGATGTGCTGCCGTGCCACGGGACACACTGATCTCCGGATTCTAGTATTCCGGAGTACTGATGTGGGACTGTACAGTTGACCATAAGCAGAACACGGATTGCGAGGTTGAAAGCTCGGTTCTGGTCCGAGATAGGAGGGCATTTTCCTTCTTCGTCTGCTCGACGACTGAAATGCTCGTGCGTCAATTGCGATCGTGGGGTATCGGGCTGCGCCTTGAGTAAACGAAGGATATTGAGAAGATCCTCGTGTGTTGATAGTGCTGGAGAGCTCTCGGTAAGAAGCTCAGGAACGTACGAGGCAGTGATCTCTTTGTAATAGTCCCAGAACCGACCAAGTCTCTTTGCTCGGTTCCACGGACAACCCACTGATGCGCAGACGGGCTGTTTATTGCAGCCCCCACACAGCTCCCAATTCCACAGAACCTGGCCAAGCATCTGCAGTTGACCATCGGAGGTACTTGCAAGTGGAAACGGAGGGAGAAGATGACTCGCCATTTGCGTTGGATGTCTCATCAGACTATGGAAACAAAAGGCCGGATTTCCAAAGTTATAATTCAAGGTCTTAGGAGAGCTCCATTGCTTTCTCCTCATTTTCCTTTTCTGAGTCTGCGGAAGCGTCAGTCAGCCTTGTATCAGCCCGCCTGCTTGACAACAAGGCTACCAATCGCAACTGAGCCTCTCTTCCACTTTTGCTGCATAGCCCTTCTTGCCACGTCACCTATCTGTGTGCTTTCTGAGTGGAACATTCCCTCTTTCATCTTCACCACATCAGAGTTGGTCGAAACTAACTACAATACAGTCCCAGTTATCCTCCAGAGTGGTGTCGATAATTGAGTCAGATCATCGAGACTAACACCATGGCACTCGAGCCGCTCAAGTCAACACGTCCAGGCGACGAGAACATAGTAACACCCTTGCGATCGAAATCAGTGCTTCGCGGAGACGATCAAGCGATGGCACTCGTGGAGCCGACGCTAGTGCATCCTGGGGATGATAACATGATGGCGCTGATGGAGCTAATGTCAGTCCACTCAAGAGACGATATATCTATTGTACCTGTGGAATCGAGGGCACTGCATCCGAAGGAGGATAGGTTCACCGACTCGGGCTATGGGAGCGCTGTGGGCTCGCCAAGAACCGATGAGCAGGGTGCAAGTGCTCAAACACAACCGCAGACGGAGCCCAATCAAGGATTCAATGCCGCAAACCAACCTAAGCCGACCATAGTTGGTGCAACCCGAGGTCTTAAAAAGTTCGAGAAAGAAGTCGATCAGTCAATCATTGACAGATTCCAGGATGTTGTGGAAAGATTGGAAGGCCCTTTGTTCGAATATATGCGCAAATCATGGCGACAACCTCGTCCAACCGCCATCAGACTGATGGTCTTGGGTAAAGATGAAGGAGATGCTAGACCCTGGATAGTGGTGTTATGCTCCCAAGATCAGTCGAAACGCATTAAACGATTCTTCCAGCAGAAGTTTGCTAAAGCAGTCTACTGTCCTGAAGGCCCAGCAGAACAACGCTTCGAAGTCCTTGTCATCGGTCAGCCGCCTAGACCCAAAGCTGCCAACGCATCGCCCGAGATGTTTGATGGCTTACTCTCTCCAGCTTTGGAGCGTATCAAGATTACTTCTTGCGGCACTATGGTCAAGCTTTCTGTTCAAGACCATGTACGATTTGCAACTCTTGGAGGTATTATTAAAGTCGTCAACACAGATGGGAGCTACAATTTGTACGGACTGACAGCGGGACATATCCTTGATCCGCCTGAAGCCTCTATCGAGAGTGATCAATCTGACACGAGCAGCGAGCTCGACGAAGACGAGTTCTCTGACGAAGAAGACTATCTTGATGAAGTCAGAAGCAACACAGACATCTTCGAACATCATTCAGATCTCAATGAAGACTTGAACTCCTCGCTTCGATTCGTGCAAAATCCAAAAGCCACAGACACTTGGTCTAAACTAGGAACGATTTCACTTGGGTCCAGACAAGTCCAGGGTTGCAATCGCGATTGGGCCTTGATTGAAAGCATTGAGCCAAAATTTTATCGACCGAATTACCTGGTTGGAGAAGTCAACAATTCACAGCATCGATGTAAAGACCTTCAAGAACCAACTAGGGATAAGACAGCCATGAGAGCGCCTCGGAAAGTGGTTGTGAATAGTGAATCATGCTCCCCTAAGTTGAGGCAAGGTGTGCTCTCTAAGCTCCCGACCATGCTGATGCTGCCCCCCGCACGAAAATTCGTTCGCGTCTATCCACTATCGATGGATTATGGTTCAGGTGTGTTGTGATGAATCCTTGTTGAGTTATGCTGACTTCGGAGTGACAGGTATAATTCACGGCGACTCCGGTGCCTGGGTCGTCAATGACAGCTCTCTGGAGGTTTATGGGCATATTGTTGCCGGAGATACTTTTGGAGAGGTCTATGTGGTTCCTCTTTGGGACACTTTTGATGACATCAGGCGAGAAATGAATGCAACAAGTGTTTCCCTCGCAACCTCGGTCGATATTCTATGCCACACATCAGAGACAGTCGAAAAGAAAGCAAAGTCATCCGAAATGGCCGGGAAAGATACATCGACCCTCAATCTGAAAGGCTCTCTATACGCTTGCACCTTGGATTCTCCGGTGGAGGAGGCTCAGCCATCATCCAAATCTTTCGAGGACCTAGCAAAGATGAGCCAAAAGACCTCCTCAGATCTGCCCATTCAGTGTTGGGGCCAAGATTCACCGTTGCCGAACGAGGACAAGTCGCGGTCTGAAGACTCCGGATACTGCGCTTGGGGATCTGAATCACAAAAATCCTCCACTTATGAGCACAACCCATACAGACATCACTCGTTCGAGGCTTACGACTCTTCACCAAATCAAATCTTCGGAAATTACCCATACGGAGCTCATGGACCAACGCTACGCACAAATCAACCTCATAATCAATCTCTGTGTACCTCCTACAGACCTATGTCTTCTCTAAATATGTGCCTCGGTCATCAGCCCTACGGATATCCACCTCTCGCATACCCGCCTCATGGATTCCCGGATTCCCTTATTCCGTTTCACGGATCCGCACCTCTCCCTATATCCCCTCCCATGCCCCTATCACAACCAGACTCAGGATATGCGTCCAACCCCTCCTCTATGAGTGGTAGCCCCGTACCAATTGGAAAATCATGTTCGCCTCCGAGAGCACCAAGTTGTGTTCCTCGACCCGTGACGTCCCTCCCTCAATCCGGCCAGCACCGACGACAAATGCCTGAAAGCAGAGATATTGTAATATCTTCAAGAGAGTCGCGGGGGATTAAGATCAAGGCGCCAACGCAAGCATTTTCAGAGGAACAGCAGGTCTAATAGGGCTATGTACTTTCTCTCTAGCCACTCGTGGCATGCCTCACCTAAAATCTTATAAATTGCAAAGGAGGCTGTTGGCGGAGAAGAGAGTTAAAGAGGCAGCTAGAAAAATCAAGTATGAAAGTTTTGGGATATTCGATCCAGAAAACTGAGACACGAATTTTACAGGTTTTGGGATTAGAGGATTGTTTTTCATGCTAGACTTTAAATCTCTCATCAGGTATTATACCACGAATGTGAAAATTTGAGCCAGCATGAGGCTTATGCTCTTCCCTTCCCATAACCGGCTCGGTAGGTGGTAGTGGTAATTATGGGATTTCGGACACTGGATCCCACTAACTATCCATCCCATATGAATTCAAATCCATCTCTTTTAAATCCAGCGATCGGGAGTCAAGTAAAGTAGGTGACAGCCTGGAATTTACGTCTAATGGTGCTCAAGACCTGTCTAGGTGGAGATCAAGTCCCCCAAATTCTCTTTTTTTTACCTCAATTCTTTAGCCTCTCGAGGGATTGGGGGTTGGGAGAATTGTAGAGGTTTTTCAGATGGAACAATACGATTCGATCATATCCAAGAACTTTAGGACCCGAAAACAATATTACCATCGCTCAGACTGGACGACACAGTTGAAGAGGTGTCGTTCACCAGAGAAAATTAAATTCGAAATCAAGGTCCCTTTACCAAGTCAGAGGTGTGTCGGGCGGAACAGAACATACAAGAACAAGTAGTACGTACAAAAGTCCACTGATATGCGGAGAGATGATGGTCAAGGTAAGATGGTGCTAGGGCTCGAGCATCCTGGTACACTGACGAGCGTGAACAATCTGGCCAGGGCACTGAGCGAGCAAGGCAAGTACGAGAAGGCGGTGGAGATACATCGACAGATACTGGATCCACGTAAGATGGTGCTTGGTTTCGAGCATCCCTTTGCACCGACGAGCATGAACAATCTGGCCTGGGTGATGGGAAGGGGAGTCTGACAGAAACATTGTTGCCGAGATGACTGCTCACTCAATTCAAATGTTGACACTGGTGGCCCTCCTCGCTTGAATCTTACTCTCTCAGTCATATTGCCCCACATCCATCAGGCAAGATGTATATCGAAAAAGTAGATAGAGTAGACAGAGAATGTACCTAAGATTGTAAATAGCTACTCTAAATAATAGTTGTTGGAGTCTTTCACAGGGGTTAAGTGTAAAGAATAGAGGCCATCCCTTCATTATAATAGAAAGTGCTGTGAGAGCCTATTGGTCAATTTTGCTGCTTTTACCCTTGTAACTTGCTCGTGCGTAATGGGTTGAATTCTGCAGCAATTTCGGTGATAATTTCACTGTACGCGTACAGCCAATTTGTATATAATTCTACGCCCTCTACTCCCTGGATAGAGGCCAAGTTGCTATCTTTACGCACTCTGCATAGTACGTCGATAAAAAGGAACTCTATTATGATGATGGCAATATCGTTAACAGGCAGCAAATAGAAAGAACAGTCCCTGAAGGTTGGTGGACACCAAAGGGGGGTTCTCTTGGGACGGGGTGCGGGTTTTGAAGAAGAAAGTGACAAAAAGAGAGGTACAGATCACATTATCATATAGTGCAACGGAAGTCAAAAGCGGCGGCAAAGACCGCCGAAAACAGCGTCCTATGTCCCGGAATCTAGAGTTGTGAGGTTGTCTAGGTGCCGGTGCGCTGCCTCTTCCGGTTTAGCCCTGCCTGATCGGGCAATGCGGCCTCTCGCCGCTTGACCCGGATATCTTTCAGAGGGCCTCTTCCCGCTATAAGTAGTACGAGGTAAGTGGGATAGGCCAAGGCGCTCTTGGCACATAAACCTCTACTTAATCCCGAATCCTATTACCCGTACTGCATTCTTCACCTTAACAAAATGTACTTGCTCCACTGTGAGGCCTGTAATCCAACACGCCAGACCAAAAGTCAGCACTGTCAGCGGAAGACGGAGTTCTCCGACCACCGCAACTGTTCGCCACGCGCTATTACTCAGAAACGCATACACTCACAAAATGCTGCAGTTAGCATTGCAACGCTGGTTTATGATCTCCTTCTAGGTGATTCTATAGCTTGCCTCTTCTATGCGTATATATAGCGGTCATCCTACTCCTCAGGAGTTGAGATAGCAAGTCAATCAATCCATTCCATCTACTTTACTCTTGCTTACTAATCTAATCTGCACTGCTTCATGGCATACTTCTAACAAGCACTTCCCTTGAACAACCAAGTCAGATCACTCCCATTCAATGCAAAGTCCCTGTCGTGCATGTTCATTTGGACATACCCTCCTCCGACAAGGCGTTCAGTGTCGCCCATTCCAACAAACACCGTCCGCATTCTCGCTTCAAGGCAGGCTGCGACCACTTCTATCCGCAGGCCGTCCCTCCCTCTTACCAGCTCGGGGCTTTATCTCCTCACCATCCCTGGCCATGCCTCTGCCCTCGCCAACCGGGAACATCCAGGACAGCCTCCGTGAAATGAAGCACGACAAATGGGGCTGGGTCATCTACCGCTGCACCTACGATGACGACGAAGGTGGACCCGCTTCAAGCAGATCATCAACCAGCGGTCCCGCGAAAGAATCGTAGATTACGACACCCCGGAGGCCGCTGACAGCCTGGAGTGGACATTTGTCGAGGACCGTGGCACGCTCGATGGCGTTTCGCGCGACCAGCTACGCGCCCGCTTCAGGGTGTGGGCGAGCGAGGCGGTCGGAGGACGATGGCACTTTTGGCGTCCCGAGATACAACTTCTTTATCCAAGTTGATCAGTGCGCACTGCGGAGCGTGGTCTACGAGGCTCCGCAACCACCCGAAATAGGCGTGCACGGTGAGGGTTACGTGAATTTTGTGGACGCCAACTGGAAGCCCCTGAGCCAGAGACTCTTTGCACAGGCCACAGAAGGCGATGAGTCCTACGAGCCAATTGACGGCTGCCGCGAGGAAAATGTCGGCTGGATGAAGATAGCGTCATTCATGGTGGGCCTGGACTTCTACGAGGTTATGAGTGGTTCCCCTGATGTTTGGTATTCTTTCTATCAACGGCCGCCCGAGACGGTTATCTACTGACTGTACATGTACTCTTGCTTCTTAGTCTTCGAATGGATACCTCATCTCGGGAATTTTGTTTTCGATCTCCAACAACTCCCTCAGGACACTCTCGCGGTACGGGCTGGTAGAAGCCGAGAACTGGCTCCGGATGTACCTGATCTGGTCCGCAACATATGTGCGTGCAAACTACGAGACCTGTTGAAAGTAGTGTGGGTCTGTAGAAGGCATGTGGTCAGCAATACCCTCAAAAGCCCAGTGTAGGGGGGTAGAGCATACACATCTCATTCCAATGCGCCGCCAATCTGTAATGATTTGTCAGTTACGTTGATGCGGACGTTGATGCGGACGTTGATGCGGCCGTGTTCAAGACGTACGCGTAATAACCTTATTTTTTAATATCTTAAAAATAGTAATTTTGATTTTACTACTCTTATTCTCCCTTTTTTGTGTTAAGTTCTCACTCTGTTGTTGTGTGCATGCGTGCACTCTATCTAGGTTTTCTAGTAACTACCTAATAGGGATTTCCTGTGCCAAGGCACAGAAAATCAGGGCACGTGATTTGCCAGAGTGGCGCTAGCCGCCTTGGGGATTTGGCTGTACGTGTACAGCCAAATCCTCTCGGCAGTTGCGGCAGCTCTCGCTGCCCTGCAAGGAGGTTGTTAGCCATACGGCCGTACCAGCATTAGCTGTGATTCTCGACATTTTGATATTCGAAATAAGCTAAGTTATTTGAAGGTATTATAAACAATGGAATGGCAAAAAGAGAGGTATAGGTCACATAATAATGGGGTGCAACGGGAATCGATGGCGGCGGCAAAGACCGCCGAACACAGCGTCCTATGTCCCGGAGCCTAGAGCCGGAAGGGAAAGACGATTTCTATCTTGGCTTCGAAGAATAGTGCCAAGGCACTACTAGTAACTACTACTTAGGTGAATATTCAGTGTCGAGCGATCGCCTGCACGATTATTACTAAGTTTGAGGGAATCAGCCAGACCCACACGGTACTCCTGAGGCTTTTGGTCGAATTAAGGACTGTGGCACAACGCGGTGCGCCCATGGTATGATGCAGTGGTCTCTAGCATCAAGACCTTAGCCACTTCCAAAGCGGACAATGAGCACCAGAGGGAACGAATACCTCGATGCTGGGTCAAGCGACACTGACCATGAGGAAGGTTATGATTCAGAAGCTGTGGAGTACTCGAAGTTTGGGACGAAGCGACAGAAGCTCTCATCCTCCGCGGTAGAGCATGTCGCCGAGGTTGTCATTGCAGACAACGAAGCAGAGGATGATGCTCGGATTGTCCATTCTCCACACCCAAGCTCAACAGGGCGAGGAACATCGAACTCTCCCCAACGTTCTATCAAAGCACCTGATACATCAAGGAAGGTTTCGAAGACCTCAAAACCTGGTGTGATCTATCTTTCGTCTCTCCCGCCGTATCTCAAACCTTCCGCTCTACGCAACTTACTTACACAACGAGGCTTCTCGCCCATCACTCGCCTCTTCCTTGCCCCATCATCTAAAGCCAAAAATCATCATTCCTCCAAGAAAAGCTCGCGACAACTCTACACTGAAGGATGGATTGAGTTCGCCTCGAAGAAGACAGCGAAGCGTTGTGCCGCAACTTTAAATGCGGCTACTGTCGGAGGCCGGAAAGGTGGGTTCTATCACGATGACATATGGAATATGAAGTATCTACGAGGCGTCGGTTGGGACGACTTGATGGCACAGGTGAGGGAGGAAAGGAGGGAAGAGGAAGTACGGAGGATGGAGGAGAGAGGACAGATTGCCAGGGAAACAAAGGAGTTCATTGAGGGTGTCGAGAGGGGGAAAATGACCCGGGGAATCCAGAGCTCAAGAAGGAAGAAGAGGAAGAAGGACGATGTGGAGGCGCAGACTGAGGATCCACAGAGTGCATTGGATAAGGCCAATGAAGGATTAACATGGAGGCAATACAAGGTAAAGGGCAGTGGTAGTGGTGGGCAAGAGGGTGACAGCGCAGCAGTAAGCGATGATGTGAAACGGGTCCTGAGCAAGATCTTCTGAGTAGGGACATTGTGCGAAATGCTGTCTCTCACACATTCGGATCGATATACGGAGTACGCTGTCGCCGTTGCCCAATGTCTCTTACATCGCAGGCCCTTAGTTTGGCGACATTCTGGAAGCCTGCGAGTCGCCTGCGCCACGAGTATTCATGATGTGCTAAGTCTGCATTCAAAGCCGAACATGACTCTCCAGCATAACTCTGTGCACCCTAAAACTTCGACCCTGTCCTCCTTTCTCGAAGCAAAGTAGGTAGCCCGCCAAGACTCAGTCTAGCGGAAAAGACTAGCGCCCGCTATGAAACTAGTGTGTATGTATTGTACTACGTAGTACGGAGTAAAGTCATAGGCTGATACAAAGCACCTTCAAACGCGACTCTTCACCCGCCTTATTTTTCCCTTCTTTACTGTATCCGCCCGACGTCAAGATGCCAGTAGTAAAAGGCGGCGTATGGTGAGTTCGGTCAAGGTTCGTGCGGGTAACATTGCTAACACTTCTCAGGACCAATATCGAGGATGAAATCCTGAAAGCTTCTGTGTCGAAATACGGCTTGAATCAATGGGCCAGAGTATCCTCCCTCCTTGCACGCAAGACACCCAAACAGTGCAAGGCGAGATGGTCAGAATGGCTGGATCCAGGGATCCGAAAGATAGAATGGTCAAAGGAGGAGGACGAGAAGTTGCTTCACCTTGCGAAATTGATGCCTACACAATGGAGAACTATTGCGCCTATCGTTGGAAGGACTGCCACGCAGTGTCTCGAGCGTTATCAGAAGCTACTGGATGAGGCAGAGGCTAAGGAGAATGATGAGCTGGGCTTGGGAGGTCCAGAAGGCGCAGAGACGCTGGCACCAAGTGGTGATGATGTGAGGAGACTACGGTATACTCCTTCAGCGACGTATAGGTTTCGAGAAGTACTAATAACATCAGACCAGGAGAGCTCGACCCAGACCCGGAATCGAAACCGGCAAGGCCAGATACCATTGATCTCGATGAAGACGAGAAGGAAATGCTCAGCGAAGCTCGAGCACGACTCGCAAATACCCAAGGCAAGAAGGCGAAGCGGAAAGCGCGAGAGCGACAGCTGGAGGAGTCGAGACGACTTGCAGTTCTACAGAAGCGGCGGGAGCTAAAAAATGCTGGAATCAACATCAAGATTGTCAATCGTAAGAAGGGTCAAATGGACTATAATGCCGACATCCCATTCGAGAAGCCAGCCATTCCCGGCTTCTACGACACGCAGGAAGAACAACTCCGGAATGAGCACCAAAGAGAGGCCTTTGATCCACGCAAACAGCAGCTGGCGAACAAGAGAAAGGGCGACCAGGATGAGGATCCGGACCGCAAACGCCAGAAGCAGGACAAGAACAAGCCATCTGCCGCTTTTGCAGCTGCAGCGAAAGCCGGTCAGATGCAGAAGATTAGAGAAGCAGAACAACAGAGCAAGCGGAGGTCATTAGTGCTTCCTGCACCACAAGTAAGTGAGGGCGAACTAGAAGAGATCGTGAAGATGGGCCTGGCGGGAGATCGAGCGGCAAAAATGGCCGGAGATGAAAATGATGGAACGAAAGGACTAATATCGAACTACAATAACATGGTGGGCAGTACGCCAATCCGCACTCCTCGAGCGCCTGCGCAAGAGGATCACATTGCCAACGAAATCAGGAACATCCGGGCTTTGACAGAGACACAATCTTCCTTGCTTGGTGGCGAGAATACGCCATTACACGAGGGCTCTGCGTCTACCGGCTTCGATGGTATAGCGCCGCGACGACAACAAATGGTAACGCCTAATCCTATGGCAACACCAATGCGTGGTGGTCCGAATGGAGTGGCTGCCACACCACTGAGACCTGGTGCAACTCCGTTGCGGACCCCCAGAGATAACTTCGCCATCAATGAGAACGGCAGCGGGCCGCTTGTTGGACAAACACCTATGGAGATCCGGCAGCAAGAGGATCTTGCTCGCCAGTCTCTACGGGCCAAGCTTTCATCTTTACCGAGGCCGAAGGAGCAAGAGTGGGAGCTCGAGGAGCTACCATCTGAGACGGCAGAGACGAACGGAGATCCGCAAGCCACAGAAGAAGATGCAGCAGAGCTTGACAGGAGACGAGAAGAAGCCAGAAACCTTGCCGCCGCCGCCGATTTCAAACGCCAAACGCAAACGTATCAACGTTCTCTCCCCAGACCACGCCACATCGATTACGAAGCCATGAAAAGGGAAGCAGAAGCTCTCTCCGACCCCATCGAATCCATGATCGCACATGAAGCCGCTCTCCTCATCGCCAACGACGCCCTCAAACACCCTCTCCCAGGAACCAAACTCACCGGCCAACCCGGGCAGCTCGACGCCCTAGAGGACAACCTTCTTGCCACCGCCCGCGCCGAACTCTCCACCGAACTCTCTTCATCGGACCTCGAAAAATACACCGAAGCATTCATTTCCACCCTCGAGTCGCAATCCGCATCCACCACTCTCCCCTTATCCTTCACCCCGGAGACCACACCCTCCGAGTACTCAGCCGCCTTCTCCGCCGTTCTGAACGACCAGATCCTCCCCCTCGCCACCTCGGGCAACAAGCTCGAGAAGAAACTCGCCCTCCACCTCGGCGGCTATCAGGAGGCGGCCGAGGCGGTGCAGAAGGCGAGGGTGGCATTGCATGGGTATCAGACATTGCAGGTGAGCGAGGAGGCGGCGTTGGGGAGGAGGTTGGACGGGTTGAGAGAGGAAGTGAGTTTGGTGGCCAAGAGGGAGAGGGAGGTCCAGGAGCGGTATCGGGACGCGAGGGAGGAGCTGAGGGAGCTGAAGGCGAGGTCGGACGGTCAAGCAAAGGTTAATGGCATCGCACACTGATATCGCGACCGCCAGTGCTGTGCTGTGCTGGGATATATCTATCACTTTCAGCTCTAATCATGTGTCTGGTAGGTAAAATTTCTCCCAATGATAAGCGGGCAGCAGCTGAGCCCCATGCTCCGCATGCTGGGACATCCGATTTCAGAAATAGAATCTGTGGCAGGCGTACCGGTCCTTCGCATAACTCCAGCAGACTCCACGCTAAATCCAAGCGGCTGAAGCCCAGGGGAAAATCTATCCTCCCCCCTTTCCCTTCCCTTTGTCCCGGTTCCTTGAAATGCCAGCACCCAAACCCACCCGCACCCCCAACAAGCCTCGAAACAAAAACAACACAGTGAGAATACCGGTGAGAATGATGAAAAAAATCACCAATTCCAAGTGCGACTGCCCGCGGTAAAGACGGGGGGCTTCCACATGATGCGCGCGGGATCGATCGGCCTTTTTCCGGGCCTTCTCCAACTGGCGTTCGCGCTGCTCCAGGAGCGCGTCGCTCACCACGATGATCCACTGTCCCTTGTGGTAGCGGAGCACCTTGAGCACTTCCAGCTGCTCGTGGACGTCCTTTTCCGTCATGGCGGAGAGGGAGGCCAGCTCGGAGATGGAGGTGCTGTACTGGTTTGGCGAGGCGTTGAGGCTGACCTCGGTGAGCGCCGCGGCGGCCGAGGGGGTCGAGGTGCCGTTTGCGCCGCTGCCGCTGGTGCTCGGGCGGCAGGCGGACGGGGTCCGAGAGTAGCTCGACGAGGGTTTCGCGCCAGTATTGGCGCGGTAGCCGAGCATTCCGAGGTCGGACAGCGGTTTCTCCGGTGAGCCGAGTTTCCCTTCTCGTTTCGAGAGTTCGTAGCTGAAGGCGATGAGGAGCCGGCCGAATCCCTTGCGTTGGTATTGTGGTAGGGTGAGGATGCAGGCCACGTTGTAGCCTTCGGCGGATTCTTTTTCCTTGGAGAAATAGCCGACGAGGTGGCAGCCGTGGACGTCGCGAGTGCACATGCAGTAGAACAGAAAGGGGTCGACGTCGTAATACAGGGTTTTGTGGTCGAGGAAGAGTTTGGAGAGGAGACAGAGATTGCGGCACCAGGTGCGTTGGCGGCGGCCGTCAACCTCGAAGAAGGAGATGCTGTCGTCACGGTAGATTTCGTTTCCGGGTGGGTGTAACATGGTGCATTTGCTGCGGTGGCGTTCGAAGGCTTTGCGCGAAGAGAAGTAGGAGAGGCAGAACTCGTCGATGTAGATTATGTCCGCGTCGGAGAATTCTTGCGGGTAAGGGGAGAAGTACCAAGGTTCCATTTCGTGTTTGCCCATTTGGATGCGGGAGAGGTTACGGACCAGGTGCAGTTGGGCATGGTTTTGGACCATGGAGCCGCCGGTGCGCAGTTTTTCGATTTCCTCTTCTGGGTTGGGGAGGGGGTCAACCTTGTCGATTTGAGTCTCGACGACGGCGTCGCGCATCTCGGTGTCGCCATCATCTTGAGGAAGAGGAGTTCCGGCGGCGGTGGTTGCTGGAGCCGAGCCGGCCAAGGTTGGGTCTGCTATGGTGAGAAGTGAGTCTTTTGTGTCTTCGATATCTTCGCGGTTCTCCTTGCCGCCTGCTTTGGAGGGTCGGGACAGTTTGCGGTCATTGCCAGTCTTTGCGCTAAGAAGATCTGGTGCAGCTGAGACATCGCGAGACTCAGTCTGGGATCTGGCGTTCTTATTGCTTGCTTTACTGGGAAGAGGAGCTTTGGTGGTGGTTGTAGTTGTGGTCTTCTTCTTCTCTGGCTTATCCGGGGCGGGCCATTCGACTTCTTGACTCAAATCGATTCGATCAGCTGTCACCCACTCTGGAAGACGAGTCAGTTAGATGTCATTTCAAGTATCCTGATACCCCAGTCACACACCATCCAGCCGTTTGTTGAATTCGACGTAGTGGACACTTTGAACATGTCAGCATCCAAGCGCAACAACATTGCAAGGGTGCATACTAGAATGTCAGCGCATTATTCCTTTGTTTTACAGAAAGAATTTCTGCTTTCCGGGGTTCTCCGTTCTAGATTTGTATCCATCAGCTGGAATGTTCTCGTACATCTCTGTCCGGGTCACGTGAACTGGGCCCTATGGTATGGCGAATAGACGAACCTTTTCAATGAAAGCCTTGACGCCGATTCTGGTGCATTGGATCAGTTTACAGCTGATTCCAGGACAGTGTGATTTGAAGCGTACTTGAGCGTGTTCAGAGAAGCGAATCCTCTTTCTATTGGAGCCGGACTGCCAGCTGCCTCCTGCGCATGATCCCCGCCTGCCATGATTGTCGCAAGATGGTCCGGAGATGGTTCATCGATGCTGGGAACTTAAGAAGATCCAGGTGTGGAGCAAACAGTGATTGTGTTGGTGACGGTCGCGAGGATGTTTGCATTAAGACGTAGTCACTAAGTTAGGCGGTGGTTGTAGGGGCCAAGCCGAAGAAACATTAGAACGTGGGCGCCTAGAAGTGTGCCTAACACCCTGTCCACTCGCGGCTGGGCTTAAGTACATCAACTTTTGGCCTCATAAACAACGTCACGCGGGCCAATCTTGCCACAAGAATCCCAACAAAGTGTAAAGCGTAATATTTCTAGGAATGACTACATGTTGGGCAGGCCCACTGCTGTATTTCCATATCCAGCTCTGGAGCAAATAGATATGCTCATGCTAATATACTGGACAGATTCTCACTTGACGGCTCTTTCTATGACTTGCATGCTCTTTCGCAATCTCCTTATGTCTAAGAGAACACACTGTACAAGGCCCCTTCCACCTGCTGATGTCTTTGATCCCTGCAAATCTGGTGGGCATGGAGGCTGTTACTTTGGTCATCGCCCGTCGCCCTCACCTTTGGCGGTGCTCATGGTGTCTAATAGCTCACCATATCTGAAGAGAAAATGCTGTGTTAGCTGGCTTTGCTCGGATTAGAAAGAAATCTCAGCTCACCCCTTCCGAATAATGCCCTTTTAGTCCAGTCCATCGCCAATAGGATCCTGGTCCGAAAGCTGACGCTCTGGGCGAAATAAATACTCCTCCATAGGTAGACCGCCAGCAAGCCTCCACTAAAACTCATACCACCGAAATCAAAGACGGCGGCGTTACCGATGTAAGCGAGGCTGCCCATATGATGGTACTCGAATGCTTTATACACCGCTTCGTCTAGACCGCCGTAGTCGACCTCATTGGCTCTCAGCCCTGGGAGTGCTAATGCAATCTTGTTGAATTTTCGACCGAGGTACTGGCCCTGCTGGTTTGCTCGCTGCGCAGTCGCTGGAAGGGAGGTGAGTTTGTTGTCAATCTGCACAAGCAACTCGTGGAGCTCTCCGAAGTCGAGAGTGCCAGACTTGTCCTTGTCATAGGCTTCGAACAATCTGTCGAGACGCCTCAAATGGTCCGTGGCTTGTGGGAATCGCTTCTTGACCCTTTGCGCGACGTCGCGCCATTCTTTGAATGTGATCTGCATCTTCTCTGGGTCCTTACCTTTCTCCCAGGCCATGGTGCGAAGGAAAGTAGTAAGGTGGTCCGCAACATTGTTCTGAACGGTGGAGCAATCGCCTATGGCGTAAACGTCTCCTAACGGTGCACCGATGAGACGTAGATGAGTGTCTGTTTCTAAAGCGTGCCGGTTGTTTTGGCTGTCGCCAAGCTGTTTGGCCAGCGTCTTACAAAACTCGGTCTGAGCAACGCCAGTTGACCAAAGGCAGAAGCCCATCGGTAGCTCTTTTGTGACTGGTTTCCCATCCTCCATCTGGCTGAAGAGAATCTTGTCCGGACGCACTTCCTTGACCCTGGAATTAGTGAGGACTTCGACCTGATCATGCGCGAAACGTTCTTCGGCGAATTTGGAGAGCGCTTCGTCGTAAGTGTTCAAGATATGCCCTCTTGATTGAATGATATGGACTGAGATCTCATTTCGAAGGATCCGAGGGAATGAGCGAAGCAGATCCTCGTTTAGCATGTCGTAGAGCTCTGCTGCAAATTCAACGCCGGTAGGCCCTCCTCCGCTTACGACAAAAGACAGCAGCCTCTTTCGCTCCTCGTCTGGAGTAGTTGGGAGACAGGCCAGCTCCAGATTGTGGAGGACGGTGTTCTTGATCTGCTGGGCGTCGTTAATGGACTTGAGAAAATGGCAATGCTCGAGCCCTTTAACGCCATGAGGGTTCGTAGAAGATCCTGCACTGTAGTCAGCATCCTTGGTCTACCACTGCCACCAGCAACACCTTGGACGAAGCACCCACCAACGCCAATAACAAGCTTGTCATAAGGTAAATAGAAGTGGACTTTGTTGCCACTGCTGTCGAGCTGGGACACTTCGACAAGCTTTTCGGAGAAGTCCACGGATTCTGCTTCGGCTTGTAGAAAGTGCCCCTTGACTCGGTGGATTATGCGACGGATTGGCTCGACCAGGGAGCGGAACTCAAGGGTGCCTACCGTAGCAGACGGTAGCATTGGTGTGAACAAGAAATGATTGACAGGAGATACGACTGTAACATGGTAGTCTCCTGCGTGCAAAGTCTTAAGTAGCGCAACGCTACCCCAGCCTGTTCCAAGAATGACCATCTTCGGCTTATCCCTCTGCGCTGCCATGTCCGGGCTGTCCTCGTCGTCTACCAGCACACTAGCAATCGGAAGATTTTTGGGCCCTCCTCTTTTGGGCGACAATGCATGCTCGGATACTGGTATGTCTGCAATCGTGGAATTGTCCTTATAGGTCGTTGCGTCGTAGACGAAAAATGCAATGACAAGGCCGGTGCTAGTAAGGATGAAGAGACCGGTATACGCAAAGAAGCGGTAGAAGAAGCGGACTATAGGTCTTCGGTGGTCAGGTAATGGTTTTGTGGATAGTAGGCGCAACTGGGAAGGAGATAGGCGCAGGGATGGAGATCTAAGGTTGAGACAGCGCAGCACGTTGGACTCGAGAGATGCGAATTTGGTAATTGGCGTGTGAATCCGTCTTATAGACGTCGCAGTCTTGGGGCCAGCCCATCTTGAGATCTGTGCGCACGCACGAGGGGATTGATACAATCTCTTGACACCAAAGGTTGCATGTCTAGCAACTGACTCCATGACCGTCAACAGCTGCGTCTTTGACTTCGCCCACGACGCTCATGACAAATCTAGCGCCAGACGACAAAGAAATTGATTTCGTCAACGTTATCTTGACATACTGGGGAATCTGCTGGAGAACTCTGTGGGCAGTGGTCAATTGGACCAAGGTACCAATGCAGAAATACGTCACTGCAGATCGCGAGTTGGGGGCGTCTTGCCAGGCACAATCGTCAGAACAAGGATTGTTTGACGTAGTATGCACGAAATTTGGCTTTTGTTGTAGTGATCTGAAAGCTACGAGAGTTTCAGTATGCGAGTAAATAAGTCGCAGGATAGCAGGCTATGACCATCACAGCAAGGATGTGACTATGTCCACTGTTTTCTATGAGGATTGCACGGTCCACGGAAATAATGATAATGTGCTACATGATTTTTTCATCCAGCTCCGCTCCGAAATACCATGATGTATCAGGAGGCCCGACCACATAAGCAAGGGTATCTGATCATGTTGTCCTGCCAGAAACGCCTTGCCAGACTTTTCCCACTGCAATGAAGCTCCGCCTTCAAACGCCAGCCTTTCCACGAAATCCTCAATCCCAATCATCGTCCGAGCCCTGCTTTGCGCCCGACCGGCGCCTACCATTCAGACTAGGCCGGCCTCTCTTCTTCTTCGGCGTCCCGATTGCTGACACGGAGCTCTTTCTCTTGCCTCTCGGGCCTTTGCTTCCATTGACCAGAGGCTGCAAGCTGGCTTCGGGATCGACACTGGCTGAGTAAGATTCTCGCATCTCATCAACCTCTGCCGCTACTTTGACTTCATCATCCACAGCCATTAGTTGTGCGAATGCCAGACAGCGTCTCGACATTGCCTCGTCGTCATCTAACGATGTCATGATGTCCGAAATGTTCTCCCAAAACCTTTCTCCAGTGATACCGTGCACCTTTGTAGGCGTTTTGGCCAATTCCTTCGCGTCCTTACTCTTTCCATCATTTTCTCGGACGGGTCCTGTTATGCCGTATTGTCGCCTAAGATGCGTTCGAGTTTCCCAGAGCATAGTCAAGATCATGGCAGACATAGCAAGACGTTTCAGCAGCGCAGGCTCTGCACTCTTCATAGGAATCGCTTCCGTATAGGTTGGACCATCCGCAAGTTGCTGGCCCTTGTCCTGCTTGACATCGCTCCTGCCAATAATGTGTGCTTCAATAGCCTGCGCCACTTCCGCTCCAGCTTTGCCGACATGGCTCTCCATGAAGGAGATAGCATGTACAAGCTCATCGAGTTTTCCATAATCCAGATAAGCCAGATTTTGCACAATAAACCTCGAGAACTGAACCTGGTCCAAAGCGTTTTTGCTGACAGTGAGATCAGACGGGTCGACACCGACCTTCATAACAAGGTGCCGTAAGAATTTACGAACGTATTTGATGTTGCTTGTCTTGACAATCTCGTAAAGCGAGGATAGTTTTGGCACGAAAGGCCGAGCTTTTGCCCCTGTCGGATCCTTCACGATGTCTCTCTGATACTCATATGCTTCGCGAATTGCCCTCATGTATTCTCTTTCAAACATTGTCTCATGCTGCTGGTGGAGTAGCCTATGGGTGTCACAGGCGACTCTAGCAAGCAATGGCCGAGGTGATGTTTCCAATGCCACAAGTGCCCCAGCACACTCTTTCGGATGCACGAGCCCTTGTCGATTGATACTTGCAATGACTTCGATTGCTGGCATGTCGATGTGCTCGTTGCCAGAAATGGAAATCAGTAGAATGAGCGAGAGAAAATGTTGGGCAATTAACGCTGCAGCGCCGTCATGATCGCTTGCTCGGAGGGAGCTTTCGAGCCTGCCAGTAGGCTCCTTGGCGTCGGTTTTGGAGGCTGCAAGTGTTTCTGTAGCGACTTCTCGAGCCTTGAAGAAATCCAGGAAGCTGGTTACGGCAATATATTGGAGGTCCGAGTTCCCTCTCTCGAGGACTTCTGAGAACGATTTTCGGACTACTTCTTTGTTGAATTGCCCTGGCCAACTTTGACAGATAGACGCTAGACTGTGGAGAGCTTCGCTGCGAATCAATGGGGCCCTCTGCGCTGTTGTGAGAGGATAGATAAGGTCCACCATCAAGTCAACGACTGAAGTCCCTTTCCATGAAGGGAATATATCTTTGAAAGAATGCGCGAAAGGCTCGAGGTCACAATGCTTACCAACGCAGCCGGTGATCCGAAGGTAGCTTCGCAGCCTTCTTGACGCATCTCCTAAGGCAGGATCGCCTTCATCGAGTCCATCGGAGGTAGAAATTTTGGCGGCATAGATGTTCTTAAGTAAAGACATTGTGAGCTTTACCAGCCGCTCAGTATTGTGAAGGACGCGATCAATGGTCCACAAGCAAGATATCGCTTCGTTAAGCTCAGCACGCCCCAATCTGGACACAGCTCTCATGAGATCGTTCTGAATGGCTTTGAGTAAAGTTTTGTCGGATAGATGAGGTAGTACGCAACGATAGATTACAACAACGGATCTGAAAAAGAAAAGATCATCATCGGTGGAAAGATTCTGAATATAGGGTTGAAGCGCTTGCAGCTGTTCAGGCTTGACAAGACTGGCATCTGCTTTTGAGAACGCTTCCAAGGATGACAATAATGCCCTTTGCTCTTGCTTTGAGGTTTGATCTGAGCTATTCAAAATCAGATCGAAAAGAACATCAACGATATTAGAGCAAATGACGGAAACTGGTGTGTGAGTCTTCATCCCATCCTTCAAGACGCTTCGGTAGAATTGCTCCAGTCGGAGAAGCGTATCAGACATATTGATGCTCTCCGTCGCACTGACGGTCTTCACAATCAAATGGACCTGCTCGGTCAAGGCAACTTGTGCTTTTGCTGTATCGACCACAACCCCAGCAGGTGCGATGAACGGTGCAATCCATGTATCATACAGCGTCTGCTGTGCAATAAGAGATACCGATTCTTCCGGATCGTTGAGTCTGGAGAGAAACGATCGTGCAATACCAGCTCTCACAGTGTTCTTCGGATTGCGGAGATAAATCTCCTTCAGTATACTGAGGCAACGCTTTCGTACCCCAGTGGCCACATCCGACTGTCCACGCTCCAAGACAACCCGGATTGCCTCATCCTCAAGGCCTGGTCTCAAAAACATACATTTTGAGATGAGTGATAACGCGTTGTCACGAACCATGGGGGACGAATCTGAAGCACACCGAAAGATGACGTTCATAACACCTGCATCGCGATCCAAAAGCTTTGGGTCTGCTTCTAGCATGGCAACGACACTTTTTAGGCTGCGACTACGCATCTTTGCCTGATCGCTAGTCAAGGACTGAAGTAAAACTTTGACAATGACGTCAAACGCTTTACAGAAGCCCATATTGACGACCGTCAAAAGATATGCCAGTCGACCTTGATGTGGAGTGATATCCTCGAAAACTTTCTCCCCTCCTAAAGAGATGGGATCCTTGAAAGCTTTCAACAATGCCCTAGAAAAGCCTTCTATTTCTTGAGAATGTTGATCTTCACCAATGTCGACTGTAGAATAGAAGGTCCTTGCCCATGTGACCAAATAGTATCCACAAGCTGTCCTGAGCTGCCAGTTATTGCGATCGCGGTCGCAGTCTTTGAGATACTCAAGCGTGATCTTAAAAGGACCCGTCTCTGTAACAATATCCTTATTGCGTAACGACCTTTGCAGTTGATCTTCAGCGAGTCCCGTAAGATACTGGCTGACAGCGTCATCCTGGTGATCAAATGTTTCACAAAGCGACTGAATTGAGAGCAAAAGGTTAGATATCGCAGAACCCATCCATCCGAGTAATTCGAGTGCCATATTCTTAGGAGTTGCCGCACTTTTGTCATCATTCAAGATTGTCAGCATGTGACGAGCGAGAATCCACAACAAGAGCTCAGCAGCAGGCCATTCAGGAGAACCAAGCACGCTGATTAGGTCTTCAATAAAGAGATCGAGAAGATTTCGGTGTGGCTGGTCTCCGGTCTTGGTGGAAACCTTTGCTCGCTGCACAAAGTAGTTAATGATGTAGTTGGCGCTTTCCACAGCTCTTTGATACAATGAATTCGCCTTCTGGCTCAGCTTCCCTAAAGGTGATAATGTCTCCTCACTATTGACGCCATTAGACTTCATAGTGGAGCCATCGTCGTCGCTGTCAGTTGCAGGTTCGACAGGATCCGTACGTTTTGGAGTGGTGACTTCTGCTCTCCCCCGCTGCTCGGAAGTCTCAGTGGCAACAGTCTGGATGAGCTGCATGACCAATGCAGAGACCAGTTGGATGTTCTTGCCATCGACGAGTTTGAATTGCCGTGCGCCTTGTTTGGTGGTTGAGAGCTTCTGCAGCGAGGACAAGATTTCGTCCAGGATTGACTGACGCTGATCTACGAACCTAGAAAATATTTTCGCAAGTGCTTCCACAGCAGCTTTCCTCACCGTTTCGAAAAGCTGTACCCCAAGAACAGAATCTTTTTCTGTATAAGAGCTCTCCACAAATATAAGCTGCGTTGCGAGATATTCTATCCGAGTGATAGCGGTCTCCGCACTTTCCATTTGAAGGCAGATATCTGCCATCAAAGACAGGAGCTTCCTGCCTTGATGAAGCAGCCTGGTCAATAGATCTTTAGATCCAGACGCAAGCTTGAAGAGCACTGACGTACGTCCATTGGAGCGTGCTTCAAGTACTGGAATAAGACAATTCTCAAAGGTATTCGTAAGAAGGATTGGTATGCTCTGCACAATGTCTTCTGGACAGAGCTCTTTATTCTCCAGACTACCCAATATCGTCCAGGCAACTGTGCAAGCTGATGTAAGACCGTTTTCTGCTCGAAGCATGCTCGCTTGCCAGTGCTTGGCATCTTCCTCGCTCGGCTCTTCGCCAAGATGAAGGTTAATCGTTTGAGCGAAAAGTATTGGGCCTTCACAGATCTTTTGCAACCTTCTCACGTCATCTGGTTGGACTCTCTCAAAATCTTGGCTGATTGTTAGTTTTTTGATTGCGTTTTGAAGCTTGCTATGCACCTTAGTCGCTAAATGAGAGGTGGACTCGTCTAGACTATCGGTCTCTTCGAAATAGGAGCTTGCTTTAAGGGCACGGGGACTTGAAGTGTCAGGCTGCAATAGGTCATGGGCAGTAAATATCTCCTGAAGAAAGTCTTGGAACTTCGACAATGCCACCTCCGCTTCTTCTTTCTGCGCTTGATACTGTATCACAACTCGTGGAAGCTCATTGTCAGCATCGAGCTTTCGCCGCTTCGGTGACTGGTGGGGAACTTCTCCGTACTCATAGGGCGGACGGGGAGGAACTTCTATCAATATTCTCTGCTTTCCGGGTTGATGGATATTATTCTCTTGGAACGCTCTATGGTTCTGGGAAGCAATCGGCTGCTCGGGAGACCTTGATAAGGCCGGAGTGGGAAGAGAGTGAGTACGACTTGAGGCTTTCGGGCTGGGTGTTTCGGGCGTCGGGTCTGTATAGAGTCAACGACGCTATCAAGTCTCTCTAGTGATGATTCGTCTTACATCGATAAGCAATGGCTGAAGAATCAAGTACCATTCTGGCAAGTGGACTAATCTGTGGTTTAAACGAAGGGAGGCTTCGCTCGGTGTTGGAGATTGGCAGTAAGGAGCTCCTAGGTAGCTGTACGGCCTTGAACTTGCTATCATTGTTAGATCTACTGTCGTTCTGGTGCAGCTGCTTCCTTACAACTCCGAAAGATCATCTGGGTCTAAAAGATCATTCAATCCCTTTCCCCAAACGCCAGCCTGCGCGTTGGCAGCACCTCCGTTCGAGAAGGAACTCGTGCTTTGATCCAGTAATCTCTTCAGGGATGTGCGTTCGTTCTCGGCAAGTAGCCCTGGGGACATATAGGGTTGGGCTAAGTCTGGTATAGGGATGCGTTCTGGAAGCTGGTTAGCCGGAATAAGAAACCATATTTGCAAGCGAAGTACCATAGCCTGAAGTCACAGACGTCGCCAGTGGAGAATATTGCAGAGCCTCGTCAACAGAGAGTGGCCGAAGTCTTCCCGTCGACGAGACCTTTGTCGCTTTCTGGTTGCCATTGATGATGACTTCGACTGTTGGGCGACGAGGCGCCTGCATGTCGAGCCGGAAGCACACAACAGAATCTCTGAACAGTTGAAAAGGTTGTCCATTCAGTCCTGTGTGAAAGTTGGGCTCAGTCTACACCTACTACGTAAGTTAGTACGCATGCTGGAACCTTCAAAGTCGATTTTCCCGTTGCCAAGCCCGTCACCAGATCTTGACCGCATAATTCAGGCACCTGTTCTTCAGCGACCACTCAAGTTGCTGATAAAACATGCTTGAGCATTGAAGGATGTTCACGTCAGTCATGGTTGGCAGACAACACGAACACCCACATGTTTAGATGTAGGGTAAATTGTTTTCGCCTCAGCTAGGCATGGCCCATAGGCATTCCTTACTAAACCAGCGAACAACCTTGTGGCACCCCATCTGTTCCAGCAGGCAGACAGAAAACTTGTTCACATGCGAGGGTTCGAGAATGACGAAGCGACCAAGACTACACCGGACGCTTCTATCGAGCTCTGCTACAAGTATTATCAGGGTTCTGCTATGATCTCACTAAGCGACAAGCTGTGCATGGATGGTCGAGGACCTCCAGCTTTGCCACATTGACCATCAACCGCAGGTAGAGCGAATCTCAAGCTCCTCGGACTATGAGGAAAAAGGCTTCATATTTCGAATCATTCCACCACCTACACGAGAAGTATGTAGAGCACATGTTATTATTGTCAATGGGAAGGGCCATTTCCCGACCCAGAAAAGCTAGCTTTACTAGACTTGCAGTCCGTCTATCTAATCCTCGATGGAGACTTGAACCTTGGTCTTATCTGTTTGGTAGGTTAGCCTCCGGTATTGTGAAATGTTTGTGTTTAATGCAAGACCGAATGAGACTCACAGAAGGCGACGTGATCCTTGATGTTCTGCGCTGCTTCCTTAGGCGCAGGATAATACCACGCCGCATCTTTCAGGATATCCCCGTTGACGTTGATATTGTAGTATGAAGAAATGCCCTTCCATGCACAGCTCGTGGTCAGGTTTGAATCAGAAAATATCGATTTGTCTGAAATAGAATCTGGGGGGAACTGGCCAAGGGTCAAATCTATGGGGAACATCTCGATGGGATTTAATTACATAGACGTTTCCTTCTACTGTCTCCCACTTGTCAGCTACTGCAATTGTCGTGCCATTGACCTTAGCGATTGCGCGACCCATTATGTGCTGTTCTGCGTGGTCGAGCTTGGTCAGAAGATGAAGCAAATGTGATGGTATAGTAGCAAAGATATCGAATAGAAGATTTCACGATGACTCTGGAATCAAAGCTGGTACATATGATAATCGTAAAGAAGAGCAGGCTTACTCGTATTAATCAGATCTAACTTACGGAGTATTGAAGTCGCCGAAGTGGGGTTATTGATTCGTAATCCTTGCAGCCCATGCACCGATGGCGTGCATAAGCTTCATAAGGCTGCATGTATGAGTGACACAACCAAGCGCTGAGATATGGTATCTATGTCCCTCCATAAAGCGTTCACTTCCAAGCCTTGCAGAAAAGAAACACGTCTCGAGTCTGGATCAAGACACCCCAATCGGTTACACCATCGCATATTCCATTTCCCCATTTTTCTCGTACTCGGCCATATCCAGCGCAACAACCACACTCTCACGCACTACCTGTTCCGGATCATCCAAGAAGGTCTTCAATATGTCCTCAACACCAGGCTCATCTCCAAGAGTGCCAAGCGCTTCTGCAGCTTCATGCCTGACCATGCTCGCCTCGTTTGTCTTGCTTAAGGTTGCTACCAGACTGGGAATAGATGCAGGATGGGATAGCTGACCAAAGACGAAAGCAATCTCATGCCTGAATAGTGCGGATGGGTCATTGAAACCTGCTGCAAGTGCCTCAATGGCCGGAACAGCCGAAGGTATGTCTGGGGGAGAGGCCAGATCCCTTAGAGCAAACATTGCCCGATACCGTTGGAACAACGATAATGAAGTGTCCATAAGTCTGGACTTCAGGTCAGAAATGCGGAATTGATTTGATTCTAGGGAGATAGGTGGAGCTGGGTCTATAGATGCAAAATCACTGCTTTCTGTCAGCGGCGAATACCAAGAGTGTGCAACAACTCGACCTTGCTTTGAGCTTTTCTTTTTCGCGCGCCTCCGAATTTTCCCATATAATTCTGTCCACGGCTATGTCACATGTTTCCCTGACGACTTCTGGTTGATCCTCGTTGTCTCTGAGGTGCTTCATCAGCTCAACACTTGAAATGTCTCCTAGAGCCCCAAGAGCTTCTGCCGCTTCATGCCTACACATCTCATCTTGTTCGCGATCCTCTAAAACATGACGTAGAAAGGGTGCAGCTTCAAGATTCTTTGTCTGACCCAGGCAGTAAGCAAGTTCGTGTTTTAGTAGAGCTGATGGCGAGGTAAAAGCCGCAGCTATCGCTTGTATAGCTTCGGAAGTCCGCCGGTTCGCAGGCTGTTGAGTAGCAAGATGTTTCAGCGAGAAAAGTGCCCGGAAACGCTTTGCAAGTGGGACATCTTCGGAAGTTAGAGCTTGACGAAGGGAAAGAACAACATTTTCGAAGGTTGTATCCGGCGTCGAATCATGCGCATTCATTGTCATCCTCAATAGATTGTCCACTTGGGAGAAAGTTCTATTTCTAAGAAAATGTCATCACAGTATCCTGCAGCTTGGCACGGATTTTTGTAGAATTGAAGCTTCCGCTTAATATGCATTACATAACATGTGCTACTCTGCTCATATCTTGAGGGCAACAAACATCATCGAAATTACCCCAACTACTCGAGCGACGCTTATCTGAGCGATCAGCACTCTATCATCCTCTGGCTTACCACCTCTTCTGACTAATATACTACAAGGATGGGTTCCGTGGTCCTTCCTCATCTTGTCACAGCATGGCACGTTGATCAAGCCATCATGTCCGAGGACGAGCGTCTTGTGGTGATACGTTTTGGTCGCGACTGGGATCCAGACTGTATGCGTCAGGATGAAGTGTTGTACCGAATCGCCGACCGAGTCAAGAATTTCGCAGTAAGTCGGTAGTATGGGTTGATATAATAGATGCTGATCGTTATCTAGGTCATATATGTATGCGATCTTGACCAAGTGCCGGATTTCAAACAGATGTATGGTAGGTCTATCCTCGGCTCACTGCTTTGGAAGGAAAGCAACTTATGATATCTTAGAGCTCTACGACACTGTCACCCTCATGTTCTTCTTCCGCAACAAACATATGATGTGCGACTTTGGCACTGGTAACAACAACAAATTGAACTGGGTATTGGAGGATAAGCAAGAATTGATTGACATTATCGAGACAATCTATAAAGGTGCGAAGAAAGGGAGAGGTCTTGTTGTTAGCCCGAAGGATTATTCGACTCGCTACCGATATTAATCGTCCAGAAGCAAGGCTCTAGAGAAATGTTGCGCTTCTATCCTTCTTGTGAGGAGGCTTCCCTGATGCTCGAATATGGGCTGGTCATTGTGGAAATGGGGTGAGAGCGTCAAGTGGTTGGTCTCCCTAGCGAAAGCAATTTCATACAATTACTTCGTCCTCTGCTGACCCAATGTTGCAAGCAAAGGCTTGTCTATGTCCCTACAGTCACTGCTAGGTTGTTCTGAGGTGATGTTCCAGGTGAGCCCTGCTGCACGTCCCTAACCCTCCCCTGCTGGCACCGTAGGCCACAAGATTGGTCCATGTAAGGGACCAGCACAGGAGCAGTGGCCGGGAGAAGAACGGCGAGCCATACCACGAGTGATCCCTCCCGTCTGGCACTTCTCATGAATATCAGAGGGCATCGATACGTTAAATAGTTCCTACAGCCCTTTATTTCGTCTTGATGTGCTTCAGCGGCTTCGGCTCATGTAGAAAGTTGTTAGCGTAAGCTTTCGGGACAATCCTCCTCTCATTTGGCTCTTGTACGAAGTACTCGTATCCCTGCTTCTGTGCAAACAGTATTGCATCTTCCTTCGTCTTGAAGTTGAGATGTGTGCCCTGCAACGAATCTCCAGTGGATTGCCACCCCATCAAGGGATTCTCCCATCGATGACCTTTCTGCAGGATATCCCAGTCCATTCTCCAATGATGGCTATGCCATGTCCCTGACTGAGTAGCTGTCTTTGCTGGTCGATATATTCTGACCAAGCGTCAAGATGGCAATTTACCCCAATGCTTTATGGGTAGGACATACCTAACCTGGCGAGCTTGTAGATCAACCGGAGCACCGGAGAGAACAGCAGCTGCGACATTTTCTTCAGGCTCACTGCCGTCCATGACTCGTTTTGGAACCGGCGAGAAGGTCCTTAACGTTGTCAGCCAGCATAATCAACCCTCAGAGTTGGCAGTCTTACGAAGTGCCGTGATCGATACGAGCTGAATAGTCTGGTTGGTGCGTTGCGAAGGGATCCGGTGTACTCTCTTGGGACACTAATGATGATTTGTCCTCAGTAGACTGTATTCTGTCTGCAAAGTCTGATTCTGAGCCAGGCTTCGACCACCAGGAAGTAATCTGAGAAATGCATCGTGAAGTGGCTGGGGCGACGGCCGTTGGAAAGCTTGTTGCTGCCTTGTATAATTTCAAAGAACTACGGGGGCGAAATAACGACATCGTGGATGACTGTGTAGTAAGTGACTTGTACTTCAGGAGGTCGAGTTGTAAAGATGTCGAGCTTGAACGTCAACGATGCCAGTGGTAGAGGGACTGCCAAGTGTAGCGCAGCACCCAAAAGCAGTTTAGCCCCTTCTCTGAGCTCCGGCCAATTGAGCCGATGAAAGCTCAACCTCCCTCTTGCAGTGCATCGAAGAACGAATTGGACTGGTTCCTACCTCAACAAAATCGGGTGAGTTTTTAAGTCATGTTGCAACTTCTGTGTAATGACAACGCGGCTGACTCACAAAAGACTGCCCATCATGAGCTTCGTAATCCGGAGGAGTCTCACCACTCTTGTTCCACCAAAGGTGAGTGGTCTATCCCCGCTCTACCAGAGCATCGCCTTCGATCTCAAGCTAATCAAACATAACAGGTTGCAAACCCGGAGGTACGGCACACTGGAATCCTCCCCCCCTTGTACAGAGATCCCAACGCTGCTCTTGTCAATAATATCGCAGACTTCAAATGCCACTCCCTACCTTTGCTGTATACTTCGGGTCGATACCCATCTCTGATCTTGATTAGGGACTTGGAGCTGCCAAAGATGCTGTTCGCATGGCTAGAATTGCGAAATTCTACGAACGACTACCGAAAGGCCCCATGCCTGAGATCAAGCCTCGAGGTCTACTAGAAAGATACCAACACAGATACTTTGGAAAGAACCCATCAGCTGCCCGTTAGTTCTTCACTGAAGGATGCGCCGAATGTTGGTGTCTAACTGCTATTCTGACAGCTATCTGGCATGCCATTTTTTCAATCATGGTACTCGGCTATAGCATGGAGTATTATTTCCACCTGCGTATGTCGTCCACTGAGGCTGTCTATTCTTGGCAATATACTCACGTCTTCCAGGGCATCACAAGAACAATGCGCATTAGGCAATGGTCCCAGTGACAAATTTCAATACGGAGGGTTATCTGTACATAAGAGCTGATAGCAAAATCGATTCATCATCCTATGGAGCAGTCTCTGACACCATACAGCAAGATGCCTTATCACCAGATGTACTCGTTTCAGCATCCATGTAGGATAGAGTTGGCTGTCACAGTGCCACCATATATTGTGTAGCTTGTAGAACACACTGGGGGATGCAGCCACCACCTGAATTGTCTTGTGAACACGCAACTGTCACGCATTACATCCTCCACCCATGGACGATCCCATCAGCATTCTCAGCAGCAGAGTTCATGTGCCTCAATATCAAAGATACACTAGTACTGTTGTCGACTTGCATTTACCAAAGAGGAGTGCAGTGCTGCATTACCATCCCGAAACCCGCTAGCCAGATTAGGCGACTCAAATTCGTTCTGGACGGAGTCTTGGCCACGCCCAAACCCGCTTGTGAGCTCACTGGTCTCCTTTCACACGACACTCTAACTTATAAAGACGTTATTCGATTTCCATTTCAGTACATCTGGAGGATTGCGCCTTTTATTGTGATCCTCTCCCGTCCCTACCGTAAAGCGCTCGAAGAAGCGCCCATCCGCGACCTCCTACGTGGCCCGGAAGTTGTGCACAGAGCAGGATCCAGCCTAGTGACCGCAACAACTCAAGCTGGCAACCCGGGTCCCTTGATACAGGTACCCTCTCAGCCTTCTCATAATCCAGCTAGTCCTCTTCCTTCCAGATCTCCGCCTGCGCTGCAAGTTGTGGTACTGGCAAACGAGTCTGACTCCGCTTTTGTGCATTATCCAGATTCGAGTCTTGTTATGGCAGAGCAGAGTGTCCACGATGTGGTAAATCAAACAATGTCGGTCGGCGATCATTCGCCTGCCGACGCCTATGAAGACAAATCTACTCATCATTCCACTGGGGGAGATGTCGCGGCTCTAGAGGCGAGTACAGACAACTATGACGAAAAAAGGCCCAACCAAGATGGTCAAATATTCCAGACTGATTCAATACACTATCCCGTGGTTAATGGACAAGCCAATGTATGTCGTGCATGCTATCTCCAAGTCTTATTCTTACTAAATCACCGTGGAAGCAGAGTGAACCTTCGAGCATGGAACCAAGTCCTGCGGATACTTTCACACAGGCAGACAGCAATACCCAGGATTCTGACTTCGATGGCAACATATCCCGGAACCAAAGTGTGGGAGATTTGAGCACCACATCTGACGCCGATATTCGCAAAGCAGAGCCATCGTCAGTATTGGAGGATGCCAAAAATCAAGATGTTAATAATGCCGCTCGAAGACCCGCCTCGTTCAAACCTGTATCCTTTGCAAAGTATTCAGCAGCGAAGGTTGCTGGCGTCAATTCTGCAGCCAGATCTGCAGCCGACAAAGGTAAGTCATTTCTGCAACATTCAACACACCACTGAATCGTCGCAGTGCTGTCCTCTTCTGCCAACTCTTCTACCTCCTCACTACAGCTAGGATCTCGCCCTCGGCTTGTTGCTAAAACCACGAGTGGACTACGCGACAACGCAGCGAAGTCATTTAAGTCTGGGGGTAGGAATGGTGCAGGAGGTCCTGATCCTATGCAAGTATGGAATAAGAACCGGCGTAAGTTCTAAATACATGCCTTATGCTATGACCCTAACCAGTTACAGCCGCTCAACCTCCGTCGACCAAACACCTTACCGACGAGGAGCTCAAACAGCAGTATGGGATCCATATGACTTCGAGAATCGAAGCAGATGGAGAAAGTAAAGAGGCCAAATGGGCAGATATTGATGATGATGAAGACGATTGGGCGCCCGAGACGATCGAATGGGCTGATGGCACCAAGGTCACCCTAAATCATGGAAGCAACATCCCATTACCTCCTGGAGCGACGAACCTGGAAAAGCCTTCGGAAGAACAACCAAAAGAAACTCAGTCTGTAAGGCCCAAACCTCTACAAGCAAGCAGCTCTGTTGGCCCAAACGCTACCGTCCTAAAGCTAGGGGCAAGTGCTGAAAGGCAACAAGCTCAAAAAGCTACAATCCTGCAGAAAGGCCCATCAGAAAAGCCGGCGCCTTCGGCTGCGAAGAGTCCAGCACCTGTTCCTTCCAAGTCCCCATGGGCTCCGCTTCCCCCTGTCGAGAAGGTGTCACCTATTACCATAAATCCACAGCTACCAATCCCAGCTCCGATCCGATACAGTCATATACCTCCAGGAGATTCCTCCTCAGCTATGGCCACAGCGACTTCACCGGCAAAGGAAATCTCAGCGGACGACTTCAACAGGTCTTGGCGAGACTCTCAGTCCGGTCAGCCACGTGAGCTGTTCATGCCCAACTCTGGCAGGTATGAAGCTGTCAATGAGAATCGCAGAAGAGGCTCCAGGAACGACCAGAACTTCCGTGCCCCAGCGCTCCTGCAGAGACCTTCGCCAGGGGATCAGCATGCCCCTGCTGAGCCATCTCCAGCATTTCCAACTAGCCGAGTAAGCGCTGATCAGGAACGTGGTCCATGGAATCGGCGACGAGGATCGTCAATTCAATCTGCTGGAAGTGGTCCATTCGGCCGTCGGATGTCTGTAGGCAAAGGTGGCGATGTCGCGCCAGTACCTCACGACATATCTCAACAACTCAGGAGCTCTTCTCAAATGGGGCCAGTAGATGGTGCGGCACCTTCACGTGGTGTCCATGTTCAACAGAACATGAACGTTCCACTGACATCGTCAACAGCTGCACCATCTGTGCAGGTGCCTGACATGGCTATTATTGCAGAGCAGAAGCGCCTGATGCAGGAGAGCGCTCGGCTAGCAGTACAGCGAAGACGAGAGGAAGAGCAGAAGGAAGAAGCGGCGAGGAAAGAAAGGATACGTGTCAAGTTGGAGCAAATGGGACCTCCACCAGATCAAAAAGCCAAAGCTCAGGAGCAAAAGGCCGAAGTCCCACAGAAAACCGAAGAGCCAGTCATTCAAGTATCATCGCCACCCAAGCCGCCGATTCCAGAAGCCTCCGGCGAGCCCAAACAGTACGGTATGATGAAAGTCCATCATCCTGACAATGTGAAGAAGTTCAGTCCGCCAGTCGAGAAGGTTGAGGCTTCATTAGATGCAATGGTGCAAGCTGTGGAAACATCGCCGAAGCCGGAGCCAGTGAAGGGCCCAATTCCAGTCACAAACGGTGCCACTCCAGCTGGTGAAGCCTCCACCGAACGTCCTTCCAGCGAACCACCTCACAATGTTTTACCACCGGGCGAGGAGAATGTTCAGTCTTGGAAGAGCATTCACCCGGTAAATGAACGAATCCCTAGTTGGAACAGCAATCATCATCACTCAAGCCCAGCCACAAGCAGTCTCTGGGGCCCACCGAATCATGACAAAGCCTTGGGAAATGGTACATTCGATCAACGTCTGACAGGACTATCTGCTCGTGATCTCCCAATGCGTAGCAGTCCGCAACAACAGAGCTGGCTGCATGGTAGACCACCATCTCAAGATAAATCTCCACAAATACCATCCGTGCCACTTATGCCGCAAGAGACTGTGCATTCTGTCGTTCCGTTTCCATCGCATGAGCAGCGACCACTTGCTGCTAATAGTGAGACTGAGTCTATACCACCAATCGGGAAGCCAGTGTCAAGGGCGCCACCGCCAGCGCAAGCTTTCAATCAAAGATGGCACCAGTCTTCAAACATTGGGCCCACAGATGACGGGGTTGTGGCGTGGAAGAATTTTCATGCGGTAGCGACTCGGGAAGAACGAGCAGAGAACGAGAGATTTCAGCGCGACCTTGCAGCGGGCTTGGAGGAAGAAGCAAGGACTGGCATCCGCAAAGCTCCTCAGTACACATTCAATGAAACATGGAAGAAGGTTGAGCTTGGTGATCAGGCAGGAGATCGCCAAGTCACATCTGTTGCCAAAAGCAACATCAATCCTTCTTTCTCCACCGGAAATTCTTATGGCGGCCCTGGTTCCAATCTCAGCGTAGACCGAGCCACCAATGGACTCCCGATTCGTGGGTCCAGATTCTTTCCAGCGGAGGCACGACGAGCTGTCACATATAGCCACCCCGGATTTCCTCGATCACCATCTCCGCCTCCAGCCGAGGAGATCGGAGGCGATCACCCTGCCTATGCTGGAGATCAGAGAAGACCAGTCATCAATTTCCCCGTCCCGAAGGCTGTTGTCAAGCTCCCTAAACCACAACAAAAACCGACCCCTGCGCCCGCTGCACCTGCTCCACCACGCACATTTGCTGCTGCCGCTGCAGCTCAGCCACCGCCTGCACCGCCTAATCTGCGTGCCGTGTCGCAGCCTCTGGCCAGCACTCCCGATTGGCAACATCGGTTCAACGATCTGTTTGGCAGGAAATCATCACCCAAGAAGCCGGTGCTCGCCGTAGCCTCATCAACGAAAGAGCCGCTAGATGTTGTACCGCTGAGGGTCTCGGCCGCGGTATCCCTGCCCCCAAAAGAAGCCGACCCTCTCAAAGATGCCGGAAAGGCCACTTCTAAAGACGTTGAGGACGAGGAAGATCTCTTCGAGGATCGAGAAGCTGCGTCAACACCCCTGGTACTGATACCCAGGGACGTGCCTGAAAGTTTATCACATCCGGTGACTGCACCACAATATCGGCCAAAGGGCAGATACTTCAAGACAGAGATAGACCCTATTAGTATCACATCACTCGATGGAACAGAAGACTATGGTCGTGGGGCCAAAGGTAGAGAGATCATCTTCTTCGTAAATCTCCCAGGAACAGCCAAATCAATCAAGAAGACCATGCCGAGGAAGGGAGGGAGTGGGTCTGTATCGAAAGGACTCAAACCCCACAGTTACAACAAGCATAACAAGAAGCCTCCGCCCAAGTCGCGGGAGTCTTCGGGGTCCTTCCAGAACAGCCAGCAGAACAACCGGGGCAGTAATTCGAGAACGCCTCCGATAGCGAATGGTTCAGTACCAACGCCCCGCTCTGGATTCTCCCATCACAGTAGCAATCACGGCTGGAGGGGCAGCCCCTTTGCTTCTGCTGGCGTTGCTCATTGAGTACCTTGAATACTGCGATCTGGAGGAGCCCTTGGCATCATTCGTTTCGACATCTCTTCGGCATGGAGCAGGAAGAGGCTTTGTGACTGCGTGACTGCGTGACTGCCTGACAGGATCTGTTGTATTGCCTCCATCAATCTGTGGCTGCTTTGCTGGGTCTGGGTAGTCCTTGGGGCCAACGGCTCGATCGAGCATTTATGGCATCATGGGTTACAAACAGCATTCAGGCCATACCCATGGAGGGGGGGGGCGCGGAGTCAGGAAACTCGCTTCATCATCTATCATTGTACTCACATACTCCAGAGAAACAAACACACATTCATACACGCCACTCTCGCCAGCACCAAACAGTAGTGCACTTTGTGCTGGCACGAATGTCGGATTTGCCCAACTAAACCCAATTCATAGTCTAATCAGGATTCCATGCATATCATTCTATTATTTTCTTCCCTCTGTGAATTGGTGTCTCATGTAAGTTCAAACGCATAGCCAATGCCTTTAGCACGGATGTCTCTACTAACGGGGTACGAGCTGCACCGCTGAACTGGCTCGGAAGACTCGCGTCGTCGAGTCGCCCCAGGCAGGACTCGCCCACTCGACCTCAACCACTCTCGTGTTCGTTTAGCCCGCATGCGAGTGTGTGAACGGTATACAAAAATTGGAAATGAGAACTTTTGTGAAAGACGAGCAACTTTAGTTCCGAATCCCCGGCCCCGGTTTCATGCTCATGCTCATGCTCATGCTCATGCTCAGTCCCCATCGCAAACCCCATGTGTTCATGCTGCAACGCCCAGCTATGCCTTCCTCCACCACGGGGGCCTCCACTCGCCACGGCTGCTGGCTGCCGTGCTGTGAAATTACAATTCAAGCGAAGCAATTATTATGTCAGACTCATTGCCAGCCAAAGATCATGAAGGACAGATCAGGTAGCACTTGCTGCGTCGATGAGAAGCTTTGTATTGTTGGTGCCCTGCGGTGGAGGGATGGCATTGTGACCGTCTGATTGATATCCATGCACTCTGTCCAGAGTACGTAGCAACTGGTATTGATGGATGTTCAACTCGGCAGGGTGTTGGCGGGCTGGTCGTGGTAAGAAGGAAGTTAGGTAATGTATGCCGCATCATGTATTTTGGGCCGTCCTTGTTCTCAGAAAATTCCCTCTGTCAAGAGTCTTTGGTTCCTCGCCGCCTGTCTTGCGTGCTTAAGTTTGGTAGGCCCACCTTCCCTCTTGAGAATCTCAACGTGAAACTTATAAGGCGTATGCGAGCATAGATATATATTCTTGGCGAGGTTGGCAGATGGCATCCATCATCCGATCAGACGTTGCCCAAGTGTCATGGCCTGTGCGCTGCAGCCAAGCTCGAGCCACTTCATGAGACCATCATCTCACCCTCTCCATTTCCCTCTCTCATGGCCGTGTCTCCATCACCTTCTGCTGGAGCTTGAGAACCCATAACGCCATTTCCATTCTGCTCCGTCCGACCCCTCCCAGCAGCAGCCGGTCGCTCGTCCAGGCCGAAACCCAGTCCGGCGTCAGGGATATCAATCTTCTTTGATTCTATTGCGGCTTTTTCTCCCCACACTCTCATGTGTAATAGCTTGTTGATCTGTGCTTCCCTCCTTGATCCTTGGCTACCGAGTATGGCTTCATTCACTCTATTTGCGACCGATTTTCGTAATCGAGGGTCAATGAGCTCCGCAAGTTGAGGCGCGAGGTTATCTGTAGGGAATATAAGAAGGGCCATTGTGCGCTCGAGATCGGCGAGGAAGTTTGGGTTGGTTGGTGCTAGAGGGGCTAGGTGGGTGGTAGCAAATTGGAGGGCAGTCGAGATATCGGGCGAGTTCGTTACGTTTCCGCTTGTTTTCGACGTGCAGGCTCGGATAAGTTCGATGAGCTGCAGACGCAGCAGGGAGAAATGGAGGGAGTCGTCTGTATCAAGCAGCTGTGGATGGGACGAAAGGTCAGTTAAACCATGAACATCTCTCGGCTGGAAAAGGAAGAATGTCCATGAATGTTGCAATCATACTGAGGACTGAAGGTGTTGTGTATCATCAATGTCCTGGAGGACATATGAGTGGTGCATGAAAACCAATTTAATCATAGCAAAAGGGCTCTGTTGGTAGCAAGTTTCCGCGGTGCTGATTGTCTTACCTGAGGATTGAGCTCATTGATCTTCTCGATAGCCGTCTGTAGATCTCCTCTGTGAATGCATTCTCGTATCTCCACCCTCGCCTTTATAGCTTCAAAATCAGCCTCCGGCTGTGTGTTCGACTCTGCAGCAAAGATCCGAGCTGTTGAAGGGTAACCCTCCGTGATGAAGTAGTCCATCATGAGGTTGTTGATTTCTCTATCGAGAGCGGCATCAGCATTCTCTTCGTGGTGCATGTCTCAAGACAGAACTGAAATGTGGAATGGTGATCAGAGAGCAAGTTAACATATTTTCATCGATGAATTTCAGAGAGATTCCCAACTTGGCATCAACACATCATATAAAGACAATCGAGAGCATGAACAGGCTTAGACCAGAACGTACATCTTAGAAGGTTTGTCGGCTTTTCGCTCGAAAGGATGCATTGTGGGCGTTGTCGTTGACGGGGTGGAGGGTGTCTGCAGGCTTTAGCACTTCTCAATGCTACAAAGGCCGAGTGAACAAACCATTGTGGCAGTATATGCAGTGACCAGGTATTAAAGATGTCAAGCTATGATTATGAGAACATGGGTGGGCAATATCATCGTCTTGTGGTAGTCGGCAGATCTAAATCGTTGTAAGGTACAAAGAATTAAGGTCCAGTTTTAAAATTTACTAACCGACGGGTGTCTACGCACCCCTAAAGCTCTAGCTACGGGCTTACTACCTGCTACCTACTACCTAGAATACGTAATAAGATATTAGCAAGGATGCACAAATAGGGTGGATGGCATCACATTTGATCACTTCATATTCCCGATCAAATATAGATTTACAAATCACCTGGGAATGAGACTTTGCGGAAGGCATACTACAGTAGGAGGCATAATAAATGTAAGCGCGCCCCGAGTAATATTGTTATTAACGACCCTTATACAGACACCCCTGTCGCCCCGTACGAATGACGTATCCTCTTGGAGGGGTTATTCAACGCGTTCAACGCGCTCAGTGAGCTGCGAGAGGCTATAACAGCTGACTAGAACGCTGTACCTGCGACCTATATCTTAGAGCTGCTGACTCAATGCCAGCAAGGTGTCAGGCAGTGGTTGATGCCAGTGGAATGCACACTCGCTACTGAGGAATAGGTTAGTCCCAATCGAGCGATTTTGTGGCGTTCTATCTTGGCGTTACAAGCTGTTACTAGAACACAATTACAGTTATTATGCCTCCTGCCGCAGACCAACGTTTCTTACGATATAAAGAATTGGGAAGATGACTCCAAAAGATGGGATGAGGTACAGGCTATTTCCTAGTAAGTGACAAGAACATCTTACTTCTGCTCTATGAGTAAGCAATACATAAGTAAGTTACGATGTCAGCGCTCTTTAACAATACAGGTCAATTGCTCCGGGTGGTATGGAGTTGGTGGCGCCAGTAGAGTAACCAATCAGCTTGCACGACATGCTGAGCCACCCAACTGCTATCCTTTCCCCACCCTAACGTTATATCAAATGAAAGCTCTTGGAAGACTAGCAATGTGGGATGAGCTGTTCGAGCGCCGCCGGCAGATATTGTAAGTAACAGCGGGAACTGCAAGGATCAAAGTATGCATCCGACAACCCCTCTCCGTACATATCGCATTTGGCATGAAGGAGAGTCTTCTTTCTTATCAGAACTGACCGTGTGGTTCCATTCCCATTACAAAGACTCATTTGCAGCGATAGTTTCAACCAACTGCACTGAAAAGCTGCAATGTTCGAAATTATCCTTGACCAGCGCAAAGCTGTCCTCGCGATTGTTGTTATCGTTGTTTTTACTCTCTACCTTGTCGGTCTCGTTATTTATAGGCTCTATCTAAGCCCGATAGCGAAGTTTCCTGGGCCGAAACTGGCCGCAGCGACATATCTGTATGAGGGGTACTACGACGTTGTGAAGAGGGGCAAATACACCTTCAAGATCAGAGACTTGCACTCGGAGTATGGTGGGTCAGACAGAACTCTCTAACCGGTTGCAGAGACAAAGTACGAGGGCTAAATGTCAATTTTCAAGGACCAATCATTCGAATCAACCCTTCTGAGCTACATATCAATGATGCCGACTATTATGACAGCCTCTACAACAGAGAAGGTAAGTGGGATAAGAACCCGTTCTACGTAAATAGTTTCGGCAACACCACGTCTGGGTTCGGCACGATTGATCATGATCTTCATCGCTTGCGACGAGCGGCCATCAATCCTTTCTTCTCCAAGCAAAAAGTCACAGCACTACAGCCAGTCATACAACGGCTGGTCGACAAACTCTGCAGGAGATTTGAAAATGTTAGAGGTACCGACGAGATAGTCTCGCTAGAGTGCGCTTTCGACGCGTTTACCATGGATGTCATCACGGAATACTCTCTCGACACGAGCTTCGGATATCTTGACAAACCCGGATGGAGTAGCGACTTCCGTGAGTTGGAGCGAGCATACGGCGAGGCAGCTTACGTGCAAAAAATGTTCCCCCCATATATTGCTATTATGGATTCGCTGCCTAATTGGGTAACTCTTTGGATGGAACCAAGAATGACGCTGTTGATGGAATTTTTCAGGCACTGCCACACGATTGCCGAAAGGATGGTGAAGGAGACCGACGGTGAAAAATACCAGGAAAAACCGCATCCAACCATCTTCTATGAGATCATTCACTCTGACCTGCCGCCGTCGGAAAAGACACCGAAACGATTGCAAGGGGAGGCAGCGGCCATTCTCGGTGCTGGAGCACTCACCGTTGCGTGGACGCTCGCTGTGGCTATGTATCACCTTACTGTGCAGCCGCAGAAGCTGGAAAGGCTCCGCGCCGAGATCACCTCGATCATGCCAGACCCCAAACAGCCAGCCAAGCTACAGCAGCTCGAACAGCTCCCATATCTGACGTCCGTAATCATGGAGAGTCTGCGGCTTAGCAACGGTATCGCTACCCGTCTGGCTCGTGTTGCCCCAGATCGCAGCATCTATTATCACGACTGGGAGATCCCGCAGGGAACTCCTGTGGGCATGACTTCAACATTAATTCACCTGAATGGCGATATCTTTCCAAACCCACTAGAATTTGCTCCTGAGCGTTGGATTGATCCGAAGGAACGACAGCGTTTGGAACGATACTTTGTACCTTTTTCAAAAGGCTCGAGGAACTGTGCTGGCATGAAGTAAGTCCGTTCCGCATTCATTTCTTGCGGCAATGAGTCACGACCAACTCGCCTCATTCTCGGCACAGCTGCTTGCCAATATCGAATACTAACTGAGCTGCAGTCTGGCGTGGGCAGAGTTGTACATGATGCTCGCTTCGGTGTGTACAAGATTTAAGCTGGAGTTGTACGAGACAACGAGGGAAGACGTGGACATATACAGTGACATGCTTATCGCTGAACCAAAGAGATACGCCAATGGGGTCAGGTTTCGGATCAAGTGACACTGAAGTATGTTGCAAATTTGGCAAGGGGACGCGAAGCTTGGGAAAGGAGAACAGCCTCGGGGGACAAGTCAAAGGCTGGCGACCACCAGTCCTTGTAAAACGTATGATAGCCGACAACAGGCACCCGCACATAACGAGTTACGCTTCACGTATCACTCTATTGATGATCTTCTTCTATGATGGCCTAGTTGATGCATTTTCTGCCTGGACATACTGATGTAGACGGTATGTGAGAAATCGGGATACGATCTTAAAGATGGGGAAGATGGGGATATTTTACTCCTAACTAGTACGAATGGCCGAGGACCTTAGTCTTCTTGGCATATCAAGTTGTTGACTTGCAGTGTGAAGGTACTATGACCTTGAATTCTGACCAAGATCTGGTGCTGTACGGGCCAGTTCGTTATTTTCATGAACAGGTTACCTTGGTTCATTTCACAAACCTCTTATTCATACAGTCTTCCTACAGTCTTCCTACTCATGTCTTAAGCCCCTAAGTTAGCTGGTACGCAAAATAGTTCAGGATGCTAGAAGGTCCCCTAATGGACCTGGTCTCACCTGTGATCTCTACCGAGACTACTCAAAAGGCCCACTATGCACCGCCATGGCAAGACATGAGTATCATCGGCGTCGCTGGCAGCAGCGGCTCTGGCAAAACTTCATTAGCTGTCGAAATCGTCAAATCATTGAGTCTGCCATGGGTCATCATCATCTCTATGGTCCGTCAATCGATATCATTACGACGAGGCACGTCAAATAACTGCCTTATAGGACTCGTTCTACAAATCACTGACACCGGAGCAAAACGCTCTTGCACATGCCAACGAGTACGATCTAGACTCACCATCTTCTCTCGATTTCGATCTTTTAGTGGAGAGATTGCAAGAATTGAAACAGGGGTATATGAACCAACCCCCAATTCAGGCCTCGAGCACGTACTGATGTGTTGAAGCAAGCGGGCAAATATTCCCACATATTCCTTTGAGCAACATCAGAGGCAAAAGGAGACTGTATCCATCTACTCACCACACGTCGTGATCCTGGAAGGCATTTTGGCATTGCAGGATCCGCGTGTGCTGGATATGCTAGATCTCAAGATCTTTGTCGAGGCAGACGCGGATGTTTGCCTTTCCAGAAGAAGTATGTCTCTCTGGCCTCTGACCCAATACCGCCTCTAACGGAGTAACAAGCAAGTTGTTCGTGATGTGCGCGATCGAGGTCGAACGATTGAGGGAACTATCAAACAATGGTTCTCATATGTCAAGCCAGTATTTCAGCAATATGTCGAGCCGCAGCGCATCATCGCCGATGTCATCATCCCCCGAGGCATGAAGAACAAGATGGCAATAACAATGGTCGTCAATCAGATCCGTCAGCTGCTGGAAGAGAAATCAGCACGCCACAATGCAGAACTGATGAGACTTGGCCGGCAGGTCGAAGACGAGCCTTTCTCTGCTCGAATCGAGTTGATGGAGCAAAAACCACAAGTCAGAGCGATGAGTACTATCCTGCGGAGTCCGACAACAGAGCAGGTGGATTTCGCCTTCTATCTGGATCGCCTCGCAGCTCTGCTGGTGGAAAGGGCGCTCGACAGCCATCACTTCTTACCTGTGCATGTGACAACACCTCAGGAGCTGCAATACAATGGCTTACGATCCTCCGGAAAGGTCTCTGCTGTCGCCATCCTTCGTGGTGGGAGTTGTCTGGAGACGGGGCTCAAACGGACACTACCAGATTGTCTCACGGGTAGGCTATTGATCCAGTCAAACTATCGCACAGGCGAGCCAGAGCTGCACTTCCTCAAGCTATTCCCGGACATCGCCTCGCATGAGACGGTACTTCTCCTCGACTCTCAGATGTCGAGTGGAGGTGCTGCTTTGATGGCTGTCAGAATACTAGTGGATCACGGGGTGGAAGAGAGGAAGATTGTCTTCGTAACATGTCTGGCAGGACGTATCGGGGTCAAACGATTGACGAGCGTCTTCCCGGAGATTAGTGTTGTTGCGGGAAACGTAGCAGATGATCACGAGGAGAGATGGATCGAGAAGAGGTATTTTGGATGTTGACTGAAAAGTCGGACTGTGTATATGAAAGTCGCTGCAAAAGGCAGGCAATACTCCTTTGCATTCCGAGACACGTTGGCATGATTTGAGAGAGCATGACTGGCAACGATACCCTTAAAGCAAGAGCTGTGCCTGGCCAGCCAGTGGACATATTGTGAGGTAGAATCCAAATCAAGCGGCCATAACAGACTTTTAGTCAGGTATTCCATTTCTGATATGCAGATTTAGGTGATGATACTCTGGATTTCTCGAATAGACTCGCGTTTCAGCAGAAATGAGAAGTGGGAATTGAGAGATGAGAGATGAGAGATGAGAGATGAGAGATGAGAGATGAGAGATGAGAGATGAGAGATGAGAGATGAGAGATGAGAGATGAGAGATGAGAGATGAGAGATGAGAGATGAGAGATGAGAGATGAGAGATGAGAGATGAGAGATGAGAGATGAGAGATGAGAGATGAGAGATGAGAGATGAGAGATGAGAGATGAGAGATGAGAGATGAGAGATGAGAGATGAGAGATGAGAGATGAGAGATGAGAGATGAGAGATGAGAGATGAGAGATGAGAGATGAGAGATGAGAGATGAGAGATGAGAGATGAGAGATGAGAGATGAGAGATGAGAGATGAGAGATGAGAGATGAGAGATGAGAGATGAGAGATGAGAGATGAGAGATGAGAGATGAGAGATGAGAGATGAGAGATGAGAGATGAGAGATGAGAGATGAGAGATGAGAGATGAGAGATGAGAGATGAGAGATGAGAGATGAGAGATGAGAGATGAGAGATGAGAGATGAGAGATGAGAGATGAGAGATGAGAGATGAGAGATGAGAGTCGAGAGTCGAGAGCCGAGGAAAATTCCATCTTACATACTGTAGCCATCGATGATGAGTCCGATCTTTCCATTCCCTAACCAGAAATTAAAAGGGGAAAAAATGCCAAGCCTGAAAACGCGGCAACCTTGACGCCTGGAGCTCACAGAATTGTTGTCAGCTTGGACAGTTAACAGACTTCACTGCGACATAGAACAAGCCATCAAATCAAATCAGGATCACTGTTAGGTCCAACACCATCGTAACAAGCATACTGACCTTACCTTCACTTCACACCCTTTGATCATCAACCATCTCTCAAGAAGCACACATCTTACACCACCATCCTGCTACAGGCCACTTGTGTCAAGATGGTAAGTTTCCTGCTCCCTCTCACCAACGCCCAAAACCCAGCGCAACCGTTAACCACCACGCCCAACCATCCAGTCCCTGCGCATAGCGCCGCCATCCTCGCACCCTACAACCACCTCCAACACCACCACCCCCACCACCAAAAACTCCTCCTCATCTACGAGCAACCACCGCAGGGTGATGGGGTCGGGTGGGGAGGGGGCCGGTGGGGTGCACGAGGAGATGGAGGCCAGGGTGGGGATGGGGAGGTGGTGATTTTTTTCTCTCCCGAAGTGGTCTGAGTGGGTTTGGGGAGGGGGAGGTCCAAGAATTCAGTGGTGGGCTCGAGCAGCAGCGTGCAAGGATGGACAACGGATGGATGGTCTGGAGCAGAATTACGGGGGATTTTTTTTTTGCAGCTGGCTTTCTTCGGATTGCAGTAACCCCTGACTCTGTTCGACCGCCCTGCCCTACCCAGGCCATTATGACCTTGAATGCCAGAAGTCAGAGACTACCATAGATTCAGCCTGACCCCGGCCCCCTTTGCCTTGCCCCGTTGACATCGTGACGAGTAATGTACAGTGAAGGCCATCCCCCAGGAACAACTGGCATGAACCGCTAAAGCAACCAAGATGACGAACGATAGGAGATGTCACCAAACGGTGGAGCTCAAAGAATCACGCATCGACATCCTGGACTTCTCTCGTCGCCATCACCGTGCCTGCTTCCGCTTTTGCCGCCTTTGGCTGCGGCTTCCTCTTCGTCGAGCATGTCTTGGGGCTTGACGGTCATGTGCACGACGTTGGGTGTGTCATGGTTGAGCTTCGAGTCTAGATTCAGCAACGGTGAGTTTCATCATTTGGAAGACGTGAAAGCGAGGAGGATACGGAGACGTGAGCGAAAACAGGTTGTTGAGCGTTGGGAGATCAGCAAATAAAGTGTTGCCAGATACTTACCTCTCAGAGGCGCCTTGTCATCAAGGAGCTTCCCAAATGATATCAGTCTTATCGAACCCGGACTTGACGGTTTGGCTTCCCATTCTGGATTTTGTCAGCTTCCTCAACGCGAGATTCTGTCAGGGAGCATCGCTAACCTTCTCGCCATTCTCTCAAGATGAGCTCCTTTAATTTATAAACGCTTAGATTGAACGGATCATTGCCTTGCACTTCCACATTTCGTTTGTTCAAATACTTTGCATCGAGCTTAAATGGATGTCGCGCACCATTGATCAATAAAAGCGTGATCATCAACACTGGTCCTGTTTCCTCAACATCCTTCGGCACGGGTATGGGTTCATCCGACGAGGGCCCAATTGCTGTTGACTTGAGGCGGGTCAACTGAGTGGGGGTAGCTGACGTGGTTGGAGATGATGGAAGCGCTGAGCCAGAGATTTGTGTGTTCTGCCCTGTCCTTGATGTATCTACCGGGTCGGATCGAACTTTCCCTGGTTCCAACGACTCGGCGGTTTGTCTCTCGGCTGTCGACTGTGCTTCCCTCAGGTTATTATTCGAAGGTAACGATGACATCTCGACGGGTGTAGATGAAGTGTGTAGGCCCGGTTGTGGTTGAGCCGATCTGGGGACATTCTGAGGTGATGTTGGAGTAGCATGCTCAGTCTGATCAATTGACGCCATTTTCAAATGTGTATATGGTGCGGTGCACAACCAAAGCAGCAGCCGGAGAGGCTTCGATACACTACAACCAAATAACGAGTGTGGAAGAGACAGCACCCGATCTCTGCGTAGCTGGAAAGTGAACACGATGGAGTCAAACGAACGGATGTGAAGGCGATTCGAGTATCACGAACACCAATGGTGGGCATTGACTGTCGTCGTGGAAGACTTGGAGGGATACAGGATTAATAGTATAACCGTAATAGGTATGAACGAGGCTCCCTGACCGGAGTTGCACCTTCGGTTGGGTTGGCAAACATCGAGGTTGACTCTGGAACATAAGGCATTGGGCAGGGAATGGAACGGGAATGGAACTGGGTATGATACAAGTTGAGTGCCAAGCTTTGCGGAGGAAGTCACACACGACACCACAGATCACCCATGCACTATACATGCACCACACATGCACACTTTTTCCTCAGGTACATCCAGTACCGTATCCGCGCAAACCCAGGGTACAGTAGTAGGAGATACGACACACGACATATGACACCGGAGACCGGAGACCGGACACAGGAGACAGAATTACCAGCATGATCCTTCGGACGCCTCAACCTGGCAGCATTCAGTAGTGGTGTAGCGTTGGAACGTGCTGCCACCATGACTGAAGATGCCTTACTGAATGAGCTGTGTGCTATCTGGTCAGTCACTCCTTGTCTCTGGTCCTCATGCTGCCCTCTGACTCTGCTCTAGCCATATTAACCGACCAAAATACAAATGCCCACGATGCACCATCCAGACCTGTTCTCTGGCTTGTGTCAAGCGTCACAAGCTTTGGTCGCAATGCTCGGGCACTCGGGACCCCGCAGCATACAGGAAGCGTCATCAGCTGGCAACTCCATCCTCCTTCGACCAAGACTTCAATTTTATCACCCGTGTTGAGAGGACAATTGAGCGTGCCGGCGACGAAGCACAAGAGCGTGGCATAGCGTTGAGCGAGGAGAGACGAAAACGCGTGAAAGGAGAGGCTCGCCGAGATGTAGAGATAGGCCAGAGGGGTGCCATTGTACTGAGAGCGCCCCCCGGAATGTCGCGGGCTCTGCAGAACAAGTCAAAATGGGACAACAGGCACAAATGTCTTCTCTGGACAGTTGAATGGATCTTGGAGAACGGATCAAGAGTGTTTGGCAACTGTCAAGAAACACGGACCATCACAGAGGCGTTCACCAATGCCGTTGGCAGACGCAAGGTGCAAAGCCAGCAGGCTCCTGCCTCTACGGCCACGCTCAAAGCACAAGATGTAAATTTAGTTGGGCATGAGAAATCAACTTCAAGTACCGGACACCACTTTTACTTGCATCGTCCAAATCTACCGTCTAATGTCAGATGCGTTATTCCCCTTCAGCCTGACGCTGTGATCAAGGATGTTATCCAGGATAGGGTTCTCAATGAATTTCCAACCATTTTCGTCCTTGGTGCTTCCAAGGAGAAGCTACAGAAGCCCTTTATCACCGAAGAGGAATACATGGAGAAGCGTGGAAGTGGCCCGCCAACCATTGTGCCAGGAGGGCCGATGGCAGGCCGGACAGCAGATGATCGTGGGGAGGGCTTAGATGGTCTACGATCAGCTCAGGAGCTCAATGAGAGACAGATTAAGGAGGTTTTACAGAAGGACTTAGGAACATGAAAAGATCAAAGAGGGAAAAGCGAATACCATTTCCCTAGCTCAGGCCAACTTTCCAGGAACTGCAGGATGTCCAGCGCTCAATCCTCCACAAACCGCCCAGGCTTGCCCATTGACATAGCTCGCCTCGTCACTTCCAAGGAATAACGCTACTCGTGCGACTTCGTCGGCCACTGCACCTCGTCGGGTTGGATTTAGTTGTCCGATCTTCTTCTCAGTTCCCTTGTCTCTAGCAGCCTCATACATTGCCAACGTCATGCCTGTCTCGATAAGACCAGGACAGATGGCGTTTATCCTTACGCCAGTGCCTGTGAGTTGGTATGACATTGTCTGAGCTATTGAGATTACAGCTGCCTTGCTAGCCGAGTAATCTGTCGAGCCTGCATTCGATCTCAGACCTGCCACGCTGGCTGTGCAGACAATGCTTCCACTGGGATATGGCTTCTCCTTGCTTGTCTTCTGCATGGCTATAGCCGCATATTTGGCGCACAAGAAAACACCAAGAGCGTTTGTCTTGAAGGTATTCATGAAATTATCGGCTGTTATCTGCGTGTACACAGCAGGTGTTCCGGCGATCCCATGGTTGGCAAACATGATGTCCAGCCTACCGTATCCTGAGACAACTTCGTCCACCACAGCTTTCACTGCTTCCTCGTTCCCTGCGTCGAATTGCTTTACATGGATGTCAACCGCAGGATAGAGCTGTCGGAGCTCGCGCTTGTGGGTTTCGAGGTGGCTGGAGGCGTAATCGCAGAGGTAGACGGCGCGAGCACCATTGTGAGCAAACTGATGCGCCGCTGCTCGACCAATGCCGGTTGGACTGTTGCCACCTGTGTCAATGTAAGATTTAGTGGCGACTGTATCTTCTAGCTTCATACCAGTCACTATGACCACCTTTCCTTGAACTCTCGGTCCTCTAGAATCACCTGCGACATGCCGTATCCGGGGAATGTCCTCAAAGGTGCCCTCACTTGGAATACCTTCCGCTAGCTGCTGGCTTAGAGCTTGTAATCTCTGCTTCGCAGCAAAAGACATCTTGCTGCTAGTTCCTGAAAGCCAGGCGCAGGATCCCACTCCAACCTTTCGTACTCAGGTAATCACCACGGTAATTGATATAAATATCATTCCTTCATGTGCCAAGTGGCGGCATAGGCGGGGACCTACTACCTAGTACGGTACCGGCAGAAGTATTCATAGCTCGGTGCTATGTACAGAGTAGTAACAGCTAGTTTTGATACAGCGCCACATTGATATTTAGAAGCTTCTTAGACGACGTTCCATGGTTATTGGCCACAGCAGTACCACTTAACTTCTTAAGCTTAGCTGATTCGTTTGTTGTCCGTTTCCTGGCAGAGATACTAGCGCCGAGCTATGAATACTTCTGCCCGACGTAGTAGTAGCCGGAGTGGCGCCCAGGCTTGAGGCACCGGGGCTTGATGCACCGGGCAAACAAGCATCGCCGCATTGCATCAGGCTCCAAAGGCCGTCGCGTGCACGTCACTGCTGCAACAAACTGCTCTGGTGTGTCGAAAAGTGATTGCTGCCCAACCCACATCCCCTTCCTTTATATGTCAGGCGCCATATATTAGGAACGACACGAAAGCCACATCTGGCTGGGCTGAGACTGTTATCTTAGCTTGTTACATATCTTAGCTTGTTATCTCGACAGGGTTGAGCTTTGCTATTGCTGTTTCACGCCCCTAGCCAGGAAGCATGGCACTGAGTCTAAAACTGGTTTTGGCGCAGAAACATTCAACATCGTGTTCTACAGCATAAAACGATACACTCTGCACAGCTCCGAGGACTCACCGGCTCTGTTGACGGTAAGATTCTCTCAACATGGTCGAGAAAAACCCGGATCCCCCGAGGAGATCGTCATCCCAAACTTCAGATACCTCCAGCAAGAGCAACAAGCCAAGAAACCGCAATCGTCCCCACAAAAGTTCTTCCAACGCTTCGAGTCTTGCATCACCCAAACCAGACCCCTCCTTGACCTCATTTCCTTCCCTCTTGCCAGATTCACCTCCCATCAACAAAGAAGGCTTGCAACTACCAAAGCCAACCAAGCTGAACAGAACAGTGTCTCAAAAGGTCAAAGATAGGAAAGCGACTCTTAGAGGTTTGACAAGCGCCTCTCCGCCTTTAACGGGGCGGAATGCGCTTTTCGACGATTCTCCAAGATCATCGCTTGATGTGCCGGGCGCCCTTCACCTAGCGAACGACGAGCATATCGAAAGGCTGATAGCTTGTTCTGGGGCGGTAAAGCTTGTTCGTCAGTTTGCTCAGGATCTCGCTCAGCGAGATGCGGAAATATCCGCTCTACGAGTTCGGGCCGATGAGAGGGAACGAGAATTGAAGAAGATGCTGCGGGAAGTCGAAGTGTCTAGCGCCGAGATAGAGAAGAGGCTGCGGAGACTAGAGTCTCCAGATGAAGAGGGTGAACTCGGGAGAAGCGGCGCGGCCGGACCTGGGATACCGCCCTCAAGAAAGCTCGCACATACCATTGATGGTATGATGCATGAAGCTATGTCGGAAGACGTTGGAAGCCATAGAGCCAGCATGGGCAGTGACGATGTTGTGGACTTCGCTGCGACCATCAAACCTATCAAGACCGATAAAGAATCCAAATCAAGGCAGTCTACCTGGGAGTCTACAGGAAATAGTGCTACTTCCGACAAAGGATGGCAAGGTTACATTTGGGGCAGCACTACAGGCAGCCGCAAGACAAGCACATCTAGCAGCATCATCAGCCAAGAAATAGGAGATGGTGGTGCTACGGCAAAACCGCGTCAGAGCAGCTCCAACGGCACTCGAAGGAAAGGTCTGAATAACCTCTTTCAGCCTCCAAATCAACCCACTAGCAGCAGTTATTTCATAGGGGGGCCGAAGATGAGAGCTTCAAGCAAGCCTCAAAATGCAGATGATGCGAGCGTGCATTCGAAGCAATCCACTAGATCGATGACATCGATGACATCGTGGACTATGAAATTGTTCGCCGGCAACCAGCAAGCAGCCAAAGATTCAACAGTGCCCACCAACTCGAGACGTAGATCGTCGTCTCTAGGACAGGGTGGTTCCGGTGTACGCACGACATCAGCAACCGCGGCTGAATCTGCCATGGCAGCACTAACCAAGACGGTCTCTCACCAACCTCATTCTTCGAAACCAGCTGGTACGGTCCGTGGTCCGAGCCAAGGCGTGCGCAGAGTGCCTACTCCAAGCAATGCGACTTCTGATAGTCCAGAGCACGCAAGGTCTTCCTCCAACGTAGAACATCTAGGTCCGGTGGAAATGGACGCCATTCTACCTTCGGAGTCCAAGCCGCCCACAATGACCCAGACATACAATAAATACCAAGCAGAAGGCCTCCTGACTGATCGTTTCGGCTTCATCTATGACCAAAGACAGAGGAAGAGGCGCCGAGACACTTTACCGAGCATGAAAAATGGGGATCAGCTTAACAACCTCGAGTCACTGGCGAATTATAGACATGACCCTGACAGCGAAGAAGATATCTTGCTACCAGCTGCTACTGGCAGGGTGAGCGGCATAACGTCCCCTGCTCCAAGACCTGCGACGCCTGCTTCTACTGATGAACAGGCAGACGTGGCTGCACCACCCAAGAAATGGCAAGATTATCTCAAGGTCTCGAATCTAAAGCGCCCAACGGAGCTCCTCTTACACACCCCCTCTGCCGGCGCCATCGTTACCGTCAATACCGCTGATGCTACTACGACCATTAGACCGCCTAGTACCCGAGCGACATCTATTTCCGTCAGTGCTCGGAATGTCTTACCCACAGCAAGTAGTGCTGCAGAACCGAATCTCTCTCTAGCTACCTCATCCGTCGCGGAATCAGCAAGTAATCGAGCGGAGAGAAGTGCCGCTGCGGCTTGTGAGAGTACGACTGCAGAGACCAGTCCCACAACGGACCAGGAGCCTGTTAAATTGCTGCTGGATCGACTTACTGAGCTTCATGACTCGCTTCAGGCAGAAAAAGAGACGAAATGGAATGAGTTCCTGCGCAAAGTACGTGCAGAGCGGACGTCCTCGACACCCACAGATCGACCTTCGAAAGTAACCAACGCGCCGGAAGCTGAAATAGTCAACGGCGAGTTGATTGGCATTGCTACACTGGGCCGTCCCAATAAATTCAACCGTAACAAATACATCCAGTTCAAGAACCTTGTTCTGCAAGGCATTCCGGTCTCGCTACGGCCTAAGATTTGGTCCGAATGCTCCGGCGCGAATGCGCGACGCAGCCCGGGGTATTATGATGACCTGGTCTTCCGATCTGAAAATGGTGAAGATCTCGACCCTGAGATCGTAAGCCAGGTCAATGCCGACATTGGCAGAACACTGACAGACAACACATATTTCCGCCACGGTCCTGGGGTTCCACGGCTCAAGACAATCCTTCTCGCATACTCGATCCACAACCCCAGCGTAGGCTATTGCCAGGGGATGAACCTGATTACAGCCTCCCTCCTTCTCATCATGCCCACCCCGGAAGACGCGTTCTGGATCCTGGTCGCCATTATTGAAAACATCCTCCCTTCTGGCTACTTCGACAAGGGTCTCGTCGTCTCCCGTGCAGACCAAACCGTGCTCCGCAGCTTCGTATGTGAAGTCCTACCCAAACTCAGCGCCCACTTCGAAGATCTCGGCGTTGAGCTTGAGGCGTGTAGCTTTATGTGGTTCCTCTCCCTCTTCACGGGCTGTCTGTCAGCTGAAGCACTCTACCGAGTCTGGGACGTGGTATTATGTCTAAACAGCTCTGACGCCCCTCCGGGAGCAGTGAAAGACGTTGAACACCAACCAGCAAAGGTATTATCAAAGTCTCCATTAGGCCCGAAATCACACCCCGGGACGTCGAGTCCATTCCTCTTCCAGTTGTGTCTGGCGCTTTTGAAGTTGAATGAGTCCCAGTTGCTGGCTTTGAGTTCACCGGCCGAGGTGTACTCGTATGTCAATCATAATATGACGAATCACGCAATCAGTATTGATGGACTTATCTCCGCGAGCGAGGCGTTGAGGAAGGTAATCAAGCGTGAGGATGTGCTGGCGAGGCGGGCCAAGGCTGTGCAGCAGATTAGTGCATAAAAAGGAGATATGGGCCTCTACCGGGGAGCTGAGACTGTTTCGGAAGATAGAAATATGCTTGATACCCCTTGCCTTAATCCATTATTTTCGGAGAACAGAACAATCCAATGGAGGCATTTACCCTTCGTTCATCATCTCTACCTACCACGCCAGTTTACCTTCCGATCGTCCATGTATCTGATTGTATCCTATCCACATGCATCATGATCAAATGAACAGCGAAGTCCAGACCCATCCATCAGAAGAGTCAGATGTAGTAATTTAGCGACCTGGTATCGCCAAACGCTTCAGACAAGTTTTCTTTCCACTATTGATTGAGAACTCATCCCAAAATTCCAGACATGTTTCAATTTAGATACACACTGTCGATCAAGATAAGAGAGCATCCAACTCTGCTCAGTTGCCCAATTTTTTCTTGTCATGCTTTGTACTTACCCTGGACCCACGTAAAAGTTTAAGCTGTGTTCTCCCCACCTCCAAAGCACTTTTCACATGCACACAGTTTGATGTCCAGAATTTGGATGGATCGTTTCTATCCCAATTTCTATCAAGTTTCAACCGACTAGACCACTGACGTCTGCCTTGGCTGGAATTCTCATGCGACGCAGAAAGCAACAGGCAGATAGACTGTACGATGGTTTGAGGGCCGCAGATACTACTCAGAGCTTCTCTCTGCTGCTCTTGCTGGGCATGTACGACAAGCAATAAACATATGATACCAGCACAGTCCCCGCTGATCATCCTGTCCACTCATTCTTGCTGGTCGTACCCGAGGCAGTGGTTCAGCTTCAAGCTGGCCCAGAACCAGTACATGCTGCTACTTTGCGTTGATCAGATTCGCTGATGGAGAACCCACAGCACCCTTCATAACTGCCTAGCAAGCAGTCTGATATCTTCCAGAAATATTACCCCCCCTTCTCTCTTTTTCCTCACTCTATCCATACATACGTATACTGCTCCATTATGCTTTGGATCGTCATCTTCTCTGCTTCTCGCTCATTCCAAGACTTCCAAGACAGCTACTCGACACCTCTCAAGCGTCTAGTTCCACTGTTCATCCTCCTAGCCTTGCTTCTCTGCTCAATCTACTACGCAGTCCACAGCAAGCCCTAACATCATCGTCCGAGACGCATCCAACGACAACTCGGCAGAGCGTACCTGCAACCTCACCTCGAGCTCCTTCACGTTCCTACTACTTCCAACGTCACTATTTCTGGTATGCCTCACTCCATTCCCTCTAACAGCTCCCACAACCTTGACCTCACCGCACCACCATCCCCGCAACAAAAGTGACGTTTGATAACCGCGTCCCCTCAACTCGCCGCGCCTTTCCAGGTAACCAAGTACCAGCGACTTCATCCTAAACGAGTGTGTCGATCCAGACTGTGGATCCGCTGATGCCCCGACACATTCCTTCCCAGTTCCTTCTCGTCAACCCACTGATGAGTGGAACCTTGGATTCGGGAGGCCTTCGACGCTAAAACACATAACCCATATCAGCTCCTTCTCCATGTGCCAGTTTCATGTCTTTTGAAATGAAATTCATGGGCAGATGTAGGGATTCCGTAATGTTTTCTTTCCGAAGGCGCTCGTTGTGGTGGTTATCATCGCATCATCGTATCAACGTGGATGAATAGTGGGGGTATTGTCATGAATATATATAGAGGGTTTAGTCGGATAGCCGGATAGATGACATGTGAATTGGACCAGAGGGAAATGGGAGATGCATGTCTCCTCTCTCTACTTCGGCACAAATCTCCTCCAAGTTAGGTAGTTCAAGCAAATGGATACCACTGTAGTCAACCGGAGCGAAAATTGTTCGTTAGTTCGTTCCAGCTATCATCTCCCGTGCTGAGCAGGTGCTGCTATACGCCTGAGCAGCAAACTCAACCAAGCCTCTGGGGGCCTCAGGCGTCTCTTTTTCTCGGCTCCGCCGTAAACTGGGGTCTCTCGGCCCATAACTGCTAAGTTAGAAATTTCTCAACTTCCGTAACTCAGCCATGCCCCCAGAACAAAAGCCAGTTCCCTTTTGCGAATTGAAAAAATGCAAAGTTTTGAAAATGAGGCAACAAGAGAAAAAATCCTCTGATTTTATTGTATAGCATCAAGACCTGCTCAAGGTCTCTCTGGCATGTGATCTCGACGGTCGTACTCCGTACAAGCGGTTGTTTTTACCACATGACCAAAAATTTTGGTCTGTGGTCCAGAAACTTGATCGGACGTCTATAGAGGTGGAATCTAAGCCTTCCTTGATATCGTAAGATGATATACCCTCATGGTTATTGACGAGGTGCTTGTAGAGAGAGTGCCTGCTTTTCATTTTTACATGTGTTTATCCGAATGCCTACAGAGTTTGTGACTTGGGTATTTTGCAGTTGTTGCCGAAAATGTAGTTCGTGCGTTAGACATATTAGTGGTAAGTAGTGGAATCTGGCGTACATGTGCTGTAAGCAAGTACATGCTGGGAATACAAGCATAGCTTGAGCTGAATTGTAGGAAGTCGCAAGCTGGGGTAGGGATGATGATTAGTGGATTCACAGTTGTTTGATAGCTACAGATGCTGCTATTGAGGAGTCTTCCGAGAGCGCTCTCATGGCTACAACCTCTCATAGCAGTCCACGAGAGGTCTCGTCGGGGCTCACCTAGCAGGAGACAAGCCTTCAGCTTTTTCTTGCCAGGAATGGGCATTTCCCAATGCAGCATCGGACGCAGCAGGAAAGCTGAGAAGCAGCGTTGTCATCAGCGAAGTACGAAGATCTCAGCCTGCTGTGTATCTTGAACTTTGACGTCTTTAGAGGCCATCTTCGAGCTGGAGCCCGACAATCCTGCTGATTGGTATTTGATGATGCTCTCCTGGCCAATGGCCACTGCGGCGATGGGTCCGATGTATGTCCACTCCGGCGGATCAGTATGAAGGCTCCGGATCAAATGCAAGCACTTGCTGCCGTACAGCGACACGATTGTATCATTGAGTGAGGCGGTGCGCGGCATCAGAAAATGCAAGGATGCAAGGTCAAAGGATTTCGTACCCTCCAAATCATCAACATAGGCGAATGCAAATTTGATACCAGAAAGGAATCTTGCAAATGGCGCATCCATGTCTTCAAATTTGCTTAGGTGGTGTGATATCGATACATCATGGTTTTGCTCGCTCTCCTTGGCGTAGGAGAACACGAAAGCATACGGAGGATTATCAATGCCACTTGAAAGACTGCCAGAGGAGCGACGCTGTGGCCCCTGCATGATATGGCGCAATGTAATGGACCTTCTGTATTTGGGTATGAATCGATCCTGTGGATGACCAATTTCTTTCTCCCCATCAAGCCGCTGAATGTATTTAGCGACCCGCACACCAGCCAATCTAAGCCTGCCCACGTCGAGGTGATCTTGCATATTCACTTTGACCATGTCCTTTTTTACTTGAGATGGAGGTTCAGGCAAAAAGTATCTTTCCTGCTTCCGACTGAAGTCCGAATTCCAGGAAGGCCTCCCAGGGGAACCAGAATGCCCCTTGTCCTGGAAAATGTCGAGGATCTCCAACGTCTTGGTCGTATTGATCAGAAATTTGGTGACATCTTCATGAACTCCAGAGAGGCTTTTGCTGTAGTCAATCGGAAACGCTTCTGCCATTTTCTCAAGCTCTTCAGGCACCTCAGCAAAGAATTTCACGGTTTTGCTTGTTAAAAGGCCTAGCATCCCGTATATCCTGTCTCTTTCATTGGTCACATCAAACCAGAGTCCTGTGTTAATGCTGTCCAACCAGTATTGCACGTAAGTCGGTCTTTCTCCCTTGGGCTTGAATGAAGGCCTATCACTCCCGAGGTGCTGGTACTCATTCTGATAGGTTTCAAGGGTAGATGGTATGCGACTACGGTCCTGCGAAGCATCAAAAGATGCAAGGGTCATTTGCATTCGTGCTAGGCTGCTGGTAAAATCCATGAAGTCAGACTGCAAATGACCTGTCTGAAGAATCAGCTTCTTAGCCGCATAGACTTCTTGTCGTATCCATGCTCGTCTAAACCATGCGCTTTCAAGCTGTTTTGAGACGGCAAGTGCAACGTTTCGTATAGCAGCGGCACAGCCATCCTGGTGCTTCTGCGGAGGATCTCTACCCGACGATGGGCCGACCAATTCTATCGCCTTGAAGAGTTTGGCGGAAGTTGGAAGAGGCCGTCCAAGCCAGGCAACGACTCGATCAGCCTTCTCGAAAGTTCGAAGCATATTCTTAACCTGATGGGCTTTCTCGAGTAGATCTTGCTGATTGATGCAAATGGCATCGCACCAGAGATACCTTTCAGCATCGCGCAATCGCAGGTACTGTAATGCAAACGCCAATTCTTCCGTGACTCCAAATTGCCTCTCATTACAAGATATCGAATAGAGTAATGCGGGATTACCCCATGCATATGACAACGCTTCGTAAGCAACAATATCTGATGTTCCAGATATGCCGAGACCAGGTCCATCGATCACGTCGACGCTGACAAGTTTACAGGAGACATCTGAGCCAAGCTCACCAGGCTGTAAAACGATCAATCGCGTCTGCCAAGGTCGAAGACTCTCGTAGACTCTCCCGTTCAGTGCTGCTACCTGATCTTGATCGGGGTCATCCAAACGTAAAGGTGTGATAAGGAAATTCTCTGGCTTTTGCAGGTCTGCTTGCCGAGCCCAGCAGTTGGAGCCACAGACACTACGACTCTGGAGCTCCGAACCGTCACTTTGAGGTTGAAAGTTTGCTAGAATCCCAGAGAAGAAACCTGTCGAGTTGCTTGCACTATTCCTGGTGGGAGGATTTGAGTCGGAGGATTTCCGGCTTTCAACCGCTTTTCGTCGAGCTTTGTTTTGTAGCCCGAGCATTGGACTGTGTCAATGGAAGTTACCACCTCAATATCCGCAAGGTAGGTGGGTGACTGAAAACCGGGTACTGGTGTAATGTGATCCATGCATTGTTTGCAGGGAAGTGATCAGTTGTGCTGGAGCACGAAGATTAGACAAGCTACGGAGGGCAAGCAGTTGAGGAGGCTCTGCGCTAAGTTAGTCCTGCCAACTCCCACGGTTCAGATCATACAGTAGTTGCGAACGAAGTATCTGGTCAGTTGCCTCGGTTTTATTCTACATTGCCCTTCCCTGCAATGAGACTTGGAAAAAACCTTTGGCGACCGTCCCTTAGCCCCAGCTGACCGTGCTGTGAGATGTGTACGTACTGGGCCACCATCTGAGCCTGATACGTCGCCGTGGTCCCTTTCCTGCTATTGAAGGTCAAAGAGTTGCTGACCCTGTCTAAAAGCTATTACCAAGCTCAAGTCGACGTTTTCCCGGCAAGGTAGCCGCCACTCATATAACCCCTCTGTACAAGATGAGCTGGAGACAAGTCACCTTCTTAGACCCCCACATGGCGATAACGCACCGAGTCGACTGGCGAAAAACCTTCAAGATGTGTGGCAACTACTTAGATCTAACTACGCCAACATCTTACTTGTCATCGTGCCGTTCGGGCTCCTTTCTGGGCCCCTCAGCTGGGGTCCCGCCGCGAGATTTACCCTCAACTATTTGGCAATAATACCCTTAGCAGTTGTAATATCATATGTTTCGGAAGAGCTAGCCTTGTCTCTGGGTCAGATTTCAGGTGGTCTGCTCAATGCGATTCTCGGAAGCGCGACAGAGCTCATTGTGAGATTGTCCCCTTATCACCTAGCTATAACAGACCTGATGCGCTCTCAGATAAGCATTATCGCCCTAGAAGAAAATGAGATTCGGCTCGTGCAAGCAAGCATAATGGGAATGGTTTTCTCGAACATGCTGCTTACACCCGGCGCCTGTTTCTTCGTGGGCGGTCTTAGATACCCGTTGCAAATGTTCCACGGCAGCATCACGTCCACCATGCTCGTCCCGACGCTGGCTTCGATTATGATCCTAGTGGCGCCGACTGCTTTGTACTCGGTCACGGCTAGAGGCTTTGAAGAACAGCACGAATCCAACTCATTGTCATTGGGCTGTGCTGTTGTGCTGCTTTTACTCCATGCTGCCAGCCTAGTGTTCCAGCTCAAGACCCATACCGACTTATTTGATGACGTCGACGAAACGGAGGAGAATTTCGACTCTTTGGAGCCTAACATCAATATTTGGATGGCTGCGTTAATTCTGCCGTTAACGCTAGTCCTCATCACGCTCTGCGCCCGCAATATGGTTCGCAGCCTTCCGCCAGTGATCGACAACTCTAGCCTCTCCCGAAGTTTTATTGGATTTGTGCTACTGCCATTTATTGACAGTACTGGAGCGCTATTCACTTCTGTGGTTGTGGCATACCGCGACAAAACAGATCTGGTTCTAGGCGTCTGCAATGGTGGCATACTGCAGACTGTTCTCTTCGTGACGCCCGTGCTGGTCATTACTGGCGCTGCTACTGACCACCCCTTGACCTTGTACTTTGGCAGATGGGACATTGTGGCTGTCCTCTTCGCCACGGTGCTTCTGGCAGCTCTTCTGCAGAGAGGCACTTCAACCTATCTCGATGGCGTCTTCTGCCTGGCATTCTACAGTATTGTAGTGATTGCTTTTTGTGTCCTGCCGGAAGAGATTGCGCCATTCGAGCAAGGGGTGGGTACCATCACGATGTAAGCAATGCCCACTTCAGATCTTAAAAAATTCTCTGTCTTAAGAGATCTCGTTTTAATCGATAATACTTGTACAAATTTCAGCGGAGCGGGGGGATTCCTCAGCCCGATATGCAACTGCAGTTTCAAGTTGGATCTATGGTTCTTATCGTACGGCTTTGGATCCGACACGGGGCTTGTGCAGCGTTTACACCTGCTTCGCCGGGTCCAAGGAACCGAACGGCAAGGAATGCACATTAGAACGCGGGAGAGCAGACGTGGAGTATGGGACCGTGGAAAAGGAGCAGCGAGGGCGACAGGGGAGCGGGTCCGTAGCGGTGGAATAAAACTGTATGTTTCTAAATCAGTGAAAGGACACGTGGGGTTTTGCTCCCAGGATTCTACATTTATATAGAAATGGTAGGATCTCTGCTATAACTGCTCAGCAGCGGCCAGCAGCATGCGATGATTATGCTCAAATGAAATAGCTGCAAATTTAGATCTGATCCGCTCTGCTCTGCTGTGCTGTGCTGTGCTCTGTTCCATCATGTAAGTCTCGTCGTAAGGAAGCTCCTCGTCACCACGTCACATTATTCATTCACATACCAACATGCATATACAGACAGGGAGAGAGAGATGTCTTGAAGGCGTTCTGGGAGAGCACAATGCCCTCTCTATCATACACAAACATATAAACACGAAGGGGCATCCCGCCCAGGGGGTATCTCTGACACAGAACCACCAAACAAACGCCCATGCCCGAAGGCCGCTATGCATACACATACATACACATACAAGAC